GTAGGATGTGTAATCTAAATAGCATATGCAAGTATGAGAGTCATGATCAATTTTCATTTCTAGCTAACATCCATGTAAATATGTATTCTAAACACTGTAGTACTTATTTTAACACTTTTGTCATTCTTTATTGTATAGTGAGATATTATTAATAGCTAAAATTACATAGTGCTTACTCTGTGCCAGGAATTGTTCTAAGTGTTTTATGTATATTAACTTAGCTAATCCACAGTAATAGTGAGTGAGGTGCTATTGTTCCCATTGAGGTATGGACCAGACACCATGGATTAATTAACCAATTTGAGCTTTACTTTCTTAATCTGTAAGATATTAGTAACACTTCATAGGATAATTCGGGATAAGAAATTCGATAGCTAGCACACAAAGGCACTTAGTAACTTTTGCCATCTTCCTGTTTCAATGAACTGACTACTGGAAAGAGATTTAGTCCCCAGTTATACATAATATGCTTTTGTACGCAGTATTCTGTGAGCTCTTTGAGGTCATAGAGTGTCTGAGACATCATAGGTACGCAATGAATGTTTGTTGTGTGAAACAATAAAAACACAAAGAAAGTTGCCCAAGTGCTTTACATATACCAGTGGTGAAAAATACTTTAAATTGTTGCTTAGGCAATTCAGTGCATTACCGTTACCTTAATTTGTTGATGATAATTAAATCCCCTTAAAGAAAAAGCGCTTAGGTCTTTTCTTTGAGAATTTCCTGCCAGAGGCATAACAGCAACAAACCAGACCCCGATGACATACCTCCTGCGTGTGACTTTTATATTGGAGATTTCTAAGAGTTGGGCAAAATTGAATCTTCCCTAGTCTTTGTAGGCAGAGCATGGGCTGTTTTCATGGGCACTTATAATTCATTTTGCCGTCTTACCATTAATAATGTGTGAAGATGCCTAGGCCAGTTTGGCTCAGCGGTTGGAGTGTCGGCCTGCTGACCAGAGAGTCCCGGGTTCGGTTCCCGCTAGAGGCACGTACCAAAAATAAATAATAATGTGTTAAGACACCTGAGTCTTAAAGTAGTGTTTATTTTTTATTCTTCGTATCATTATCTATGTTTAACTCTTGAAATCATTGGGGAGAAATTATAAAAATATATACATATTGCCTTTGTTATGATTAAAATATGAAGAATTAATGAATGCCGTAATACCTTATAGTGTGCCATGTTTATATTGCTTTGTCAAATGAAAAGCAAGTTGCTCTTCACGGTGATGGTGTTGATGGTTGGTGGTGGTGGTGGTGATGACAATGATGTTGATGGTGTTGATAAGGGTGATGAATGTGGTGGTGAAAAGAGACGGAAAGACAACTTGGAATGGATTGCTTCTCTCCAAAGCCAAAAATTGGACTTTGGACTTTGATCGAATTGAACTGTGGTTCTTTTAATTCCTTGCTCCATTAAAAGTTCATGAAAACGAGGGGAGCTTTGTCCTAGGAATTAAAAAAAAAACAAAACTACTGAAATAATTATAGTAAATTCGATTACACCCTTATTTAAACTAATCAAGCAAAGGCTGAACCATTCTGACCATCTTTATTCAGATAGTATTGGGTGGAAATCCAGTTTTGCTGCCCTAGGTTTGTTCACGTCCTTTCTGATTTTCTTATCATCAGCAGGACTATTCTTTCCAGGGCAATGGTAAGTTTCTCACCTTCTGTGGGATGATGTCATCCCATCTGTATGTTGCACACAGACTTATTTCGTGACCCTGAGCAACACCCTATATCCAGGCTTTATTTGAGAAATGACCTCTGAGCTCTCTGCATCCTGGTTTGGGTAACTGACATTTATTTTCACTTTGATATCTGAACTACAGAGCATACCAGTGGGATTCTTGCTGGGAGAGACGCCAGGTCAGCTCTGGCAGACTCCACTGGAAGGCACCACACGGCAACAGAGATCTCCAGAGCTGTCGAATCTGTGCAGTAATCCTGTGTCAAGACATGAGAAACATTTTATTTTAGAAAAATAGGACTCAGTGTGGGTATTCAGTAAATTCCAAAGAGAAGGAAGTGTTCATTTTTTCCGCTCATCCCCTGAAGATTGTCTACAACACCCCCACAGCATGTGCAGTCGTCCAACATTTCAGAATTGATGGACTCCAGATGGAATTACAATTTGAACTGACTGGCCATGGCCAGTCTGCCCTTGACCTCATGCATTTCTCTAGCCCTATGTTCACCAAGAAGAATCTATGGAAGAATGAGACCATCAACCAAGTCCCCAGGCTGGAAAAACCCTTAGAAGGTTAACTTCAAAGGGAATCATTGGAAAAACACAATGTAAACAGGGACAAAAGGGGGACACTTGTAAGCTGCTAGCAATTAAGCAATAATTAGGTCTGTTCAGTTGTGTAGCTGCCCAGAACTTTACCACTTGTATCACTTTTAAATGTATGGGGATTCCACACACTAGATTTTGTCTTAGTGAAACTAAGCCACAGTGTGCAGACTAATTTATAGTAAAGATATGTCATAAATATATCCAGGGCTAACGGAGTAACTGAATTTTTCACATTCCTTTATAGTAAAAGCCCAATTAAATGGAAAACTGATACCATGCATATCTGTTTGGCTTGTCAGTGTAGTCCTATAAGTTAGCACCTCGGAACATCATAATTGTGCAAAAAAGTCACATTATTGAATTAATTGATTTATTTTTGTTGATACTTATGACATCTATTTCACACACTGTGGAAATGCATTTATTTTTATTTATCTTATTGAGTGGAGGACATTTACACTAAGGAAATTATTTAATATTTGTTGATGATCCCTTCTTTGAAAATTAGGTCTCAGTAGTAACATAGATGCAAACATGTAATGGATTAGGCTAGATATATCAACATCCCAGTTCCCCCAGAGAATTTTTGTATCCTTTTTAACAAAACATTTCTGATTTCATATTTCATTTTCAAAATTACTTGTTCTGCCATAAAAGCACAATACAATTGTAACTTTGAATAATCAATATATTTTGGTAAGCCGAGGTTCACAATATATATTTTGTGAATCTACGAGCATGAGGCAAATGATCAATATAGCAGGATCCTGAGAGGTTGGCAGACAAAAGTTCTCAGAGCCGTTACAGTGTAGGAATGGCCCATATTCCATCAATGGTTTCAGATGTCTGTTATTTACAAGTCCCTGCATCATATGCAAGGATGTTAATGGAATATGGAATTCAATGGAATATGGAATAATATTGGAATTCAATGGAATATGGAATAATATGAAAGACATTCTCTACCTCAACAAATTTATAATCTAATACACAACAAGAGAAAGAGCATTTTAAACAAAGCAGTCAGTAGTCAGGCTAAACTGTGGCTATAAACCTGTGCTCAGTATATAGAAAGAGGCAAAAAGACCCCATCTAGGGACTTTGCCTGAAACAGGTTTATGTTGAAGTTCCGAATCAGTAGACCAAAGGCAGTGGTCATGGAGGGAGTAAGCAGCGAGGAGCCACAGGGTAACCACTGGAGACCCAAGTGTGACGTCGCGGTCATATTCATTTTGCTCTCGGAGAGAATAGTCTTCTCTTGCTAACATCACCTTTGAGTTCCCTCCTGCGCTGATGGGGCAGATGCCCGATGGCGGTCACCCGGAGGGCCCCTCTGTGGTCTCCACCATGGCCACAGTCACTGCCTGCTGCCCCACCGTGGCTGGATGGTGGAGAACATGAGCATCCCCAGCTGGTCCCTCCTGCCCTTTGAGTACATATATGCCTTCACCTTGAGATAAAGAGTCTCCAGAAGCTGCAGGTGGACCACCGTATGTCATCGTTTCTAAGCACCGAGTGTCCTGAAGTCAATGGGCCTCGTGGAGGCCCTTCCCAAGCACCGTGTGCAGATGGGAAGTGGGAGCTGGTCTTCGTGGGGCCTGTGGGCCTGGTGATGGACCTCAGGGGCACCTTCTTCATCAACCCGCACACTCCAGGACCACTGGGAGCGCACTGGACCTCAAGGGCAGGGCCAGGAAGAACCTCAAAGTGTGTGTCTACCCCGAGAGCACAGGAACAACAATGGGGACCTGCCACCTTTCCACAGAGGTGACTTCTGTGTGGCCATCCAGATCCAGGTGCCCCTTGTCCCTATGCTGTACTCCTCCTTCTACAAGCCAGGGCGAAGCTTGTCGCCTCAGGAACATCAAGGCTTAGGTGCTGGATGCCATCCCCAGCAGTGGCCTCATACAGCTGACATTCTTAAGCTCATGGACACCTGCCACCAGGCCATGCAGACCACCTTCTTTGACATGTCCAGGACAGCCCAGGAGAGCAGGCCACTTCAGGGCCTGGTACCCAGCCTGCCTTGTGGCCAAGGCCAGGGGCTGGGGCAGGACCTGGCTAGCAAATGGCAGAAGGACCACCCGTTCCAGCTCCCAAACACCAAATACCACTGTGTTCCACGCCTGCAGTCCCCTGGCTGTCTTCGGGACCCTTCCTATAGCAGCGTTGGATCGAGGGCCCTGACACTCCTCAAAGGACAGTCAGCTGTGCCTTCTCTAATCTCTGAGGGCAGGTCTGTGCCCGTCCTCGTGTCTTCCGGGTCCAGGAGTAGGAGCAGGCTTTGGGGGTCCAGATGAGCTGAGCTGCTAGGCCTTGGGAAGAATGGCCAGAGGCAAAGCCTCCCGCCCTCCTGTCCCAGGCATGTGGGGTGTAGAGGCAGACTCCAGGGTGCTGGCCACAGTCTGCGTCAGGCTCTCAGGGGAGGAAGGGTTCTGGGGGGCCCAGGACCCCTGTGAAACCTGGGCCTCAGAGAGTCAGAAAGCAGGCCCTGCCGCTCCCGCCAGCCGTGGGGTGCAAGTCTGCTGAATGGGTACGACGCTCACTGATCGTTACTTTTCATAAGGCACTCTTAGAAGTGCGAAAGAAAAACGTGGCGGAGCTGCGGTGCCGAAAGCCTACCGGTCTGCTAAGAGAGGAGGCTTCCAAAATCAGAGCGAGTGGGCGTGTCACTCTCTGTTTCTTTCTATTTGCAGAGCTTCCCAAAGTCACCGTGATGCCCAAGAACCAGTCTTTCACAGGAGGGTCTGAGGTCTCCATCATGTGTTCTGCAACAGGGTATCCCAAACCCAAGATCGCCTGGACCGTTAACGATACGTTTATCGTGGGTTCACACAGGTACTGGGTTTGTATCATGTTCCTTGTTTTAACTGAGTGAGAAAAGTGAATGAAATTTCGGGACGAAACTAGTCTGATCAAATCCCTATGGTTAAGGGAGGTTTGACCAAAATCCACAGCTTTAGATTTTCTAAATAGGCCAGGAAATGCCCATAAAATAATGAGTGATGTATCTATAGAATTTGAGGTCATGAAGTCTTGAATGCAAAAGCAGGGGTCAAGTGCTTCCCAATATTTTGTGTTCAAAGATAGCACCGGGACCCTTGGTTTGCCTTGCATATTTGAAATGAGGAAAATGAATGTAAGGTGGTCCTGGGATTTAAAAGGAGAGAGTGGAGGCAAAGGACAGAACAGTAGTTCTAAACGAAGTGTGTGCAGACTTCCTTTGTAGTTCCTGTTCGCTTTTGCCATACTCCAGTGAACTGTTTGGTTTTGTTTTTCTACTGGATGCTTTTAAAAGACGTTGACTCCTTGCATGCTCAAAGAGCGTAATAAACATGTGGAACACAAACAATGGAGTTTCCAGCTATCGGGTTTACATTACTCTGGGTTTGGCATGAGGAGCCGGGCTCAGGGATGAGCCCGATTCTATTCCTAGTCTCATCGGTGACTCACTGTGTGACATGATAGCGGTTCCCACGGAACAAGATTTCTGGGTGCAAATTCCACTTCCCTCATTTACTGCGTCTGACTTCGAGTGAGCTATAGAACTTCTTTGCTCATCTGTGAAACAGAGACCATAACGGTGTCTAACTCACTGGGTTGTTTTGAAGAGTTGAAACGGTAACACATGTTCAGCCCTTCGAGCACCGTCTGGCTCCTGGAAGCACTGGGCACATAGGATCTGTTGTTGGCATTTTTTTAAATATATATATTTCTGCTTGTAGAATGATGATGTTAATCATTTCTGCAGTCAGCATCAAACATGTAACTCTCAAATATTTGAAGATATTTGGAAGAAAGATTCTTTGATACTATTATTAGGGGATTTTCTGTTTCTTTTCTTTTTGTCCATAGGTATAGGATGGCCTCAGAAGGTACTTTATTTATCAGAAATGCCGTTCCCAAAGATGCAGGGATCTATGGCTGCCTGGCAAGTAATTCAGCTGGAACAGATAAGCAGACTTCTACCCTCAGATACATTGGCAAGTATAACCAGTTTAAGAGGCAATTAAAATAGGATGACTGTCATATGAAGCAATGTAAACGTGCTTTGCTGGAAATTAAGATTAGGAAAGAGTTATACCTAGTCTTGTAATTTATTACTAATTTTCACACATCAATGAAAACAAATATTGTAACTAATTTAAGGTACATGTCAGGGTGTGAATAGTTTCATTCATCAGAAGCAATCCAGGAAGCTTGCCGAGTGTGGAAGGTTTCCAGGTTGTCCACAGATGTCTGTCCTTCCACGGTTTGCCTGTCCTCTGCACCATGCCACTTAGTAATGAATACATTCGATATATGTTCTAGTTTACCTCGGCTTCTGTATTTTCCACTTATATTTCAAAACTGTTTATAACATTTCTGTCCTAACTAAATATTTATAACCTTTCTGCCATTTATCTTGTCTAGATGTTATTTTCCCTCTTCATCTTCAGCTTTCCTCTCCAAACTCAAACATTTATTGAAGATGCACTTCAGGCCCAGCTGGTGTGGCTCAGTGGTTGAGCATCGACCCATGTACCGAGAGGTCAGCAGTTTGATTCCCGGTCAGGGCACATGCCCAGGTTGTGGCCCGATCCCCAGTGGGGGACATGCAAGAGGTGGCCAATCGATATTCTCTCTCATCCATGTTTCTATCTCTCTCCCTCTCCTTTCCTCTTTCTCTAAAATCAATAAAGAAATTTTTTAAAAAAGAAGAAGATGTACTTCGGGACAATTATTCTATGATATTCTGTACTGTAGCAGAAGAAAATATATTCTAATACATAATACAATCTAATATTCTAATATGTGACGTTACACATTCCAATAATATAGAATATAGACTAGAATATTTTCTTTAATTTGCTCTTCCTTAAACAAGCCAAGGACAATGACATACCTGTTCAATGTTAGTTGGTCAACTGTGAATAATTAATGGGTAGCAATCCACCCTTTCATTCATTCTTATTTGCCATTCACAGTGAGACCGTGGAGAGGAAAGGGTGTACAAGGTCCACAGTAAAGACTGAGAGTTGTAGTTGGTGTGTGTAGATGAGGGAGGTGACGGAAGTGTCATAAATGTTGCACCGGAAAGCTGGGAAGGAAGTCATCTCTTTTATAGAAACGGCGACGGCACATGGCAAATAAGTTGAGGAGGGAAGAGGGCTCAGATTGAGAGATCATTACAGATGTTCTCAGAGCACTCAGACGAGCGGGAACAGACAGCCAGGATGTAGAAAGGAGGTTGGAACAGTCTGCACTGCAGAAATGAATTTGAGTTCCTTTTCAAAGAAGCCAAACTATTGGACCCATTTATTTAACTTCTTCATCACCTAGAATATGTAACAATGTGGCGCAGGAGATGGCGGAGTATAACATTTTTAAATGTAGGTTACCCAGAGTCCTTACTTTTCAAGAGCTTGTTTAATGGGAGTGACTTTACTTAAAGGTATGTGAGAAGACAGCGAAGTACCACAACAATGGGAGGGAGGTGGAGGGGAAGATTCATTTCTACTGAGGAATTGGCAATGATTTTTCAGAAGACACAGGATTTAAGCTCTGGCTGGAAGGATGAGAGAGATTTAAAGAGCTGTGGCACAGGGCATTGCAGGCAAAGGAAGCAGCGTTAGCAGAATCAGGAAGACAGAGCGGGGTGTGAATTACCAGTAGGGCTCCACACCTTGTGATAAGTAAGGGACTGCAATGCGGGGTAAGGCTGTGTGACCGGTTATGGTTTTGAAAGCCAAACTAGGGAATTACAAAAACCTGAAGGGTTTCTAGCAGGGGAGAAACATGATCTTTGAGCAGCTAACTCTTGGCTTTGTTTAAGCCAGCCTCAGTGGAAGTTAGAAAGTCCTAAAGTCCAGTGAAGGGAAAAGTGTGTGAGTGAACATTTTTGGGAAGGAGGTTGCAATAGATTCTGCCTTCAGCAAAGGGGTGAAGTGAACGGAGCTAAGGAAAGAAACTTGGAGAATGTCTGTAGTTAGCATCAAAGGGAACAAGAGTCAGCACGGGGAAACTGCTCTTTCCAGATGCAAACTGTTAGCCAACAACAGTTCAACAGGAATGTCCTTCAAATTGCATAGAAAAATGTTATAACAAATTCACCTGCAGGTGTGTTACCCTCAAGTCCTCATGTACCCTCGTCAGTGTTAACATCATCACCCTTTTCATCCTTCTTTCTGATCCTTTAGTATTATTTCTATAAGCTGTATTCAGCTTTCCAAATTTTTTTTCTTCCCTTATATATTTCTTTTTTTTTTCCCATAGGACTATATACGGTTAATTTTCTAAACGTCTTACACTCCGTTTTTCAGAATTATTTTGGCCTGATATCCTTTTTTGGCCTTAGGAAATGCTCTTTTCGGCACACACATCAATGTGTCTTACGCGTCTAAGAGTTTCTTTCTGTTTATAAACACTGAAATTGCCACAGACATATAAATAATGGTCAATGTTTTGATGGGTGCATGCGGCTCTTTGCTAGACGTTAACCGTTTGTATGTTTGTCATTTTCAGAAGCTCCCAAGTTGATGGTAGTTCAGAGTGAGCTCTTGGTTGCCCTTGGGGACACGACCGTTCTGGAATGTAAAACCTCTGGAGTCCCCTCGCCTCAGGTGAAATGGTTCAAAGGTACATTTCTTGAGTATGTTCATGTCTGGATTTAGTTTTGTTTTCTCTTTTTAAAAACACACACACACACACACATTGTTAAAAGTGTGTTTTGGTGTGTGACTTAGCAGCCCCCTCAAACGTGTTTATGATCTCACTAAAGACAATAGTTTGAAATTCTGAACTCGGAATTTTGGGGTTTGACATCTGGTGTGGATTACAGGACCGTGAAAATCCAGGCAGGAACAGCTCGCCTGTGCTAATCCAGCTGAACATTCTCTGTGTTAGTTTAGGATTGTTTCCTGTACAAAAGTGTCCACGGGTACTCAGCGCTGAAAACGGCTCCACAGATTTCAGTTCCCTTTCCTTAGAGGTTCTCATGTTGAGAAAGTTTTCTAGATTCTCAAGGACACTTTCTATAACGTGCTCTAATAAAGACACGTGGACGCTGGAAATTGAATGACATTTGCCACTGAACTTATATCAAGTATAGAAGTTGTCTGCCTATATTTGTAACGTAAAGATTGTAACAAAGAAACACTGCCCTGTGATTCTAGAATAAAAGAGCAGTAATGTGCTCCTTGTCCTTAGTGGGAATACACTCGGGCCCCGGTCCAGGCCCGATGCTGACAGAACAGATCTGTGTAAAACATTCTGCTTCTGTTTCTGTCTCAGTTCTTCCAATTCATGAGAAGGAAAAATTCCCACAAACACCCTTACAGGGAGGTTGCTAGGATTATTGAGATACTGTTTTCAAAATACTTTTTAATCTTCAGATGAAAAATGCTAAATAGTACAAAGCCCCATTGTTATGATTCTGTTTGTTAAATCACAGACGTTTCCATGGCGACGGGTTGATGTCATCATCCAAAATTATTAATTCACCTCGGGTTCAAACTCTTGGGGAACATGAGGTGAAAAAGAAAGGCTTTGAGGAGAAAACAAACGCTTCTTAACATGAATCAGAAACGGGGAGGGAAACGAGAAGATAAGACCATTTTCCTGGTTTTCCAAGTGAAGAGATACTTAGTCTGTGTGTTTTCTCTGATAAGCATTTCTGGATTTGCTCCTTAGGTGAATTTCAGTTGACATGAGCTCATTTTACTTATTAAAAATACTTTAAGCTTTGAGTTATAAAGGAAATAGAAATCGATTTCAAGTTCTCATCATCACTAAATAGATCCAAAATATGTGTTATGGAGGCAATACTTGCTTTTTTTATGTCGGTCAGTCGTATAGGTTAAACATAAAAATTTTTTTAAAAGGAGTGGAAACTTCTGATTTCTCTGCCCTTTTATAGTAGTCCAAAAGAAAGTCTTTTATTCTCCCAAACTGAGGCCACTGTCCTGAATAACCCAGTCTTCATGCCCAGCCTTCGTCCCACAAATGGCGCGGACACTACAGGGGCACTGGGGAGTCATGTAGCCACCGCATGGAAGAGTCTGGACTTGGCTACCCACTTGTTTCTTCTCTCAACCACAGATGCTAGAGCTTAACGGGCCCAGGAGATAATACCCCATTTCTCTGTCAAAGTTATGCCCCTGTGAGTTAGATGCTGGCTGAGTGTCTGCGGGGACATGCTCCCATGTCCCTTTACAACACGCCTTGGCCCTGCTCCCCAGCATCACCCGCTCACTTTTATGCCGCTCACTCATAAGCACAGCCGGGCTCATCAGGAGCACAACTGGAGGACAGGCTCTCTACGTGCAGACTGCCCCAGAAAGAAAGGGGGGGACCCCGGGCCTTCCTCTCTCACGTGCCCTGCAGGGGATGGGACACCTGGAAGCTTAGGAAAGTCCCCACCTGATGGCAACCACAGGGCTGAAGAGCTGTTACCCCAATCCGAAGAATACTTTTTCTTCATACTCTTTTTTGTCCAGGCAATTCTGATTGAATGAAGTTGGTGGTTATTTATTTCTTTAGTTAGTTATTATAAGAACACATAACATGAGATCTCCCCTCTTAATCCGTTTGTAAGTGTACAATCGAGTCTTGCTGACTCAGGCGTTGTGTAGAGCAGATCCCCAGAACTTACCTTGTATTGTTGAGACTTTATACCTGTTGGATAACTCTCCAGTTCCCCTGCGCCCCACCCCCCAGCCCCTGGCAACCACCATTTATTAATAAATTGCATGGCATTCAGTCCCTCAGAGAAATGCAACTCCATATGTACAAATGGCCAGTGGGTTCAAAGGAGAATCAGGGACACTCTTAAAATGTTATGTAAAGCATATTTCTGTTAAAATATTAAAGGGATTGGATTTATTTATTTAGGTCAGTGGTTTCTTAAACTAATTAGTCAGGAATCCTGCAGGTTCCCCACAATTCTTTGCAGGGAACCCACAAGATCAGAATTCTTTTCCTCGTAATACCCAGATGTGATTTGTCTTCTATACACTCGCTGTCTCATGAGTTATAGTGGAGTTTTTGGAGGCTCCGTGACATGTGACATCCAGTAAAGTGAAGGCAGAAGCTAACCTGAACCCTCAGCTCTTTTTATTAAGCTAGAGATTCATGAGATTTGCAAAAATGTGAAACTGCCACATTTCTCACTAAATTTCTCTTGTTTGGGAAATAAAATTATTTTTTCATAAAATATGTTTAATTATATCAAAATGTCATGTACTTGTCATTATAAAATAAATTTATACATTTAAAATTCCTTCAGTTTCATTTTCTAAAATGCTAAATACAAGTAAGTAAATATAATAATGTACAAGAAAATATAAAAACACTTTGTAAAGACCCCAATAATTTTTAAGACAAACATTTTCGAGAACCACTTTATTTCCATAAACTATTTTAAAAGATTTTGTGCCAAGAGTAATAACCTCTCTGTTAGCCTTTACATCACAGAGGTCAGAACTGAATTTAAACTACAGAAGAAAGAGAACCTTCCTCAGTGGTAATGTTAAATCCTAGATTAGATTGTCAGGAAAGTGTGTGTCTATCTATCTATCTATCTATCTATCTATCTATCTATCTATCTATCTATCTATTACTATGTATAACATTCTTCTAATCTCATATTAAAACTAAACCCAATTTCATTTCCATCTTAAAGTTTTGTTTTTCTCTATGGCTTCTCAGTAATTTGATGACTAAATTTTCAGTAGACATCAAGAAAGGAGAGATTCTTAAAATGCAATCGAAATGCAGACTTGATTAAACCAATGTTTTCTACTTTGCACTTGATTTCATTACTGCTATTCTTCAAACACTGCTATTTTAAAAAAGCAACTAGCCAGAAGGTCTTTATTTCATCCTGTTACGTTCTCTGACATACACAGAATAAATAAGGGAGAAGTAAATTCCAAAAATCTAAATGCACTTTAGTCCACATATTTTAATTCCTGATGGACAGCTAGGCCACACTGTGCCCTCCCTTAGTGGGATGAAAGTTGATGTCAACATAATCGCTTTTATTTGTGAAAATTTCCCAGAGGCACATAGACATGCCTGAAGTTGCTTCTCTTTCTCGTGTGCTGTGTAATAGCAAGTTTAAAGGGATGCCCAGAGTTTTGAATGTTGGAATGCTGAAAATACTTTATTTTTGGCATGGGCGGTTGCTGATGTAATTTCTTTGTATTTTTACATGTATGGCTCTTTTGACATCTTCACCTCCCAAAATTACAAAAACAAAAAGAGAATCATGTGTTTGTCGCCCTGAGTCTCTTGATTGTCATTTTCCATTGTGTCCTCGCAGTTGACTAGCTCTGGGGCTTTCTTTGCCCACTAGAAGCAAAGGGAGTTACTTCTATGGGCCTCGGGCCCTGGGCGCCTGGCTAGGCTATTATGCGACATTTTGGAGCTTATCTTTTCAGACTTGACATCTGGGCATAAAACCCTAAGAGCAATGGCCCTAAAATCCCCTGGAAGTTTTCAGGACTTCCACAAAGCATTTGATATGACCCTTTACAAAAACAAATGAAAGACATAGGCACTAAGCTGGCATTGCATATCCAATACGAGAGGACAGCCTGGAGGAGGGGACGCATAAGGAGAGGCTCACCTAATTTATAGGTTTGTTGAGGTGTTGCTTGCCTTCAAATAGACGTGGTCCTCAGGGGATGTGGGGTGCTGCAGGGGCACACAGCACATACAGGGATCTCAGACATAATTCAGCTTTCTGGGTCATCTACCCTCGCACTGAGGTCAAACTCAATACGTAGTTCCATCCCCCATACATTTATCCTCTAACAGCTTCTTCCAAACAACCCATAACTCCAACTAAAAGAACTTCGATGATGAGCCCGGCTGGTGTGGCTCAGTGGTTGAGCATCGACCCCTGCACCAAGAGGTCGCCAGTTCGATTCCTAGTCAGGGCACATGCCCAGGTTGTGGGGCCAATCCCCAGTGGGAGGCATGCAGGAGGTATCCAATCGATGTTCTCTCTCATTGATGTTTCTATCTCTCTCTCTCTCCCTCTCCCTTCCTTCTCTCTAAAATCAATAAAGAAAAAAAAAAAGAACTTTGATGACTAATACAGAGTCAGTAGAGGTATCCTGGGAGATTTATAGGACAACACCTCTCTGGCCATGGTCAGAACTTTCTCATCCGTTCTCCTACCAAGTTCCTCCCTACCCTCTTTAGCTAGCTGTGGTCCCTTCTTCCCCGGACACCCTCAGAATCCTCTCAGGCAGCTTACACAAAATCTAACTAATAGCATTTAGTGAACCAAAGCCGGGTCATTCACCCAATTAAAAGCACCTATGGTCTCCTAAGCATTTCCTGGGTAACTGAAATTCATCCTGCCGCATAGATGGTAGAAATCTCTTTTCAATCTTCACCTTCCTTTCCCCATTCCTCTCTTACTTAACATCGCCATGGGGGCAGCCTGCATCCTTCCCCCGTCCCCCAGTGTAGCGTCAAAGAGTTTGTTCTGATTTAGGTACAGATGCAGCAGGAAATACATGTACATAATTCATGTAGGACCAGATTTTTGGCCATAGGTTAAGTCTGATTAGAATTATACGGACTAATCAGCTCAGTGCCAAGAAACACTTCATTCTTTCATTGCAAAAACATCGTTTCAGTGTCTGCATTGTGCCAGACACTTGTATTTAAAATTTTTACAATCAGTTTTCTTTAGAAGTTTTGAAATCAAACCAACAGCAAACTATGTAAATACTTTAGTGTTTAATGTTCTCCCCTTTGTTTTGACTTAGGGGATCTTGAGCTGAGGCCCTCAACTTTTCTCATTATTGATCCTCTCTTGGGACTTTTGAAGATTCCAGAGACTCAGGATTTGGATGCTGGTGACTATACGTGCGTAGCCGTCAATGACGCTGGAAGAGCGACTGGCAAGATAACGCTGGACGTTGGCTGTAAGCATCCCCGCTCTGATAGACGAGCTTGTTTTGAAATTGATCTGCTATTTTTTGCTGTGCTTATAACTTTGAAACAACTGGCAGGAAATATTTGTCAGAAAGGCAAAATTGAAGTTAGCTTTCAAGATTATTCATGTAACAGGGGTAGTTAGCATTTACCAAGTGCTTTCTATGGACCATGCACTGTGCTGAGAACTTATATATGTGTTATCGCCTTAAATGCTCATAACGGTTTTAAGGGAAAGATACTGTACTTTTCTCCATTATATAAATAAGGAAATGGTGTAAATAGGCTAAGCAGCTTGACCAGGGTCACAGGGCTGTGGAGGGGCGGAGCCTGAATGTTTGAATCTAGGTTGTCTGAATTCAGAGACTGTAGATTTCCTTGGTATATCATCTATGGCCAAATATTTTTCAACCGAGAATCGTTCATTCTGACACCAAATTCCTAAGTAATAACATCTGGAGGCCATAAATTAGACTTTGGCCCTAGACGTAATTTGGAGATGTCGATGACAGCAAAGGTAGCAGATTGTGCTTTTACTTTTTAAAAAAATTCAATAGCAATGACTCCTCAGTGTATAAAATAAAGTACTAACTACAAATAAATGTCAATCACAGTGTGAAGGATACAGCACGTACATGATAAGCGTTCTTGGATTACTCAAGGAGCCCGGTTCTCCCTCCTTTGTCTCTCCGTCTCACGTTTCTTGAAAAAAAAAAATTAAAATTCTATGCAGTATGGTAACACTTGAAATAAAACAGAGCTTGCTTTGTATGAAAAAGAACCTGGCAGCTTCATTTTAACAGATAATTCAAATGTTTGCATCACTTAAACTTATAAAATATGACATTCATTAAGTTGTACTTTCATTTATGTATGATGATTTTCATGCCAAAGCTGTTTTTTTGTTTTTTAACAAAAGTTAGGAACTATAACGATAATGCATTTTTTTAAAAGAATAAAATAACGTAAAACATTCTAGTTCCACTATCTGAAGTCTTTAAATGAAAATCATGGCCATCTAAGCTTAATATTTTGTTTCATATAAACTAAAAATTTTCCTTCCGAGATCTTTGATGATACCCTCGTTCCTAGACTGTTGAGTGACCATTCTGCCTTCTTGTTGATTATGCCCTTGGAGTAAAATCAACAAAACTGGAACTGGCCACAAAGACCAGGGTATAGCAAGATATGTTGGAACCACGACAAAGCCCGGTGGTTATTTAGAGAAGTACCTCGGAAATAAGATTGGAATCTCTGGGTGGAGGGTATTGAATCTATCCGCAGAGTATCAAACATGAGTAATGCTGTTTGAAAGGTGAGGTCCCAGTGAGGAAGGTCACCAGATACAGAATTCTTGTTTTCAAGAAATCTACAGAGTACCTTTCAATTCTCAACATTTTCTAGTTCTGTGTCTCCCTTCTTCTGGTGCACAACATTCTTTTCAAGTTCTCTAGCTCTAGACCAGAGGAAGGGGGAAGAGCCCCAGTAATTGTTCCCAGCAAAAAGGGAATGACACTCTCATCCCCCTCCAAGACAGAGAGTTAAATATCTAACACATGTTCCTTTGTTTACTTACTGCCTTCTCGATACTCTTTGTAGCTTCTGGACTTTCCAAGTTCTCTTTTCTGACTAGCGATAAACCATATCAGGATTAGAGCTGTCTGTGCTGGCAGGATTTGTGATGGATTAGAAAACACCCTAAGAATCTTTTGTATTCATCCTTTATTCCGTAAACTGAATTTTGTTTTATCTTCACTCAATTTCAAGATCTTCTCTCTATGATCCTTTCTGAAACAATGGCTCGCTCAACTATTATTCCAGTAAGTGTTCTAATGAAACCGTTAACATAAACTCGATTGTTTACTTACTGTAACCTTGATCACTGTTAACAATTGTCAAATAAAGTCAGCACTTCATGTTTTCCTCCTGTCTTAACTATTTCCTCATTCACCCCTGAAGTCCTGATCATTGGCGCTTACAAAGTTTGATTATCCACAAGAAACTGTTGTTCCATATCCGAGGAAATACAGGCTGTAACTGCCAAGTTCTATGCAAGTTACATTTGTGGTGATGGTTGTGGTTGTTACTATTAGGTTTAAGAGCAGCAAACAGAAAAACAAAATCTCTCCAGAATGTTATACAGTAGTTAAGAGGATGGGCACTGGAGAGAAACTGGGTTTTCTGCCTGGCATTTAATAGTAGGACCTTATGGGTTGGATATAAACATGAAATGAGACATCATTACCCATGAGCATTCCACTTGGCAGTGGTTACTGCTGTTCTTTGAAGTGCTTAATGGGACATGCATCAATAGGTAAATATTAGCTTCACAAATTGAGTGGTCATTCTGATTCTTTGAGTCTTGGAAAATAATATAAAAACTCATATAAAATAATGGCATATTATTTAAGTTTAAGCATGGCGCTTTTGATAAGAAAGGCATTGTTTCTACTAATTTCCACTAGTTTTCTTTTAAAAAAGAAGGGAGACAAGTTGAGTACAACTATTAGTAATGCATAAAATTATTCATTTGAGCTCCAAACTTATTGGGCATAAATCAGAGTAGCTTATGACTTAAGAAGAAAAACATACTTTTATTCATATTATGTAACTGGGTTTTCAGATTGTTTTTGTGGGCCTATTACTTCCCATCAACTACACTAGATCAAAATTTTTTATTTTATATTATTAGAAAAAGACTTTAATATTATTCTTGAGTTCTAGCTTCTTGTAGTGAGTCCCCCCTCCCTTTTGTATTTCTCATTATCATGGCTTTAAGTCGTGGACACTTCGGGTCAACGGGGAAAGTTACCAATGCTTTTCATCCATTTGAAAAGAGGTAGTAGATTGTGAAGTCATTTGGAAGAGACGAAGACGGGCCACATCAAACAAAAAGTTGGCCTGGCAATGATTTTTTTTTGCAGCATTCCACACCACACAGGGTTGGAGTCATAGACTGTGGTTTCATGTTTTGTGGTTTGGTAGAAACAAAACAGTCTGTTCAGCCATGTTAGGAAAGAAAAATCTCTGTTTGACTAATTTAATCCTAGAGCTGCCATAGTGGAGATTAATTGTCACCAAAGGAACCAGAATCATTTTATGGAATAAGTTTTCGAGCAAGATGGTCCATCTGTTTGTAACTGTTACATTTTCACAAGAATGTGTGCACACAGACATCTGTCAGTAAGTGACAAAGCTGTATGTGCACTGACTCTGAGCAATTGTCAAGGTACCTATACACAAATATTTAGGGGATCACAGAGGATTCAACATCCTGACAGATTATATGCAGTAGCCAAAATTAAAATGAACAGTAGATACATTAAACGCCAGAATTATGACTGAATAAATTCACTACAATATTTATAATCAATGATAATTACTATTTGGTTGATAATTACGTGCTAAACGATTAATAAACATTCTCTCGTTTAACAACAAGAAGTAAGAAATGCCGTTATCCCCTTTTGTCCATGGGGACGTTTAGACTGGGGGAAGTAAAATCATTGTCCAAGTTTACAGACTAAGAAATAGTGGAACTGCCATTTGAAACCACCCAGTGGGCTGTAACTTGTTGGAGCAGCACAGCCTCCTCCGTACAAGTCCAGGATTTTATAGTCCAGTCACCCCTGCTCCCGTTCCCCCAGTCTCTTAATCTGTTTACCATCCACCCAGTGCTATTCTCTTGGAGTCTGAATTGGCCACACTCAGGAGCAGGAAGTATTTAGGAGGCTTCTTGGCCTGAGTTAGGAGTTGCTTAAATTTTGAGGTTCACTGGTCATTGATGCTGTCTTGGCTACTTACCCAGAGAGTGCCTGCTACTCTCGTTTGTCTTGTTTTCTGCTCCCAGTCCATCGTTCCCTGAGCTAGCGCTTGTCTTGTACCTGACACCCTTCCCAAAGCTTCTTCTCCCCAGATGACTTCTCCTGTCTTAATTGAGTTTTATGGGCACAACTTGAGCTTCACTTGCGCATTTATATTCCAGTGTATTCTTGGCTTTCGTCAGTCTGAAAATTCTAATTTGTCTCCATTCCCACTGATGGCTCTGTTCTGTTGGGTCAGTGAGCTTGGTTTCCTCCCAAGTTCTTGGTTGACCCCAGGCTTCTGCATATCTCTTTGTTCTTCTGGAATTTATTTTCTGTCCCATCTCCACACTCAGCTACGCCCACTCTGAGCCTAACACAGCCTGAGACTTTTTCATTTAACCTCTATTTTTCAGAAAAGCAGCCAGCTCTACAATAAATGGCTACTATCACTCCAGAGAAAAGTAACGAGGCCTTATATATCCAGAAGAAGGGAAGAATGAGCTACTTTATAAACTTCTTTAAAAATACGTTTATTTTGCCTATTATTTTTATAAGCCAAATTCCCATGTGGATGGATTAAGAAAAATCTAAACAGATACACTTCTTCTTTTTAAAAACACATTGCTCAATTGTTATGTATTCTTGAAAAATGCAAGTTAATATGCTGTGACTCAAAATTGCTGTTGTCATCATATGTACATATGCAAGCACACAATTATTATTTAAGTATTCTAATATTGATTGAATCATTCACAAAGATCTAACAGCCATGTATAATGCACAAGGTTCTGTGTTCGTTGCTGTGAAAGATAAAAATATGGTTGCAGAAGTGAACCCTCCAGGGAACATCTAACATATAGTCCAATAAAAGGATGAATATGATGAGAGTGGTACAGATTGAGTTCTCCGAAACCTCAGAGAGGGAAGAAATCATGTCCATTTGGCTGGTGATGATGAAAGAATTGTCACTATTTCAAGAGCCAAGATCAACGGCAGACATTGCATTTGAAGGGGATGGCATAACATAGGTAACCCTATGAGAAAGGTCAGTCCTTGTTAGAGAAGAATAAAGAGTTCAGATTGTCCAGAGAATGGGATTTGTGTAGGGACCTCCTAGGAGATGAGGCTGCAAAGTTACAGAAGGTTCTTTATCCCAAGCCAATGAAGACCTAAGGCTGCTTGGAAGACAAATGTACATCCGAGTCCCAGAATTCCCATTGGGAAGGGAAGATGTGATCTCTGTACCCATTTTTATTAGCCTGCTAAACAGCTTAACTATGGGCAATTTTAAGAACCCACAGAAAAGGGGAGGCTGATAAAATGACAGAGACAAATGCAACCCTGGAGGTGGATCAACCTGGTTTGCAACCCTAGCCCAGTGTTCAACTCCATGCCACACTTAGCAATTGAACTCTCTGTGTCTCCGTTTCTTCATCTGTAAATAAGAGCATTAGTAGTATCTACCTCATATATTGGGGAGATTAAATGAGATAATTAATGGAAATCACTTAACATCTGTCCCTGTCTCTGTAAGTAAAAGTTGTTGTAATTCCTAATTTTTTTGTTTTGTTTTGTTTTTGTTAATCCTTACCTGAGGATATTTTTTCATTGACTTTTAGAGAGAGTCAAAAGGAGGCAGTGAGGGTGAGAGAGAGAGAAAAAGAGAAAGAGAGAGACATCGATGTGAGAGAGACACATCAATTAGTTGCCTCCCACATGACCCAGACCGGGGCCAAGGATCGAGCCTGCAACCGAAGGACTTGCCCTTGATTGGAATCAAACCTGAGACCCTCCAGTCCACAGGCTGACACTCTAATCAGTGAACCAAGCCAGCCAGGGCTCCCAACTAATATTACCTTGACATTATAAAGCAGAGGTACCTCCCCGTGATCTCTTCTTAGAGTCCTACATAGTCAGGTTTCATGAATTACCTCCAATAGTATTGTATATATTTCTCCTTACCTGGTGTCTCAAACATCAGTACTCACAAGTTCTGGAGTACATACTGAGAGGCTCATTTATTTGGGCTTGCTGACAGCATCCTTTCTATATTACATTCTGGTGTTTCCAAAGTGTGCCTGACATATTTCCAATACCTCTTCTAGGCTTACCTGAGTTATGTGGATAATTATAGCCTTATTAACTATAATTTTATAATTTCTGAATCATCTCTTAACTCTAAGATTTTAAGCACTCATTTCTTTCTTTATCAAATACTATAATCTGTTACTTTAATTTGTATTATTAATTCTCAAGCTTAAATGTCTTTAACCCAAAAATGTGAAAAAATGAGGTTTTGAAAAGCAAGAATGTAATATAGAATGGATATAATTTGGGATTAAATACTGTTCACATGTTATATAATGATCTATTGAAGAACAAACTCTGCTATAAATTAAGTTCACTTAAAATTTTGACTAAAAGGTGTAAGTTTTATAAAGGTCAGAAATATTTCATTAAATGTCACACTTATTTATTAGAAAGCTTAAAGATTGGATCAGTATGACAAACTAAAATTGAAAATAGATTTCCAAAATGAAAGATTTTGTTTAAAGTAATTTCGATTTAAATTCTCACTCTTCATCACTTTAAATAGGTAGTTGAAGTACATTGAATCTCTTCATTTATAAAAGAAAAAGAAATATCTGCTACTTCAATAGCAGACAGGCATGCCAAAATGAAATTCATAATATATGATCAATGGTTTGATTCACATTCAATCTGTTGACAGTTTAATAATTCAGTTTATATTAAATGTGCCTGTATACAATCCCGATGACCTTTGTTGTTGTTGTTTTAAATATCTTCTAGCCCCTCCAGTTTTCATACAAGAACCTGCTGACGTGTCTATGGAAATTGGTTCAAATGTGACATTACCTTGCTATGTCCAGGGCTATCCAGAACCAAAGATTAAATGGCGAAGATTAGACAACATGCCGATCTTCTCAAGACCCTTTTCAGTGAGTTCCATCAGCCAACTAAGAACAGGAGCTCTCTTTATTTCAAGTAGGTTAAAGGAAATATATTTTTATACAAGTGTGTACATATAGATTTTATGCATTGGTGTTGCTGTGTGTGAAATAGTGAATTAATCTTGCCAACCCATTTGGTGTTTGTTGCATTTTACTTTAAACTAGTATTGGACTCATATTTAGGAATCATCATAAATGAATTCTGTTTTATTTAAATGCATGTCATATCACAAAGGCTTATGCAGCAACATGATTCTGTGTATCTCATTGTTTCTTATTGCAACAGTCACCTGGGCCTCCAGGTGGATAAGTGATCAGATTTTATTGACTCCTGCACCAACTATTATAGAGAAAGGTAAAATATTACCAGTAGTTAGTGAATGTTAATTAATTATTTTTGGCCAAAAAGTACATAAATATATGCATAGGGATCCGGTATCTATTGAAACTTCTTGATCAAAAGCTGTATGTATCTTGAGCAAAGATTGAAATAAAATGTCAAATACTCCAGCATCCCAAAATTTTACCTGTAAGCTACTAAGCATTCAGATATCTATAAACACATTTTAAGAATATGTGGATAGTGGCTTCAGAGGAGAAATACATTTAGATGATTAATAGGTTTTATAAAAAGTAATTGCATCTTTGGAGTATTTTGTGTCACGCCTCCAATGATTGATCTCCATGTTTCTTAATATTAAATGTACATGAGCCACTTAAACTTTCAAGTACAACTGTCTAATTACAAGTGCTTAAATGTTCAGCTCTGTACTAGGCTCTGTGGTGAGGCCACAAGTCAAATATAGGGTCCTTCACACAGGCATTTTACAATCCGCCGTCTGAGTGGACGGCCTTAGAAGTACCTACTGGGGATCCTCATTGGGTTGAGTCACATTGCACAGGTGGAGAAATGCATTTCATGAGATTGAAAAGAGAGCCCCCCCCAATTTCATAGGCAGGAGAACAACTTCTCTGCAGGTTAGGAGAGAGGAGAGAGGGAAGAGGAGGGAGGTTCACAGAGTTATACAGGGAGGGTGGTGGTGGGATGAGAAGCCCAGAGGGAAACAAATTACACCTTAACAAATCAATTAGAGGAGACGAACAAGCGGGAAGAATAAAACAGGGCAATGAGCCCTGGCCGGTTTGGCTCAGTGGTTAGAGCGTCGGCCTGTGGTCTAGAGAGACCTGGGTTCGGTTCCGGCTAAAGGCACGTGCCTCGGTTGCAGTTTGTCCCCGGCCCTGGTGGGTCGTGCGGGTGGCAGCCACTCGATGTGTCCCTTTCACATTGATGTTTCTCTCTCTCTCTTCCTCTCTCTCCCTCCCACTCTATCTGAACAAAAAATGGAAAAATGTCCTCTTGTGAGGATAAAACAAAACAAAACAGGGCAATGTACCGACCAGAGATTTCCCAGTTGTCTAAATCAAATGGAAAGAAACGAGGGATTAGAAACTTAGTTCTCAGTAGTATGATGTATTTCTGTACAAATTAGCCCAAGAGTTGATAATATAAAAAAGATCTTGCTTAGAAGCCGCGTGTAACTTATTAACCAGGTACTCTGCCGCGTTTTCCTTTGCAAATGAAGGAGTGCTGCTGTGGAAAATGAAGGAGTGCTGCTGTGGAGTGTGGACGCGGCCCGCGTTCCCCAGCTGCTGCTCTGCGGTCCGCATGCGCACGGTTCACAGAGGAGGGGATCTTGTTACTGCTCTTAATCTCAGAGGGTGTGCAACGCTTCCTAATGGGGAGCCTCATTTCTCTCCATCACAACCCTATCAGTAGATTAAGCTGTGCTTATTCTAGTCACGATACTTGCAAAGATGACAAGCATGCATTCCCCTATTTAAAATCTTCCCTCGCTGCCCCTACTGCTCATGAGACAAAACCACACTTTGTAAGACACCAGGCTGCCTCTTCAGGTTCCGTCTCCTGACTGCATCCACCTGTCCCCCAGTGGTCCTCACCCTAGCCCCCCAGCACCCTCTCTAATTAAAAATACCTGTAATATCCTTTTTATTATCCTGAAAAAGTCCATATAGTTGATCTATCTACATAATAAAAATCATTTTGATGTCCCAAATGTAGCACAAAGGAAAAGAAAAGAAAGCAATTTTATTAAAATGAGAGGTATTTTAATTACTCTGTAAATACACTGGTAACATTTCTACAGTATGTGTACATGTTCGTACATCGCCATGAGTTTGGCAGCTCAATTGTAGACTGAGCAGGAGTGTGGAGTTGAGGACTCAGAAACTCCAAGCAGGTGAAGCGATCTTTTGAAATGGTAGATAATTCTTGCTGAGGTGCTTTCTTTCTCCCGCTTACACAGAATTGGGTTGTAGGCTCATCCAGGGTGGGCAAAGTAGGTTCCCAGTTGTGAGTATGCGAAATACAGAGTTTATTCTTCTACTATTATTTATTCATTATTGTATGATTTTTCATACCACCAACTGTTAACCTACTTTTGCCACACACTGTATAATTATAAACAAAGTCATCAAATCCACGAATTTACGGTGGGACCTTCAGAAGTCTTGCTGGTCTTCCCTGGCCTTTGACCACTAAATGCCAATAGACTCCCCGATTGAGGGGCCAACTAAAGTATCTCCCCCTGCAAAGCCCCGGAATGTCCCCAGGGTGGTGGCGCAGCTTCCCATTCTTTGAACCAACCATGATTTTTCAAGTCATGCTCTTGCCTTTGCAGCCCATTGGGTTTGGACTGCCCTCCCTCTATTCCACCTCTGCTAAGGTACCACTGAAATATTACCGCCTTTGTACAACCTTTAACTCCTCCACATGCCATCGGTCACCCTCCTCTGCTCCCACAGCTCATTGTTTAAAACTCGTATTGTAGCATTTATCACACTGTGGGATGAGTATGTTTCCCTCCTTCTGTGTACATTTCCCCCCCCCCAGCATGGGAACTACCAGAAGGCAGGGGCGTATTATCCACCCACAGATCTCAGCACTGTGCCTAGCACATAGTTAATGCTCCAGAGATGGTGTTGAATGAGTAAATGATCTCTTATTTTCAGACTTATGGGCAAGTGATAAAGGAACCTATGTCTGTGAAGCTGAAAACCAGTTTGGAAAAATCCAGTCCCAGACAACAATAACAGTGACAGGACTTGGTAAGCTCAATGAACTGCTTAGACACCACACTCTTCTGAATCATCAGACTTCTTTTACTACATCGTCTCCTGCCTGTGCTACTTTGATTCTTTTTTTTCTCCAATTTTTATTAATTTATTTTTGTTACAGATGTTTCTCCTCCCCCCCAGGCTCCCTCCTCCCAAACCCATCCCCCCCTCCCCTAGCATTGTTGTCTATGTTCATATACATGCATATAAGTTCTTTAGTTCATCTCATCCACCCCCCACCCCCCGACTCTGAGGTTTGTCCGTCTGAACCATACTTCTTTCTATGTCTCTGGGTCTATTTCGTTCATCAGCCCACCTTATTCATTATATTCCACAAATAAGTGAGATCATGTGGTATTTGTCTTTCTCTGATTGGCTTTTTTCACTAGCATGATACTATCGAGATCCCCCCATGTTGTCTCGAATGATAAGCGATCTTTCTTTCTTACAGATGCATGCAACTTTTATTCTTTAGAAAACCGGTAAATATCTGATTACTAGATTAACCTTCCCTCTACCATAGTTCATATTTCAGAGGATGTTAAAACTGAAGGTAATCTTAGAGATCATCTGCTCCAAGCTCCTTATCTTTCATTTCAAAAAATGAAGGTCAATTTCATTAAATCTATTTAAATATGAACACACACGCATACACTTATTAGAGTTGTGGAATTCTTTTTTGTTTACCATTCTTGCATTTATTATTTTAGTTCACATGGAATTATTTTTGTATATGACATAAAGAAAGAACAGGGTATTATGATTTCCAAGTAGGAAGATATTTACTTCATTATCTTTTATTGAATATTCTCTTCCCACTGATTAAAATGCCCATTTGGTCACATGCTAAATTTGTATCCCTGCGCTTGTTCCTTGGAGCACCATTTATGCACAAGTCCTACATTGTTTGAATTATTATAGCATTTAGTGTGATTTTTAAATCTGTTAGTGCATGTTTCTCTTGAATACACTTCTGTAAGCTTTTCTTTATGAATCTTCCGGTATTCATCTGCATGTACTTAAATTTTCCAGGTAGAATAACTTATGGAGATTGCTTTGATTTATGTCAGATTTATTCATTGATTTCTAGAAAAGGACATCTTTACGATACTTCTTGACTATTCTATCTCAGGGAGTTTACCTCATTCTGTTTGCTTGAGCAAATGCCAGCCCTTCCCCGATCTCATCCCTTCTCCATAGGTTTTCCCCTCTCCAGTAAGTCCTATCCAAGTTTTCAGCATGGATTGCGACAGCATGGATTGACCTGGAGAGTATTGTGCTAAGTGAGATATGTCAGACAGAGAAAGAAAAATACAATATGATTTCACTTATATGTGGAATCTAATGGACAAAATAAACCAATAAAATAGAAACAGATTAGTATTTCCTGAAAATGGTTCTGATGACTCCTCTTTTGTACTTGTAAATGCTTTCAGTCTCTCTCCACCTGTCTATCAAGTACCTTGCTAATTTCTTGGCATGTCGGGCCTCCCGGGCCATAGATGTATTCTTTTTCATTTTCTCTATTTCTGTACTGTTACCTGTCCTCTTACCATTCACTTGGCTTAGAAGAGTCTTTTATCTCTGTTTTCCAATACATACCCATTTACATTTTAAAATCTTATTCTTGAAAAATAATTTTTAGCCCTGGCCAGTTTGGCTCAGCGGTTAGAGCGTCGGCTTGCGGTCCGGAGAGACCCGGGTTCGGTTCCCGCTAAGGGCACGTACTTCGGTTGCAGTTTGTCCCCGGCCCTGGTTGGTCGTGCGGGTGGCAGCCACTCGATGTGTCCCTTTCACGTCGATGTTTCTCTCTCTCTCTCCCTTCCTCTCTCTCCCTCCCACTCTATCTGTACAAAAAATGGAGAAATATCCCTGGGTGGGGATAAAAAAATAAAAATAAAAAAATAATAATTTTTAAAAATATATCATAATGAGTAGGCATGTTGACGTGTAAAAGAGTTTGCCTTCCTTTTGGGTGAGACGGAGTTGTCAGCGCCTGTGTTTTCTGACTCAGTTGCTCCACTCATCGGAATCAGCCCTGCGGTGACCAGCGTCATCGAAGGACAGCAGCTTACTCTGCCCTGTGCTCTGCTGGCCGGGAACCCCATTCCAGAACGCCGGTGGGTGAGGAACTCGGCCATGGTAAGAACACCTCAGAGTCACGCCGTCCTGATTTTCGGAGAGAGAGGCAATGGAGTCCAACCACTGAAATTTGTATTTGATAAATCTCAAGAAATATATTTTCTAAGTGCACCCAAACTTTCCTTCAGTATTAACATGTTTATGCAGTTCATATGACTTTGGAGTGAATAAGAGAGACATAGTCAGTAGTGTAATTTCTGTAATTTTGCGTTAAACCTAATATAATAAACTCTTTTCAGAATATGGACAAACTGAAACAAGTATGAAGTTATTTTCATAGCATTTAAATCTATTTATATTCTTCTTTATAAGCTGTAATGAAATGTTAATATTATAAAAATCTCCATTTTATATATTAATCTTTAGTATTAACTTCAAAAGTTATATCTTCTATTGTGAAGTGTTTTAAGACGTGGGTCTATTTTCACTATGAAACGACGTGGATGATTTCCTCAGTTCTGTGGACGTTTTCTGTAAACATGCTCCTTCTATGGCAGTACATTTTCATCTAGTTCACGGTATCTGTTCTTTCATTTTCCAGAGGGTTAGACTCTCTCTCTCTTCTTGAAGTACCAAAAAGAAGTGAGTTGAGTCCATGGACCGAGTTGTAAAATTATTCATATTTGCCCTGGCCGGTTTGGCTCAGCGGTTAGAGCGTCGGCCTGCGGTCCGGAGAGACCCGGGTTCGGTTCCCGCTAAGGGCACGTACCTCGGTTGCAGTTTGTCCCCGGCCCTGGTTGGTCGTGCGGGTGGCAGCCACTCGATGTGTCCCTTTCACGTCGATGTTTCCCTCTCTTTCTCTTCCTCTCTCTCCATCCCACTCTGTCTGTACAAAAAATGGAAAAATGTCCTCGGATGAGGATTAAAAATAAAAAAATAAATAAAATTGTTCATATTTGCAAACAAACCTGAGAAAAATTAGTACACCTCAACCAATTAAACAGCGCGCTCATAACAACAGATGATACCGTTTGAACACTACCGTCTCCTGGGACTAAACAAAACGCATAAATGGCAGTGAGAGGGGACTGTTCTGGCGACAGGAAATGCTCCAGCCCACTGTGACACGCTTCCCCTATCGCACATTGTCCTCCGATATTTTCATCTGCCACTGGAAAGGGCGGTGTGGCGAGCAGGTGGCATTCGGTCAGCTTGAAGAAGTGCCCGTTTGCCAAAACAAAAGTATCAAATGGCTTGCAAGTGATAACGGGACTTCTTGTAAACAAAACAAGAAACGACTCAGTTTCTTTCTCGTTTGCAGCCATTGCAAACTCTGACAGATGTTAGTATCATTTTTGGTGGTATTTCAGGACGACAGACAATTGATACTACCCTTGGTAACCTTTTTTTTTTTTTTTAATCCTCACCTGAGGACATTTTTTCTATTGATTTTTTAAAGAAAGAGTGGAAGGGAGGAAGTCAGGGGGGGGGGGGAGAGAGAGAGAGAGAGAGAGAGAAAGAGAGAGAGAGAAAGAGAAAGAGAAACATCAATGTGAGAGAGACACATCAATTTGTTGTCTCTTGCATGCACCCTGACCAGGGCTGGGGATCAAACCTACCACCCAGATACGTGCCCTCGACCAGAAATAGAACCTGAGATCCTCTGATCCGAGGGTCTGTGCTCTAATCAGTGAACCACACCGGCCAGGGCCCCTTGGTAACACTTTTGCTCAGCATTTTTCACTTAAGGATGCTAAAATATTTTGTTATTTTATAAGACATTGAATAACCCAGTTGAAAAAAAACAGATTCGGTTTTGGCTTAGGCCACATTGCCTTTTTAATTAAATATGACTCTTTTTTTTGTCTTTAAGCTGGTCCAAAATCCTTACATCACTGTCCGCAGTGATGGGAGTCTCCACATTGAAAGAGTTCGCCTTCAGGATGGAGGTGAATATACTTGTGTGGCCAGTAACGTAGCTGGAACCATTAACAAAACTACCACTGTGGACGTGCACGGTAAGAGACACACCCGCGGTCCTTTCCAAACCGTGTTCAAAGCTGCGTTCATATCTTTACATCAAGGAATTCCGCTCCTCTGGTTATAAGAAGTAGATGTCTTTCCTCATTGTCATGCTTAACAAAAGGCTTTATTTCTTGAACAATCTTTGCGTGGTTAAGGCTGTTTCCAGAGTGTCCTGCGTACACAGAAAGACGCTGGGATCCGCCTAGCTGAATCTGGCAAAAGGCTTTGTAAGTGGCTCCTTAATTGATGAAAGTGAAGTCAGTTCTCAAAGAATTGTGTTTAAAAATACATTTTAATTTCAGGCAAGCTGAATTTATTATATGATCCAAATTGCCTTTTCTTTTTGGATTGTGAAACAAGCATGTCCTTGCTAATGACCCCTTTGTGTGTTAGCTAGAAATGACCTAAACTTTTCTAAAGGTCACCTCACATGCTCCAAACAATCTTTCTGCATGTTGGAGAACTTAATAGTCACAAGTAAGACAATCCAGAGGCTATCTTTTTCCATTTGTGACTAACAGTTGCCAACTTTTTATATCTTGATAAATAAGTGACAGCTTCATAGTTTAAGGTATTGTCATAATTTTTTTGTATATGCCCTTTAAAGACTTCACAACACTGCCTTTTTAAAAGTGCGGTATTACAAGATAGTTCTGTGTACAGAGATGAAAGTAACACAGAACATTTATTTTTAGTAGATAATTCAGTCTTTCTTCAGGACATGAATTGGAGAATCCAGTAATTTCCTAATTTTGCTTGGTCTTTTGAAATTTTCCGGCAGTGCAAACAATCTTCTTTTACAATGATCATATTATTTAAAAAATGTATTTAATCACAGTTGACATTCCATATTATATTAATTTCAGGTATACAGGATATTGGTTAGGCATTTATAGACCATCTTTTTTTTTTCACTCCTCACCCAAGGCTATTTTTCCATTGATTTTCAGATATAGTAGGAGGAAGGGAAGGAAGGAGAGAGAGAGAGAGAAACATTGATGTGAGAAAGACACATCGATTAGTTGCCTCTTGTACAACCCTAACCAGGGCTGGGAATCGAACTGCAACCAAGGTATGTTCCCTTGACCAGGATTGAACCCACAACTGGTCCACAGGCCAATGCTCTAACCACTAAGCACACTGGCTAGGGCTATAGACCATCTGTTTAAAAATATCCATTTCTCATTGTAAAAAGCCTCTTCCACCTCTCTCTATCTTATACCAATTTCCACCAATATCCTGTGAGATATTCTTGAAGAAATATTATTTTGAAGAAATACTAATGCAACACTAAATTAGTTATGGTCTAAATAAACTACATATATATATTTACATGTATATACATATATATATACATATATGTATATATATATATGAGAGAGAGAGAGAGAATTGGTATAGTTGTTGTTGAGCTATTTTGACAGATCAGTTCATAGATTTCTTGGAGAGTGCTTTAGACTGGTTTGAGAATCCAGTGTGGAAGTACCATCATGTCATCTCCCTTTGGCTTCTGTCACCTGCGTGGAATATGGTGTTGAAAAGCATTCCAAGGCACATTTGCACTTGGGTGAAAGAGTGACACAATTAGTTGTGATGTCTGTCCCACCAGAGGAGTGGGGGGAAGACAGGTAAACCAACGATGTAGTTTATCGTGATGCGATACATTTTAACAGTGAAAAGTTACAAAGGTCATTTTGACCATCATTTCATCCATATTAGTCCAAAATGAGTAACTGATTTAGTCAATAAGGTGAAAGAAACATCAGCCCAGCCATTTGACGTGAACTGAACCAAGCATCAACTGACCCCAGGTTTGTCTTTGAGGTGAAATCGATGGCAGCATCCCAGGTTCTGTGTGTTCAGAAACGTTGCTACTCTTTCATCACTGAAGAACACTCAAGGCTCTCAACCAGTTCTTAAAAGGATGAATTGATGAATGCAAATATCAATGCACATTAGAATGACACATAAACAATTTACTTGTCATGTTAATTTACATAGATTAACAATCTGGAAAACAACAGCTCTACCAGACTCAGATGACATCAGATTTGAAGACTGTTGCCTAAATTTGCTACTTTCCTTCATAGCTGTCAAACTCAATATGAATTTAAGGACATGACTTATTCCATGTTGCCGCAAAATGACAGCAGAGTTGAAAGTTAACTAGTCTATGGTGATTCTGGAAATTGCATTTCTTGCTTTAGAAAGTAGCCTGACATTCTCGTTCAGGGCCGGGCTTCGCTGCCAGTTCTTTAGGAATAAATTATCTAAAGAATAAACCCAGCCCTAGGAAAATATGAGTATGTAGCAAAGCTAATCTAAGCCTTTCAGGAAAGTGTTTGCACTGAGGTCTCTGGTATCTCTTGTTCTGATAAACTTCTACTCCGGGGTAGCTGTAATAATTCTGGAGAAATTTGATTTAAAAGCAAGAGATGCAGTGAGGGTTTGAGCTCTAGTCTAGTCAAATCTTTCCAGGGGAAGGAAAGGAAATGCCTGGTGTTACTGGGTTTTTATTGGGTTTCTTGCACTATGTTAGGAATGTTCATGTACGGAAGCTTCTTTAATCAAATTCATTATTTTGAGAACATTGAAATTGATCATGTTTCTGTGCAAGTTGGTTATATTAACTGAGATATACACAGACTGGAATGATGAACATTCTTCCGTTTGCTTTCACTCACATAATGACAATTGTTCAGTTGCTTTCTAAGGTCAAAGGAGATGTTATTCTTAAAAATATTGACTTAGAAGCCTTTATTGTAGTCTTTTAAGTGTGAACTCCTAAGGCCTTTCAAGTTTTACTGTTGAATTCCTTTCAAGAAAATAAATCCTTTTTTCCAGGTTAAATTTAGTAGCTCACTAAGTGATTCTTATGTACAGATGGATATTTAATGTGTAGTGTTTAAACAGCCCATTTCTCTGGAGTGGACTTATGTCAGCTCATTACAGCTTAATGGGTAGTAGACAGTGATGAAAGATAGATGTTCAATGTGTAATGCTCAGGATATAATTTTATCTTGAGTTTCCAGGGAAGAATTGGTTTCCTTCAGTTCTCTTTCATATTTGTTAGAAAAGTCAACTTATTACACACAATTTATTTCTTGCTTTAAAACTTTTATTAAATTCTTCATAACCATTATATTTGCTTTGTTTACTACACTCCCTGGCACAGCGCATTTTTATCAGAAAATGACGAGTCTTCCTAAAAATATTCAGTTTTAAAGGTACAGGATTACATGGCAGGACAGATGCCCAGATTCTGAATATCGCTTCCTTTTCCAGTTCTGCCAACCATTCAGCACGGGCAGCAGGTACTCAGCACAATCGAAGGCATCCCAGTAACTTTACCCTGCAAAGCCAGTGGGATTCCCAAACCATCTATCACCTGGTCCAAGGTAAATGGCACATCAAGTGATGTGTGTTAATGTTACATGTTCTAACAATATTTAAATACAGTTGGCCGTACATGGAACTTGCGACTATATCATATAAGCTTATAAAATAGGAAAATCCATGCAGTTATACCACTTGGAAGGAACCTTCAACTGTCCTTATTGCAGTCACCTACCTGATGTTTGAATGATATTCACCACACAACAGGGAACACGGATAAGGTTCTGCACGCCCTGGAGCCTTCTAAGCACGTTCCCTGCGGTAGTGGTAGCAGGCGCTTCCCACCCCTGGCCACACCTAAAGCCCTTCTGATTTCAGCGCCTCTCTGTGGACAGCTCCTTGCCCTCTGCTAGGGTCGTGCTTCCTACAGGTGCCGCTCTGGTGTTTGATCTCAGGGCTTTGCCCAAAGCCCACGGGCCACTCAGCCTGCTAAGAGGTGTCCAGGAAGTGCAGGGACAATACCTCCTGTCGGGGGCAGGTGTCTTACATAAAGACCTCGCTTCTCAGTCCTCAGAAGAGTCCTTCTGCGTGCTTCTTCACAGTTTCTCGGAGGGTCCCCAGCACATTGAAACTTATTAGCCCAGCCACCAAGGAAACCAGGGCAGCGAAGCCCTTTATCAGTTCTCCTTCCTTCTGTGCCTCTAGGGATGACATCCCAAGTAACCTTGCTGCTCCCCAACTCTGTCCCCAACTCTGCTCTTCTGGGAAGCCAAAATATGACACATGCAAGAACCCATGTATTCCCCTCTGTATCCCTGTCATGAAGTTGTGTGGCTTTTACTTGTGTTCCTGCAAGGAAGAAAAACCCATTTCCTGAACATCTTGGAGCAGCCATGAAGATGGCAGATTTTCTGTCAATTAATTTAAATCTGGCAGATATAAAGTCATATCGAATCATGGCATAATAATGAAATGGGGCGTTTGTATACTTACTGCTACACCAAAGTATTCTTTTTGTTTTGTTTTTATGTTTTTTTGTGTTTTTTTTTCCAAATCTTTATTGTTGGATGTAAAATGTATTACAGATGTTCCACATTTTTCCCCCATTGACCCCCTCCTCCCCACTCCCTCCCCCCTCCCTCCTTTTCCCACACTATTTACACCAAAGTATTCTGTCATACCATCTAAAGTTATGCATCTTTAAAAAAGTTCTGAAATATAGAGAAGTTGGTGTTGGCCTCAGTTAAAAAAAAAAAAAAAGTTAAGATTTCTGCATCTGGACACAGTGTACAACTGTGGAGCCGATCCCCACAGAGTCTGGTACCAAGGAGAAGTTTAGGGCATTTCAGGAAAAATATAAAGATGAAATCTTTCCAGACTGACCTTTGTGCTATGATCAAGCCCAGAGGCTCAGAGTTTGGGTTCCAGACTGCTGGGATTCCATGCCGTCATTGACCAACCATGACTCCACACTGCCCCCTGTCTGTAGAATGGGGTTGTGGTAGTTCCTACTCAGCTTGTGAGCATGAAAATAATGAATTTATGAGAAGTGCCTCCCAACAGCGCCTGGCTTCGCATGCACCCCATCCACCACTGTCAGCATCATCCCCCCATGTTTCAGTAGCTCCAGCAGGAAGCGGGCAGAGTTTGCTAAGAAGAACTATCACCTTTGTTTTATTAGTCTAACCTTTCTAACAAATCACTTTGCTCCCCATCAGCGTGTTTTCTTTTTTAATCTGGTATTTTCCCCCTTGGAGATTTTTTTTTCTTTCTTCCTCTTCCAGACGTTAAGTCACTCTTGAGTATCTTAAAAAAGACTTTGCTCTTGGGGTGCTTTGCAGAAAGGCGAGCTGATCTCTACCAGCAACGCGAAGTTTTCCGCGGGCGCAGACGGGAGTCTGTACGTGGTGTCCCCCGGGGGCGAGGAGAGCGGGGAGTACGTGTGCACCGCCACCAACGCCGCCGGCTACGCCAAGAGGAAGGTGCAGCTGACCGTCTACGGTGAGGGCGCGCGTCCCTGGGGCTCCCCAAGGCCTGTTACCAGAAGGCGACTCCCCCGAAGCGAAGCGTTCCCCCGGGTTTACATTTTTTACTGCCAACCAACATCTCCTCTATGCAGATTCTGATTTAAAGGGAGAGGAATTGTGCAGCCTTTTGGAAAAATCGTGTAGTTTTGCCCCAAAGAGGGTGCTCATTGCACCCAAGCGTCGTCAGAAACACCTGCGCGTTAAACTCCCAGCGGAGCCGAACTTGAGCTGTGACTTGGGTGGCGTGTGACACATGGCAGACTCTGAAATGGCATTTCAGCTGGCCTCTTCCTGGTGTCAGGAGGAAGAGCTGAGAAGGGCAGCTTTCTAGTCCTTTCCCTTTGAGCGCTGACAATCCATGTCTTTATGGAAAGTTCTAGGTGTGCCCCCAACCTTGGAATAAATGGCACTGTTTTATAAATTATTTAAGGGTATTTGTAGTCCACATTTGATGGTCAATTAAATGTTTTCAATGTACTATTTCCCTTCCAAAACATTCGTTTATTTTAGTAAGGCCCAGGGTGTTTGGCGATCAAAGAGGGCTGTCCCAGGACAAGCCTGTGGAGATCTCGGTCCTTGCCGGGGAAGAGGCGACCCTGCCCTGTGAAGTGAGGAGCTCGCCCCCGCCCATAATCACCTGGGCCCGAGAAAGCCAGCTCATCTCGCCCTTCTCGCCGAGGTAGGAGCCTGGGGTAGCTACAAACCATGGAAACGGTGTCTCAGGGCAGAGGGTGGTGCCTGTTCCCCTTTTCAGCTGTTTCAAAATGGAACTCACGTTTGAGCCTATAGAAAATACACATGCCTTTGAACTCATTCTTTCGTATCAGAAACACTAACACTCAGCTTTGCCATAGTTTCCCATGGGTGCATCTTACAAGGTGGTTATTAAAATGTAGTCTAGCTGCACAGAGGTTCACATTAGCACCAAGTGCATATTACACACAGATTCTGTTCATCCCACACTCCAGTGTCTAGGATTGGACATTCACTACATGGTTTTGTAAAAATCTTTTATCTTACAGATAAAAGTCAACTGAGACAGTATATTTGATAGCTCAGTGGCATGGAAAGCAAAATACCAGAGTCTCGCCCTGGCCGGTTTGGCTCAGTGGTTGGAGCGTTGGCCTGCGGTCCGGAGAGACCCGGGTTCGGTTCCCGTTAAGGGCATGTACCTCGGTTGCAGTTTGTCCCCGGCCCTGGTTGGGTCGTGCCGGTGGCAACCACTTGATGTGTCCCTTTCACGTCAATGTTTCTCTCTCTCCCTTTCTCTCTCTCCCACTCTATCTGAACAAAAAATGGAAAAATGTCCTCAGGTGAGGATAAAAAAATAAATAAATACCAGAGTCTTTAAGAGCACACCCTTTATTGCCATGCAGGTGTGGCCTCAGAGGGACTGCCCCCCCTTTCCGCTTGCCTGTGACTTTGGCAGTTTTTCCAGTGGACCTCTCTGAACCTCAGATTTCTTGTTTATAAAGTGGGGATACTGTTTACCTGAAGGATTATATAAGATAATGTACATCCCACCCCCTTTGGTTCTAGCTCTCAAGAAATGATAGCAATTACTGTTTTAACTCGATGTCACGCAAAGGTTACTGGTGGAGTGAGAGCTATAGTTTCTAGCCATTGTCTGTTAGACTTGTTGATGCACAGTGATGAAGCTGCAAATTCACGCTACTGTAGTTTCACTTCCACTGGTGAGGAAAGAATGGACAAGAAGAGCTTTGCATAATTTTACTGTTTCTTTGAAAAAATCTTTGCCTTGGGTATTTTTGAATGAAAAGGAATACCATATTATAGAAAAAGTTGAGGTTTCGTTGTTTCCCTCCCCAATCTCTTCTTTTCCTTCCCAGGACAAACACTGCCACAAACTTGGTGTGCATCCTGTACATGTGTAGTAAAAATAACATCGATTATTGTTTTCTGTGTTTTAAGAAAATAGTTTTTTAGAGAGGGAGGAAGGGAGAAACAGAGAGAGGGAGAGAGAAAGAGAGAAACACTGATCGGTTGCCACCCTCACACGCCCAACCAGGGACCAAACCTGCAACCTGGGTATTTGTCCTGCCAGGAATCCAACCCCTACCTTCCGGTGTTCGGGACGACTCTCCATTCTCCAACAACTAAGCCACACTGGCCAGAGCCTGAGTTTTAAATTTTGTTTTCAGTGTGTTCAGTTTGTAATTGTAACATATTATATATTATTATTTCATTGTTTTCTATAGTAAGTAAACATTTACATATATATATTAGTTTATTTGTTTTAATTACCATATACATATTCTACATTTTATATATATGTGTGTGTATATATATATATGTATAGACATTCTTGTGTGTTTTCTATTTCTTTCCTTCTTCTTCTTTTTTTTTTGGTTTTACAAACAAACCTTTTCAGTGATTTTCTTTTTATTTGTTGCTCTGTATACACAGGCATGAGTTTCTTTAAGACATGTACCTAGAACTAGAATTTCTGGTCAGAAGGAATCTCTGTTTTCGGTTTCGTAGACATTGCTGAATTGTTCTCCAAAGGGGCAGTCCAGTCCAGTTCTCCCACCAGTAGGATCTAGATGTACCTGTTTCCACATTATAATCAACGCATGGTGTTGACCGACTGACACATTTTTGCTGGTCAGATGGGTGTGAGGTGACACCTTGCATCTGTCTTAGTTTTCATGGAACGGACTTTCATGAGCCCAGAATGCTTTCGTGTGTGTGTTGGCCGTGTGTGTTATCTGAGAATTGCCTCTTTAAACATGCTGCACAGTTCTCTGGTGACTTGTGTTTCTCTGGTTGAATGTGGAAATTTGATCTTTGTTCTTAATAACATTCTTTTGTTTATTCTCTGTGTGAAAATGATCTTCTCTCAGTCCACTGGGAGGCTTTTAAGTTTATTTATGTGTGGTGTCTGGTTGTACAGAATTTTAAATTTTTATGTAGTTCAGTATATTAATCTATTGTTGTTGGGATTTGTACTTTATGGAGATCATAAACCTGGCCTCCAGTGTTTTATTCCAATATTTTAAGTTTTGCTTTTCACAGTTTGGACTTTGATTCATATGGATTTTTATGTTGTGTATTACACTGGACAGTGCTGTAATTTTATTTATGTATTTTCCCATGTGGGGAGCCAGTTACCCAACATCGTTTTTGAATAGTCAGTTATTTCCTTGCTTTTTGTAATATCATCTCTGATATTACATGTTACTTGTTGAGTTCTCATTTTTGCTTAATACTTTTGTGGGGGGATATTTTCTCTTTCCTATTTATCCATGTGTCTGTCTCTGGACCAATAGCACACTTTATTTTTCTTACTTTCTAAGAAATCTTGATATTAAGTAGGTCTATTTGGCCTCCCTCCCCCTTAAAGCTATTTTAATACAATTAATATAATACAATTTTTATATGTAAGTCTGTTTCATCCAACTACACCATGGTTCTAGGAGGAATATATTCAATATATATTTGAGAATTGCACATGTAACTTCTTTTTTAAAAAAAATATTTTTATTGATTTTTAGACCAAGAGGAAGGAAGAGGGAGAGAGAGATAGAAACATTGATGAGAGAGAACATCAATTGGCTGCCTCCTGCATTCCCCCTGCTGGGGATCGAGCCTGAAACCCGGACATGTGCCCTGACCCGGCAGTGAACCTGTGACATCTTGGTGCGTGGGTTGACCTTCAACCACTGAGCCACACCAGTCTGGCCACGTGTACCTTCTTTTGCTTTTATTTTAACACGCTACATTTTTAAATAAAACTTTGTAGAAAAACGATAAAGTATTCAAAAGTTACTAAAATATACATTTGCTTTGTATACCTGCAACTTGATAAACCAGATGTACAGTTGTTTGATGATTTCAGACCGTGAGGTTTAAAGGAGAAAGGAAACTGACTTTGTGTTTGCAAGAACATCATACAGAAAGCACGAGATAATTATGAAATTAAGCTGGTCTTTAAGGTGTCCGAGAAGACATTAGAGATGGGGAAACAGTTTCCAAGCCTGCTAACAGAGTAGCAATTCCCCACTGTGTAGGGGATATTGAAATTCTCATGTTCCGTAGTTGACTTCACGGTTTCTTTCTTTCAGACACACATTCCTCCCTTCTGGTTCAATGAAGATCACCGAGGCCCGTGTTTCAGACAGCGGGATGTATCTCTGCGTTGCCACAAACATCGCCGGGAACGTGACTCAGTCTGTTAAGTTAAGTGTTCATGGTGAGTTTTGAAGTGAAGACATAGATATCCGTGTACTAGCCTCGGGGAAATCTGTCTTCCCAGTTTCTTTGATAGTTAACCTCCAAATTGTATATGGAGTCATTAGAGAAACATTTTCTAACATCTGAGATGTGATTTTCTTTCACTGACTCTGCAGAGTTTATCTGCCATCTGTAAACAACTCTCCCCCTTGCCTGCAAATGACCAGTATTAAAGATCTGGAGCTCACTTTTACTAGATGTCGCAGTGACCTTTGACCATTGTTGATACAGGGTAATAAAACTTTGTTTAGACTGGTGGCCTTTTGTGGAAGTAAATGTAAGTTTCAGGGAAGAATTTAATAGTAGTTAATTGGTCATTTTTACTATTCAAAGAGCTCAGCAACTGGAAACATTCTGTTTCCTAGGATTTTTTGTTTTTACTACTTTAAGCCTCTCTAATTCGTCTGCCTTATTCCCTCAATTTATCATAGTCTGTTCAGTTATTCATTCAATCAACACATACTTAGCGAACACATACTCTAAGCCAGGCCTTGTGTGAGTGCTGGGCATTCAAATAGAAGAAGTTGTCTCAAACAGTATTGACCTGATTTCATTCTCAGATTAATCACTTCAGTAGTATCCCTTGGTCATGGGATTTGAAGTCCAATGAGAGTTCTCCGTTTACGAGTCCTAGGGCACTAGGCATATTGCCTAAGCTCTCGTATCTTTAGTTTTCTCTTTCATGAAATAACAACAGTAATACTATCAAACTTATAAGGTTGTTGTTAGTGACCACCTGTAGAAAATATTGGTTAAATATTAAGTTTGAAAGAAAGGACAGACGAATGGGGTTTTTTCAGGGGCGGAAGGTATACAAATCCTAATTATATCCTTGTGAGTCACTTTGATTTGATAGCACACAATGAAAGTATGCAGAATCCAACAATACATGCCAGTGTTTTGATCAATGATCTCATTTATTTTTTTTTTTTTTTATTTTTTTTTTTTTTATCCTCACCCGAGGATATTTTTCCATTTTTTGTACAGATAGAGTGGGAGGGAGAAGAGAGGAAGGGGGAGAGAGAGAGAAACATCGATGTGAAGGGACACATCGAGTGGCTGCCACCCGCACGACCAACCAGGGCCGGGGACAAACTGCAACCGAAGTACGTGCCCTTAGCGGGAACCGAACCCGGGTCTCTCCAGACCGCAGGCCGACGCTCTAACCGCTGAGCCAAACTGGCCAGGGCTCAATGATCTCATTTAAATCTCTACAAGAGGGTAGCGAAAGAGCAATAATAGAGACTTTATCTTGATTTTCTTCTCTGAAATTAGCAGAGGCTTTTCTGAGAACCTTTTCTTACTTGCTGGCTAACGTTTCCACAAAGAGAACAAAAACAAAGAATATGTGGAGAGAAATGCTTTTTTGTTTTAGTCTCTTATATCATAGAAATTGTCTGGATTGTCTTTCCACAGGGTTTTAAACCTTAAGTTATTTACAAGTTAAAGAAAACCTAACAGTTTTAAATGCTTGCTCCTCCTCAAGTGTAGAAGGAGGCATTTTGCATTTAATACGTCCCACAGTCCTTGCAGTGGGCTGGTGTGAAGAGGTCATTTTGCCTGGGTGTCAAAGAGGCCTCATGAAACTGGCAAACTTGCCCTATAGCCGAGTTAGTAAGTGGCCTGAGCCTGGGTCCAAATCCTGAGCTTATTCCCCTTTTCCTGCTGCCTCTTGCTAAGGGGCTTTCATTCAAAGTGAGAAGAGGAAGAACATTTTCATTTTTATTTTTAAATTGTGTTATTAATACTCGATTGTTGTTTCCAGTTCCTCCAAAGATACAGCGTGGCCCTAAAGTGATGAAAGTTCAAGTGGATCAAAGAGTGGACATCCCATGCAGCGCCCAAGGGACGCCGCTCCCTGTGATCACCTGGTTTAAAGGTGGAAGCGCCGTGCTGGTTGATGGGGTCCAGCATGTCAGCCAGCCAGGCGGGACGTTAAGCATCAACCAAGCCATGCTCTCAGACGCCGGCGTCTACACATGCGTCGCTGCCAACATAGCAGGCAGGGATGAGACAGAGATAACACTCCATGTCCAAGGTGATCTGGCCATAGGGAGATATGTGTCTGGTGGGGAGGGACTGGGGGAGAACCCCTGGAGTCTCTATACAAAATATATAGTCTCGGTTCGCTTTTAGAAAACCTCTGTGTAACTTTTATGACCTAACTTTGAAAAAAACATTCCAGAAAGGAATGAAATCATGCCATGACTGAACCTGCCCCCATTTTGGTATGTTTACCTTTGAACGTGAAATTGCCATGAACAATGTGGATGATGGGATCGCTCCTGGCTCCCTGCCCTGCCCAGCATCTTGGGTTTAGGAGAAACGGTGGGCAGAGTGAGCTGGAGGAGGGTTCCCCTCGTAGTGGTAGGGGGCGCTCAGTACTGATCCCTAGAATTCCAGTTCCACCGTTCCCCGTGATGGTGTTGACATTGTTTAGAGGGATTACAGATCAGTAATGATTCCTTCAAGCTACAAATATTTATCATGCGCCTACCAGGTGTCTGTCCTGTTTTGGGGGGGTGAGGAGAAAGTACTGACAGAGTCAGAGCCCCGGCGTTTGGCAGCTGTTCTGTGACAGGCAGAGAGCAGGCAAACACACACGCACAGATACAGATCGTGAGACATGCTGGGTGGAAAATTAAAAACGGGTAATGCGACCAGCAGTTGGCTACCTTAGATTGGGTCATCGGGCAGGGCTCCTGTGAGGGGCTGAGATTTAGGGTGAGATCTTGTTGACTCTAAGGAACCACACGTGGGAATCGTGGGAAGAACATTCCTGGCCCGGGAGAGTTGCCAGTGCGAAGGCAGGTGGGCGTCGTACTTAGCGCGGCACTTAGTCCTTGTCCCTGGCACATTGCAGCTGTATTTGGACGGGTGGCTGGGACGTCGTTGGAGAGATTCTCCAGTCCATTCATCCACTCAGCAAAGTTTGAGTGCTTGTGTTTATGGTCTGATGAGAGAGCTGGATAGTACAAAATAATCTCCTACTTACAAACTGGCTATTGCCATCGGAAAATGGTAGAAATATCTGTATGCATTTTTAACAGAAAGCTAAATCAAAGAATCCTTCTTTAGGGTGGCGCATGCCAGCTTAGATTTGAAGAATGGATCGAAGCATGTTGGGGGACAGGCAGAGTGCAGTGGGGTTGGGGGGAGAACCTTCCAGGTGAAGAGTGTTGATTGGGAAGGGAGGCAGTGTGATATTTTGGAAGCTCTGGGGTAAATAAATAACTGAGTCAGCAAGAGCCAGATGGCTGTGTGCCAGACTGGATGCTGAGTAACATGTCCTAAAGCTGGACACATAATCAGGAGCCAGATTGTCCCAGAGCTAGGAACCCAGGCTAAGGGATTGAGAGTTTATTTTAAACGTAATGAAAAGACTTGGAGGCCTTCTTATGGGGGAAGTTTTGTGTCAGGTTTAGATTTTTAAAAGACCCCTCTTTGGGGAGAGAGTGGTTTCGCTACAGAAGGTGAGAGGAAACATCTGGAGACTGGCCGTCATTCGGTCACAAGATGATGGCGCTTGGATGGGGAGAAAGAATGGAATGGACTCAAAAACTGATTAGGAGAGGAAGTCATCAGGAAACAGTGACAGCTTACATGTGGGGAGTGAAGGACATGAGTGACTCGCAGTTTTATTCATGAAATGGGCGGGTTGTGAGGCCGGGAGAGACTTTGGATGCACTCAGCATGCCCTGAAGAAAGGACAGGTGTGAAGCTTTAGCCTACAGACAAGAGGAATCTAAGGGGATCCTGTAATCGGGTGAGCCAGGCGATGAGACTGTGGCTCAGAGGGACTATTCTGAGGGCTCTGGAGTATGAATCCAAATGGGCACGTGTCTGAGGAAAGGACCCCAATAAGAAGCCTATTGAAATAGTCCGTAAGGGTTTGAAATAATTAGTAACACTCAGGATAGCGGGGAAGATACAGATATGAACATGTGTGGCATTATGTGACAGATTGGATGTGGAGGTCAGGGGTCAGGGAGTAAGACATAAACACTGGATGGAGCCTTCCCTGAAGGAATACAGGAACAAGGACAGGGTTGCAGAAAGCATTAAAAGATGAATTGAGGGGCGGGGACTCGGTAGACATTTGGAGTTTTAGATCCCTGGGCCACATCTAGGTAAAAATGTCTGGCAGTTAGAAATAGGCATTGTATTGCAAAGAAGAATCAGGAAAGATATCAACTCACCAATGGGGATGGCGGATGACACTTCAGGAGAGTTTGGTGTTGCCCAAGGGAAGCCTGTTATCACGTGTGTGTTTTTGTAACAGAACCACCGACGCTGGAAGATCTAGAGCCGCCGTATGACACCCCGTTCCAGGAGAGAGTGGCCAATCAGCGCGTTGCATTCCCGTGTCCTGCAAAAGGTGTGTACTCCACGGGCATGTGGGCACTGGTGGCATGTGCTGTCCGGAGCCCCACGTGGAGCCCCACACAGCAGTCTGTAAAATTCCACTTGTGAGTCTTTGTTTTAACATTTGGGCCCAATAGAAACGAGTCCTTCTTTCAAAGAACAGCTCTTTGGAGGAGTGCCTCTCAGGTATTTTATTTCCTCCCATGAGAAGACCTTCCAGTCCTTCAGACTTGCCTCCCCCAGTGCGTCTTCCATAAAGTTCATGCTCTTCCCCGTTACTTCTCAGTTCCTTCAACCTTGGCGAGACTTTTGTTCTGACTACTTCTCTCCCCAAACTCCTCTTCTCTGGATTTGCCTCCTACTGGTCGTTCCCCAGCCAGGCTGTGACTTGGCCCTGAGAGACGTGTTCCAGCCCCCCTCTCCCGGGATCTCTGGGGTTTCGATCTACCATGTCCTGGCCGGAGACTGCAAGGTCTCTCCTGGGGACGTGAGGGAGGCGCGCTCTCGCCTTACCCTGGGTGCCCTCTTTCACCTGCACGTTCATCTGCACTGACCCCGGGGGTTCGAAGCATCCTGGCAACGTCCATGCAGAGCAGTCGTCTTTGCAGAACCTCCTGGAGGGCCTCCCGTGCTCTGGGACCAGTGGGGCCCGACGTGTGCCTCTGAGCAGCTGTCCTGGGGCAGCCGCCTGGGCAGGGCCTCATGTCTGCCTCGTTCTGGGCAGATTTAGCTCCTCTCAACAGTAGCTCTCACCAATGATGATTTCCACCAGCGTGAGAAGATAACTTTACAATGAACAAAGTAAGCTGGTGAACAAAATAGACCCAGAGACATGGAAGTAGGGAACAGACTGACAAACCTCAGAGGGAAGTGGGGAGGAGGGGCAGGAAGAGATAAACCAAAGAACTTATATGCATAGATGCACAACCAGTGGACACAGACAACTGTGTAGGGAAGGGTTGGGGGGGTCGTCGATGGGCGGGGGAAGAGGGACGTCTGTACTACTTTCAACAATAAAGATACATTTAACAAAAGAAAAGGTAACTTTAACAAGCTTTTTAGATATCAAAAGTGTGATCAGTGAATACTCCCAGAGCCAGTGGGAGGGGGGAAGGGGAGAGGCAAGGCCTGGAGAGGAACCTGTAGGAGGGTTTGGGTTCAGGTGAGCACTGTTCACACCTGCTGGGCCGTGGTCACTGCTCCGTGCTCTCCGCTTGATCCCTGACTCCCGAGCTGGCCTGGGCTCTCCTTTTCCACTTTGAAAACCCACCTTGTCCCTGTTCCCCATTTCACCTGGGATATAAGTGGTACATGTGCGACTTTCTTTAAACTAGCTAGGTGTCTTTTTGTTGTCTGCTGCAATGCATTTCATTTTGTCCGTGGTGGTTCTACCATTTATAAACGAAAGATGATGCAACGTATTTCTTTGCTTGTGAATGTACTTTTTCATTTCTTAACTCAACAAATACTCATTGAGACGTCTGGTTAAAATCCATGAAGGAATGAGTGGGATGGAAAGAAATGAGGGAATGATGATATCGCTTCTTCCCTTTACATCACAGACAACTGCAACCCATCTGTTTTACTTTCTTTTCCTCATCAGTCATTGTTTTATTATCAGCACCATAAAACGTGGGGTTTTTTTGTTTTATTTTTCTCATAAATATAACTTTCATAGTCACTTTTATAATGCCTTAACTCAATTTGAGTTTAACCTTAATGACACGTTATATATATTTCCTGCCGTTCTTTTGGACTTGTCTTTGATTATATGACCATTCTTTAATATTTTCATTGTGTTTAATATAGGATTATTAACACTGTGTTATGTAATCATTAATTTTATTAAATGTGCTTTCTGCCTTTATAGGGATTAAGTAAATTTTGAAGTACTTAAACAATAATGCCTGGCACATTGCTTGCTAAGTAAACATACTCCTAGCACAGTACAAAGTTAATGTTTATTTCCAGGATGTCCTTTGGCTGGCTCTATTATGCCCATTAAGATGGTTTCATCACTTTCACTCACAAGCTCATCACACTGCTTACTGCTTTCTCAACTCTCTTTTCAGAAAAAAAGTCAAGATTTATTCTATTTTCCTAGGTTTAATAATATGAGATCTGCAGAAGATGAGTGGATAGCAGAAGTTTCTCATCTCCTCTCTACTAGGCCAACTGAAACTATGAATTATAAAGCGTCATTTCATTACATCACTGATCTCTCTATTTGGCTGGGCAGTCTTCATGTTTATGCCTGTGACAGTATCACATTTTCGCTCTTCCTTGATTTTCATCCCCAAACTCCGCATATAGCTAGCCTGTTGGGTTAAGTTTTTCTCATGAAGCACCATGAACTCATGTAAGAAAATGCTTACTATCATCTGAATGTCTGGATAAAAATAACTTGGATCAAACTCTGCACTAGAGATCATAGGTCTCTTAAGACTAATCAGGAATTAGAGGTGTTAAACACTATAGTCTCTTCAGAATTTCATGCCAGCAGAAATATCTTGAAAATAACGTAGTACATTATGGTACAAGTTATAGTTATAATAAAAGTTTTATTTCTCCTTGGTATACTTGATATTTAATAGTGATTTCTAATTTTGCTGTAAAATATCACAAGGCTTTCATTCCTGTTTTAGGTACCCCCAAACCAACCATCAAATGGTTACGGAATGGGAGAGAGCTGACCGGCAGACAGCCCGGGATTTCTGTCTTGGAAGATGGCACGTTGTTGGTCATTGCTTCTGTCACACCGTATGACAACGGGGAGTACATCTGTGTGGCAGTCAATGAAGCTGGGACCACAGAAAAAAAATATAACCTCAAAGTCCATGGTAAATACAGATAAAAATGCTAAAATCACACAATTAAATATGTGATATTTTTAAATTATATGTTATTCTCTTAGTGTAGTAGTATTTAATATTAATGTGAATAGAAAGAAGTGTTATCGAACAAAACTGGTGTTCTGATTGCATCTATTGATTGCTTGATTTGATTATAATTTCATAAAAAGATTTTTTTATTGATTTTTGGAAGAAGGTGGGGAGAGAAACATCAGTGGGAGAGCAAACACCAATCAGCTGCCTCCTGCACGCCCCTACTGGGGATCAAGCCCAGAACCCAGGCATGTGCCCTGAACGGGAATCAAACCCAAAAACTTTTGGTGCAAGGTGTGAAACCCAACCAACTGAGCCACACCAGCCAGAGCTTCATGTAATTTTTTATTGTGACTTTATTATTTTTCAATTGAGTTTATTGGGGTGACATTGGTTAATAAAATCGTATAGATTTCAGGTGTACGATTCTGTAATACATCATCTGTGTATCGTATTGCGTGTTCACCACCGCAAGTCAGGTCTCCTTCCATCACCATTTATCCCCCTTTACCCTCTTCTACCTCCCCCACCCCCTTCCCTCTGGTAATCACCATGCTGTTATCTGTGTCTATAAGTTGCTTTTATTTTGCTTAATCCCTTTACCTATATCATTCTAAATTCAAATGGTGGAAAACTCAAAAGTTCCATGACCCTGAGCTGAGCACCTGTTAATCCTCCCTAGGACCAAAGAAAGTTATTAGCTTTATATGTGCTTGTGTGCGTGTATCTTTCCAGAGATATTTATACATAGGCAAATAAACGTGAATATACATTTTATCTTCATTTTATATCCATTATCTCCATCTTGTCCGTATCACTAAAAAATCTATTTTGGGGATTATTCGATATTGCTAACCCTTGTCTATACCTACAGAGTAACCCACTTTATGGTTGTGCCATTATTTGCTTAACTCTCCTCTATTAATAATAATGATAAACATTGAAGTTATTACCAGTTTTTTGCTGTCATAAGTAACACTTCAAGAAAATCTTGTACTTTTGTCATTTTGTCAAAGCTGGGTACCTTTTTAAATGTGGTTGCTATTGGCTTCCATAGACCCAGGGCAATATTCACTTCTGTCAGAAATAGTGAGGCCCATGTGACTTAGAAAAGACCTTATAATTGGTATTTTAAGTGATACGTAGAATAAGTAGGTTCTTCCTTACATTTATCCTAAAGTGTATCCTCTGTTCAAAACTCTGAAATAATAAAGTAAAAATTCAATAAGGATTACTTATAAATATATCAGTCAAGCCTTTTCCTTTTCTGTTGAGGCGGGTGCTTGAATATGACCCGTCCATCTGACTGTCACACATCCAAGGAATTACTTTCTAAAGGCCTGTGCAAATAAAATGTATAAGTAATATTTATTATAAACTTATCTAACCATGACTCCTCTCTGTTTGCAGTTCCTCCAGTGATTAAAGATAAAGAACAAGTAACAAACGTGTCTGTGTTGGTCAACCAGCCGACTAATCTCTTCTGTGAAGTTGAAGGTTCTCCATCTCCCATCATTATGTGGTACAAAGATGCGGTCCAGGTAAATGGAGACATCCGCATACGCATACTTTCTTGCTTCTGCCTCTGAAATCGTTCAGATGTTACTTTCTTCTTAATACTGCTATACACATTTTACTTGCGCCGTTGATCATGCATTCTGAATAGGACTGGAAATAACACTGACCACTTTGGCCCCTAAAGGTGACTGAGAGCAGCACTATTCAGATTGTGAACAATGGAAAGATACTGAAGCTCTTCAAAGCCTCTCCGCAGGATGCGGGCAGATACTCCTGCAAAGCGGTGAATGTTGCAGGCACCTCGCAGAAGTCTTTTAACATCGATGTGCTAGGTAAGCAAAACATTCTTTAAAAAACACTACACATCGGATGCCTTTTTATATATATATATAGGATAGAGCTGTTTGAAAAAGTAAAGAGAAAAATAAATTGGTAGGGTAAATATTCAGATCACTGTCATTTTTGTCATTAATATTTGTTGGGCGGAACCACATTGTATGGACATTTTAAAGGCACTTATTATTTATGATACAGAGAAGTCTGTTGGGTATTTGGTACATCTTGTACATAACATAGTAAATCACTGCTCTTGTCGATTTCTGCAGTTAGGTGGGCAGGAGATTCTCTGGGAAATAACTACATAGGATGATGCAGAGTAAAACTCATTCATGCTGTCGACATTTCCTGAAGCCCTAGATTGTACTTGAACCGGGGATGGTAGAAAATGCACCTTCCCCTGTGTTCTGATTAATTTTTGTAACGAACTCACCTCAGCTCTAATTCTAATTAAGGGGGGAGAACTCTGAGAATGGGTAGTAGTTGTGATAAATTTGGATCTAAAACATTTTTAATGTTTTAATGGTAATCATAAATGTAGAATTTTATAATTGCAGCATGTGAAATTATATTTGCCAATTTAAGTTTACATAGTGATAAAAATGACTTCCTCTCTTTTTAATATTTTGCTCAACAGAATGGGCATATGATTTATAAGTGTGAGGTGGAAGTAGGTCTAAGAATGATGCTGCATTAAATGATAATACAGAACTGTTACAACATAAAATTAATCTTTCTCATTAGTCTTCTCAAAGCCTGAAGGACTTTGCATTTCTGGTACCAAAATTACCATTATTATAAATACAATAAACTAAGTATAGGCTATAAAGTCTAAGTCATCTTTTATGTCATTAGTCTTACTGGCACCGTTTTTCTTGACACACTCACTTGCTTTGAATCCTCTCTGTGTGCTGACTCCCACATTTTTATCTCCAGCTCAGACTTCGTCTCTTGCATGGTAAACCAAACGGTCTCAATGAATGTCTGTTCTGGTCACCTTGGGTGATCCCTATCATAGGGACCAGCACCTCCATCCATCTACTTGTTTCTGCCAGAACCTGGTACTCATTCTTCCTACCTCCCTACTTCTTTTTTTAAAATCCTCACCCAAAGATATTTTTTCCATTGATTGTTAGAGAGAGTGGAAGGGAGGAAGAAAGGGAAGGGGAGAGAGAGAGAGACATTGATGTGAGAGCAACACATTGATTGTTTACCTCCCACACTCTCCCTGACCAGAGCTGAGGACTAAACCTGCAGCCCAGGTACATGCCCTTGACTGGGAATTGAACCCATGACCCTCTAGCCACTGAGAAAGCTGGCCAGGGCACTACCTCCCTGCTTCTTAAATCTACATCCTCTTAAGTCTACTTCCTAATTCCATGTTAAGTTATTACTCCTTTATATTTCCACTGTGAAAGTATCATTTATAAGCTGAATTAATACTGTGTAATAGCCTCTTAATTACCATTCATCTAGTCTTTGCCCGGGACTCCACTCTTCATTCAATAGCTAGCATGATCTTAAAACACAAATCTGATCACACCCCTTCCCTACTGAAACCCTGTAGTGTTTGGAGATGAAACCCTCATTTCCATGACTATGAGGACCAAACACCTTCAGGTGACGTGAAGGGAGAAGATTAGAAAGTCAGGAAAGTGTACGGGAACTCAACATGCTTGATAATTCCAAGGATGAAAACTAGCATCGTCAACATTATACTCAGATCCAATTTTAGTGTAGGATCCCGGTAAAGGAGACAAGGGTAATGTATTGCAAGCAGGACTATGGTGTAATATGTTGAATTTGGACATTGTAAGATTGACATTGGTTATGTCATTCATTATTTAAGATGCATTGCAGTAGTAAGTTGTATTGCGTGAGCTTCGCTGCTCATTTATATGGTAAACTCTTTTTGTGCCTGGGTTTAATACTCCACAAAATGAGTTCTATACTGCTTATTGTCCTGTTACCAAGTCCTTCATGACTGTATTCCTATATTTGAATTTAACATTTGGTTGCATGGCTGTGATATGAAAAGGGGTTGTTCTGTACTATGTTTAACAGTACGATCTTGTTGAAATACTATAGAAATCATTGATTATCTGATCTCCTTCCCCCAACTCTTTTTGCAAAGTTACATATTTTCATTATAATGTGTCTTTGTTCAAGTCCCACCCACCATAATAGGTGCCAATTCCCCGAATGAGGTTTCCGTTGTCCTCAACCACGACGCCACCCTTGAATGCCAGGTCAAAGGCACTCCCTTCCCAGTGATCGACTGGTTCAAAGATGGCAAGTGAGTATCTTGTCTGTATTGGTTACCAGGGTCCAAGTGATAGGAAATAGGTGTGTAAAAGCATGTGGATTTTCTCCCTTATTTTTCCTCACAGAGTCTTACTGAATGAACGTGATAGGAAAACAATATTGCTTGAAAAGTGGTCTCAAAGTCTTGTAATACCTTTCATTCTTATGAATGACAAGGCTCTTTATAAATGCTTGGGATTTTACTTTAGAAACATAGAGGAACTCAAATTTATTATACACTAAAGCGTGTGCCCACAGGCTAAGAACGGAAAATGAAAAATGCAACATCTAAGTGCAGAAGTGATTTTGCTTTGATATGGAAGTGTTTGAGTTATTTAAAAAGGAAATTGGTTTATGACAGCAAGATGAATACTTAAGCGAGGTCTACACGTGGGCAAAAAGGAACAACCACAGAAGAGCAGTCAGGTGTTCACTGGACTTCAAGTTCAAGGGCTGCTGAGGTTCGCCCCCACTGATGTAACTGCATGATTTGTACTGTACGAGAGAGCTCACGTCTCATGGCGTGGTCACAATTCATGTGTTAGTGTCGTTTCTGAGAGCAGATGTCTTAAGACCTAACAAGCCAAGAGTAACCATTTGTAGTGTATGAAATAAAGGACTGTATGCAAACTTTTTAAAGATTAGCAAGCCAAACAATAGCACAGAAATGTATGGAGGGTATGAACAGGCAATTAACAACGTATTAGGTGAGTGATAAATGTGTTAAAAGATGCTCACCCTCGATTATTTGGAGAATGTAAGCAAAAATCATGCAATTTTGTTATTCACGAGTTAGATTGGCAAAAATAAAAAGTAAAATTTGAAAAATATCAAGTGTTGGCTAGAGTGTGGGAAATTAGGTCATCACGTTCTGCCGGGGAGAAGGGAACTTGGGGTGAAAGGCAGTTGCTGATCTCTGCTGACATGCTCACGTGATCTCACCAAGCTACTATACCTTCAGCATCTAGGAGCAGGCAGCGGGGTCCACAGGAGCCTGGCGATGATATTCCCTGCCCCTGGGATAGCAGACGAGTGAAAACTGCCTAAGGCACCATCAGGAAAATGGGTAGATCACTCATGCAGTCATGTTAGGAAACACTGTACAGCGATTACAAAGAGTAAGACCACACTCTGAGGACCAGAAATATCTCCATAGCTATTGTTGAGTGAAAAAGTAGATCAAGGACACAATTCCATTTCTTTGTAAAAACTTTAGATTCCTTTGGAGATGCATTTATGGGTGACAGTGTTTTTAGAAAAACATGTGGAAGAATATGAACCAAACTGATAATGGTGAGAAGACTAGAGAAAAAACTCACATTAGGGGTAATAAACCAAGGAGACCTTTTCTTATTATAATGCTTTTTTTTTTTTTTTTTTTTTTTGCTTATTTAAATTATTATGTTACTTGCATAATTAACAACCAGTAAAAGTTTTAAAGTTCCTTAAATCTGACTTACTTTATCAAGTATTCCTTTCCTTAAACAGTTAAAATGCATTAAACCACGGTACTTTATTGTCTTAGCTTTTGAGAACCTGACACAAAAGAAATAGTACCAAGAAATAGTAAAGGATGCTACCGTAGAAAATGAAATGGATTTCCATTTAGTCCTGTAGTCTGACTAGTGGCTTATATATAGCAGTGCTTCTAATTATTTATCCTGGAGCTAAGTCACTGCAACTTTTTAAAAGCTAGCTATGAGTAGTCCTAAAAGAAGATCAATGGATTTTAAAGGTATGACTCTTGGGATATCATAGACTTTAATAATCATGATGTTTCAAGTATTAAATAAAGCTGCTGCCAATTCTATAAAGTGAGCCGTTTGTAGGGGTCGGTAAATGACTCTCTATAGTAGAAAGACTTCCTCCACTGCTGTGTGTGAGATGCTTTTGTCATAAATATCTTTCAGTATTTATGATTATAAAACCATTCATATTTAATACAATATCTACTTTTAGAAAAACTGGCGTGGTCATTGTCTCTGGTAAGTAATAATCATGAATTCTATTGTGAATACTTTTCCAGATATTATAATAATAATTGGTTTAAAAATAATATTGGTTAGCCTGAAGCTCCTATACTCTTGGTTTTTCCTTTCTCAATGATGGTAGCAATGTTGGCTATGCTAACCAAAAAAAAAAACCCAGAAGAGGAAAAAGAGGAAGGGATGAATGAATGAAGCACACAGTGACCCTGCCAGGTTTCTATTAATATTATGCAACAATTTAAGTTTGAAATGAAGAAACCTTTCATCTTAAAGTGATAATGATCTCACTTTCATTCGTGAAGTGGTTTAATAATTTCATTCTTCTGCATAGGGGTACTAATCACATCATTGTATTTTTTTTGAGATTTATACTAAAAATTTCCATTTCGATTTTTAACCTCATAAGACTTAATGATTTTTGTTGTGATTAATAAAATAGGGACATAAAAATGGACTCATGAAATACAATGTTTTTCTAGGCCTTTATTTTTGGGAGATCCTAATGTTGAACTTCTGGACAGAGGACAAGTTTTGCATTTAAAGAATGCACGGAGAAGTGACAAGGGACGCTACCAGTGCACAGTGTCAAATGCAGCGGGCAAGCAAGCCAAGGATACAAAACTGACTGTCTATAGTAAGTGCGACTTGATTGTTACCGATTCTCTGTAAACATTGAAATGCAAGGTTTACTCTAATGTTAACTGTTCTTTTATTCATACTGAATATTTTGGAATGCTACTTACTTGAGAAGAAACAGTCTATCTTTATGTGTTTTAGGCTAGAATGTTGCATCTGATTTTAAGGCATTTAATCAGTAAGTATGGATTTTTTCAAGTGGTCTAGTGGTTTTTATATGATCTCACTTAAGAGATCATGTATTTCCTTATTGGTCAGTATATATGTAAATCAAATGTCTAAATCCTTAAAGGGATTTTAAAAGACCCTCTAAAAAGAGGAAAGATGTATGGCATAGAATGAAGCTGGTAATATATAAGCGACTTAGTTGTTCTATTTTCATTTCATCTGGACCTTTATCCTGACCACATAGTAATATTTTAAATGCCTTTTTTATGCTGCTATTTTCTCCCAGTTAACTCCCCCATCAGAGATATGCAGCCCCCATGTCACTAAAATTTTCAGTATCTCCTGAGGAAGGAGACCACCAAAGTCACTTTACTTTTTACTCACAGAGCCGTAGGGAAGGCATGTGAACGTCAGGTCGCAGGTGTGGAGAATTGCACAACAGAAAATAAAAGAACTCAATGGGCAGTCATGCTCCTGGGGGGTCTACTCCCGCACTACCTTCTGTGTGTCCATGGCTCGTGGCCCTCGAGGTCCTCCAGGGCCAAAGCAGTCACTCTCTATTACATTGCACGAGAAAGGCAGAAATGCACATTGTGCCTCAGTGAGGAAAAATATGGAGGAAAGAGAGGAGTGCAGAGTAAAAGAGACGGAGGGGGAAATGGCGGGGCCTGGGTGGGGGGTGGGGAGAATGTGAAAGAAGGAAGAAACCAGAAGACCCTTTAATATCCTCTGGGAGGATTGTGCAAATTCATAGCTAATAGTTCTAAGGCAAAGATTTTTAACCTGAGGTCCATGGATGAGTTTCAGAAGTCCAAGAGCCCCCAAAATGTATCCAAGTCCTTGAGTAGATAGGCACAGTGCATTTTAGTGTGGAGTTTGTTCATGACCTTTATCTGTAACAATCTTCCCCAAACAGAGGAACAGGTCTCAGAAAAAGTATATATAAATTAAATTGAAACAGGAAGTGACATTTATATGGCAAAGTTAAGTAGTAGATGGATGTTCCATTGTTCTAATGTCACCTGGAAATATTTTTTGAGTAATTTCTCTCAATTTCACAAATATAAACTTTTTAAGTACAAATGCTACTCCTTTGTAAAACATTCATGGAAGATTGGCAGTTATTTGAACCTATGTTCTTGGATTTATTAATGTATTATCCAACTGATTTGACTACCTCGCTGATTTAGAAAATGCTCATCATTTGAAGTTGGAAGTTTTCTTTGCATCAAAGTCTCACAGATATTGCTGAAATTGAAATTTGAGCTCAGAAAATATATTCACTGCTAATTTGAAGGGAATCAAGTACATGGAAATGTATAAAGCAACTGAACATACTTGTGATTTAAACAGCAGAATGACTACCACAGTATAAATTTTGCATTTAAATGCTGTTTTTGTCTACTAATTTTAGGTTGACTTTATTAAGAAAAATTATCAAGCTTATAGCTAAACAAATTTCTAGAATCTTTCAGTATTCAATAATTGTATTTGAAGACAATTCTTGTTCAGAAAAAAAAGTTAGTCTAAGTTCTGAGTTCAAAAGATTGTAATACAACTTTACCACCATTAAGGAATTAGACTATGTTGTAGGATAATTAGTTATATGCAGTTTCTACTTCTGAAAAAAAAATATGGAACTGATGATGTTTAAAGTCATAAGAGCCAATAAAACACATAATGAACCCTATTGGTTCAATAACGAATATTTTGCACAAAGTGCTTGCTAATGAATAATACAAAGAATAAAGATTGACTTATGAAACCTTATATTTTACTAAGCTTTGTAAATTCGTCTAAGCCTTTTTCTGCCCCACCCATATTTTTACTGCCATCGGTTTTAATGCATCTTAGTAGATTCCATTTCAGATTATAATGGATTAGTGTTTTTTCAACTTCTTTGAAAATAATTTTTGTTTGTAGTTTTTTCATACAGGCTATTCTTAGAGGCTCATTCTTCAGTTTCTTCAGACTTAGCACTAAGTCCTCAAATAAACAACAACAACAATAAAAAACTAAGTAATATCAGTAACACCTGTCAATTTGTCAAGGGCCATGTATATACCTCATCTGAGATTATTTGTGAGAAAAAATGTGTGTATATGAACGTTTGTCACTGTGAACTAGTTCTAAGAATCATTATCAGAAAATATTGAAGTACTCTACTCAGCAGCCAGATCTTATTGTCTAATACCCTTCTCCACTAAAACGAATCAAGGCTTCCTGGAGAGATCACTTCTAGGTCAGGTACAGGTATACACAAGGTGAGCCTGGAGCATGTAGTGGGACTAGAAAGTATGAAAGTACTAAAATAATAAAATGACATGAGCATGTCAAAGCGACACAGGAGTCAACTGAAATAGCTTCCAATGGGCAAAACTGAAACAATTTGAACAACCAAACGAATAATGTAGTATTAGATTATAACTCAAAGTATAAATTAAGTTTTCATTAGTCCATATTGATGTACATAATTGATTGCATAGATAAATAATTTGGAGAGGAAAGACAAATCTCCCATATAGAAGATTCCAAATAAATTATATAGGTATTCCCCTCTGAAGGATGTAGAACATAACTCCCTATCCCATATGTATGCGCTGGGAAGAGTGATTCTTTTCCAAAGAAAGCAACTCTACACTGGAGAAACCTGACAAAAACTGCCTTGACCAGACTGTCAAGGTTAACAGCATCAGTGACAAGTCATGCTGCAAGTACATACCCTTGATTGAGAAAGGTACTTTACCTCTGTGACCTTTCTCCCCCAAACCCATAACTCTAGTCCCACCATAAGAAAAACATTCCACAGAATATCCTGTTTTAAAATAAAAGCGTAATAAAATAATATGAAGGCACTGAACTCAGGCACAAGCCATTTGGTTTCTTTTAAATTGTTGCAGTTGTAGCACAATCCTGGAGTGACCGCTTCAGAACACGTAGCAGTGTGACCCACTTGTTTTTCCCCAGCGCCGTCCCCGTGGTGTGAGAGGCCAGGCGTGTGGTTGCTGAGTTATGGAAGATACACATGTAGCCAATTAGATGAGTAAAGTCCAGTGAATGAAGTCCTGGCAGTTCAAAAATAAAAAGTAAGAAGCAGAAGTTAAAGACTCCACAGCTATTGCCGGTAGCTGGTTCTGAAACCACTTCGATCTTTAGCATTTCTTGAGGACAGAGCATGGAGTTGTACCACATCTGACATGTTTGCTCCCTTGGCCTGATCGCAAACATATTGATATCTACTTTAAGCCGTGTGTAGCTTTGTTTGCTAAATGTAACGTTCTTAGTGCTGTAATATGATCTGTTGGACTGGAATGAACCCCTGAAACCAAAGCTGTGACTTTCTGCTTCTGCTGAAATCTGAAACCCCAAAAGAGGGTGATAAAGATGGACAAAACAGGCGATTAATTATCAGTAGATAAATCACAGGCGTCTAAATATCTTTCATTTATATTTATGTAAACATCTATAGCATTTAAGATTTTATGCAGATGCTAATGCTTAGAAAACTTGTTTCTGTTCGGAAATCCTTTGTAGTTCCACCAAGTATTAAAGGAGGGAATGTCACCACGGAAATAGCAACATTGATCAACAGCATAATAAAACTGGAGTGTGAAACCCGGGGACTTCCGGTGCCTGCTATTACATGGTATAAGGATGGCCAGCCAATCATATCCAGCTCGCAAGCCCTGTATATTGATAAAGGGCAATTTCTTCATATCCCTCGAGCCCAGGTCTCTGATTCAACAACCTATACGTGTCACGTAAGCAATGTTGCTGGAACTGCTGAAAAATCGTTCCACGTGGATGTTTATGGTAAGGAAAAACACGTGCCTTCATCACCTCTCTTTCTAGCTATATTTTCTAATATGCCAACTTCCAGTTCATTCATTAATAAAGTCCTGGTGGCCCGGCCAGTGTGGCTCAGTGGATTGAGCATGGTCCCGTGGACTGAGAGGTCCAGGTTCGATTCCTGGTCAGGGCACATGCCCAGTTATGGGCTTGATCCCCAGGAGGGGGCATGCAGGAGGCGGCCAATCAATGTTTCTCTCTCACATCGAGGTTTCTATCTCTCTCTCCCTTCCTCTCTCTCTAAAAAAATTAAACATATTGGGAAAAAAATTAATCAATTAATGATGTCCTGGTATTTTAATATGCATGGGTAGGAATTAGAGTAATTTGCCCCATGATTTGGAAATATATTTTTAAAAGCTACCATTAGCCCTGGCCTGTTTGGCACAGTGGTTAGAGTGTCGGCCTGCAGTCCAGAGAGACCCGGGTTCGGTTCCCACTAAGGGCACGTACCTCGGTTACAGTTTTTCCCCGGGCCTGGTTGGGTCGTGCGGGTGGCAGCCACTCGATGTGTCCCTTTCACGTCGATGTTTCTCTCTTTCTCTCTCCCTCCCACTCTATCTGAACAAAAAAATGGAAAAATGTCCTCGGGTGGTGGTGGGGGGGAAGCTACCATTAGGAGGAAGCAATTTATTCATTTGGCCAACCATTTTCCCGTGGCACTTGGGGCTACCAAACCATTTTGGGTTTTTTTGTTTGTTTTTTTTGTTGTTTTTTTTTTTTTATCCTCACCCGAGGATATTTTTCCATTTTTTTGTACAGATAGAGTGGGAGGGGGAGAGAGGAAGAGAGAGAGAGAGAGAGAAAAACATCGACGTGAAGGGACACATCGAGTGGCTGCCACCCGCACGACCAACCAGGGCCGGGGACAAACTGCAACCGAGGTACGTGCCCTTAGCGGGAACCGAACGGGGTCTCTCTGTACCGCAGGCCGACGCTCTAACCGCTGAGCCAAACCGGCCAGGGCCAAACCATTTGTTTTTTATGCAGAAGGTAAAGTAGTTGTTGGGACTAAGATCCTTCTCTGCTACCTGCCCTTCAGAAGCTAGGCACAGTACAGAGTATCCCAGAATATTTAGAATAGTTGTAGTTCAGCTGAACCAAGAAATTCCTTCCTCAACAGCCTAGCCGGAGGTGGACATTAGGATTCAAAGAATTGTCTGACATACTTTGTTTTCCTCGTAGTTCCTCCCGTGATTGAAGGTGACGCGGCTGTGCCTCTGAATAAGCAAGTGGTGGTTGCTCATTCACTGACGCTGGAGTGCAGGGCTGCGGGCAACCCCCCGCCAGTTCTCACTTGGCTAAAAGACGGCGTCCCCGTGAAAGCCGGTGACAACATCCGAATAGAGGCCGGCGGGAAGAAACTGGAGATCACCAGCGCCCTGGAAGGGGATCGGGGGCAGTACGTGTGTGTGGCTACCAGTGTGGCAGGAGAAAAGGAAATCAAATACGACGTTGATGTCTTAGGTAAATAAGGATGCCACTACCTGGATTCTCCGATTCATCGCCGAACCTGACTGGTTTATTAAAGCTACTTTTTGGTCATGCGGCATTAAAATGATCTTGGAGAAGGTTTCGTTTTCTGTTCAGCACCAGACAGCACGTTACTGGGTGGCGGATTTATCGCCCGAGTCCCGAGATCTAAAAACTCACAGAATCTCCCGCTGGCTTTGATAATGCTGTGTGTTTGTGAGTACGTAGGTGCGTTTCACATCCATGACAACATCTGATTGCAGTGAGTGGAAACACGGCCTTCTGTCCTGGGCACTGTGCTATTCGAAGTCGCCTTGCAACCCTGTCTCACGTCATTCTAAATCAAAGAGGCCCAATTTTTGAGGTTCCCTTCTCTTATTCTTATGAAAATAAGCAATGTAAAATATGAATCATCTTTATATTCAGATGGCATCCGTAACACCATGGTGCTAGATTAATTGAGAAAAATCTGTAGTTATGCCAAAAGTACATTCGTGACCCTGGCAAGTGTGTGTGTACGGTAAAATGTATTTGACATTTCAGATCCCCTTCATGTATCAATTACTGCGATACTTACCAGTGTTCTAAACTGCAGCTTAGTGCTGCTTCAAGGGGTGGCGTATTTTTTTGTTGTGTTTATGTTACTGCATGTTACCTCTCTGTTGTTTTCTAGTGCCACCGACTGTGGAAGGAGGAGATGAAACATCTTACTTCATAGTGATGGTTAATAACTTACTGGAGCTCGATTGTCAAGTGACAGGCTCTCCCCCACCAACAATCATGTAAGGGTTTTGGTATGTCTTCTAAATACCTCCCACTTCTTTGCGTGAGTGTTTTGGAGCTATCTTGAAAGAGGTCCTGTGTCACTAACAAGTGGTTGTATAAAATGACATTCTTTATATTCCTCTTTTTAAAAACGTACACTATATACAGGGCAACATTTACTTGATACTCACAGGGACCTTAAATCTGTTCAATTAGAGGAATTCCATTTATGCTCTTAGAAATTACATTTTCAGTTTATAGAGACAGACTATTAAGCAGTATCTGTTAACTCTTCCCGGGGCCTGAAATGTCTAATGAACAAGTAAAAAGAAATGTTCCGGACATATTAGGGAAACAGTTAACATGCATATATGGTTACCAGTTCCTTTTTCCCATTCTTTCATCCACGGAGCATTTCTTGCATACTTGTCTTTCATTTCCAAGGTGCCATAGGGTATGCAATTATGAACAGTCAACTAAGGGAATAAAATATGTTCACTTATGAATATAAAACTATATGGAAGTGGTAACTCATAAGAAATGCAACACAGAACATGATATAATTTCAGAGTTTTATTTTACAGATGTTTTAGGATTGTGTTCATTTTGCTAGTTAATATGATTTAAACATTTCAAGTGAATAATATTTAGGGGCAGGCATTTGCCTCGTTTTGTAACTTGACATTAATGGAAGAATGAAGAACTCAACACATAGGTCCTGGGTTCCAACAACATGCCAGCTTCTGTGTTAGACCAGGTTTCTTACTGGCTTTTCCCTAGTGCACAGTTTATTTTATAAAGTGAGTAAATAGGAAATAAGGCAAATGCATAATTGAGAATTTATATATGTATGTATATAAAAATCTAATATATAAAAAAATCTAGTTCCATATACATACATACACACACACACACACACACACACACACATATACACACACATGCAGGGTGGGTAAAAGTAGGTTTACAGTTGTGGGTAAGCAAAACAGAGTTTATTATTATGTTAGTATTATTAATTATTATATTGTTTTCCATACAAACAATAGTAAACCTACTTTTGCCTCACCCTGTGTATGAATACACACACACACACATATTTTCCAGGAACTTAATTATTCAAAATCTATCTCCTCACTTTCTTTGCCTTGTTTCTCTAGGTGGCTGAAGGATGGCCAGCTGATCGATGAAAGGGATGGATTCAAGACTTTACTGAATGGACGGAAACTGGTCATTGCCCAGGCCCAGGTGTCAGACACAGGCCTTTATCGGTGTGTGGCAGCCAACCCTGCTGGCAGCCACAAGAAGGAGTTTGAAGTGACTGTCCACGGTAGGCTGGAGAAGGGACAAGAGCATTACATTTAGAATTAATGTCTGCATTGTTCCCTTGTCGAGTTCAGATTTCGGCTCTGGATAAATCTTGAGTTGTGGGAAGTAATGGAAAGAAAGTGGATTTGAGTTAAATAATCATAGATTGTAAGTCACGTGGTTAACAGGGAGACCCACCCAAGGGTACCGTGTGAATGAATCTAGACAGAGGTCGAATGTTAGGCCGTGTATTCTGCATGGAATGCCAGGGTTTGAGGAATGAGACCAAACACGATGAAGAGGCAGGCGGCAAAGTCCAAGGAAAAGAAAGGGCTGTGTTCGCACCGAAGGGTTTAGCCAAAACGGGAGGGAGTGTGAATCAAGTCGTTTCCAGAAATGGGAGCTGAGGATGTTATGCCGGATCCAGGGCATACACGAAACTGGCACAACAGTGTTAAAACCATTACTGTAATGACAGCAGCGACGTTCTGCCAGGTTATTATGTCTCTCTTGGCAGCAGAGTTTGGGAAGAAGGGAGTGGAACGAGAAACTGGAGAGCCATTTGGAAGTCACTGCAGAGGTTTCTATGAATGTCAAGTTCATTTTCCCCTCTGTCTAAGTGGGCTGTGTTTTTCCTGCCTTTTCAGTGCCATGATGGAATATAGCTGTCCTGTTTCTCAGTCTCAATTCCCATTTTGGAGGGAGGGTATCGGCAGGGCCAGCTTAAATCAAGTTCCCATGCTGGGTTCAATCAGCCTTCCTGGGGGCAGAGTCAGGCACTAGAAATATGGGTACCAGAAACTCACCTGATTGAATGAGGGAGTTCTTGAGAAAGGGAGGCTCGTAGTATACTGGGAAAACACACCAAAAGGTGCAAGCCAGACAAACATGTGGATTGCAGTTGCTACAAATACATTTTACTTATTCCCTGGAGAATTTGAGATTTATAATTAAGAAATAAGTAATCACTAAAATATAAATTAAGCACATAGTAGAAAATTATTTCACTTTTTGCTTACATTTTTTTTGTTGTTGTTGTTAATCCTCACCCAAGGATATTTTTCCATTGATTTTAGATAGAGTGGAAGGAGGGAGTGAAGGGAAGAGAGAGAGAGAGAGAAACATTGATGTGAGAGAGACACAGCGATTGGTTGCATCCCACATGACCCAGACCAGACCAGGGCTGGGGATTGAACCTGCAACCCAGGTACGTGCCTTTGACTGGGAATCAACCCTGGACCCTTTGATCCTTGGGCTGATGCTCTAACTGTTGAGCCAAACCAGCCAGGGCTCGTTTACATTTTGAAAGTTTCAGATTTTTGTATATAGAGATTTAAGTGTTTGACCCCACTGATTATGGTTGTTTTGTTTCCCCTCACTCTCCTTCCCTTTCTGCCTTTCTTCCTATTTTCTTCTTCTCCTGAATCTAGTTCCACCGACAATCAAATCCTCAGGCCTGTCTGAGAGAGCCGTAGTGAAATACAAGCCCATCACCTTACAGTGCATAGCCAACGGCATTCCCAATCCCTCCCTTACATGGTTAAAAGATGGTCAGCCTGTGAACACTGCCCAAGGAAACCTCAAAGTAAGTATATTAGGGAGCCCAAGAGAGAGAGCAACATAGATCTTCCTGGAGTATCACATTCTCTCCTAATTGTAGGTTCTCCTGTTGTATGGATTTTGCAGACAATTTATTGAAACAATATGTTTTCTTTAGCATTTTTTAGAATTTAACTTAATATTTTTATTTGAAGAATAGAATTCATTAAAGACTAATAACCTTAACAATAATATCAGTTTTTACTCTATTAGTTAGTACTTTTATTATTTTGATTTATGACTGTCTTTAACTATTGAAAAACTGGTGTTTTATGGATGAAGAGTATTCATCAATCCTAAGAGTAACCCCACTATGTTCACCGTAAACTAAGATTAAGGTAAAGTCACAGCTATAGAAACCCAACTGAAATGTCTTGAAAAACACATTTTAACTAGTTTGTAAGCTGCAAGAGGGCAGAGATTCAATCTCTGTGAATACATTCACTTCTCTATCCTTTATCCTGAATATAGTCCCTGGCATATAAATGTATCTCATTTTTTGACCAGATAGATAGCTAGATAGATAGATTTCAAGCATAGATAATTTAAATAATGCATTTAAAATCCAGTTAATAGATACTGCTACTAGATTCAAATTAACTGATTAATGTGTGCAGGAACGTCGCTTTTCAAAATGAGGGATGCGCTGAGTTCTTTTCTCAGTACAAATGGTGGCTATCTGCTCATTTATTATTCCTATTCTAAATCCAATGGAACGAGTCTTACACTGTGGCTAGTGAAAGATTCAGTGTGTAGCCTTCAAACATAGTGCAGGTAGGCAACTGTTTACTGGAAAGAGACATCACATAATCATACAAAAGTATAATTGCAAAGTGGAATGAGTAATTTTCAGAGAAAATATAGAGAGGTAAGACAACAGATAATGAGAAAAGCCTTTAAGCATGAGAGTAATGTACGGAGAAAGCCTCTGAGCAGAGATCTGATGAACACATAGGAGTTAAGTGGGTGAATTAATGGAAGAGAACTGTAGGGTATGTCAGTGATGATGTACAGAGGCAAACAGCTTCAGGTAGGGAGAGGATAACACCGCTGGAGGACCTGAACACCAGCCAGTGGCGTGAGGAACAGAGAGCAAGGACGAGGTGGTATTATGGGAGACCGGTAGAAGGCATGTACGTAATAGTAATGATTTTATTTTATTTTTAGCTATGAGATCTTTGAAGGGTTTTATGAGAGGAGAGACATGATCAGGTTTGCATTTTAAGTAGATCCGTAGGCCCCTTTTGGAGAATGAATTGAAACATCCAAAGTAGATATGTGGAAATCAATTAGGACTTATTTGTCGAAGAGATGGGGAAGATAGAAACTTGGATTCACATGCGGGCCGTGGAGATGAGGATACATGGATCTATTTGAGATTTGTTTATTGGTTATATCGTTAGGGCTCCGTGACAGATTGTTATGAAAGGTGGGAGAGGGAAGTGTCAAGGACAGCCCATTAGGAATCTAACCGACACAGATGCCTAGATTGTCGTGCTGTTCAGTGAGATCGGAGTCTCTGAAGGAGGACACATTTGAGGGGGGAAACTGTGATTTGAGTTTTAGACTTTGCAGAGTTGATTTGGCTTTGAAATAAACTAGTGAGAATGTCAGGCAGACCATTGAGTATGTGGTCCTGTAGCTCAAAGGAGAGGTCTGGCTGGAGATGCTGACACACAGATGATATTTGAAACTGTGGTCACAGCTGAGTTACACCACGGGGAGACTAACGAGTAAGAAATTGGAGAGAGAACTGGCCGAGTTCAGTGTCACAAGAAATGACGACATTTAAAGGCCATGTGCAAAAGTCCAGAAGTGAATGTAAACATGTAAGTGTGCTGTTAACATGTTTAGCACAGTCTGGCTGGAGAGTGAGCATTCACATGGCAGTGTATGGAGAGAAGATCATTTGGGGTCAGAATGTGGTAACCCTGGAGGGCTGTGCTGAGTTGGGATTTCATTCTGGGCAAAGCAGGGAGCCATGGATGAGTTTTGAGGGAGAACTGGTAAAAGGATCAGATTGGCATTGTGGACAAATTATCCTGGCAACGGTACGCAAGATAGATTAACGGTTTGGGAGGCTGGAGACACTGGAATATAAATTAAGCTATTATAGTCACACAGGGCCTGTGAGAATGGAAAACAGGGGATCTGAGAAACATGGAGTGGTGTAATTAATCGGAGAGTCATCGTGGGCTCCAAAACCCAGACGATGGGGAGAAGAGGGTGCCATTTCACAAGATGGGAAGCATGCAGCAGGAAGCAGCTTTAGAGATGCAGGGAAGTTATGAGCTTTGTTTTGGACACGCTCAGTGTCGTGCACTAACCCGTCCAGCAGATAAACTGGAACCACAAGTGCTGAGCTCAGGAGGAAGGTGAGGCCAATGCTGTAAATTTAGGAGTCTGCACAGGATTCTTCCCTGAAGCCAAGGGTTTGGCTGAAAACTATCAGAAAATTAAGTTTCCTCTCTATGGGACAGGAGGAAGAAGCAGATTCTGTAAAGTCATCTAAGGAAGTCAGAGAAAGAGAGCTTAGGGAAAACACTGCCTTCAGTACCCAGGACGCAGAGTGATTCACGGAAAAGGTGGTCAGTCAATAATGCCAAATGCTGGAGAAGAGAGCAGAGCTCACTACCTAGGCTGCTGGACTCTGCCCTTGGAAGTTACTGGTACCCTCTGAATAAACAGTTTCACAAAATCACCGCTGACTTGCCAGTTCCGGAATGGTGGAGGCCAGTTTCAATGAGTTGCAAAGAGGGAAGTAAAGAAAAACAGGAAGACATTTATCTGCATTTCCATTCATTACATTTTATAATTGTTATTGTTTTTCTGGCCCCCATGACCCTTTAATCAAAAAAGATTGTTGTTTTAAAACTGTTTATGAAGTGTTAGATAAATGTGACCATGTTTTCTCAAATAGCTTAAATTTTAATCCCGTAACTCATAGCACTCAAGTCTTACTCAGGGAGCTTTTGTGACTCCACCAGCCGGCTGGCCTTGGGTTATTTTGTGTTTTGCAATGAATAAGAAAAGCTCTTTTAATCAAATGAGTCTCTTTCCTTGTGCACGATGAAGGGATCTGGCTCTCATCTTTTAAGAGAAAATTAAGATACTGGCATAAAACGAGAATTAGATATTACAAAGTTAATTGAGTTTGTCTATTTCCGCAAAGGTTTGCAAGGCCAAGCGTAAAGTACCAAATGCTGCCCTGCTTTCTGCTCCCAATTAGATACAGTCTTCTGGTCGAGTGCTGCAGGTTGCCAGAGTGCTGATGGAAGATGCTGGGAGATACACGTGTGTGGCCACCAACGCGGCCGGGGAAGCCCAGCAGCACCTTCAACTGCACGTGCACGGTAACGCCATCCCCACGTCCAGCACAACAATAGCTCTTGCCTTTCTTTAAAAGACACAGTGAGCTTGTTCTTATTGAATTACACTGTAAAAAGCAAAACAAACAAACAAAAAAAACAAGTGTTTATTTTAGTCTGTGAAAAAGAGACACTAGTTATTTTTTACGTTACGGTAATTACAGTTGCTCAGTATTGAGCTCTTTAGTGTTCAGCTTGTCGGATAGGATGTGTGAGAAGGTTACGCGTAAATAAACACGCTACCCTGTGTTTTAAAGCACTGGAATTCTGTTGGTAACTTTCTGCAGGTAGCTTTTGTCACAAGGTCGTGCCTCAGCTGTGTGTGATCTTCTTGCCTGTCTAGAAGAGGGGTTTGGGGAGTAGAAACTGTCCTTGGCACAGGATCTTCTCCCCTGGTGGCCAGGGGACCCCTCAGGGATATCACAGCTTCCCTGTAAACTCCCTGGCCTCGAATGTAAGATTTCAGTCTCTGGACAGTCGTCAGAAAGGGCCAAGATATTTGCAGAGAGCTAGTCAAGATCTCCACCTCAGCATTATTCATTTTCTCTAATTCTAATTGCTGTTAAACCATCCATTAATTCATTCATTCATTCATATATTCACTCCACAATTACTAAACAATCTAACTGAAAAGAATGCCCCAGCACCTACCTTAACGCCAAGTACATAATAGGCAGTCAGTAAATGTTCAACAAATGAAAGAGAAAATAGTAAGAATTAAATTGAATATTGAATTCTTCTAACCTGTTTCTTTGCATGTTTTCTTTTATTTAAATCAACCAGTTAAAAGATTCAAATGATCAGTTCCCTAAATGTTTCCAATAAACCAATTTATTCTTTCTGCAGTTCCCTAAATATGAATGCCTAATTTGTGGGTGTCATGCACACAAAGCATGTTCCTTTTTTTTTGGTACGTGCCCCTAATGGGAACCGAACCTGGGACTCTGTGGTCCGCAAGCCAACACTCCAACAGCTGAGCCAAACCGGCCAGGGCCAAAGCATGTTCCTTAAGAGGACCTTTAGCCCTGGCCAGTATGGCTGAGTTGGTTGGGCGTCTTCCCATGCACCGAAAGATCCCCGGGGTTCGATTCCTGTCAGGGCACGTGTCTGGGTTGTGGGCTCAATCCCCAACCGGTGTGTGCAGGAGGCAGCCGATTGATGTTCCTCTTTCCCTCTCTCTTCCTCTCTCTCTAAAATATCAATAAAAACACACTTTAAAAAAATGAGCACCTTTAAAGACCAGTATCTGATTATAGCCATCTTGGAACTGGCTCACCATGCTTGAGGCTTTGGGGACAGGCTGAACTTACTCTCCCTTAAGTTGCTTGAATTCTCCTTGTTCCTCATAAGGTCTCACATCTCTCCCTAGTGCTCCCTGGCGGGTGTTTCCAGCCCATACGCAGACCTCCATTTCCATCTGGGAGTGTGCTGGGGTGGGCTTGCTCTGTTCTCCCCATTTGTCTACCCTCAGGCTCCTTTTCTCCACCCTGTATTGGCTGTTTATCTTCTCCTTTCCAGTATTTCAGTCCTTATCTGGTCTCCATTATAGCCAAGAGGAAACAGTTAAGTGGGAAGGCTCGTTATGTTGCAATCATCTCGTGCACTGGGGTCCAGCTGACTTTGGTTTAAATCCTGTGCTATCCGTAATCTAGGTAACCTTGAGTAAACCCCTGGTTTTCTCTGAATATATGACCTGTGGAGTGCTTTCGAGGATTAGAGGTGTTAGGTATAAAATATCTCCTACTTCCACTCGCAGATTATCAAAAAGAAGGATGTTTTTGTTCTGCAGAATGGCTTGAAATACTTACATGATGACTCTATAATGAAGAACAGAGGACTATGTCTCCAGAACCAGGAAGAACGAAACTGTACTGTTTGGGGTATCCAAAATTTAATGTTCATAAAAATTGTACATATTGCACGTTAAAAATACAGCTCCCTGGGCCCAGTCCCAGCTCTTTTGAAACAGCGTCTCTGCTGCAAGTGGTCTGTGTGCGATTATTTGGAGAAACATTAGCCCAAACTTGAAAGACTAGCCGAGCCTTGCCAGTGTAGTCAAGAAGGACTGAAAGCCCGAGTCTAGGAAAGAAATCGTGAGTCCCATTAGATCCAGAGCAACAACAGAAGAGGAAGACAGAGCCAGTACCCAGGGAAACACAGGTCTACAAGCCTAAGGTCTGATTATGGTAATAAAATGCGTGTTAGCAGGAGATACACTTAGGGTACACACAGCTACCTGGAAAGTCATTGCAGAGTTGGGGAACAAGCTGGAAGACACCTGGGCTAATGTGAGAAGAAAGAAACAGAAGGTGAGTCATTACAAGGATTCATTAAAAACTACCCAATCAAATGAGGATGTAAAACAATCTTCTTAATAAGAATCACAAATAGAAGAGAGGTAGGAAACAGTACTAGCTGAAAATGTTTCATCTGATACCATCTTAGCTTGTCTGGGTAACAGTTCTTCAGCCTGAAAGGAGAATAAATAATAAAATGAGCTTTTAATTTAATACTTATTACGATCCACCTGGAGGACGTAGTTGGCTAAGTGAATGTGACAGGGATCCGGACAGAAAGCTGGAATCGTCTTGTCGCTCATGACATCAGTGCTGCGTTGAGTACAGATGACTTAAATTTTATCTGTCCTCTTCATTACTTGTATTATTTTTTTACTGACTTTTTGCCCCCAGACACCCTCCTCCTTCCCCTCCCCCCCTTAAGCATTGTTGTCTATGTCCATTGGTTACATGCATATTAAGTTCTTTGGTTTATCTCCCCCCCCCACCCCCACTCCACCCTCCTCCTCTGAAGTTTGTCAGTCTGTTATTAACTCCAGCGAGAACTGGAGATGTTAAAAGAGTGTAGGAATTTCTAAAGGATTAGTTGATGACAGATTTCAAAACGATCTCAGAGGTTAAAATGACAAGTTATCTGATGTGGAAAACCACATATGAGCAGGGTGGAGAAGGGGGGCTTAGAGATACCGCACATTGAAATGCTAGATATATTAATGGCTTTCTCCAATCACTATAGCTATGATCCGTCAGTTTCATGATAAAGTTAATCAATCTTAGAAGTCAGTAGTAGAAGCTTAGAGTATGAAAAACAAGAGAGGAATTGATTCTGTTATCTTCTTGCTCTCTGAATGCTTTCAAAGTAATATATCTAGTTCTAGTGCTATATGTTAAAAGGGACATTGAAAAATCTATAAGGAAGCAGGTAGCATTTAATTTAGTTCATTTATTAATTTATTTAATCAATTGTATAGTTAGGATTTGTTTTTATCCTAACCTTTATTGTTGGAGTAACATGTTCTGCAAATGAGCATTTATGACAGTTATCACCCAAAAATGTTCAGTCCTAAGAAACTCAGCTTCCCGCTGATTAATATTTTCCTTTCTTATATATATATATAAATTATAGATGCTTCCATTCCTCTCAAGCACGGGGAAAAAAGTCTTTCTAAAAGGGGAAGTAAGGGTGCATGGTCTCTTGGCTGGAAGACCAAGTCATGATCATGAGAAAAGGAACATTCTTTTGATCCCCTGAGTTTTCTGGGGGTGGGAGGGGGTTCTGTGTCTTACAGAAGGCAGAGGCTGTCTCAGCAGGTGGTCCCTTTTGATCACCAAGCTTTCATAATTCTGGAAGTTCTAATTCTCTAGACCAAACTATGAAATTATGTCTAAACCTCAGGTATTTGCCAAGGGAGACAGATGTTTCCACAAACAAATAATAGGGGGTCTAATGGCCCAAGCATTTTATTTCATCGACACTTAATTATTTCCCAGGAAACGTCAGCCATGGTGAAGCACCCAGAAGTATGATGTTTGTGGATAAAGGCGTGGGCTTTGATTTGGGTTCATATACTGCCAAGTGATATCTGTAGAACAGTGAATTGAGATGTTAACTGTTTGAAAGCTCAGTTTGCTCATCTGTAAAATGGGAAGGAAAATGATAACGCTGTAATGAGGTTGTTGTGAGAATTAAATAAAAGACTACAAGTGAAAAGCTTAGCCAGGCGTTTGGTTCCCATCATCTGCAAATGGTAGCTTAACCACTGTTTTGGCTGAACACTATTTGGATTCTGGCCTCTCGCACGGCACCAACCTTTTAACAAATACATCTAACGTCCTTAATGTTGGCCAGGAGCCGTCTGGGGTCTGTATTAGTTGTCTGGCGAAAACATTAATGGAGCACCCCTGAATTTAATTTTATTATTTTAAAGTATTTGCTTGGCTAACATCTGCTAACACCCACTTAAAAAAGGTTTCTCCATCGTTTCTGGGTTTTACTTAACAGCTCTCTTGTGGCCTAAAGAAGACTTGGGAATATTGTAGGGGGAACATTTTTTTTTTTTCTTTCTTTCTTAAAGAATAACTTTGGTTCAGGGCTCTACTATACTAATTTCTCGGTATAGATGAAATCATTACTCACTCTATGTTAATTTTGGTGGTCAGGGAGGATTGATTCACCCATGTTACTTTTAGATCAGTTGTGCACTCATTCAAATTTAACCAAGATTGGCAAAAGTCAATTCATGCCTTTGAGTGATTAAAGGAATAGGCAGAATCTAGCCTACAGTGTATCCAGGAGAAGGTACTGTGGTTTTGGCATGATATGGTTTTGAAAGAAGGAAAATAGTGGAAAAAAATCAACAAGTTGAATGGAATTCAACCTCCTGCTTGGAGTGTGCAGACATTTTCTCATTTTTAACATAACATATGGTTACCTTACTAATGCTTCTGTCTAGAAAAGTGTTCACCTAAATTCAGATTGCAAGACTATCCCTTGAACTGCTAGAAGAGAATAACTGAATTTATATTTGTACTTACTTTTGACCTAAAAATGTCCCAGCACCATTTGTTGAAAAGACTATATATTTTTCCCATTGACTGGGCTTGGCAATCCTTTTGGAAATTATTTGACTTTAGATGTGTTTATTTCTATCATCTCAAATCTATCCTGTTGCTTAAATGTCTATACTTATGCTTAGACCACACTGTCTCATTTATTCACTTTCCCCCAGCTTTGGTGAGGCATAATTGGCAAATAAAATTATACATATTTAAAGTGTGATGATTTGATATATGTATACTTTTTTAAAATGATTACTTCAGTCAGATTAATTAACATATCTCTCACTTCATGTAGTTACGTGTGTGTGTTTGTGTGTGTGTGTGTTGATTTTCATGATAAACTAACTCTGTGTGGTGATAATACTGAAGATCTACTCTCTCAGTATTAGTAACTGTAGTCACCATGCTGTACATCAGATCCCCAGAGTTGATTCATCTTATAAATGAAGGCTTGTACCTTTGACCATCATCTCCCCATTTCCCCAATCCTCCAGCCCCCTGTAACCACCATTCTACTCTCTGTTTCCATGGGTTTAACTTTTCCACTTGTAAGTGACATCATATAGTATTTGTTTTTCTCTGCTGGCTTATTTCACTTGGCACAATGTTCTATAGGTTCTTACATCTTGTTTCAAGTGGCAGTATTTCCTTCTTTCTCTTAGGTGAATAATATTCCTCTGTGTGTGTGTGTGTGTGTGTGTGTGTGTGTGTGTGTGTGACATCTTTTATTCATTCATCTGTTGATGGACACTTAGCTTATTTCTATATCTTGGTTATTGTGAATAATGCTGAAATGAACATGGGAGTGCAGCTATCTCTTTGAGATACTGGTTTTATTTCCTTCTGATTTATACCCAGAAATGTGATTGCTGGAGCATATGCTAGGATTTTTAACTTCTTAAGGAACCTTCATACTGCTTTACCTAGTTTCTGAATCAATTTACATTCCAGCAACAATGTACAGGTGTTCTCTTTTCTCTGCATCCTCCCAACACTGGCTATCTCTTGTATTTTTTATATCAACCATCCTAACAGATGTAAGATGATATCTCATTGTGGTTTTGATTTGCATCTTCCTGGGGATAAGTGGTGTTGAACATCTTTCCATGTGCATGTTGGCCATTTGTAGGTATTCTTTGAAAAACTAAATGTCTATTCATGTTCTTTGCCTGTTAGTTAATCAGATTATTTGGTATTTTGCTATTGAGTTGTATAAGGTTTTTTTTATGTATTTTCATGTTAACCCTTTATCAGATCAGATATATGGTTTGCATAATTTTCTCTCATTCATAGGATAACTTTTATTTTGCTGATGGTTTCCTTTCTGTGCAGAAGCTTTTTAGGTTGATGTGGTCCCACTTGTCTATTTTGCTTTTCGTTGTTTGTGCTTTTGGTGTCATAGCCAAGAAATCCTTGCCAAGACCAATGTCAAGCTTTGTCCCTCTGTTTTCTTCTGGGATTTTTATGGGTTCAGGTCTTACATTTAAGTCTTTAATACATTTTGAGTTAATTTTTAAGTACCACACTGCCTTGATTAAATTGATTGATTTTTATGTTAAACCAACTCTGCCTCCTGGGATAAGTCTTTTGCAGTCATGGTGCATCATCGTTTTTATATATTGCTAGATTCACCTTACTAGTATCTTGTTGATTATATTTGTGCCTGGCTTCATCAGGCATATTGGTCTGTAGTGTCTTTTTCTGTTGTTGTTAATCTTCACCGGAGGATATGTTTTTTCCATTGCTTTTCAAAGAGAGTGGAAGGGTAGAGGGGACCAGGGGGGGGAGACACACACACACACACACACACACACACACACACACACACATCCATTGGTTGCCTCCCACACACGCCCAGACCCAGGAGCCATGGATCAAACCTGCAACCCAGGTGTAGGCACCCTTGGACCCTTGGCTGGGAATCGAACCTGCAAGCCTTTGGTGCTCAGCCGAAGCTCTAACTCTGGATCCACGCCAACCAGGGCTGTAGTGTCTTTTTATTGGCTGTCTCCATGTGGTTTTGTTGCCATGGTAAAACCGGCCTCTTAGAATGCTTTGAGAAGTGTTTCCTCTCTGCTGTATTTTGAGAGTTAGTGAGGGGTTTGTGTTAATTCATTTTAAATGTCTGGTAGAATTCACCAGAAAAGTCATGTGGGCCTGGCATTTTCTTCGTGGGCAGTTTTCGATTACTAATCCAGAGATCTGAAAGACTTGTTTTTGACAATTCCAGTGCGTGCGTGTGTGCGTGTGTGTGTTTAATAGAGGAGGGGATTATTTTTGGAGTCCTTACTCTGCCGTTCTTGCTGACATCTACTCTTTTCCCTTTAAGTTCTCTGGTGGAGTTAGAAGTAACCAGCCCATTCCATAGCCCTCTCATGCCTTATTCCTACCATATTGTTTTATTGTGGCAGACAATTTATAGTCTGGCAAAGCTGTCAGTGATCACTTCAGTCCAGAAGGCTTTAAGTGACTATTTAAATAACTGTTTTTGAAGGAATGTGCCATAGACTAATTATTTTTTCTTTCCAGTTGAAAAAGTCAGATAGCCATCTTTAAAGATCTTTTGGCCTTAAATACCATATCATAAATCAGAACTGAGTAGAGAAAACAGAAACAGTCAATGCATTTTAAACAAAAAAGGGGTTAATCATGGATGGATACAAAGGAACTACAGGTGTGAAAGAGGACTGGTTCTGGGCTTTGTCTTTAGGAATAATAGCTTCCAGAAAAACAGAGATCTGACCCACAGAGACATCTGCTTCTAAGGACAGACTTTATTTTAAACTTGTGAAAAACTAGTTTGAATTTCAGTGCCTTTTTTTGTTGTTTTGGCTTGTTTTGTTTGGTGTGTGTTCTGCTTTTATTTTTGTTATTTCTATTTTCCTGACTTCTTTTGTTTTATCTAATAGGTCTCTTTCTTTTTTAATCCTCACCCAAGGATATTTTTTTCCATTGATTTGTAGAGAGAGTGGTAGGGAGGGAGGGAGGGGAAGAGAGAGAGAGAGAAAAACATCGATGTGAAAGAGGCACAATGATTGGTTGCCTCCTGCACACACCCCAACCGGAGCCAGGGATCAAACCTGCAACTCAGCTACGTGCCCTTGAGCAGGAATCGAACCTGAGACCCTTTGGTGTGCCGGCCAACACTCTTACCACTGGGCCACACTGGCCAGGACTAATAGGCCTTTTTTTTTAGATTATGAGTTGAATGCTTGAAACATTTATTTTCATTATTAATTAGTTTTTAATGTATTAATTAGGACTCTAAAGTCTTCTTTGAGTATTGTACTGGTTGGTGACATTCCATAGGTTTTCAGTTTAATCAATCTCATTTTAATTTTTTACCTAATTCTATACTTTTATTTTTATTTTCTCTTTAATGAGTTTTTTCTTCATGTAGAAAACTTTATATTTTTATTATTTATGTCTGGTCATTTTGTTATAGTTTTACTGTGGTATAAATGCTTTATTGACATTTTTACGGCCTAGTATATAGTTTATTTTGAAAATATTCTATGGGCACTTGAAAAGAATATATGTTCTTTGTTAACGATGAATACACATGCCTACACACACACACACACACACACACACACACACACATATCTGAGTGGGTAAATTTATTTTTTAAATTCTTTGAAACTATTTTTGTTTCACTACATAGTCAATTGCTGAGAAAGGTGTGCTAAAATGTACTACTTTTAGATTTTTTACATTTTCTCTGCTTTTTAACAATTTTTGCTTTGTTACTCAGTGCATGAAGCATTGTCACAATGACGGACTCCTCATGAATGGAACAGTGTAACCAATAGGAAGCGTGCTTCTGTAGCGTGTAATGATTTTTGCTTTGTATAGCAGCTGGCCAGAAATTGATGTCACCCTTGTTGTCTGGGTACACCTTTGTCGGGCTCTTGACTGAATATTTTTTGTGGGTTTTAAAATTTCTGCTTTTTATCCACTTGGATTTTTAATTTAAAAATTTGTGTTAGCCCTCAGTGTTAACTGCCTGGTGAACAAGAAAACAAACTCATTCATATTTATGTTCTTGATTTAAATATTTAATTTGAATTCTGCCATCTTATTTAGGGCTAATCATTTTGATAGTTCCCCCTTTCTCCTTTCCTCCTTCTCTGTTTATGCTAAATTAATGGATCAATTGCTTGATTGTATATGAGGTGGGGGTGAGGAGTTCAAGTGCATTGAAGGGGTTAAATTTAGCAAGTCTTTAAAATGTAGCTTTATAAACTTCAAATATCAACATATCTATAGCAGTTCTCTAAATAGAACAGGACCTTTAGTGTACTTGTAAGTTTTTCATCCTGGCATTTCTTATACACTCTTGAGAAAATGTCAAAACCACAGACATTGATATTCTAAATTGTCATTCTTTTTACACTATTCTTCTTACACTCTGAATTCCCACAGTAAATAATAGAGCAGAAAATATTCATTTTCTATGATTATTTAAAGTTAAAAACATAGTTTTCTGTTTGATTTTACCAACAATTTAATTGTAACTTTTGTATCAAAAGTTAAAAAACTGGTAATAAATAAAAATATGATTCCAATTTCTCTGAAATGGTTTAAAATAGTACTATCCAAAGATAATGTCAGATATTTGGGGGGCATGTTGATTTCTCCTTCACTAGAAGAGTTCAGATGCGATAGATTACTTCTTGGTAAAGGTGCCTCATCCTCAGACCAATCAAATGTATTGGAATTAAAACAAAATACTCCTTTAACATTGCTTACTACTCAGTTAATCTACAATTCTAAGCATTTTCCTATCTGGGCACAGACAAATAGATGATCCAGAAAACCTATTAAGATCTTTTTTTCATCCCGTTCGTCGGTTCTACTTAATGGGATGCTTTTGTTGTAGTCCAAACATATATACACGAATGTATACATATGTGAAAGGAATAAACCATGATTCATGCTGAGCAGACAATTTCAGTTTAAATGTCCTATTTCTTGAATCAGTGTCCTGCTTGGGCTTCTTGCAGAGCCGCCCAGCCTGGAGGATGCTGGGAGGATGCTGAACGAGACCGTGGTGGTGAACAGCCCTGTGCAGCTGGAGTGTAAGGCTGCTGGAACCCCCTTGCCCGGTATGCTCACCTGGGGACTCTGTAACTTACTAACAGTTTTAAATTTCTAGGGATAGCTAACTCTGTTTATGAGCAAAACATAGTAACAGCTAATAAAGGAAAGAGTATAGATACATTTCAAGGGTAAAAGGGTATCATTAGGTAGATGGTGTTTTCAAATTTTCATTGCTTTCGACTACAAGAAATAATTTACCCATTTAAAAATGTAGAACTATGTGAATAATGAATTGTCTTATTGTCCTCACTGTGGCCACCAAACACACAATGATAGTTCGTGTACATTTATGTTGAAAGATACATTTTTATCTAGTCCACATTGATTATCTTTATAAATCTGTCATTTGATGAGACTTTGTTTATTTTCGTCACTGGTAAGTTATTCCTGTGAATCAATAATAATATAAATTTTTGAAGCTAATAGCAGATATATGTTTGATTTTTATTAGATGCGAAGAGAACATTTTTGTAGAAGAGAGGAACATAGACAACAAAAAGAAATAGAACCAGTTAAAAATTGGGTACCAAACAGTATTGATACATTAGAGATAAAATAAATATTTTTTATAAATTTATTTCAGGACTTTTATATTGGCTTGGCTATTCATGTTCTTAAGCTTACTTCCTCGTAAAAATCAACCCTAGGGAGATATTTAAATAGATTAAACTGAAATGAAAAGCACAAGAATAAAGCAAGTGTTACTATTTTAGATAAGCTCCAATTTAGTATATGGATTGAGCTTTTCTCTTTTTTTTTTTAGCTCTTAACAGAAAAAAATTAAGTAGATGGGCTTCTCTCCTCTTCCCCTTGCAGTCATTACATGGTACAAAGATAATCGTCCGCTCTCGGGCTCCACCAGTGTGACCTTCTTGAACAGAGGACAGATCGTTGACATCGAGAGCGCCCAGATCGCAGATGCTGGCATCTACAGATGTGTGGCCATCAACTCCGCTGGAGCTACGGAGTTACAGTACAGTCTCCAGGTCCACGGTTAGTGCTGCTTCTCCCAGATTCACCCCTGAGGTAAAGAAACATTCAGAGTGACCAAGTCCTGCTATAAAATCCCAGCGTAAATATTTCAGAGTGAGTTGGTGTCATCTTCATAGACGAGCACAGTGTTCCAAAACTGATCAATGTGTTCATTTCCTCATTCCTATGAAAATGCTCTGTTTTCACATGTTGTTGAACTTAACGTTTGTTTTATTTTTTTTAATTTATTTTTGTTACAAATGTTTCTCCCTTTTCCCCTATTGACCACCCCCCTCCCAATCCCGCCCTCGCCCCTGTCTCCAGAACTTATGTTTGTTTTCGATGAATTGTTGAAATAGTCGTAATCTTTTATATCAGCAAGGGCAACGGCCCTGTTTGTAAATAAAATACTGTCTAGCAGAATCCTATTTTTAAACAAATGTTTCCAATTTATTATCTCTAATAATGCTTTTAAGAGGAATTGATAGTTAACATACTAGAGTGGATACAGTGGAGGGACACCAACACACACACAAGCCTGGAAATCAAGAAATAAAAATCCACCCTGGTATCAAAAACTGGATTTCCTACTTCCGGTCAAGATGGCGGCGTAGGTAGACGCGGTATCGCGTCCTCCCACAACCACATCAAAGTTACAACTAAACTACAGAACAACCATCATTCAAAACCGCCTGAAATCAAGCTGAATGGAAGTCGTACAACTACAGAATTAAAAAAAAAAAAAAAAAGCAGCTACATCCAGACTGGTAGGACGGGCGGCGCAGCAGCGCGAGGGGTGGCGGCGCGGAGGTGGCGGCGCAGCGCGGCAGCGGCGGCGAGACGGGCTGGTCCCACACCCACGTGTGGCGGATAAAAATCAGGAGGCTCCCGCGGCTGGGAAGGTCCTTCCTGAGGACTGAGGGGTCCCCGTCCCACACCAGGTGCCCCTCTCAGGGTTCCAGTGCCAGGAAGAGAATTTCCATAACTTCTGGCTGGAAAAACCAGCGGAAACTGAGGCTCAGGGAGGCTGAGGCGGCTGGAGCCCCAGGCAGCTCCTTAAAGGGCCCGCGCACGGACTTAGCGGACTCTCTCCCTCTGAGCTTGGAGGGGAGGCAGCTCGAGGGGCGCCAGAGACATACAGGGAAGAACTGAGCTGTTTGGCACTGGAGCGAGGGCTGGAGAGGGGGCTTCCTCGGGGACAAACGTGCTGTCAGAGGCCTTTGTTCCTTTGGTGAGCCCTTCCCGGGGGCGGCAGACAGAAGCCATATCTGGGACTCCAGCAACCTGGCTCACACTGGTAGCCCCGCCTGCTGACTCCCTGAGGCCCCGCCCCGCCCCACACAACTTTCAAGCCCACCCAAGCTGTTGCCACTTGCTTAACCATAGGATTGGCCTGTCTTGGATCCTGCTTCAGGTTTTTCCTAAATTCTTTCAAACGAGCAGCATCGGGTCTCAGCGAGCCCCATACCTCTCATTAAGTAATACACTGAAACAAACACAGGGAGGCAGCCAAAATGAGGAGACAAAGAAACAGGTCCCAAATGAAAGAGTAGAACAAAACCCCAATAAAAGAACTAAGCGAAAGGGAGATAAGCAATCTAACAGATACTGAGTTCAAAATACTGCTTATAAGGATGCTCAATGAACTTAGTGAGAACCTCAGTGAACTTAGGGAGGGCCTCAAGAGCATAAAAAAGGACCAGTTAGAAATCATGGATACACAGAATTAAAGGAGGCATTAACTGAAATAAAGAATAATTTACACAGCTTCAATAATAGAGTATGTAAATCCAAGGAGCAAACCATCGATTTGGAACATAAGGAAGCAAAAAATCCCCAATCAGAACAGCAAAAAGAAAAAAGAATCCAAAAAAATGAGGATAGTGTAAGGAGCCTCTGGGACAACTTCAAGCATGCCAACATTCGCATCTTGGGGGTGCCAGAAGGAGAAGAGCGAGAACAAGAAATCGAAAACCTGTTTGAAACAATAATGGCAGAAAACTTTCCTAACTTGGTGAAGGAAACAGACATACAAGTCCAGGAAGCACAGAGAGTCCCCAACAAGATGAACCCCAAGAGGCCCACACCAAGACACATCATCATCAAAATGCAAAAGGTTCAAGACAAAGAGAGAATCTTAAAAGCAGCAAGAGAAAGGCAGCTAGTTACCTACAAGGGAGTACCCATTAGGCTGTCAGCTGATTTCTCAAAAGAAACTTTGCAGGCCAGAAGGGAGTGGCAAGAAATATTCAGAGTGATGAAAACCAAAACCTACAACCAAAATTACTCTATCCTGCAAAGCTGTCATTTAGAATTTATGGACATATAAAAACTTTCCCAGACAAGAAAAAGTTAAAGGAGTTCATCACTACCAAACCGTTATTATATGAAATGATGAAGGGTCTTTTTGAAGAAAAAGATAAAATGTATGAACAAACAAAATGGCAATGAATACATATCTATCAACAATGGAATCTACAAACAAAATGAACAGGAAGAACAGAAACATTCTCATAGATACAGAGAACATTTTGTTGGTTGCCAGTTGGGAAGGGGGTTGGGGGAATGGGTGAAAAAGGTGAAGGGATTAAGAAGCACAAATTCATTGCTAGACTGACAAACCTCAAAGGGAAAGGGGTTGGGGGGATGGGAAGAAATAAACCAAAGAACTTATATGCATAACCAATGGACACAGACAATAGTGTGGGAAAAGGTGGGAGGGGGGTGGGAGTGGGGAGGAGGGGGTCAATGGGGGAAAAATGTGGAACATCTGTAATACATTTTACATCCAAAAATAAAGATTTGAAGAAAAAAAAACAAAACAAAACTGGATTTCCTGAACGGAGTAACAAAACGTTAATTTCCTTATCTGTAAGATGTTCAAATACCGATCATTGCTGTACTTAACTCACAGGATAGATGTGATTAGAATCCCAAATCAGAAAAGTGAAAGAACTTACCCCCCAAAATATACCAAAATCCCAATACATGTAGAACACTGCTGCGGACACTCCATATCATTGTCATCACTCTGAGGTGCAGGCTTCTGTGATGTGAGCACGGCTCACGTTCTCTGTCTCTCCCTCTGCAGTGCCTCCGTCCATTTCCGGCAGCAGCAGCGCGGTGGCCGTGGTGGTTAATAACCTGGTGAGGCTGGAATGTGAAGCCAGGGGCATCCCTGCCCCGAGTCTGACCTGGTTGAAAGACGGGAGCCCTGTCTCTGGTTTCGCTAATGGGATACAGGTACGCGGTCATTCCTTTGGGGAATCGACTCCCTGATTCTTCAATACAGGAAGTACGAACAGGGGAGGCTGTTGAAAGAGATTGGAGAACAAGGATTCACAAATGTTATCCAAAACCATACACATAGACATTCATAGATGCTATGGACGTACAGTTGAGATTTCTAAACAATTCACTAAAAGCTCAGTACATCTAAGAATTCCCTTATATCATATGTAGTGCTATAGTTTAGATACTTTCCACCTCCCCACCTCCATCTCCTGCCTCCACTCAAGAGATACCATACACAAAGAAGGGTTCAACACCAAAAAACAGGGATTTCCTGGTAGAATTTATATTTATTTATTTATTTATTTTTCAATATTTTTTTTTTTATTGATTTTAGAGAGAGAGGAAGGGAGAAAGGGAGAGAGAGAGATAGAAACATCGATGAGAGAAAATATCAGTTGGCCACCTCCTACATGCCCCAGTCTGGGGATTGGGCCCACAATTTGCGCATGTGCCCTGACCAGGAATTGAACCAGCCACCTCTTGGTGCATGGGTCGATGCTCAACCACTGAGCCACACTGGCCGGGCTAAAATTTATATTTAAATATGTGGAGATAATAATGACTCAGAAAACCATATGGAGTATATTTACTTCTACAAAATGATCAAATTAAAAAGTGAGACATCATAAAGAAAACATTACAAAAATTGACAAGAGAGTGTGAAAAAATATATGCTTTACAGTGACTCAAAATAAAAAATACGACACACACATCTCATTTAAAGTGCACTTTAATTTTATTTTGTTTGGCAGAGAACATAGTCCTCCCACCGTTCTACTTCTTTAGCTTTTCTTGAAATTCCAAGGCTTGCAGACATTGGGATCATGAAGGGTTTACAGTTAAGGTCAATATTTTAGAAGCGCAACTAGATCAATGGGATAAAAGTGCAATGAATGTGACTAATTAATTTATTTGGCTGCTACTTTGCTGTTAAGTTTAACTTCTTACTTGTTCTCTCAAAGGAAAATTAGAAGCAGGATTAGCTCCTCTTATTCCCACCTCTGCTCCTCTCTCTCCCCTGGAGGCTTTCTCTTTCTCTGTAGTAAGTGTGGGTGAAATTGGACCTTCATTTGATCCTGTAGAGAGAGACTTGCTTTCAGTGGTCATTACCACACTGGGTTCTGGCCTCTCAGTCTTCCTCCACAGATAAGATGGGAAGGGGATTAAATGATGCGCACTTGAAAGTATCCAGGTGGAAATCCTTCTAGAGACAAATGCCAATTGATCAACCTCAGAAAATAAGAAAAAAGTCTGTTTACTCCTACTGTTCTCTGGGATCATGTTGGGTATTCAGCTTTCTTGTCTTTGATAGGTTCTGTCTGGGGGCCGCATCCTCGCTTTGACCAGTGCCCAGATCAGTGATACAGGGAGGTACACCTGCGTGGCCGTGAATGCTGCTGGGGAGAAGCAAAGAGACATAGACCTCAGAGTATATGGTGAGACACTAACAAGATCTCTGCTCTGATATACTTGTGTTTAAGTCCTAAGATCATTGCAGACAGGTAAGGGACGTTTTTGACAATAAAGAACTATGAACAATAGGAATGATATTACAAGATTAATTCAAAACAAATTCTCCCTTTCTGCCTTATATTTATCCTTAACCTTCCTTTTTTAAAGGTCTGAGAAATTAAAATGCATATATTAATCATGTAAGGTGTGGGTTTTATGGAGTACCCCGAGGAACCTGACTATGGAGAACAGCTTTGTGATTTGGAAGACATAATCTCACTAAAGCAAGCTTCTGTTCAGGAAACTCTCTTGATCCATTCTCCCCAAAAACTTGATTTTATTACTCTTTAATTATATGTACAATCAGCCTATACTTATAATCAGCAGTTTGCATTCAATACTGTGTCTGTGAATTAAAGGCTATTTGAGAAGCAAAAGTTAAACTAAGCGTAAACTTAGACAAAATTTAAATTTTGAGTTTTTTCTTTATCTGTGCTGCAGCTTGTAAGGTACAGTAGGGAATGTCTGAAGCTAATGGCCCCCAGAACAAAGTTGGGGCCCCACTGGCCTCCACTCATAGCTCACACTTGCTATTTCATGTTTTAGTGAACCTTTGCATTTAGAACTCTTTCAGGCTGGTTTTAAGGGTCTTATTTGCATTCTGTTTCTTGGTTCATGGAATAATGAATGTGTTTCTTCTGTGGCCCCTCAAAGAATATCTGTTTAATGCAGGCTTTCTCTTCTAAGTCCCGCCTCACTTCTAGAAAAGGCACTTCTATTCAAAGGCATTACTTATTTTTCTTGACCTCCAGGCCATGTGGGTTGAATTCTCTTTTTAAGTTTGCCAAAGACAAATGTAATTATCACAAATAATTAAGTTTGCCAAAAACACATGCAGTGATCACAAATAATTTAAATAAGTTATACATTTTAATAAAAATACCACTTGTTGCAACATGGATATCATATGTCTCATTAAGCTGGAAACCCTAGTCGGCATCAGTAGACGACTCGAGGGTTCTCGACGTACCTCTGTCTCCTGTTTCTTCTGCAGTTGACCTGGTCCACGTCCAACCTCCAGCTTTGCTGGCGCCCTCTGTCTGAGGTAGCAAGCAGGTGGGGGTGAAATACTCATCCCCGGGCAACCCAACTCCTTCCCTTTATGGGCCACTTTTATGCTTTATGGAGAACTGGAATGTAGCTGTCTCCAATGTCCTTAGAGAATGATTCATCACATGGTCAAAGTATGTCACACAGTAGCTCCTTCAGCCACTGGCAAGTAGGCAGAGGGGTGACATTGGTATTTACTGGGTTTTAGTCATCAGGGAAAATTGGGATTGGCTCCTTCCATTTTCACAGTGGTTAATGTCAACGTGGACCTGGGAGATGATAGGGTGTTGGTGTTATCTGGGACTTCCCAAGATGTGCACCACTATTCTGTATCATTGGCTAGGATACTTCCAGGCCACCTTGTTAGTCTGAAAAGCCAGATTTTTCGTTTGTTGTAAAATTCAAATGGCTAGCTAAAATGTGCACGTTTGCAAATGTGTGTGTGTGCGACCTTGTGTCTAATTAGAGCCTAAAGAATGTCTATCGCGAGAGGTAAATTCCCTTCAGATTTACCATCAGAGCGTGGGGGCAGTGGGAGGAGTAGACAGTGGATAAAATACCTTTCCCTGCAGTTACAAGAGTAGTTCATTAAAATGTTTTCTCCTGGGAAATTCAGGGTATGTCTACCCCATTCTGAGGTGCCCAAACAAGAGAATTGAGTTTTTAAATGATGTGGATTCCTGCAGTATCTGTTCTTTCAACTTTAGCTCAGAGAACATTCTTAGAGACTACACAATTCTCCAGCATCTCAATAAGTATAACCCTATGGCGATTCTAATTTCGGTAATGAAATTTAACAAGTATAATGTGTAGGATGAAAAACAGGTGCAGCTCATCCCTTCCTATGCAACATGACCACAAAGCAGAATAGGAATAACATCTAAGAAAGCTGAGGATCTGAAGGGGAGAAGCTTTTCTCTTCTCAGACTAAACAAAATGTTGAAAATGAAAGACAGGACAGAAAAAAATAGATGTGTTTCAGAAACATATATCCTTGGCTGTAATTAGATTTGCTTTAACCAGTGTTCTTTAAGAAACAAATCCTCTATTGTTTTTGCATTTTTTCTCTCCATTTTAAAATTCTGGTATCCTTTTGAACTTGATTTCACGCACTTTGCTGTAAAGAAAAACAACTGAAAGAAAAATATTTGGAAATAAATTAGCATTGTGCTTTCTTGAATTATTTCCGACTTTTACTTCTACAAGGAGTCATAAAGAATTCATACTCTTTCGTAAATCCCACAAATAATCTAAGATAAACATATTTTTATCCAGTTACGGTACTTTTTATCCACTGAGACCAGACTACCTGAAGTTATTTCCAAGCTGTGAAGTCAGCTATTCTTTCTGTGCTGAGACCAATAAGTGTATCTGTTTTCATAACATCTCAGGAAATGACACTAATTGTGCTGATTTTGCTAACATTACGGCAGTTTTCATCTGAAACCTGACTAATTGTGTATCTTTCATCTAATGTGTCCCATATTGAAAACAATCCCACTATATTCTGTTCCCCATAGATTACTTTAAGCTTATCGAGAGCCAGATGTCTGCATGTGCTATTAAACTGAGCAGAAGGGACATCAGGCATCTCTCCCTTGGTCTGCCCCAGTCCTTGCGCATGCTCTGTCTTCCTTCAGCATCAATTCCTTTGGCTCTGGCACAGTTGTGCGTCCAGAAAACACACTGTTACTGGTTGAAGTCAACTGCATTCACTGTCATTTTGCCACATGCAGCAGAATAAAGCCTGAAACCATGGCTAGAAGACTGCAGAAACATTCCTCAGCCCAGAAATTTCATTTCTACCGAAGCATTTGGAAAGATTTTTGAGGAATCATTTCAGTGAAACTTATCCCTTCCTGTAAGACAAAACAAAGGAAAAACTAGAAATATGATCCATTTCCCATAATCCGAAATAGCTATGGGACTTCATGGGAAATGACCGAGGAAGTTCCCCTCTGTGAATTTTGGAGTGGCCTTTTTATAACAGGCTTGGTTGCGTCATTTGTTTGTGTATTTGAATTATTATAAATACAGGCCGGAGAGAGTCCTTGAGAGTCCGCGGAGCCCACCCTCTCCTTCTTGGCAGGGTTGTACCTAAACCATCTGAGACAAACGACTGTTTACTTTACTTTTTAATACACCCAATGGAAGGAGATTCCTTAAACTTCTCCAAGAACACATTTCAGCATCTGACAAGCCTTGGAGCCAGGGAATTCAAATTTTAACCTCATTAACATTTCAACTCATTTCCTCTTTTTATGTGATTGTGAGTGTGTTGTACGGCTGGTCACTGATTCATTTTGTTCTGCTCTGTGCCACTTATCCCACGTGGTTTTTATTCCATGGAAAGCTGACCAGGTACCGTGGAAAACCACAAAGAGCTCTAACCTGCAAGTCAGAAGACCCCTAGCTTGGTGACTGGTTGTCAGGGTATTTCAAATAAGCTGTCACCTGTCACCCACTTAGTTTCGCGCACTGTGACTAGATGGGACGGGGTGAGTTCTCGCACCTCTGTGTTTTTATTTTGCCTCTGTGACAATGAAATTTATTTATTTTTTTGCCAAAAAAATAAAACAAAACAAAACTATAACTCTCAAAAATGCATTTGCTTTAATTCATCGTTATTTCCAAACTATTTTGTGAATTATTTAGTCCTTTGAAAATCTTAAGTAGTAATATTGAGTTCAAGAGGGCACTTGGGGGGAACTTCCAATTCTATTTTTTTTTTCTTTATTTTATTCTGTTATTTTTATTCATCACCATTAATCTCCCCAGACCCTCTTCCACCTCCACCCTCCACCCTCCATCCTGCAATCACCACACTGTTGTCCATGTCCAAGAGTTCTTTCTCTTTTTTTGGAGAAAAGATAGTGAAAACTATCTTTGTTCAAAGCAGCATGTTAGTCAGTGATCTATTAACACTTGCAACCAAAGAGGGAACGTTGGAATGATCATGATCCGACATCTTAAAAGACCCAGTAGAGTTACCCAGCGTATGTCCTGATGATGAATAATGATGAGCAGTGTGCTGGCCTGCTTTATGCTGAGGGGACCCGTCTTTCACTCAGTTCCACCGAACATCGTGGGAGAAGAACAGAACGTCTCTGTCCTCATCAGCCAGGCTCTGGAGCTCCTGTGTCAGAGTGACGCCATCCCCTCGCCTACGCTGACTTGGCTGAAAGACGGCCGCCCGTTGCTGAAGAAACCCGGCCTCAGGGTTTCTGCAAACGGAAGTGTGCTGACGGTAAGCTAGCGGTGCACTGATTTCCTCTTAAATTATCCTGAGCGCATGGCTAGCGGTGCACTGATTTCTTCTTAAATTATCCTGAGCGCATGGCTAGCGGTGCACTGATTTCCTCTTAAATTATCCTGAGCGCGTGGCTAGCGGTGCACTGATTTCCTCTTAAATTATCCTGAGCGCGTGGCTAGCGGTGCACTGATTTCTTCTTAAATTATCCTGAGCGCGTGGCTAGCGGTGCACTGATTTCTTCTTAAATTATCCTGAGCGCATGGCTAGCGGTGCACTGATTTCTTCTTAAATTATCCTGAGCGCGTGGCTAGCGGTGCACTGATTTCTTCTTAAATTATCCTGAGCGCGTGGCTAGCGGTGCACTGATTTCCTCTTAAATTATCCTGAGCGCGTGGCTAGCGATGCACTGATTTCCTCTTAAATTATCCTGAGCGCGTGGCTAGCGGTGCACTGATTTCTTCTTAAATTATCCTGAGCGCATGGCTAGCGGTGCACTGATTTCCTCTTAAATTATCCTGAGCGCGTGGCTAGCGGTGCACTGATTTCCTCTTAAATTATCCTGAGCGCGTGGCTAGCGGTGCACTGATTTCCTCTTAAATTATCCTGAGCGCGTGGCTAGCGGTGCACTGATTTCTTCTTAAATTATCCTGAGCGCGTGGCTAGCGGTGCACTGATTTCTTCTTAAATTATCCTGAGCGCGTGGCTAGCGGTGCACTGATTTCTTCTTAAATTATCCTGAGCGCGTGGCTAGCGGTGCACTGATTTCTTCTTAAATTATCCTGAGCGCATGGCTAGCGATGCACTGATTTCCTCTTAAATTATCCTGAGCGCGTGGCTAGCGGTGCACTGATTTCTTCTTAAATTATCCTGAGCGCGTGGCTAGCGGTGCACTGATTTCCTCTTAAATTATCCTGAGCGCGTGGCTAGCGGTGCACTGATTTCTTCTTAAATTATCCTGAGCGCATGGCTAGCGATGCACTGATTTCCTCTTAAATTATCCTGAGCGCGTGGCTAGCGGTGCACTGATTTCTTCTTAAATTATCCTGAGCGCATGGCTAGCGGTGCACTGATTTCTTCTTAAATTATCCTGAGCGCATGGCTAGCGATGCACTGATTTCTTCTTAAATTATCCTGAGCGCATGGCTAGCGATGCACTGATTTCTTCTTAAATTATCCTGAGCGCATGTCTTCGGTATGACCCCCAGTACACTTGCCTGTCTCTACAGACGTTCTCTTAATTTTACATTATACAATTCTAGGAAACTTTTCATTAAGGAGATTTGTAATATTTTTTTAAATTTGGGGGGCTTAGTAAGAGTTAACTATTTACTTGTCTACCCATATTTGTAGCCAGAAGCCATCTAAAAAGCTTCCAGGGAAATAGTATAGAAATACTGTAAAGACTACCTATTCACAGTCATTCAGCCAATCCGCAGGTACCCGTTGTGAGTGCTCTGGATAGGGGTGCAAAAAAGTAGATGCATTTTCTGCCCTCAGTGTCTTCTAATTTTATATAAATATGTGACAAATGTAGCGACCATTCCCTGAAAATGCTGTAAGTGCTGTAGGTCTGAATTGGTGACCAAGTGGATAGTGCAGAAGGTACCCTTTGGGGGGGCAGCAGAAGGTGAAGGGGCAGCGCCTGGAGTCGTCTCGGAAGCTACTTGCATCTTTATGGGGCAAGAGGCCCGATTAAGGAAAGCAAGTGAGCTGGTGTGGCTGAAACGGAGAGTTGAACAGAGTGAATATTTGGACATAATTCTGACATGGTTGACTCGAGTAAAATAAGAGCTGATATTTAAAGCCAGCCTATGGAATTCGGATTCGAGAATGTTTATTTATTTATTTTTATTTTCTTTACTGATTTTAGAGAGAGAGAGAGGAAGGGAAAGGGAGAGAGAGATAGAAACACTGATGAGACAGAACATCGATTGGCTGCCTCCTGCATGCCCCCCACTGAGGGTTTGGCCCACAACCTGGGAATGTATCCTGACCAGGAATTGAACTGGCGACCTCTTGGTGCATGGGTCAATGCTCAACCACTGAGCCACATCGGCCGGGCCCAAGAATGTTTATAGAATCTTCATCATAACCCTATTGAGAAACTGAAAGAACGGCTAAGAAATCTGCCCAGTTAGCAAGGGGCCGGAATGGGTTGTGAATACAGGAGCATGGTTTCAGTCCATGCCGCAAACCACTCTACCTCCCCGCCTCTTGGCAAAGGAGGGTTGTTACTGGCAAGTCAAGAGAGTCTTGAGAAATGGATGATTGGTGTCAGCACCTAGAAGCTGAGGAGCTTGCACAGGGGGTCAGAAGCATGGGGCGGAGTGGAAGGGAGTACCAAAGTGTATGTTAGAGGCAAGAGAGTGGAGACCTTGCAAATTATGATCCTGAAATCATGGAGCTGTTGAGGAAGGAAAGGCCAGACTGTCTGAGGGAGGAAAGTAGGGTGAGCCCATGGAGCTATATAAAGAAGCAGCAGCAAAGACCACAGCCCCTGCTCAGACACAGAGCCCAGAGTTCTAGAAGGCAGCTGGTAGAATTCTTAAACCTTAGCTCTCACTGAGTGATAGAAGGAAACAATGCTATGGATACAATCCCCAGACTGGTAGGGGAGAACTCTGCATGGTTAGAACTGTCGGCAAGTTATACTGAGCGAAGCAGTTTATTTCTTCAGAGCACAGATTCCCAAAGGGATTGGGAAACCCAAAGAGAGATGATGGATGTTGAAGCAACCCTGACATTCATTGAATCCCACCACAGAGTTCGGCCAGGCCCCCTAGAGTGTACAGGTCCCACTGAGGGGTACAGAGAGAAGACCTGAAATGAAAGCTTCTAGTGTGCCCCCTCACCCCCAATTATACTAAATGCTTTCAATGATAACTTGAACTCCAGTGATTTAACTCTTGAATGTTTTAGCAATTGACTATAAGGTTTTTTCGCAATCAATACCATATTCTTTGTTGTAACCTCTTGTATTAAATTCTGCTATTATTTATACCTTGTTTATCATTAAACTCTTTAATGTTCAAGTACTTTCTATTCTCAACCAGAATGTAAGTTCAAGTCCAAAGCCATATAATACACTATACTTCTTTGCATTTTCTTTATGCAGTAGCTGGTCCAAGGTTCTCAATAACTGATGAATGGTCAGTGAATCAGTGATGAATGAGTTTGATGCGTGTTACAGATAAATACATAGAAAATATTTGCTGATATTCAGTTATCTACCAAGCATCAAACTGGGTACTAGGAGACCAAGACTAATTGAATATAATATTTGGCTTGAAAATGCTTAAAAGCCCCCTATGGGGGAAGAGATGTCATAAATAAATAAAAAAGGGTGTTACTTTACTGAACAATATCCTAGATGTATAAAGATTGTGCGTTTTAAAGCCTTAAATAACTTATTCGTAAATTGTGGGGTTTTTTTTTGCCATTTTATCTGAATTATATTTAAAAGGCCTTTCTAGATTTTCAATGACTGATATTAATGAGATTAAAATAAGCTATGTCAGGGACAAAAATTATTGAATCTTGATAAGTGGGTACTGGGTGTATAGCTATCCATTTTATTTTACTTTTACATGTTTGAAAATCTTCCTCATACAAATGAAAAATAAGAAATCACAAATAACAGTGACAGGAAACCCCGTTACATATAAAATAGAAACTGGTTTTAAAGCCTGATTTTCTTTTCAGATTGAAGATGCTCAGGTTCAAGACACTGGTCGTTACACTTGTGAGGCAACAAATGTTGCTGGGAAAACTGAGAAAAATTATAATGTCAATATTTGGGGTAAGTGTGATTAATTCCTGAAAAGCAAATGGTGTGGCGAATGGAGGTCTAACCTTTTATTCTGTGTGCCAGCTCTTACAATGCCATCCACCTACCTAAAATTGATCATAATACATAGATGCACCCTAATCCGTATGTTTAAGTGACGCTACAGTGTCCTGATCATCAGCTCATATAATTAATTCGAGAGCAGCCATAGATAGACTGCTTGAGCCTAGATGTGTTAATCTCTGTAACTTTTATATACAGTGGTTCTCGCCCTTGTCCGAGTGATACATCTTTTAGCTTCCACAAGCAGGATCTTCCAGTGATTGAGCCTTCTGCATGCATGGAGGGTGGGGTAGTCAATTGAAAATAAGTCAAAAGGCCAAATTATGTATATGAATCATGTGTGCATGTGAGAGAGACAGTGAACACGTGTCCTTGTGGGCGGGAATTGGCATCCCTGTGCTGACCAGTGGGACTAGCTTTCCTCACTTGAAATTTTACTGTCATGACATCCAAGCTGGATAGAGAAGTCAGTAAACAAGAGGATGCAGCCAGATTGGGAGCCTTCTGAGAGGATAATGGACTTGAGATTCAATCTGGCCAATGGATTGAGCATTGGGAACAATTAGGTGAAAGAGCTGTAAGGATGGAGTCGTTGTCAGAGAATGTTCTAGATGAGGACAGGGGTATGGCTCGGATGGAGAAGACGATGTGCAGATCAAGGAACTGAGTATCCAGGGTTGAGGCTGGATATTCATGTGGATGTTCAGTTCATACAGAAGGATGGCAGGTCTTCGTGTGAAGAGGAGGGATAGAAACAAGTGCCAAATTGTTCAGAGACTGGAACAAGAATGAGGTTCACAGATGGTAGAGAGAGCGAGTAGTAAACCGGAGGTTTTCGCAGGGGTGGTTGAACGAAGACTGGAAGCTGCTTTGGGAGGTGGGGGGCTCTCCCCCTCCTCCACTCCCAGGAGCTGGGAGGACAATACCGCAGCCAGGGAAGTGGCCAAGGAGAGTCCGGCAGCACGATGCCTCGGGCTCGGCCTCCGAGACGCGCGTGCGCACAGGACTCACTTTGAACGTTCCAAGGAGAAGCTGGAGGCCAGTGGGAGGCGGGCTGTGTGGCCTCATTCAGATAACAGGTCTGTTTCTTAGATCAAGTCCCTGCCTCTGTTCTCTACTGTGTGTTAGATGCCTGTTGTTTTCCGATTCTGGTCAGCCTCTGAGACATCAAAGCTGGCTGGGTGCAAATGACTGGGTTAAGTTTACACTTGGTAAGTGACTTAGCCTTTTGGTGCAAGGTGTCTAAATATCTGTAACAAATTAGCTTCTTTTTGTGCCATGCTTAATATTGTTTTTCTTTATTGATTTTAGAGAGAGAGGAAGGGAGAAAGAGAGAGAGTGAAACATCGATGAGCGAGAACATCCACTGGCCGCCTCCTGCATGCCCTCCACTGGGGATTTGGCCCACAACCTGGGCATGTGCCCTGAGTGGCAATCGAACCGGTGCATGGGTTGACACTCAACCAGTGAGCCACACAGGCCAGGCTCAATATTCTGATAATTAAGTTTCTACCTGTGCAAATGGGAAGTTTGCAATTAGGTAGTTAGTATATGTCTTACAGTGGGCTTTTTAATGAGGTGTTGATGTGTCAGCCTCAATTGTTAATTGTTTTCTGTGTCATCAAGTGCACACCTTTTTAAAAAACGTGTGAAGTGCCCTGGCCAATTTGGCTCAGAGGTTAGAGCATTGGCCTGCGGTCCAGAGAGACCCGGGTTTGGTTCCTGCTAAGGGCACGTATCTCTGTTACAGTTTGTCCCCGGCCCTGGTTGGTCGTGCGGGTGGCAGCCGCTTGATGTGTCCCTTTCACGTCGATGTCTCTCTCTCTCTCTCTTCCTCTCTCACCCTCCCACTCTGAATAAAAAATGGAAAAATGTCCTCAGGTGAGGATAAAAAAACAAACAAAAAAACCATGAAGTATTAGGGAAATTGTATATTAAAAGAGTGTGAAAATAGTTTGTATTTCTTTCTTTCTTTTATTTTTTATCTTTCAGTACCACCAAATATTTATGGTTCTGATGAACTTGCTCAACTCACAGTCATTGAAGGGAATCTCCTCAGTCTGTTATGTGAATCAAGTGGTCTGCCACCCCCAAATCTCATTTGGGAGAAGAAAGGTCAGTTTTCATCCTCTGACATTTACAAGAGTAAATGTAATATTAGATGAATTTATATTTTATCAGACAAATATGTTAATTTATTTTTAAAGTTTTCAAGGGTTTGCATACTAAAATACTAAGCAGCATTAATATTAAATGTGCAGTGTGATATTTCTGCATGATCCAGCTGAAAATCTTCAATTTTGAGACTAACTTCCCCCCAGAAAAAAATTTACATTGTTCTTTTATCAAGTGCAGTATGGGGTAGCTATAATGATCAAGAAACCACCATTCAAAGAACTATTATTTTTCCTTAATATAGGATTAAAAATTATTTTCTAAACAAGCATATTTGTGGCAGCTTTATAATGTGTGTTAAGATTAAATTCTGCAGTTGGACAGATTTTCAATTTATTCATCAACAAATATTTATTTGTGTCTGTACCAGACAGATCACCTAAATGTTTAGCTGATTTTAAAAATCAGTTTCGCTTCTGTTTTAATATTTAATTTTATTTGTTTTTCTAAGTTTGTATTCTTTCATATGCAATATTTGTCGAACTTACCAAAATTTTGCAGATTTTCTTAGTAAAGTTTTTCTTCTCCTCCTCCTTCTTCTCTTCCTCATCTTTCTCTTCATCCCCTTCCTAATTCTCTTTCTTCTCCTCCTCCTTCTTTTTTTGTGTAGGATTACTTTACAGTGCCATCTGTCTTTTAGGTACTTGGCCTGGAAGTAAATGAATAAATAGATACACTTATCAGAAAATGTACACATAATGCTTTGTGAGTTTTGGGGTTTTTTGCTTCATGTTCTGCCGTTTGGTTTTCTTTGTAGGCTCCCCAGTGCCGGCCGATTCTGCAGGGCGGGTCAGGACTCTGTCTGGAGGCAGACAGTTACAGATTTCAGTCGCTGAAAACGCAGATGCAGGGCTTTATACGTGTGTGGCATCAAATGTTGCTGGAACTACCAAAAAAGACTACAACCTGCAAGTTTATAGTACGTTATTGATCCGCCAGGCTTTGGCACAATTATCTTTAAATGTTTCTATTTTTCCTTTTCCTTTATAACTTTAAGATAGAGTCCAAGTTATATGGTTATATATACCTACCATAAGACCCACAAATGTAAACGGTGCTGAGGAAATCAGAGAGCAGTTACTTATTAGTGCTGTTTATTCAGCAATACAGCCGTCCACTCTGGGTCAGCTTGGCAGTGTCAGGCACGTGAGTGTGGCTGCGATTTGTTCAGGGCAAAATAGTGGACATGGAGGATGAGGAGGGATGACATTGTACCACAGACTATATTTATCATATGTAAAAACAGGTCATTTTAGAGAATAACTTGTATAAGATTTTAAAGTGCTTAGAATATGCAATTATCTCATTTCATCTTTACCTGAGTTGTGATATGAATCAAAATTGCTGCCTGCGCCCATTATGCATTCATGAAAACATCAGCCCGGAGAGGATCCCATGACCCACCGAGATCAGACGGCTTGTGATGTGGTAGGAATGGGACTAGAACACAGGATTGCTAACACCGGCCCACTTATTTTCTCACTCACGTGTGTATTAGAGTTGGTCCAATTTTTGTTCTTGGAATCAGTACGCATTAGGTGAATTCAGCTGCAAAGTTACAGGATAACTGGGCCCCAGTGGCTTAAGCAAATAGAGGTTTATTCTGTCACATAAAGAGAAGTGTGAGGTTGGCAGTCAGGAGTTGGTCACCACATAAACAAATGAACAAAATCAGAAAGAAAAGTTACAACTGATACGACAGAAATTCAAAGGACCCTAAGAGAGTACTACAATAATTATATGCCATAAAATGGACAATCTAGAAGAAATGGATAAATTCCTAGAAACATACCATCTTTCAAGATTGAACCATAAAAAAAAATAGAAAATATGAATAGACTGATTAGTAATGAGGTAGAATCAGTAATCAAAATCCTCCCAACAAACAAAAGTTATGGACCATGGATGAATTCACTGGTGAATTTTACCAAACATTCAAAGATTTAATACCTATTCTTCTCAAACTCTTCTAAAACATTTAAGAGGCAAGAATGCTATCAAACTCATTTTATGAGGCCAACATTACCCTGATATCAAAATCATGCAAGGGCACCACAAAAAAAGAAAATTACAGGCCAATATCCTGAATGAATGTAAATGCAGAAATCTTCAACAAGATATTTGCAAACCAAATTTAATAATGCAGTAAAAAGAGTATACATCATGATTAAGTGAGATTTATTTCAGGGATGCAGGGATAGTTCAGCATCCACAGATCAATCAGTGTGATGTGCCACATTAACAAAATGAAGGATTAAAACCATACAGTCATCTCAATAAAAGCAGAAAAAGATTTGACAAAAGTGGCCCAACCTGTGTGACTCAGGGGTTGAGCATAGCCTCATGCACTACGAGGTTGCCAGTTCAAGTCCCAGTCAAGGCACATGCCCAGGTTGTGGCCCTGATTCCCAGTTAGGGGCATGCAAGAGGAGGCCAATCGATGTTCTCTGTCATTGATGTTTCTATCTCTCTCTCTCTTTCCTTCCCTCTCTCTCTCAAATCAATAAAGAAAAAAAAAAAAAGATTTGACAAAAGTGTAATTTTCATTTATGATAAAAACTCTCAAAAAAGTGAGTATAGCAGGAACATACCTAGACATAATAAAGGCCATATAATCTGTAGCTAATATCATAGTCAATGGTGAAAATCTGGAATCTTTTCATCTAAGATCAGGAGCAAGACCAGATGTCCACACTTTTGTTCAACATAGTATTGGAATTTCTTGCCATAGCAAGTAGGCAAGAAATGGAAACAAAAGCATTCAGATCAGAAAGGAAGAAGTAAAACTCTTACTATTTGCAAATGACATCATAGAGTATATACAGAAAACTCTAAAGAGTCCACCAAAAAAACGTTAGAACTAATAAATAACTTCAACAAAATTGCAGAAGATCCCAAATTGTCAAAGCAATCTTAAGAAAGAAGAACAAAGTTGGAGGTATCATGCTTCCTGATTTCTAATTATAGTACAAATCTCTACTAATCAAAACACTATGGTATTAGCATAGAAACAGACATGCAGATCAATGGAACAGAATATACAGCCCAGATATATACCCACACATATATGAACAAATTAATTTAAAACAAAGGAGCCAAGAACATACAATGAAGAAATGACAGTCTTCTTAATAAATGCTGTTGGAAAACCAGAGAGCCACATGCAAAAGAATGAACTTAGACCACTATCATATACCATATACATAATTAACTTTAAATGAATTCTTACTTGAAAGTAAGAACTGAAATACTAAAATATCTAGGGAAAAAAACATAGGTAGAAACCTCTTTGATATAGGTCTCAGCTATACTTTTGTGGATCTGATTCCAAAGGCAAAGGAAATAAAAGCAAAAATGAACAAATGGGGCTACATCAAACTGAAAAACTTCTGCATAATGAAGGAAACTATCGTCAAAATGAAAAGCAAATCTACTGAATAGAAGAAGATATCTACAGATCACATATCCAACAAGGGATTAATATCCAAAATATATAAAGAACTCATACTACTCAACATAAAAAAACAAAAAAAACTTGATGAAAAAATGGGCAGAGGATATGAATGGATATTTTTCTAAAGAAGACATACAGATGGCCATTAGGCACATGAAAAAATGTTCAACATCACTGATTATTAGGGAAATAATTAAAATCAAAACCACAGTGAGGTATCACCTCAAACCTGTTAGAAATCACTATTATTAAAAAGACAAAAAATAATAAGAGTTGGAGAAGATATGGAGGAAATGTAAATTGGTGCAGCCACTATGTAAAACAGTATGGAGATTCCTCAAACAAATGAAAAATAGAACTACCATTTGACCAAGCTAATCCACTGGGTATTTATTCAAAGACTAAGAAAATACTAATTTGAAAAAATAGATACACCTCTGTGCTTATTGCAGCATTTTTACAATAGCCAAGATATGGAAACAACTTAAGTGTCCATCAGTGGATGAATGGATAAAGAAGATATAATACATGTATGCAATGGAATATGACTCAGCCATGAAAAAGAATGGAATCTTGCCATTATTACACAGGTGGACCTTGAGATTATTGTGCTAAATGAAATATATCAGATGGGGGAAGACAAATACAGTATGATTTCACTCATATGGGGAATCTAAAAAAGCAAAAAAGGTATGAAACAAACTCATAGATACAGAGAACAGATTGGTGGTAACCAAAAGGGAAGGTGATGGAGGTATGTGAAATGGATGAAGGGGGCCAATTTTATGGAGAAAGATGGTAACTAGGCTCTTGGTGGTGATCACTTTGTAGTGCATATAGATGTCAAATTATAGTTTGTATACATGAAACTTTTATGTTATATGCTGATATACCGCAGTAAAAAAATAGATGTATCTTTCCCTGTTTTCAGGAGAGCTAAAAGTTCCCAAAATTTATAGCTCCCATCTCCTGCCAGCAGATCTTTATTTAAATTGTATTGGCCAGAATAGATTCATGTGGCCACTTCAGTTTTCAGAGGAGACCAAAGAATAATCTCAGCTTTTCTAATTCCTGTAGTGGTAGATGGAAGCAAGATAAGAATTAGTAATTGATGTTGGATTGTGAGCTAGGCTACCATATATGTTTTTAAATTAATACTACAAAGACTTTGGTAAATGATAAGTTCAAATATTTGTGTAACTTCTCAAGAGCAGGGAAAGAAGCAAGCACAACATTTTTGCTTACTGTGTGGTTAGCTTTATTTTGGGCATGAACCCATTTAGAAACAACGAAGAAGTATTCCGCCTCTCAGTATAGCAATGCCACCTCTGTAAGTCGTAGGTCTTTTTTAGCAGTTAATCTTTTCACATGACAAATGAATTTACAATCAACAAACAATAAGTGTTGATGAGGATGTGGAGAAAAGAGAACCCTCATTTACTTTTGGTGGGAGTGCAGATTGGTGCAGCCAGTGTGGAAAACAGTATGGAGATTCCTCAAAAAATTTAAAATGGAGCTGCCTTATGACCCAATAATTCCATTCTGTGTATATTTCCAAAGAAACCCAAAACACCAATTCAAAATAATATATGCACCTCTATGTTTATTGCAGCATTATTTACAATAGCCAAGATGTGTAAGCAACCCAATTGCCCATCAATAGAATAGGATAAATAAGAATCTGGTACCTATATACAATGGAATATTAGTCGGCCATAAAAAAGAATAAAATCTTATTCTTTGCAACACCATGGATGGACCTAAAGGATATTATGCTAAGTGAAATAAGTCAGACAAAGAAAGACAAATGCCATATGACTTCACTTATATGTGGAATCTAAACAGCAAAATGAACAAATGAAATAGAAAGAGACTCATAGATACAGAGAACAGATGGAGGTAGCCAGAGAGGGAGGGGTTAGGAGGCTGTGTGAAGAAGACGAAGAGATTAAGAACTACGAATTGGTAGTCACAAAATAGTTCTGGGGATGTAAAGTACAACATAGGGAATATAGTCAATAATATTGTAAAATACTATATATTGCACCAGGTGGGTACTTGAAATATTGGGGGGACAGCTTTGTAAAGTATATGATTGTATAACTACTACGCTGTACACCAGAAACTAATACAAAATAATATTGGATGTAAGCTACAATTGGAAGATAAAATTCAAAAAAAGATTAGAGATTGCCAGGGCTCTGGAAGGAAGGAGGGATGAGCAGGCAGAGTTCAGAGGATTTTGGGAGCAGTGAACTATTCTGAATAATGTTATAATGGTGGACACGTGTCATTATACATTCGACAAAATCCATAGAATGTGCAACACCAAGAGTGAATTGTAGTGCAAGCTGCAGACCTTGAGAAAGCACGATGTAGCAACATGCCTGCATCAGTTTGAACGAGTGTTCTACTGTGGTGCAGGATGTTGATACGGGGAGAGGCTGTGCTGCGAAGGGGCAGAGCATGTAAGAGCTCTGTGTTTTCTGCACAGTTTGGCTATAAACCTCAAACTGCTCTAAAAAATAAAATGTATTTAACAAATAAATTTAACATTGGCTGATGAAAATTTCTATATAAAACTTAAGAAAGATTTTTCCCATTTTCTTTTTTTTTCTCTTTTTTTTAATCCAGTTCGACCAACCATAGCCAACAGTGGCAGCCAACCTACTGAAATTGTTGTGACTCGAGGGAAGAGTATTTCCTTGGAGTGCGAGGTGCAGGGTATCCCTCAGCCGACAGTGACCTGGATGAAGGATGGCCGCCCCTTGACCAAGGGAAGGGGAATGGAAATACTGGATGACGGTCGCATCCTTCAGCTGAAGAATATTCATGTCTCTGACACAGGCCGCTATGTGTGTGTTGCTTTAAATGTAGCAGGAATGACTGACAGAAAATATGACTTAAGTGTACATAGTAAGTATAAAGAAGCTCAGTAGGCCTGCTCATTGGCCGATATAATCTATAGCATCCTACAGATGGGATGGGAGATACAGGCCTTGAGTGTTGAGTCTTCCATGTATAGTCTGTTCTTTTCTACTTAGACACCATTTCTCTGTATCATTCTCGTCACTTATCCTTCTGTGCCTGACTTTCCATTTCTCACCTTGCCAAAATAAGCATATATTAGGTATTCTTTTAGGAAAGCAGAGAGTGAGATAAATAATGATCATCTTCAAGTACTTTGGGTTCAGTGATATCCCAACTCTTTGATTCGGTGTTTTCCAAATTAGCTGTCTTGGCTAGTATGAACCTAGGTTCCTTAGAGCTTACTGACTCAACATCAGTTGGTCATGAGTTATACTGAAGTCAGCTTTAATATGCTAATTAATGAGTCATCAATGTCATTAGGAATAGACCAAACACATCTTTCTCAGGGATGTCTATATACTTTGAGTTGCAATTTTTAGATCTGTAGAAATAATGGTAAATTTAATATACATAGTCTTATACTTTGGCTTCAGTTGGGACTCGCACAATGTCCAGTATTAATGTCCTGTGGTTTGCTGCTAATGTGTGAGTCAACGCTAACAAAAGCAGAGGGTAAAAGAAAAGGAGGGAGGGTACTGTTCATATTTAGGATTAGAATTACTTGTTAGAAAATCCTGCCTATGAGAAGACCATGAATCCATAGTAGAGATTTAGCAGAAAAGATGAGAGACTCATAGAAAATCGTTACCTCTATTAGAATAACAGTGTCAAAGTCATTTATTGCTAAAAGTGGACAAGTGACATTTTTACTTCAGAGACTGTTAAACTAAAATACTGCTGCTACTACTACTACTAATATCCTTCATGTGCTTGCTTATTTTGGCTACTGTTGACCAGAAAATGGAAATCTTATTATTAACAGTACACTGTTTAGGGTTTGGTATTTGACAGATGTTAACTCCTTCCTTTCCATTTCCTGTTTGTTTTATTTTGTCTTGCAGCCCCTCCAAGCATCATAGGAAACCACGGGACACCTGAAAACATCAGTGTGGTGGAAAAGAACTCAGTGTCCCTGACGTGTGAGGCCTCGGGGATCCCTTTGCCTTCAATTACCTGGCTTAAAGATGGCTGGCCCATCAGCCTTAGCGGTTCTGTGAGGATCCTCTCAGGTATTAGAAATTCTCTGCCTGATAATCTTGTTATCTTCATGTGGCCACTGTTGCTCCTTAATGTCTCATTTCTCCCTGTCTTATATTTCTCTTTGATCTAGCTGCTCACTGTAACACCCCCTGATCATATTAAAAAAGAAAAATATTTAGAAGGACATCAGACATTCTATGAAAAGGAGAAAATCTCTAAATTATCTCTAGATCCTTTTACAGAGGAAACCTTGGCCTTTGCTTATCACTTAAACGATGGTGGTATCAGAGCAGTCCTGCTACAAAGAGTCCCAACCAATGTGAAAAACAAAGAATGAAAAGAAATACTAAAATGAAAACCAGTATCTAGAGAGATTCATGTTATGTAATATTCCTCCGTCAGCAAGTCTTTCACCTTATTTATGACTCTAATCTGAGTGAGTTTTATATTTACAAGATAGAATCATTGACTGTGAGCTAAGACTTGATTATTGTAAAAGAGATATTCAGCTTATTGTTCATCTAATTAGATAAGAAAATCGATTAGCTTCTCCTTAATGAATCAGCTTAAGCATGGAGAGAAGTGTCTGGGGTCCACCACAGGAATCTGCACTTGGCTTCTTTTAATAATGACTTGGAGACACACTAAGAAGATAGTTTTGCCAAGCCTGTGGTTAATAAAAAGCTTGGATACTTAGACGACTACCTAATGTGTTGAATGAAGACATCTGAATTCAAACACACCTCATGAACTTTGGAGTTTAACCTCCCAAAATAAAAGTTAAATAAACTCCTGCAAAAGCCAGTGATGAAAATTAGGGTGATTCTTCATATGATGAGATCTCTGCATTGTGTTGTTTATTCACTGTGCATTAACAGTGTAATGTGGTTATCCAGAAAATAAGTGCAATATTTTTCCACATTAACAAAATATATTTTCACCGGTAAGAAAAGTAGACCAGTTGTACTCTGGATTTAACAAACTTAATAGGAAAACTAGGATTTATTGACAATGTTTTTTTAAGGAGGGTAACCATGATAGTTAATGATTACAAAATAATTTATGACTGATTGTATCGAACCTGGAAAAATAAACCCTATGTAACCTTGTGGTTACATAGTAAAAATTAAATGTAAATAGTTGAAGAGCCGTGGTACAGAAAAGGATTATATTGGTTCTGTCTCGTTCCAGAGGTAGAAAGTATTGGCAGAAGATTCTAGGGACACATTTGGCTCTGAATAGAAAGAACTTTAAACATGTATATTGTTTAAGCCAAGATGAGCTATTTTAATAGGAGTGAGCTCCCTAAATTTGTTCAAAAATTAAATTCCCACTCTTGAAGGCTTTTCAGAAAAGAGTCCTTTCTAGTGTTTGAATTATGTCTAAATATCCTCAGTTCCCTCTGTTTCTTCAAGATCTTACTCGAGAAATGACAGGAGCTTGATGAGCAATGTGCTATGAATTAACCTCATCTATTGCCTACAATACTCACTAAACTTAGGACCTCAGGCAAGTTACTTGATGTTGCTGACTTTAGTTTCTCTACACACAAAATGAAGGTATTAATAGAATTTGCCTCTTAGGGTTTTGGGAAAGATGAAAGAGTCACTGTAAAGCAGTGAACACAGAGCCTGCTTGTACAGTAAGCATCCGAGGCATGCTTGTTGTTACTACCGCAGACGACCTGGTAAAGGTCTGCAGTCTTTCTGTCCTGGGGGACAGTCCTGTGTCCTTGTTATGCCATTTTTATTTTCATGGGCTCCCAGGCCCCGTTGGTCTTAGGAAATGATAGGAATGGCAGAGATGTTAAAATTTGGTCACCCAAAACCTGAACACATCATCTTCCTGTCTTGAAATTATTCTCAGAATTTTCACTTCTTTTCCTAATTCCCAGTTGCTAAAAAAGTAGGAACTCTTAATGCAATGACCACACCAGAGCTCCTGGAAATGACAAAAGCCAGTTAGAGTGTGTACCCTGGTTTATGGAGCTTAACAGTGCGGTGTTTGGGTTTTCTCTTGTTCTGCTTCACCTCACCGGCATCTGGAGATCCCTGAGTGAACACAGTAAGAGTATCTCACCTTGTGGAGCTGCCAGAGGAGTCCTTCAGGTCTGCAGCTCACATGTGTGTTGTGCAATAGATGAATGAGAGTCAAGTGAATGGCGTAGGACTCGCTCGGTCCTTTCCGCTGCACACTTCTGTTTCATTAAGATCCATCCTCCTGAGACCTGAAGTACAGCTTTTCTCAAAGCAGCACTTTGGTGAAGTCTCTATTATTGCTATGAATTTATGTGCCAAGAAGAGCTAGATAACTGCTATAAAAATTTAATAGGTACAAGAAACGTCTCTGTGTAAGTCTAACTGTCAGACTCGTTTTCCCCCATTGGATTAAGTGAAGAGACCAGGAGAAAAAGGAAGGTCATGAGACCCATGAGGCTGAGGTTTGCTGAGCCAGCAATGACTCATAAAAGTTGGATTGTTTTCATATCCCTCAACCGGGATTGTCTTATGGCTTTGGTAGCCTGAAGTCGCAGGCGGTGTTTGAATCTTCTCCAAATCAATGCAAGCCTTCGACATGTTTAGATAATTTCTCGATTCAGCTTTGCTTATGTAAATTCAGTTGGGGGAAGAAAAAAAAGACTGAGTTCAGGTCATCAGCTCTGTTTGTCTAAATAAGATATAAGTCCACCTTTCAGTGATTTGAGGATGGGGAGGTGGCGTATAGGAAAACTCAGTGACATCCTGTTGTGTTTCAAACACCAGAAAGGAGATGGAAACTCCTGACAAATTGAGATTTGGGTGAATATTTACGTGGAAATTTCATGTTTAATCGTTTCAATGTTTTAGTTGAAATTGAGGGTACTAAGAAATACCAGCTAGAAAATTGTTACAAAATGTATGAAATAATGTACTTTTTTTTACATGGACTCACCTCCTCCATGGTTTGGAGACTCCCGTGTCTCAGTGTCTCTCAGTCCCCTGTAGGCTCCTTCCTCTTCTGGTCCTCAAGTGGAGTTTCCCTCCAGATTACACCCTTCAGCCTATCAGAGTGTCATTCTCAGTCTATCTACATTTCCTGGATGAAGAATCTTTCTTCAAACATATCATTATATAGTCCAGCCGGTGTGGCTCAGTGGTTGACCCTGCACCAAGAGGTCGCCATTTCAATTCCTGGTCAGGACACATGCCCAGGTTGTGGGCCCGATCCCCAGTGGGGGGCATGCAGGAGGCAGCCAATCGATGTCCTCTCTCATCGATGATTCTCTCTCTCTCTCCCTCTCACTTTCTCTCTCTAAAATCAATAAAGAAAAAACAAAAACAAAAACATAACATTATATAGAAGTTCAAAATATAAAAACAAAAAGAGTTATACTAGTGAATGAGATACCCTGACCCCATACATTTTTATGTAAATAATTCTATGGTTTCATAGAACTCAATTGGAAACTACTGGCCAGACTTCATGGTTTCATCCATTCCTTATATATTTTTGTCACCCTTATCTGGGTTGCTAAGTGTATGCCTCTGAATTATTTTTCTAAACATTCTGTCATAGTTGTCTTTCTAAAGCACAGATCCAATCATGACCTTTTTTTGTGTACACACTTCCATAGCCTGTAAGGAGCACAAAGTCTAGATTCCTTAGCCTAGCGTTCAAGGGCTCACAGAATCTGGCTCATATGTCACCATTTTTTCCACCTGCTCTGCTTAAGGTACCCACCCACACACACACACACACATCTACGTTCTTCCTCTGTGTTCTCATTCATACTGCACCTCCAATGAAGCCTCTCAACTCCTCTGTGGATTAAAATACGCTTACCTTTTAGGGTTATGTTCAAACGTCACCTTTGTGGAACTCCATTTCTTGCTTGCTGTCCCTTAGCATTGTATTTATTATTTTTATCCACCGATCCAGCAAATTCTTCCAAATTATCTTTTTTTTTTGTTTCGCATCGGCTTAAAACATGTGATTTTTAAAAAATTGACATCGATTCATTTAAAGACCTTCGAAGCATATTAATTAAATGTTCCGCGTATTGAACATCACCTGGACAACTGGTCAAGTTTCAGATGGCTTTTCGAGTCACGTGGTGCTTTGCTTCTCCAGGAGGCAGGACTCTGCGGCTGATGCAGACCAGAACGGAAGACGCTGGCCAGTATGCTTGTGTGGTGAGGAATGCAGCTGGTGAAGCCAGGAAGCTCTTTGGCCTTTCAGTGTTAGGTATTTACATAATCTGCGGTCCCTAGGGGAACAATTAATTGGCTTAAATACCTTATGGAACCAGAATTCAGATTTATCTACAGCTTGATCTCACATTTCTGTGTTCTTTGGCCCCTGGACTGTCATTGTTGACAAGAATTCAATGTTAGAATGATTGGGAGGTCATCAGTTGGGTTGAAATGGGTAAAATTTCACATCTTGTTTGTTCGCAATTGTTCAACAATATGTTAGACTCTGATTACTTATTTAATATGAGTGCCGTTTACAGTTAGCATGGGAAAAATAAAGGTCTAATCAGTGTGCTTACTGATTTGTTGACCTTTTTATCCAGACTTTAGGATTTACATGACAACAAAATGCTTTATATAATTGAATTCATGACATACTGCTTTATAATCTATCTTAAAATTAGAATTGATCAAAATAATATTAGGACAGTAATCAAGTAGTGAGAATTTGGGGTTTCGCTTGAAAGGTGATAGCTTAATAAAAATATGAACCTAGATGCCCCGAAAGCAACAGCCCTGCAGTTAGAGCAGTTACTTCTTCTGTTTGTTTTTCCAGTGCCGCCCGGCATCGTGGGCGCAAACACCCTGGAAGACGTGAAGGTAAAGGAGAAGCAGAGTGTTACCCTGACCTGTGAAGTTACAGGTACGCAAGGTGCTCAGCCCTCCGGCTTCTGCTGCTCCCCACCCAGGCTGCGACCACTGTCTTAATTAGTAGAGAAAAACTTAAACTGCTGTCCTGTGCACGTGAAATGGAATTTTAGTCCAGTATCCTGGTAGAAATTGAGGAGGAAACCTCTCAGACTCCATGGAGATAATAAGGGAATTCCTTCATGGAAGGAAGGCGGGGAGAGAGGAGGACAGGAAGGAAGGACACTCTGGTCTTTTTGTTCAGTTCAATGCATCTTTTATTTTATTCCACTACTGTGTGAATGTAAGGTTTCTCCGCCCCGCCTCCTCTTAGATTGCTTTCTTCCCTGTTGGTTGAAGGTTGTACCTGCCCTTTCTTTTCCGTTTCGTTACATTTCATTTCAAATAAATAAGGAGGAGTTTGGATGGAAGGATGGCATCACTGATACTGGGGGTCACCCTAAAACGAGTGCCACTTTCTGTTAACATGTTTATTTCCATGTTTTTATTTGTGGATTTTCCGGTTTTTCTCCTGTCATTGATTTCCGGTTTCATCTCCCTTTTCAGTTCTTCGGTGCATTCTATTCTTCAGCTCTAGGATTTGTTCTGTTGATGGTTCCTATTTCTTTCTTGAACTTCTCATTTTGTGCATGCATTGTTTTCCTAATTTTGTTAAGTTGTCTGTTTTTGTGCTTCACTAAGTTTCTTTAATAGGACTATTCTGAACTCTTTGTCAGACAGTTCATAGATCTCCATTTCTTTCGGGACAGATCTTGAAGCTTTAGTAGTTTCCTTTGATGGTGTCACGTTTACCTGTTTTTTGTTTGCTTGTTTTTGATGTTGGTATCTGCGCATTTGATAAAGGTTCTCTTCCGGACTTCATAGGTTTGTTTCATCAGAGACGGTGCTTCGCCAGTCAGTTCCACTCGGGGTTCTGGACAGGTTAGCTGGCTGTGTCCTTAGGCAGGCGGAGCTCCCATCAGGTCGCTGTGTGGGTGAGGCCACTGCCTGAGCGTGCAGCCTGGGGTGGGTGTGGCTGTCAGCTGGGAGCAGTTGGACAGGGCTGCTGGCTTTGTCCCCTGCAGGACAGGCTCCCTCATTGCCTGGATTCTCCGGTGAGGCTCCCTAGCGGGGCAGGACTTGGGTGCTAGCCTCAGCCGGTGGGCAAGCGGTTGCCTCCCTGCCCCGGAGGGGCAATAGAGCATGCTCCCCCGCCAGGACAGCCGAGCCTTCCAGTTTTACTATGACATCATACTCTCCCTCTTTCCCAACAGAACTTGCTTTTATGGCTTTAAAATTAAAAATTTTAAAATGTATTTGAATAATTTAAAAATTAATATTTATCTTAAGTCCCATATTAAAATAAATATAAAATATATTTCCCTATAGCCTAAAATATTAAAGGAATGATTACCATATAGCTCTACCTATTTACCTATCTATAGATCTATGCTGGAATCCTGGTATAAACTTAAAATATCTGCTTATTAAATTATTTAATTTAAGGATTTTCTTTTTATATACCTATCAAAAATATATAATATTATTTTTAAATTTAATATGAATGCAAACGTATTGTGAGTAATCATTTTAATAAAAATATATGCTCATTCTTTTTTAAGTGTATTTGACTATGAAAATATTTCATTAAAATAATCTAAGGTCTGATGTAAATTTAGTTAAACACAAAGACTAATTTAGAATTATTTCGCTTATAGATAAAAACTAATCTTTTGAAAATGAGTTTTAATCTTTGTACATTTTGTAATCATAGCATGATAATGATGATTATAAATTAGGTTATGTTTGACATTTATTTTGGAGTAAATGGTTACTGCAATAACTTTGTTTTTAAATTTTTTTATTGTTGAAAGTATTACAGATGTCCCTCTTTTCCCCCTTTAACCCCTTCCTTCCCCCTTGTACCCCTCCTGTCTTCCCCAGCCTAGTGTCCTTGTAGATTGTTTGTGCATATATACAGATAAGTTCTTTGGTTGATCTCTTCCTATCCCTCACTCATTTCCCTTTTTAAACATCCTGCTTCAGAAACACTGCAGTTCAGGAAGTAGGGGACTGCATTGTTTTTTTTTTTATCCTCTGCGAGGACATTTTTCCATTTTTTGTTCAGGTAGAGAGGAAGGGAGAGAGAGAGAGAGAAACATCGATGTGAAAGGGACACATCGAGTGGCTGCCACCTGCATGACCAACCAGGGCCGGGGACAAACTGCAACCGAGGCACGTGCCCTTAGCGGGAACCGAACCCGGGTCTCTCCAGACCGCAGGCCGACGCTCTAACCGCTGAGCCAAACCGGCCAGGCGGGACTGCATTGTTTTTGAAGTGGGATGTTTAAAAGGGCAAATGAGCCCTGGCCGGTTTGGCTCAGCAGTTGGAGCGTCGGCCTGCAGTCCAGAGAGACCCAGGTTCGGTTCCCGCTGAGGGCATGTACCTCGGTTGCAGTCTGTCCCTGGCCCTGGTTGAGTTATGTGGGAGGCAGCCACTCCATGTGTCCCTTTCACATCGATGTTTCTCTCTCTCTCTCTCCCTCCCTCCTACTCTATCTGGATAAAAAATGGGAAAATGTCCTCGGATGAGGATAAAAAAATAAAAAAAAAAAAGGGCAAATGAGTGAGATGTCTTCTTCCAGTTATTACCTGTAGCCAGCTCTCAGAAATGCCTTTTTGTGAACAGGGAATCCAGTGCCAGAGGTGACCTGGCATAAAGATGGGCAGCCCCTCCAGGAAGACGACACACATCACAGTATGTCTGGTGGCCGTTTTCTTCAGATTACCAATGCCCAAGTGTCACACACTGGAAGATACACATGTTTGGCTTCTAACACAGCTGGTGACAAGAGCAAAAGTTTCAGTCTTAACGTGTTGGGTAAGCAACGCATTGCTTCAAATCTTGAAGACGGAGACGTGACTATAGGCTAAATTCCCTTCTTTTCTTTTTCTGTTTACTTCACATTTCTACCATAGAATTTCATTATTTAAGGGGGATTCATGCTTTTGGACATTTGCTGTTTTTCTTTTACTAATGAATTCATACACTCATTCATTATATTGAGAATACATACTCTATTCCAGGTACTATGTTTTATGCTAGGGACACAACTATGAACAAGGTAAGTGGTAGCAAAGGAGAAATATATGCTGGTCAAAGAGAAGCAGGTCAAAATGAAAGGAGCTCAGCCTGAGATACCCGTTCTTTTGGGACTCAACCATTATTGGTAGTTGTCTGTACTGAAATCTATGTTTGCTACTTATGATGAAGAAGACCGAAAGCAGAGAAGCCTGCTGCAGTTTTGTGCTTGCTCATGAGTGATAGTGAATGAACACAATTCCTTGTGAGGTTGGAAGAATTTAAACAAATTAATATATAATGTGTAAATTCTCTGTTGAGTCAATGAATGAGCTGTGAAGACTTCTAGGTTAAAATGGACACTGGGACTATGGGTTTAAGTTTTAAATCTCATATGATTGCCTTTTGATTTAACACAATCTAAAGCATTTGAATACTAAGCCCTTTGAGAGCCATAAAAACTACACCCTGAAAAAAATGGACTAGGAATGATGAAATAACTGTGCATTCAGTTCATGCAGCATCAGAGCTATACTTGTCTCAGGAATTACATTAAAATAGATTCTTAATTTCTGCTCATGTTTTGAAATTTAAAATTCACTGCCTAAAGGTATTGTATTTGATTACTAACATCAAAATCTTTCTCATTCTATGAAAATCAACTGTATTTGAGTTTGCAAATTTTTGCAATTTTTGTAGTTAGTTATTGGCTAGACTATTTGGGGAATACATAGTCCCACACATAGAAACCTTACATTCAGGACATAGCCCTCAGGTGACTTACATTCTAATTCAGTGAACGAGATATATATGCAAGAAAATTTAAATAAAAATACAAGATAATGTAGAGTAAGTGTCAAATGAATAGTATATAGAGGTAATAATTATAAACAACTATGAACTCTCCAAGGAAGAACCTCTCGTTATCTCGTAAAGGATTTAGCCCCAGCACCTAATTGGTCATTGAATGACAAATGCATGGATAATCATGAACGGGAGCTCATGATCCAGGTGTCTGCGAACACATCGGTGCTCTGTGCACACCCAGTGGTGTACAGAAGGCAAATGGACTTCCTCTCCTCTCCTGTAGTTCATTACTTTTCTTAGTAAGTTGCTCATGATTCCTTCTTCCCACCACTGAGTCACCTCCCAGTAGTGACTCATGTCCAAGTTCTATTCCCTGTCCTCTGGAAACCTGATTTAAAACTCTCTCCAGTCCTTTGTTGTCATTGAAATCTGGCTTTCTAAGAGATCCCAGCTTCCTGAGGACTCTCTCCAGTGGAGATCACTTATTCTTTATCCTGGGTATCCCAATTCATGCTATCTGACTATACCCCTCCACCAACCCCTTCCCCTTTCTAATTACTTTTCTATTTCTTGTCATTCTCCCTTATTCATTGAAGACTGAGGGATCTGAATAAAAGCCTTCTTTTCTACCAACTTCATAAAATTGAGACTATTTAAGTGTGCGTGTATGTGCAGCTTCCAATCCACCCAGACATGATTCGGTGTCTCTGCCCTTTTTTTTCCCAGAAGATGAGTTATCCCTCTTGTTCTCAGTTGCTACTTGCACATATGCCCTTGTCCTTGTAGTCTCTACTTTCTTTGGTATGCCAGTCATTCCTATCAACCTCCTTACCTGCAACTTCACCTTCTACTGTCTCCATCACCTCATATTGTAACCGCTCCCTGTATATAGTTATTATCCCACTAAAAACAGGCTTCTGACTATACCATGATTGATACTGCTGTGGCTAGATCCAACAGTTATTTTCTCAGTCCTTCTCTTAATAGTTTGGACATTATTTATCACTTTCCCCTTGACAGTGGCCTTTCCTAGTTATCCTTGCACACCTTTGGTTGCTCCTTTTCTCTGTCCTTCGGGAATCTTACTTAATCCGTCGCTTAAACATGAAGTCCTCATCTTAACATTTTATCCTTACTTCACTGCTCATTTTACTCTAGATATTCTCTTCAAGTAATAAACTTAATTCCCAAAGATTTAATGATCCTGTAGATTGGTGACTTTTTAAATCCAAATCTGCAATACAGATTTTTTGCCCAAGATTTGGATTTCTAGATACAATCGCTTGTTGGACATTTCAACTGGGAATTCTCATGGGTGCTAAAAATTCAAGATATTCAGAACTGAAAAAAAAACTATCTTTTCCTCCTAAATGAGCAAATCTTTGCATATTTTCCATTTACATTGCTTCACTGCAGTTTATCTAGCCTCCCAAGCAAGAAAACTGGAAATTATCTTTGACTTTGATTTCCCATAACCTCCAAATTTTATCATCAAGTCCTACCACTTGACTTCCTAAATATTTCTTTAGTTGCTCCTGCCTCATTATGCCTTCTGCAAACGATCTTGTTCAGTCCCTCATTATCTTTTATGAAACAAATGTACCTGTCTCCGTTACCCTTGCTTCCAAGATTGACCCCCTTGAATCCATCCTCGATATCTTCCCTGCTTGCCCCTCACTGTTAACACTCCTCTGCTCCCAATATCTCCCTCCTTTTACCTTTTAACTATCGCTAATCCATTAAGACTCACTTTGAATCTCATTTAGAATGCCCTCCTTGTTGGGGGTCCTCACACCCCAGATTGGATTGAAGGCTATGTCTTTCTATATCCTGCACCAAAATTCCCAGTATTGCCCTGCTCACATTGTGTTATGCTTCTTTTCTAAGATCCTCTTTTTCATTCTCCTGTGAACCTCATTTTGAGGTTCTCCCTGCTTTTGTGTAGAATAAGAACAATGCTCAATTGTTTTCTGAAGTTGTTAGGGAATTAAATTACACAAATAAGTACAGTGGAAATGTACAAATGCATCAATAGAGAAATGCCTAAATATATTTCTTTCATGACATTTTAAATCTGTTTTAGTCTCTCCTACAATCGCTGGTGTGGATAGTGACGGCAGCCCTGAAGATGTCATTGTTATCCTTAACAGCCCCACCTCTTTGGTGTGCGAGGCTTATTCATATCCTCCAGCTACCATCACCTGGTTTAAGGATGGAACTCCTTTAGAATCCAACCGAAATATTCGCATTCTTCCAGGTAATCTGTTTATTTCAGATGCCCGAGGCGCATTTGTGCCGTCTACTACTGTAAAAAAGCAGAATCATTGTATGTGTGTTTTTAATAGAAGTATTTATGTTGTTGGTTGTGTTCTATTCTATTGATATTTTAATTTATAAAATGATTTGTATATATAACATAAGCTAAGGTACTTGAAATTACTTTTTGAAAGACTTAACAAAATATCTAAATAAAAAGGCAAATAAATAAACACCACAGTGTAATTGATTGCTAAAATGTGTTATGTGGAATACCAAAAAGGGGTAGACATTTATTCCTTGTGGAATTGAACCTTGAAAGTTAGTATTTAGATTGAGTTTATTTATCCCTCTTTAACACCTGGCAGTATGTATGAACATAGAAAGAATTAAGAAGTATGATCGCCAGCTTTAAGAAACGTACAGTCTTCTGTGGAGATGAAACATGTGCAAGTTAATTAACAACATGAACGCATGAGTAATCAGGGGTTATGAATAGTCTCGGGGCATGATTCATGGAATAGTCACACGTTTTATAAGAATTCAGAAGAAGGAATGGCCACTGTGGGCCAAAGTGGCTAGGAAATGCTTTGTTGAAGTCAGAACTTGAACCGAACCTTAAAGAAAGTTATAGACCCTCTGTTGGTTGGAAATGAGTTAGGAGAGATATCAGATCCATCAGGCTAACGAATGTGGGAAAGGCATAAAGAGAGAATGTCCTATTTGTGTGCAAATAATAATCATTAGACTCTTCCCCTCCCATCTGAGTGGAGACCGTGTGGATGTGGATGTTGCAGAGAGGGGACCAGGTCGGAGGTAAGTTCTGGAAGGAAAACTGGAGTCATGTTTTGAATCCCTGGAGGAAAGGGTTTTGACTTTATACTTTAGTCAATTGAAAGCCATTGAGGATTTTTAGGGAGAAGTGTATCATAATAAAAACTGTCTTTTAGCAAGATCGATCTCTCCTGATAGGCCAGGTAGATGAGAGGAAGAGATGACTAAGGTGGAGACCTATTTACGAAGAGAGTGAAACAGGGCCCTTAACTAGAGTGTGCACAGAGGTCAGAATGGCCGTCAGACGGTCCTGCAGTGCCCATCTATTTTATACCCTGTCTTGTGTTAAATACCTATCACGGACTTGGCATATAGAAGAAGAAATTTATCAGTAGTAAGAATTAAAACCTTGGTAATGCGTTCGTGCTCTGCCGCTACTGTGACTTCAGAGATTCTTCATTGGCCATGATTTTTCAGGGGGCAGGGCTCTGCAGATCCTCAATGCACAGGAAGACAATGCGGGCAGATACTCCTGTGTAGCCACGAACGAGGCAGGGGAGATGATCAAGCACTACGAAGTGAAGGTCTACAGTAAGTTCTGAATGAACGCCATGTTGCATGTTTTCTCCACGTTGTCTTTTTCAATTCTGTTTTTTTGTAGTTATGAGTCCACAGTTATGTATACTCACTACTGAAGTTAGCTGATGCAGCTTCATTGAGATGGATGTTGAATTAAGCATTATGTCCATGACCTCAACTGCATAAAGATGTGAAGAGCCCACTCGGTCTACTCACTAACATCTTGTTTGGGAATTTGTCAGTGGCACTTCCTTAGGTTTCTCTGTTTTTCCTTCTGAATGACCCTGTGGGCTAAGTGATAGTACTTTCATGCCCAAACTGTTGTTTAAATACATAGGCTCTAATCAGCAGTTTAGGATGAGTTCATCAGTGACTTTGGACTGATCCACCTGTACATTGACCTATAAATAAAAAGCAAAACCCTGGCCGGTTTAGCTCAGCAGCAAGAGCATCGGCCCGCAGACCAGGGAGTCCTGAGTTCGGTTTCTGCTAAGGGCACGTACCTCGGTTGAGGTTTGTCCCCAGCTCCGGTTGGAATCGTGGGGGTGGCAACCACTCGATGTGTCTCTCTTGTGTCACTATTTCTCTCTCTCTCTTCCTCCCGTTCTCCTTCCTGTTCTATCTGAAGATAAATGCAAAAATGTCCTCGAGTAGGATTAAAAAAAAAAAAGCAAAACTAATACTACTATTAATAGTGCCAACATTTCAAGATTTTGTTGTTTGTTCTTAAAGAGGAAGAATCTCTTTCTGATTGTCTTTTGTTCTTTGAATCAATCTCTTAAAGACCAAATAAATGCATTTTATGGGTTATGCTCCGACTGTGTCTGGGGATCTGGAAAGAATGAACCTAACTGTCCTGGGAAAGACATTAGTCTTGTTGTCAGTATTATAACGACAGAGGGAGAGTGATATTTTCCTTCATAATCTGTATCTGAATACCACCCTTTCATAGGAGGCTAACTTGGGTTCTTGATGAAAGGGACGTAGAAAATGCCCGTTATTTCCTTGTTTTCTTGTAAAGTGATCCTCAGTGTAATTTTCATGGTATCCCGTGTATTTAAAAGAACCAATGTTTAACTTTAATATTTGTTTTTATCCAGTTCCACCCATAATCAATAAAGGGGACCTCCTGGGGCCAGGTCTTTCCCCTAAGGAAGTGAAGATCAAAGTAAACACCACCCTGACCCTGGAATGCGAAGCGTATGCAGTCCCTTCTGCCTCTCTCAGCTGGTACAAGGATGGACAGGCCAGTCACAAGATTTTTCATTTGCTGATGGTTTCTTAAAGACGCAAATGGTCAATTAAATAATAGTAAGAGCAAAAACAGGCACAAGTTACTCAGAGAATCAATGTGACCTTAAAACTAGCATGGTCTTGCCCTGGCCAGTTCGGCTCAGGGGTTAGAGCATCGAGAACCAAAGTGTCTTGGGTACAATTCCCAGTCAAAGGCATGTACCTGGGCTGCAGGTTCGATCCCTGGCCCCGGTCAGGGTTGTATGGGAGACAGCCAGTCGATGTACACATTGATGTTTCTCTCTCTCACCCTGTCCCTCCCTTCTACTCTGTGTAAAAAAAAAAAAAAAGGAAAAATACCCTCAGGTGAGGATTAACCAAAAAAACAACAACAACAACAACAAAAAAACCCCACACACCCTGAACTGTATTCAACAATATTAGTATCATTCCACCATTGGAAAGGATTGCCTTTGTGTACATCAGCAGTTGTCCATGAAAATTCAGCCACCTTCCCATTGGGCGGTGGTTTTTGTGTTCTTTGGTTTTGCAGAGTAAATAAACTTTGTGGAGAAGAAACACAAAAACAGTGCCAACTCAGATTATGATAGGCATAACATAGGTACCAAGTTTAATCAGAACTTTCTGTTAACACCTTTAACTTTTACAGAAGGTAACACTTCTAACATTCCAAGATGAAGGGGAAAAGCTAAATGTGATGACTAAGTGCCCGATACAATGAACTGGGCCAATGAGAAACTTTAAAGAAAAGCACATCCTTTGTTTAGGTGATCTGACTCTCAGACCACAGCTTCTCACTTCTCAATCAACTTATTTTATTCCATGCATGTGTTAAAGAAGTGTGCTGGCGTTTCAAACCAAAATAGATTCTTTGTAGCTGCTGTTCATCCAGGGCTTAATACAGATGTGACATGGCTAAGATTGTCCACTGCTCTTGTCCTGTTTTACACATAATCAGCCAAAGGGTCAGTTAAATCCAGTTGTAGAAGTTCAGGTCAGAGTCACGATTTAAGATGCAGAAAGATATAGCTTTATTTTTTCAGATCACAGATGGATTTTGCAATACTGGCAACTGAAAAAAATCATCTCATATAAAATAAGCAAGTTTCATCTGGAAACCATTATAAAAGGAAAAATAAGGAACTCCCACCATGTTCTGTTCACAGTTTCTGTTCTGACTGCAGCACACTTCAGGGTACAATATCCAATCTATATGAGTTGACTTGGAAACAAATAATGTCTTTCTCCTTGAAATCTTATTTGATTTCTAATTTTATCTAAAGCCTTTTCATTCATTGTAGTTACTACACAGCTGCACACACACACACACACACACACATACACAAATACATGCACACAAAAGCTGGATGATGACTAGAATTATGTTAGGAACGAGGCAGGTGTTTTTTTGTTGTTGTTTTTTTAAATTTTGTAATGAATTATTAAATTACAGTTTCAAATCCAGACTCTGAAATCGATACAGTTGTGATGCTTTAAGCTGTTAAATTTTTTTTAGGATTTGGGATTGGTCCCCTTGAATGTGTACCAAAAATACTGTTTTGTGTTGTTTTTTTCCCCTCATATCCTGTTATTTCATTCTTCAGATAAGCAATACCACTGGAACAAAACAGTGTTTTTGAGAAAATCACCGAAATTATTACCAATGTTAGACCAAATAAGTTTTGATGCAGCCTTTGAGTTTTATGTATTAATGCTCTGAAGCTCTTTATTTAGCATAGACATTTTAAATTATGCTGTTTTTATGAAAGTGATGTAATACTAATAATGATTCATTGCATCCTACATTATTTATTGAGCATATCGTTCCTTTGGGCAGACCTTGTTTTAGTGTGGCAGGGACAGTTACAAAGGAAAAGGAAAAAGATCTCTGTTCATATGAAGTTTGAGGAGACAAAGACTGAACAAATATACCAGTAAAACATATAATGTGCCAGATGGGTAGACATTATGAAAAAATTCAATCAAGAAGAAAAAAAGAGGGGGGAGGGGGGAGTGTGATCTCTAATTTATACAGGGCAGGCCTCACTGCTAAGGTGATATATGAGCAGAAACCCAATAAAAGTGAAGGGAGCAAACATTAGATATCTGAGGGGGAAACATGCTGAAGTAGAGAGAATCTCAAGGACAGAGGCCTGAGACACTTTGGCTAGGATGCTGTGATCTATGAGAACACAGAAGATATGAACAGAGGATTCAGTAATGGGAGCCAGATTACACTGCCTGGTAGACTTGGCCTTTATTCTGATGCGAAGCCACTAGAAAAATTTAAATGCAAGAGTGGTATGCTCTGACTTAACATTTTTAAAGGATTACATTGCTTCTGTCTTGAGAGAACAAAGTGATGGTCTAGACTTGAATTTATTGTAGTGGTGCAGAAAAGAGTTGATAGTTTTTTGTATGAAGGTTGTAGCAGGACGTGAGGGAAAGAGATGCATGAAATCACATCAGGAGAGTGAGTTTAGACAGAAGAGAAGAGGTCCAAGGTTTAAGCCCCAGGGAACTCTTACACGTAGAGTTTGTGGGCAGAGCGTGAACTGTCCCAAAAGATAAGGGGAGTAAAATATATCAAAAGGAAGACAAGTGAAACTGTGTTAAATGTCACCGATTGCGTAAAATAAAGACTGAGAATTGAGCAGTAAATTTGGCAATGTGGATGTCATTGGTGACCTTGACAGAGTCATTTTGGTCAAGTAGAGATGATGAACGTTGGATTGGAGCAGATTCAATAAAAAATGGAAGGAAATGGAGATCGCAAATATAGAAAGTGTTTTTAAGTCTTTGACTTTTGAGTAGAAAAATGTGAAAGTAGCCTGCAGTCTAAAGAGTTTTCTTTTAATAGGAGAAGTTATACTATGTTGTATGTAGATTGAAATAATCCAGTGGAAAAGAGAGAACACAGTTGCTGGAGGGTTGTCCTTGAGTAGACCCCAATAGGCTCACAATGGACAGAGAATGATATTAACCAGGGTTAAGGTTTTACTAGGGGAATAAAAGTAAGGGAAAGGGGGGAAGAGAGTTGAGGGTTTATACAAGGAGTGATTCCCTCCCTTCTCTGGGTCAGGAGGGAATAGAGATCAGGAGAGTGAGAGGCCATGGAAACATTGCAAGATCAGTGGATTGTGGCTCCTCCCAGGGGCTCCAAGATTTACTGGAGTTGGGATGCTAGAAGTGAGTTCGAATGTTAAGAGTGAATACTTGAAACTGAGATTATGAAGTGGTGTCGTTATTGGTAATTATAAGGTCTAAACACGACTCACCTATTGAATGGCTTAGAGGGTTGGAAACAAAAAAATTAAAGGAGAAGAGGTCACAGAGTTGGATGCACACAGCACTGAATGACTATGTAGGTAGGTGTTGAAATCACCAAGAACCATGAGAAAAGTATATTTAGAAGAAATGACATTGATCCAGGAGCTGAAATCTTGAAGGAACAAGAGGGAACTTAGTATAAATGGAAATACATAGAAGATGAGAAATGTTCTATTAAGTGTAGGTAATGTGATTAATAAAACATTATAATATAAATATCTGTAAGTTAATATTCCATTAAGTACAGTAATACTCTAAAAAACATCATAATATAAATATCTCCAGGTTAAAATGTTCATTTAAGAACCAGTGATATTTCTGAAGGAACAACAGTGATTTTTAGATTAAATCAGGTTATGTTAATGGCCCTCAAACTTTCATTTAAAAACTCTAGGATTTTTGACAAAATATAATAAAATATATGCTTTTTAATACATTGTGGGATCAACTTGAAATGCTTTTTTCCTAATTGGATATGGTACCTAAGACCACTTCTTATCATAAAAAAATATGTAAATGTACCACCCAGAAATACCTGGCACAGATGTAAACTATATGAGTTATAATTTTCAATAAATAAAAATATGATTATTCAAAATCAGAGTACAATAAATTAATAAAATTATTGTTGTCTTGAGTATTTCTCATCAAATTTAATTTTATTTATTTTGAATCATAAGAAGTATCAGTTGCATGGTCTCTGAGAGGATTTATTAGTGTACTTAATGCTAACATTAATTATAATTGAATCACAGCCCCTAAAATCAGATGATCATGTTAATATTGCTGCCAGCGGACACACACTTCAAATAAAGGAAGCTCAAATATCAGACACTGGAAGATACACTTGTGTGGCATCTAATGTTGCAGGCGAAGATGAGCTGGATTTTGATGTGAATATACAAGGTAATACTAATATGCTTGTTGTTTATCATTTAATTTATATATGTCAAAGCAGTGAAAAAGAGATTTGGCTTGGTTTATTTTCGTTTTTTCTGTTGACGATATAAATTCATTATTGAAAACTTGGACTTCAGAAATTAACAAAGAAGAAAACAATCCCATTATTTAGGACTATGTCAGTTATTTTTATGTGTTTACTTTTGATAATTTTCCTTCTGTTATATTTTGTAAACATAAACTGCATTTACAATTACGATCACATAACACATACTTCTCTGTTACATTGGCCTTTCCCCCAGGGTTATATCATGAAGCTTTTATTTTTAATTTTTTTTCTTTATTGATTTTAGAGAGGAAGTAAGAGGGAGAGAGAGAGAGAGAAACACTGATGAGAGAGAACATTGATTGGCTTTCTCCTGCATGCCCCTCACCAGGGATTTGGCCCACAACTTAGGCACATCTGACCGGAAATCAAACCTGTGACCTCTCAGTGCATGGGTTGATGCTCAACCACTGAGCCACATTGGCTGGGCAGCTTTTTTTTTTTTAAAACACACTTAGGTGGAAGGAAAAAGGTAAAGTACAGAATTTAAAGTAGTTAGACTTGGAATGATGATTTTAGGCTTCTAAAAATTTTGTGAATTAAAAAACAAAAACAGCCCTGGCCGGTTTGGCTCAGCGGTTAGAGCATCAGCCTGCGGTCCAGAGAGACCTGGGTTTGGTTCCCGCTAAGGGCATGTACCACAGTTGCAGTTTGTCCCTGGCCCTGGTTGGTCATATAGGAGGCAGCCTATGTGTCCCCTTTCATGTCGATGTTTCTCTCTTTCTCTCTCTCTTCCTCTCTCTCCCTCCCACTCTCTCTGAACAAAAAATGGAAAAATGTCCTCGGGTGGGGATAAAAAAACAAAAACAGAAACTAAACTTTGTGACTTGGGTAAGTTACCTAAATATTTCAAACCCCAGTTTCTTTGTTTTAAAATTAATGTTTTGTGGAATTTGGGTGACAGTTAGATAAGATAAGGATGTAAAACTCTTAGAAAAATGCTTAAGAAATGATACCTGCTATTATAGTTGATAGTTATTCTCAACATGATTTTTAATAACTATACCTGTTTTACCACTTGAATATTAAAGTATTTATTTAACCTTATTCCTGTTGTTGAATGTCTGGGTCATTTCCAAGTTTTCACTACTCATATGTAATGTTTCACTGAACAGTTTTTACGTAAAAGTTTTGTACATCTTTGATTTTTTCCATAAGTTACTAATAGCAAAAATTTTAGGTCAAGTGTTATGCACACTTTTAATGTTTCTGCTGTACAGGCAAATTGCCTTCCAGAAAGTTTATCCTTGTTCCCCAGAAATGTTTGAGACTATCGTATTATTTTAGTTAATGGACTTATTAATCTTGATATCTTAACTTCTTTAGCTTTCTTAGGAAGATAAATTACTGGAAAATGCTCTCAACGGAACCATTATTTGTAATAGCTTTTCCAAATGTGTTTTTCCTGCTGTGATTATATTCCTCAGCCTTGCTTGTTTTAGTAGATCCTTCCTGGGAACAGGCATTTTTAACAGGGAAGGCGGGCAGGGGGTGGGCACAGCATCCTGAGCCCAGTAGTTCTCCTTCTTCCCCGTGAAAACCAGCTCCAACTTCTGTCTACTACTTTTCTGGCGAACGGCTCGAGTTGGTAGATGTAGAAATACTTGCAAATATTTTCACATTGTCTAAGTTATTACATTTACATATCACTCTTTGAGAGCACAGCCAAGGTCTCCGTTTAATGGATTGACACTGGCACTCATATGTGTCCAAAATTCCGTGTCTCTCCTCCCTAGTCCCTCCAAGTTTTCAGAAACTCTGGGAAATAGGAAACATGCTGGATACTGGCAGGAGTGGGGAAGCCAAGGATGTGATCATCAACAATCCCATTTCTCTCTACTGTGAGACCAACGCTGCTCCTCCCCCCACCCTGACATGGTACAAAGATGGCCATCCTCTGACCTCCAGTGACCGAGTGCTGATTTTACCAGGTAAGGATGGCTGTGAACAGGGGGAAAATCCGCATCTGTGCCAAATGTGTTTCTTCTCATTTGTTGATTGACTTTCTGGTCATGTAATTTAACGGACACAGGCTGCCAAATGCCACTGCTATCCCTATAGTTTCAAGCTAGAGAGCACTTGGCATAGGATAGAACCCTGTAGTGAATTTTCACACCTGCGACAGGATCATTCTGTCAATGTGAGGAAGTCCTTTGGCACCTCTGTGTCTCTATTTTTCTAATAGTGTTATGCAATAATCACTTTGGTTTCTATACATTGTTCATGATAAATTCTACGATATATTTGCAAATAGTTATACTCGGTTTGTTAAATACATTTCTCATAATTCAGTAGTAAAGATGATTAGTTTCAAATATTTTATTACATGGTTTATTGATGGAAAAGGAGACATTTAAATTGTTGTGGAATAGTAATATTTTCAAGGCTTCTCTTCACCCTTAGCAAACATTCAAATAGGCTTGTCAAAATTTATCAAGTTATATACTTACGTAAGGTTAGTACATCCCACTGTATGTTAACCTTATTTTCATTAAATAAGAGAATATCCTGAAAAAATGGAGAGTAAATAGAAATGACAACTAAATGTAATATGTGATCATGAATTGGATCTGGACTTGGTTACAAAAAGCTATAAAAGGTAATAATAAATTAATGACATCTGAATGTAGATTATAAATTAAATAGCAGTTTTGTATTGATTTTACATTTTCTGATTTTGTTCATTATACCATAGGTATATAAACAATTGTCCTTGTTTTTATAAAATATAGATCTATGAGTATTTAAGGGTAAAAGCACATCACATCTCCTACTTACTCTCAAGTGGTTCAAAAAAAGATTTTATATATATATACACACATATATACACACATACATACATATATAATATGTGACAGATCATATACATATATGACAGACAAAAGTAAAGCAAATGGAATGAAAAATAAATAATTGATAAACATCAGTTAAATGTTTTGTATAATTATTACAGCTTTTCTCCATATTTGAAATTATATCAACATGAAAAATTAATACACAGTCACTCTTCCGAGATTGTATGTATAATGGTGTAGTGTATACCTTTTGCATACTTAGCTATTCTTTTTCTCAAGCTACTACTTGCATGCAATAGTGTGAACGTCTTTATTTGTGTTCAAACTGTAAAAACAAGATGTTACTACATGGTAACATTCCACATGGAACATGATGAGGAGCACAGAGCAGCATGTCTGCCTGAAGGGAAATCCACACAAGCTATTCATTTCTCAGGAAATCTAACTCGTGTATTGGGTCACTTATCAATAATGCAGTGTTTGTCGTAAGAGTGAGTTGTGGGATTAAAACAGAGCCAGTAGAGAATGTGAGGAAGTTGTCAGACCTGAGAAGTTGCATCTGTTCGTGACCAGTGAGATTTGCCGAAGTAAACACGGGGGACTCGCTTGCAGGTGGGAGAGTGCTGCAGATTCCCCGGGCGAAAGTGGACGATGCGGGCAGGTACACGTGTGTGGCTGTGAACGAGGCTGGAGAAGACTCCCTTCAGTATGACATCCGTGTACTCTGTGAGTTTGTTTTCTCCTGTTTCTTGCACATTCTTTTGCTCAAAAATATTTTTGAGGAGCTAATGTTTGCAAGATGTTGAACTAAGCATGTTAAAGACTGTAAAGATAATCAGAAACTGATAGTTCTCCCAAGGAGTTCATTGTCTTACACAAATTGAAAGCACGTTATTTAAGTCTCTTGAAGTATCAAATAAACTGGCTTAAACCAAAAGAGAGAGACAGGCAGAGACAGAGAATCCATTGACTCATGACCCCGAAAAGTCTCAGGGGAGAGTTGGTTGCAGTCTGACTTCCTTGGCTCAAAAGAGTTCACCAGACTTGACCTATCTCTTGGCTTTGTTTTTCTCTATTATTGTCATTCTCAGGTAGGGGGTCTCTTTGCCTGGCACATTGGTCCTTTGAAACTCGAGTCTTACATCTTCTAGTTTCATAGACAAATGCAAGCATTTCTTTCCCAGTATTTACAACTGAAGTCCTAGAATTGGATCTCCCGGGCTTTAACTGGCCAAGCATGCATCACATGTTTATCCCTGAACCAGTGACAGAAGCCAAGGGGCCTAATTGATAAGGCCTGGTTCATATGCTCACTGCCATCTCCATCTGAACCCATGGAGTGAGCGTGGAAGAAGCATCGTGCCTTGAAGGAAAAAGAGAGTTACTGAATCAGGAACACATCCTTCCTTTCATCAGCATGAGCTGCGGTGGTGGCAGTGGGGAGGCCTAGGAAGCGGTCTCGTGAAACATTTTGGAGGAAGAGAGGAAGTGAGAGGAAGTATTGGGCACTCAGCTCCGAATATGGATGACACCGGAACTTTTATCCTGGGTGACTAAGAAAATGGTAGTAGGATTACTAAAGATAGAAGACCTAGGAAAACACATGGTTTGGGAAGAAGGGAGTCGATTATGTTTTGGACATGTTGACTTTGGCATGGTCCCGAAATGCTTCGGTAAAACACTGAATGAGGCGCTGGAAATGTGGAACTATAGCACAGGAAAGAGAACTAAGCGAAGAGTATAGATTTCAGAGTTATCCATGAGCCGGTGATATTCAAAGGCATGAGATTTCCAGCAGAAGGGGTTGCAACTAGAGGAGAAGGTCAGAAGGAGATCATTGTGAAATCATTTACAAGTAGGAGACAGTACAAGGACAACAGATATAGAGGAGAAACAATCTGAGAAGTTAATCAGGAGCAGTAAATGACCATGTCTCCGAATCTAAGGCATACAAAAGGTTACTAAGAAGTGGGTTTAGTACTGAATGTTAAAACAAGTTTAGGGAAACAAAAACAGAGGCTAAGAACTCATTGGTGAAATGCAAATAATCACTTTTGATAGTACAGTGTGATACAAAGTCACAGAGCAAATGAATACATATTAAACCAGGAATCAGAAAGGAAAGGGAACCAATGCAATCACACTCTCAAGACATGAAGATGTGGACTCGTGTTTTAGGATAAACAGCTTGTTGAGGGAAAAAATAAACTTGCTTAAGAGAGATTCAAAATTTCTTATGGGCCGAGGGAGATTGTGTGTGTGCGCGTGTACGTTGAGAGCAGGGATTGACGGAGCAAGGTCCTAGGAAAGGAAAAATGCAATCGAGGAACCAAGAGGGGTGAATTAGCCTTTCATAGTAATAGGTTACCATTCGTTGAAATGGTAAGAAGAGAAATGTAGGGATGTGTCTAAAATGTTCTTAGTCCTTTGCTTAAGTGTGAGACCAGAGAGAGAGTGGTAGGGTGGCATTTGGACCTGTAGAAATGGGAAATGTTAGTGATTGCCACAATGGGGGATGTGATAAACATTCAGGTGTTGAATTTGGAGCTAGTGGGCTCAGTCATTGCTTTCTGCAGCCACCCTCAGTAACCTGGGGGCAAAAGTAGAGAAAATAGATGATGGATAAGGAGTGGATGAGGACATGCTCAAGAGAACAAGGTACACATTGTGCCCGCACTGGAGGGCGAGAACGCATAGAATGTGCCATAGCCAGGCCGTCTCTGAAATGACCCACTATGAGATCTGGGCAGGGCGAGAGGAAGAAGGAGCTAGGGAGGTGGATGGACTGATCATGAGGGAGGAGAAGTAGAAGAACTAGAGTGCTCAGTGTGAGCAAAGAGCAGATAATGAAGGAAGCCCAAAAAGAGATGGAAGAGAAAAAAACACGAGTTCATAATTCACTTATTTGACAAATATCTATTGATTGCTCACTATGTGCCAGGCACTGTCCTCGGCACTGAGGATACAGCAGTGAGTACAGTAGACATCGATCCTTCATCAGGGAGCTTATACACTTGCAGAGGGAAGAGGTGTTAGTGTTGAATTGACAAAGGTATGACTGTCAATGGCTGGCTGAAGTGGAGTGGAGGTGAAACTAATTAGGATGCTTTGGGTCATTGACATAGACTTTAAAGTCTACAAGATAATGATAAGAAGATAGGAAAGGGCCTGGCTGGTGTGGCTCAGTGATTGAGCCTCAGCCCATGAACCAAGAGGTCACCGGTTCCATTCCTTGTCAGGGTACATGTCCAGGTTGTAGGCCTGCTCCCCATTGAGGGGACATGCAAGAGATAGCCAATCAATGTTCTCTCTCATCAATGTCTCTCTCTCTCTCTCTCTCCATCTCCCTTCCTATCTCTAAAATCAATAAAAAAGAAAATAGGAAAGGGATGAAAAGACCATTAAAATCATTGCTAACATTATCAAGAACCGTGAAGGAACATCCCAGACCACCTGGTTTAATTTGACCTAAGTTTGGAAAGAGTTTAGTTTAGGACAGGATCGGATCTGATAAAGAAGAAAGATAGTGTGCTTTGGGAAGGACTGGGGTTCCATCAAATCGAAATGGAATTTCGGAATTGGGTAGTCACCTGTAGAGTTCATGCCTTCAGGTTGTTATTCTTAATTAAGAGGCAGTTAGAAAACAAGTTGGAGATTAGTTTAGAGAGGTGGGAACAAAGCAAGAAAAATGAACTGGCCCCTAAATTCTGTCTCAGTTAGGGCTGTTGCACAGTTTGCTGCTCATCCCTAGGTACTGCTGAGAACCATTCTGAGTGGTGTAGCTCAGGCAGCTGGGGAGACAGGTGAGAGCAAAGAGCTTCGGTGGAGACCTCCAAGGTCAGGCCTTGGACTTAGGCTGTACCGCCTGGTACTTCTCAATGATTCCACTCTAGCAAAAGTTGAGGCAAACATTTCATCCTTAATGATTAAAAGATCTCACTTGATTACCTTTTGTGGTGTGGGGCTAGTGATAGCATCATTTAATCTGAAATTCAAGTTTATTATTTATGCATCTGCGGTTCAAGCGATATACTTCATGTTAGCTGAAGTATAGTAAAAATCATATAACTGAAAATGAAAATATGCATTCAGAACAACATTGAAATGCACTTATGTGCCTTGTCGCACTGACCATTTCCATGGCAGGCCTTCAGTTTATTTATTTATTTATTTTTTAATTCGGTTTTTTATTAATTTAATCCATTGGGGTGACATCAGTCAATAAAATTATTTAGCTCTCAGGTGCACAGCAGCTGAACTGCACTGCGCTCAGCACCCCGAGTCAGGTCTCCTCCTCTTCTGTCGCCATGGATGCCCCATGACCTCTCCTACCTCTCCCAGCCTCCCTTCCCCTCTGGTGTTACCAGGCTACTGTCTGTGTCTATGGGGGTGTTTTTGTTTGTTTGTTCGTTTGTTTTTGCTTAATCCCTTCACATTTTTCATCCAACCCAGCAACATCCCTCCCCTCTGGCATCTGTCAGTCTGTTTTCCATCTATGAGTCTGTTTCTATTTTGTTTGTTAATGTACTTTGTTAATTAGACTTCACATGAGTGAAATCATATGGTACTTGTGTTCCTCCGACTGGCTTATTTCACTTAGCATAATGCTCTTCAGGTCCAACCATGCCACCGCAAAGGGTAAGATTCCCTTCTTTTTTACAGCCAAGTGGTACTCCATTGTGCACATGTACCACAGCTTTTTTATCCACTCGTCTACTGATGGGCACTCATGCTGCTTCTAGATCTTGGCTATTGTAAATAGTGCTGCTATGCACACAGGGTGTATATATTCTTTCAAATTAGTGTTTCAGGCTTCTTCGGATATATTCCCAGAAGTTGAATTGCTGGGTCATAAGGCAGTTCCATTTTTAATATTTTGAGGGAACTCCATACAGTTGTCCACAGTAGCTGCACCAGTCTGCATCACCACCAACAGTACATGAGGGTTCCCTTTTCTCCACATCCATGCCTACACTCGTTTGTTGATTTATTGATTATAGCCATTCTGATGGGTGTGAGGTGATACCTCATTGTGGTTTAAATTTTCATGTCTCTGATGATTAGTAACACTGATATTTTTTCATAGGTCTATTGGCCATCTGCATGTCCTTTTTGGAGAAGTGTCTATTCAGGTCCTTTGCTCATTTTTATATATCATTTTGGGCAGGGGAAACAAAAGAAAAACTAAAGAAACTGGACTACTAAATCAAACTAAAAAGCTTTTGCACAGCAAAGGAAACCATCAATAAAATGAAAAGACAACCTACTAAACGGGAGAACATATTCACCAATGATACATCTGATAAGGGGTTAATACCCACAATTTATGAAGAACATAAAACTCAACAGCAAAAAAAAACAAAAACAAAAAGGCCCCCCAAAACAACCCAATTGAAAAATGGGCAAAGGACCTGAATAGACATTTTTCAGTTTATTTTTTGAAAGACCCAAATGCCAAAAGTCTGCTTCTGCATTAAACATAGCGTCTTTACTGATTGCGAAAGATATGGTACATTTTAAGAGAGCAAGACATAAAATAACTAAGCTTTCAAAACAAACAAAAAGATTATTCACTGGGTAAATAAATTTCTACATTCACAAACAACCAACACATGTGTTCCTAGTTTATTTAACAATTCCATTTGTAAAATTCTACGGGTAATATGTGATTTTTCATAGCTGACTAGTCTAACATAAAGTAGACATGACCTGGATTCTACAGCATTATTATATTAAATGAGAACGAATATCCGTAGGAAAATCCAGAGCCTGACTTCTCAGACTTTAGTGTGCTTAAGGATCACAAGGAGAGTTTGTTAAATCGCAGACTTCTTGGCACCTGTTAGGGATGCAGATGGAGGAGAGCTAAGGTGGCCCCCAAAATTTGCATTCCTAACCAAGCTCCCAGGTGATGCTTATACCACTGATATTAGGGCTGGGGAAACACACTTTGAGTAGAGCAGACAATTCCCTTGCAAATGAGACCAATGTACCTTTGTGTAATTAATCTGGTTTGTAGACGACCAAATAGACTTACCTATAGATTCATGCAGATGCCTGAAACCCAGAGGGCGCCATGGAAGGGGCTGAGAGAGAAAGCATGACAAGATATATTGGGGAAGAATTGGGATTGACCTAAATGGGAATGAAACTATAGGACGGGTTAGTCCAGGGGAGGTCAAGGGAGGGGAGAAAGCAAAGTCAAATTCACGTCATTTTTATCTCCGCTAACTTATTAGTGTAAACTATTACTTGAGGATCATGGATTCTAATTCAAGTTTTGCTCCTCGATTTCACAATTTTTTAAAATGGTCAGAAAACTAGAATCATTTAGAAACAACCTCATTACCTGTTATTGTCTCTTCATTGCAATCATTTATTAGTGCCGCCGGTTATCAAGGGAGCCAATGGTGATCTCCCTGAGGAGGTCACCGTGCTGGTGAGCAAGAACGTGGTGATGGAGTGCCTGTCCGGGGGCAGCCCTGTACCAAGGAATTCCTGGCAAAAAGATGGGCAGCCCTTGCTAGAAGATGAGCATCATAAATTTCTATCTAATGGAAGAATTCTGCAGGTAAAAGTGAAAAAAAATCTGATTTTAGAATAGCTGTTTGACTTTGTATTTTATAATTGTCTTTATGACTTTTAAAAATAATTTTTATTATTTAGAAATAGATTTGTAAGAATAACAACATAAAAAGGATATAAAGTAAAATTATTTTTCCTCATTTTATTCCCACTATAAGAGGTGACCGTTATTAACAGTTTTGTGTAAATTCTTCTGGAAAATTGTCTGGACATTCAACATACACACACACACACATCCACATCCTAAGTTTAATAAAGTATGGACTTTGTCGTAAAAACCACATATAAGCTGCCCTGGCCGTTTTGGCTCAGCAGTTAGAGCATCGGCTCCAAGGATCAAAGAGTCATGGGTTCGATTCCAGGCAAGGGCACGTATCTTCGTTGCAGTTCAATCCCTGGCCCTGGCTGGGGACATGCAGGAGGCAACCAATCAGTGTGTCTCTCTCACATTGATGTTTCTCTCTCTCTCTCTCTCTCTCTCTCTCTCTCTCTCCCTCCCTCCCCTTCCCCCCCGCCCTTTCTCCCTCCTACTCTAGCTGATAAAAAATGAATGGAAAAATATCCTCAGGTGTGGATTTAAAAAACCCAAAAAACACATATAAGCAAATTATTACAATCCTTTTCATTGTATATTTCTGATGGTAAAATTCTAGCTGGTATAAGATTCCCTGTAGATTAAAATTTACTCTCTATTGACAAAGAATTTAAAACAATATAATAATAATGAAAGCCCCATAAATATCCTGATGGGCATGTCTATATTTTTCTTTTCAGGTATCTTGAAAGATAGTCACTTGTAGAAATAATACCAATGCTTTTCTTAGGTTACAACTTATTAATTTATTTCTTGAACATGTAAATGATATTCTATAGGCCCAAGAATCTAAGCATAGCTATTAGTGTATCTAATGCAGGACATATCTCATGGAGTTCTTTATTAAAAGAAAAAAAGTGAGTCTTGTTCACTACCTGTAAATAATTATGAATTTTCAAAGTATCTTCTAAACACCTTACTTCTATTTGATGATCATACAACCTCTACCAAAATACTTAAATGTTTCTGTGTTTAGGGCCAAAAGACATATAGGTGGATAGCAGTTTCTGCTAAATAAAATAAATTATAACTGCTATATTAGCTAACCATTGCAAAACAAACCCCTCAAAAACAAGGGCTTAAAACAGTAAGCGTTTGTTTAGCTCACAGTTCTGGTTGCTGGGGGATTTTTCGGTCTCAGCTGGGCTTACCCAAGGGTCTATCTGCTGTGGGTAGGTAAGTGGTTCTGCTGATCTTGGCTGGGCTCTTACACACTTAGGACCTCAACTGCAATAACGGGGCTGATTTTTCCCCATGTGAACCCAAATCCTCGGCCAGGTTGGTCCCAGCTCCCTCCCATAGCGGTGGCAGGGTTCCAAAAGAGTGGATAAAAGTAACAGTGCCTTTTCATGCCTAGGTTTGAAATGACACACTGCACGGTCAGACACGAGACCAGTACAAATTCCGTAACTTCACTCGTGATGGGGGAGCTTCAAAGTCACATTGCCAGGGGTGTAGATGGGGAAGTGGGGGAGTCATTTGGGACACTTCTGTAGTCAGTACACCCCAAAGATGTGCAAAATTACCTTTTCTGATGGGAAATCTTTATAAGTAAATATTTACTGGATTGACCTGATTAATAAAAGCCAGCGCCAATGCTATTATGTGTAATTATTTTTCTTATGTTCATCTGGTATTAACTTGAAAGGATGTGTATTATTTAGTCTCAAGATGATGACAAGTGGCTTTATAAAAAAAAAAATTCAGTTGGAATTTCTTTATTTTTCCTTCAGATTCTAAATGCTCAAATATCAGACATTGGCAGGTATGTGTGTGTTGCCGAGAACACAGCTGGAAGTGTGACAAAATACTTGAACCTCAATGTGCACGGTAAGCGCTCCACTCCAAAAACATCTGCTAGGGTGCTTGGAGAGGCAGGAGAGCTATGTTTTAGATTACGTAGGCTTTTTTTTGCATTTTTACCTTGAAGCCATGTGTGGGGCCTGCATTCATCCAGTCCCCTCATGTTCTCCCCTCTGCAGCTAGTAGGATTGACAAAGCACAAAGTATATATCTAGGGAGCCTGTTTTTATATTATTTCAGCCCCTCAAGAGAAAGTAGTGACCCCTACATATTTGAAAGTAAAAAAATAAATAAATAAAATTTTGAAATCCCAAAGATTGTATTTTTTGTGTGAAGTTAGAACTAAATATAGATCTTTTACTCATAAAAATTCATTTACTGGTCCTTATTGAAACATCAAGGGTAGAATTCATGTTGAGCTATATCCTCCAATACTTAATATACTCCCTGGAAAAGAAGAAGTCACTTTAAGGAGTGAAATAATTCCAAAAACCACCAGCACACCTAATTCATTCATCACACTTTAAGTGTGCAATAAAGTGTGCAATATATGCTAGTCACTCATACACACACACACACACACACACACATTGCTAAAGACGCAGTTATTTGTCTTCCACAAGAGTAGTTTTGTCCTTGTGATGCACAGCTGCTCTCAGAATATTAAATTGGAAATGAGGAACAATTTTTATAAAAGAATTCCTTTACATGTGTGATACATACATAAAATGCTGGCTTGTTTGGGAACTGGCTGAAATTTTGAAATTTCATGAAAAACGTCTCCCCTGAAAGGACTTCAATTTAGCATCATAGACATTCTTTCCTGGTGTGACGTGGAGGGATTATTGGTGTCTAGCAGTGTTTGTTGTGTGACAGATATTTGGAACACTTTCATCTTTGTATTCTCAGTATTTAGCACAGTGATTCACACACAGTAGGTACTTCATAAATATTTTCGAGTGTCTTTTCATGAACAAATCTGACCAAACAGAAACAAATGTGTTATGAATTCCCAAGAAGAACAAATTAATTAAACAACTATGACCATTTAAAAAAAGCACACATTCTAACCCGTCAAGTGCAATAGAATCAATGTTGAAAAATAAAAGCATTCGTTCTATTTTGTGATTCGCCATGGCAGAATTCATTTTCCCTCCTCTGTGTGATCAAAGCTGCCTCATACACACCCGTTTCCCCAGCTGGAGCAGTTGCCTTGTGTTATTTTTGCCTTGTGTTATTTTTTTATATCTACGTCCTCACCTCTAGTCCATAACTTTGTTATAAAGGCTTTGGGCGAATGGTCACTTGGTTTCCCTGAACTTAGAACGGTGTCTCGAGTTGCGATAGTTGCTAAGTGAATATTTGTCGTTCCTTTATTGTATGTTGTGTGTGTCGGTTGTTTCTTCCTGCACAGCACGAACACCTGAGGAGGGAGCTAGTGTGTACCACTAAGGACCAGGGTTCAGGAGGGTTTCTCCTCTCACCAGTTAATGGGGTCTTGAACTCCCGATTGCAGCCACAAATCCATACTTACATTCTGGGAAATTTCATTTGGAGGAGCTATGATTTAAATAATTTTCCCCTAAAACCATACCATTTGTAATCTCCCTCTGCAACAAGGCTCAGTTCCTCCGGACTCTGCCTTCAGACTGAGCCTCTGTCTGTTTCCAACCCTGTGTCTTCACTCTGCTTCACTTCATGGAGCAGCATCTTGGTCATCTCTCTTGGCCCGTGTCTCTCAGGCCTCCGCTGCACTAAGAGCTCAGCCCTGCACACAAATCAGTGCAGCAAATGGACTGTGTGATACCCACCAGGCGCTCTGCCAAGTGTGTTGTGTGTACTGTTTCACTGAATTATCTCAATAACCCCGCGGGTGGTTACCATTTTATACCTCTTTCAAGATGGAAAAGCTGAGGCTCAGTGAGATGAAGTAACATACCCGAAGTCATATGGGTTGAAAGTGCAGACCCAGGATTCTAACTTAGTCTGATTGCAGAGGTTGTATTGTCAGTTGCTTTTCTGAATTACCGCTCACTGAATCCCACGTCTGCACTGCACCTACCCACACCTAGGTAGCAGCCATGACCGGAGGAACTCTGACAATCAGGAATATTGGTATCATGATCGATTCAAGGTACCAGCTTGAACTGGAGTCTCTGTGCTGCCTGCACCCTCTCCCATGTTTTTACTCCAAAATATTACATGGAAAATTCGAGAAATAAACAGTTCATAAGCTTTAAATTAGACCCCGTTCTGAGCAGCATGATGAAATCCCGTGCTGTCATCTCCTCTGTCCTGCCCAGGATGCCAGTCATCCCTTTGTTTGTTGTGTCCACATCAGAGATGCTGCCTGTCCTTTAGTCCCATAGTAGCTATGTTGGTCATGAGACCAACGGCCGTGGTATCACGATGCTTGTGTTCAAGTAACTCTTACTGTACTTACTAGTGGCCACAAAGCCCAAGATTAGTGATGCTGGCAGTTCAGATATGCCAAAGAGAAGCCAGAAGTACTTCCTTTAAGTGAAAAGTTTTAAAAAATAGTATATGTAGGGTTTAATACCATCCTCGGTTTCAGGAGTCCACAAGGGGTCTTGGAACATGTCCCCTGCATGCGGATAAGGGGGGACTACTGTATGGTGTGCATTCCTGTCTTCCACTTAGCTTAGTCCTGGTCATGTTTCAAGTATCTTCTTTTTTTTTCTTTTTCTTTTCATTGAGTTTATTGGGGTGGCACTGGTTAATGAAATTATACACATTGCAGGTGCACAATTCCAAAACGCATCATCTATACCTCGAGTATCTTAAATGTCACTTCCTCCTCTTGATCACCACACTAGGATAGGTTCCTCCTGTCACCCTATTTTTCTGATTGACACTCCTCGCACTTGTAATTACTAGGCCGTATAGAACTGGCCAAGAATAGGGGTCCTAGAGCTGGACTGTTTCACTGCCAAACCAGTAACCAGCTGTGAAATCTTAGGCAAGGTGCTAACCTCTCTCTGTCTCACCTCCTCATCTGTAATATGACGATAAGAGCTGTATTAGCTCATTAGTTTATATGAGAACTCAGTGCATTATTGATCTTACTCTTTTTGATTCGAGTGTTTCTCTGCACAGATTTCTTTCCTTTTTTTTAAGCAAACCATACTGTTGTTTATGTCTTTTCTGCTCAGCTTGAAAGTCATTGATTTACATTGTTCAAATAACCTGTATAATTTAGTGATAGACAGATACTCCCTAAAATTAAAATTCTACTTTATAAATGCTATATGTAGGAGTATAAAAATTTTAAATAAGGATGTAATATTAAAAACAAGAATATTCAAGCTTAATAAAAAGCACTGTTAGGTCTTTCTTTGTACATTGCCAAGATCTTCTTAGGAATTGCCAATTACATTTTCTACTAAAATGCAGAAGAATTCTGTCTTTGAAATCTGGAACTCTGTTTCAATTGGGAGACAGAAGTCTGCTGGACATAGGTTTTTTTTTTTTTTTGGTACATGCCCCTAGCAGGAACCAAACCCGGACTCTCTGGTCCGCAGGTCGACACTCCAACCGCTGAGCCAAACTGGCCAGGGCTGGACATAGATTTGTTGAAGAAGGCATTAGGGAACCCTAAGAGGGAAGACAGCTAGAAAATGAACAGTGTCAATAATACAGTGCTTTAGCAGAGTACAGTGGCTGGGTTTATATTAATAAATTAGAATATGTATCACTGGTAATATCAGATTTCACTTCTAATGCATTTACTCTTATAGTTCCTCCAAGCGTCCTTGGTCCTAACCCTGAAAACCTCACTGTTGTGGTGAACAACTTCATCTCTTTGACCTGTGAGGTCTCTGGCTTCCCACCCCCGGAGCTCAGCTGGCTCAAGAATGAACAGCCTATCAAGCCGAACACCAATGCTCTCGTTGTGCCTGGTAAGGAACTCCTTATTCTTATAAGGTGGGCAAAACCTCCTCATTTTCCTTTATTTTAAATACAAATGGCATTTCAACTTAGTCTCTTTCCAAACTTTTTTCCCCAATTTTTAGTTCACGCGAAATGCCACGCTTGACCTAATGGGGCCATTAGGATGAGATTGTATAGACTTGTATGATTTCAGTGGGAATGTACAGTGACAAGGTCTACTTCAAGAGATTACAAAATTTAGGAACAGGACTGCTTAGTCATTCCATGCGGGTGATAGACTCGTAAACAGTGTTTTCGTTGGATAAATTCACTGGTTGTTTGTAATCAATCCTAAGGCTCCTTGATAACAGCCAGATAGACCAACAGACGGACAGACACTTCTGCGCTGTGGGAGATTTAAACCTTGAACACACTTGTTAACATATTTGACTGTAGTACAATTATTGTTTGCTCACTGGGACCTATATCAAACAGTTCTATCCATGTTTGGTTACTGGAGAGAGAGAATTTATGAATTTTGTTTTGTATAAAGAAGTAGAATCAATCAGAAAGAAAGGACCAAAGGAAAACAGACTCATTTCTTTCATATTAAATATGAAATGCTTCTATATAAATTTTAATGTAACAAAATATTTTGTCCTTTATCCTATTAATAAAACAGTTTTTAGAATAACCTCTATACCACTCTTCAATTTCCATTACATGTGCCCACAGGTGGTCGAACTCTACAGATTATTCGGGCCAAGGAATCTGATGGCGGTCAGTACACGTGTATAGCGATCAACCAAGCTGGGGAAAGCAAGAAAAAAATCTCTCTGACTGTTTATGGTTTGTTGTCACTCTCCTCATATCATTCTTTTGTCTGGTATTCAATATTTTCTATCTGTGCACCTCAATGAAAAACAAAATTGCCTTCTGTTCTTATTTCTTTCCCTCAGTGCCCCCAAGCATTAAAGATCATGGCAGTGAGTCTCTTTCTGTAGTTAATGTCAGAGAGGGGACCTCCGTGTCATTGGAGTGTGAGTCTAACGCTGTCCCACCTCCAGTCGTCACGTGGTATAAGAACGGGCGGATGATAACAGAGTCGACTCACGTGGAGATTTTAGCAGATGGACAGATGCTGCGCATCCAGAAAGCTGAGGTGCACCTTTTATTCTTGTTTGCATGTCGCGGCTCCGTGGTGGGATTGTGGGAGAGAGACTCGGCAGGTGCATGTTCCCTTGACTACAGTAAAAAATGAGGTTGATTACGAAATAACATCCTCAGTGCCATTGACCTTTGCATAAAAAAGGCAGGATTGCAGAAAGCAATTAGAACTGGGGCGTTTGAGCATAAAGATGACTGATGATTTAATCTGCACTGGAACAGTGTGATTGGTCATCTATAACTTAATGGAGCATATACAATAGTATCTTTTTCTTTTAGGTGTCTGACACAGGCCAGTATGTATGTAGAGCTATAAATGTAGCAGGACGGGATGATAAAAATTTCCACCTCAATGTATATGGTGAGCATCTGCCTCTAATACAACTCTTTTTCCCCCAGTGAAAGAAAGTGTCCTGAATTGGCTTAATGAGGACACGTGATGTTCTTCTGTCTTTTTACAGTGCCCCCCAGTATTGAAGGACCCGAAAGGGAAGTGGTTGTGGAGACCATCAGCAATCCTGTGACCTTAACCTGCGATGCCACTGGAATCCCACCTCCCACCATAACGTGGTTAAAGAACCACAAGCCCATAGGTAACGTAGCACTGCGTCTTCTGCGGTTTGCTGTTGCTCCACATGCTCTAGGTTCAGAAACCAGCACATCTTCATATTAGGCGCATAGCTGTGTTTAGCTCAAAAAGCCTAATGTCCCGAAACACGAGCTTACAAAATAGGCTCATACGATTATTTATTTTATAACCAGGATTTTCTTTTTTCCAAAAAGGCTCTCATTGAAAATGAAAGTACAAAGGAAGAACTTCTTTTTTTTTTTTTATCCTCACCCGAGGACATTTTTTTCCATTTTTTTGTACAGAAAGAGTGGGAGGGAGAGAGAGGAAGAGAGAGAGAGAGAAACATCGACGTGAAAGGGACACATCGAGTGGCTGCCACCCGCACGACCAACCAGGGCCGGGGACAAACTGCAACCAAGGTACATGCCCTTAGCGGGAACCGAACCCGCGTCTCTCCGGACCACAGGCCGATGCTCTAACAGCTGAGCCAAACCGGCCAGGGCTAAAGGAAGAACTTCTTAAAACATATTTTTTCACTCACAGTTGACACAATATCATGTTAGTTGCAGGTGTAAAACACAGTGGTTAGACATGTATACACCTTACGAAGTGATCACCCCCGTAAGCCCAGTACCCATCCAACACCACACACAGGTCTTACAGTATTATTGACTATATGCCCTAGGTTGTACTTTACATCTCGGTGGCTGTCTTTACAGCTGACCATTTGTCCGTCTTAATCCCTTCATTTTTTTCACCCATCCCCAATCCCCCTCCCATTAAGAAATCTGTTTATCACAAGAAGCAAGACATTTTTATGCTGGAATTGTAGACCTATTAAAATAAAAGCTTTTAAAAAATGTTTTATCTTGTTTTGTTTCTATGTCTAGAAAATTCCGATTCACTTGAAGTTCATATTTTGTCTGGTGGTAGCAAACTCCAAATTGCCCGGTCTCAGCGTTCAGACAGTGGCAACTATACGTGCATCGCGTCCAATATGGAAGGAAAAGCACAGAAAAAGTACATTCTTTCGATTCAAGGTATGTGATTTATCCTCACTAGCTCTAGTATATCGTTTTGTAGTGCAAAACAAGACTACAAAAAAAGAGATCATTTGCAATGGATTCAAAGTGTCTTTAGAGCAACAAAAATACTGTCAATTCTCTGTCCTGCTTTAACCAGTAGATTCTGTTTGCACAGAAATTGGCATGAATGTTGGAAAAAAAGAATAGTATACATTTGATCATCTTTATTTCGTCCATGGTTACAAAAATTCTTATGGAATTATACTTATTTATTTAAAACTGGCATTATTTATTTTGATGCTAAGCCCGTAGGACTATTCTTATTTAGATATACAAGCAAAATATAATTCATAAAGAGGCTGCATTATGTTCTAACTATAGAAAAGGGAGTGGGTAAATATTAGGTAATCATGAGTCTTATGCTGTTTTGGAGTGAGAATAAGAAGCATTAACTCATCCAACAGATATTTACTTCATCCTACTAAGTTCCAGCATAGTATTGAACACCACAAGGAGAGCTTATATCCTTTTGGTTTTCAGTAAACCTCTAATTGGTACTTTTGTCCCAGTAGTTAATTAGGAAATTTACCTTGAAACTAAGTTAAAATGCTTGCTTTTTCCAATGTTACTATAGTTATGTTGAAAATAATTTTTCATAAATTATAATCGTACATTAGTATCGACCTGTTGTGTGCTCTGCTAAAGCCAACTATGAACATGTGAAATTAAAGAGAGAAAAAGTAAAATAAGTTTATGGGCATCATTGGTTTCTTGGATTGGTAATACTTGGAGATTCCAGAAACAAAAAGGAAAAAGAGCTACGCAGGGATTCGGGATCAGAAATTACGTGTTTTGTTGTGTTTAATGCATTACTGATAATGGCTGTTAGTCATGGGGGTATGTGGTGTGGCCAAACATTTTACCAGGTTTTGTACATATGTTATTATGTCCTAAGACTAGAAATAATACATGCATATAGAGCCTAGTGCAGTGCTTGTCATATGTTAGACACCCATTAAAGGATATTTCTTATTAACATTCTTATTGATTTGACTTCTTTAGTACTCTCAGTTCTATATATTCGGTATTATTGTTATCGTCTGTTGGGTGACTAAAATGAGATTTGGAGAGAGTATGCAGTGGTGTGCTGGTCAATATTTACAATTAACTCTCCAGATAAAACGGTCCTGAGTTTTAGCCAATCATTTGCCAGTTTCCCTGGTGTAAATATCCCCACCACGACTCACTTCAGGCTACCACGTGATGTCACTGGACATGGAGGAGGGAAGACCTCAGATCTGGCTCCCGTGACCAGACGTGAGCTGTCCCAGCAGACCACTATGATTATATGGAAGAGGAGTTCAGTGTGTTTCTGTTTGCTACCATTGTCAATATTTTTTATTACTCTTTATTTCCCAATTGAATCATCAAAGTGAAAATCAAACATGGTTAGAAAAAGAGAACAGAAACTTTTGGATCTTGAAAACTACAATAAGCCTATCCATTGTTCAGAATATATAATATTTAAATTGCATATGGAAAAAGAAATCATCCAATAGATACTTTTCTCAGCCCTTTATGCCAAGGTTTCATAAACTAGACTCTCGTGAATTGTGCAAATCCTAAACTGTCTATTGAGAATTTAAACAAAGAGTGATTTTATTTAGCCAGAAAGTGTGTCCATGAGGTAGACTTGTCGCCAGTCCCTATGACTGAATAATTGTATCAACTTACAAATATACCAGGGATATTGAAGTGCTTGCTTCTGCTATTCCTCATTTATAAATAACTTAGGAGGATTATTATAGTTTTATTTTGAACCACAGTCTAGGGAGAATATGAAATAAAAATGGCATACTGTTCTATGACTCTGTTGTATTTGTTAGTATTTGTATCATTGTGCCTTATTAATAGGTATTTTTATTTCTCCAAAGTTCCTCCAAGTGTTGCTGGTGCTGAAATTCCAAGTGAAGTCAGCGTCCTTTTAGGGGAAAATGTTGAGCTGGTCTGCAATGCAAATGGCATTCCCACCCCAGTTATTCAGTGGCTGAGGGATGGAAAACCCATAACTAGCAGTGAAACAGAAAGAATCCGGTACGTTTACAAAGCATCTGTGCGTCATTAATTTCAAGGTCTCGTACAGTGTTCTGTGCTTCACCTTCCACAAGAATAATACCAAATCCAATCTCCTTGGAATGCGGCTTTCATTGTACTCAGAGAGAAAAAAGATAAAATTTTGGAGCACTGGACACATAAATTCTCCTTGGAGAACCATTCAAAAGTGTGTGTGTGTGTGTGTGTGTGTGTGTGTGTTCTTTATTCATCAACTCTGGCTTATAAAATGTCCTCAGACATTCATTCCTACAAATCTTAGTTAACTGTTGTTGGTTTTATTCCTCTAATCTCAGAATGTTTATACCAAAATCCATATTATAGAATAATTAGTTCTTTCCTGTTACCATCACACCAGTTTTATCCTACAGAAGATTCATCAATAATCTTAGATATGATTTTGTGTCCTGAGATCACCGAACTACCAAACATGCCATATTTCTTGGCTCATTTTCAGAAAAGACACACTTTCATGATAACCCAGGTCATTCCTTGTAGTGACTTATCCAAATCCCGGTTTCAGCTGACACCTTCTTACGCATGCGCAAACCAGAGAGGGGAATTGCAATGTGGCAAGGGCCTTCTGCTACTTTCAACAACAAACACCTTTGGAAGACCACCCCAGAATTCTACACTCCACTAGATTACCTCTTCACAAAGCCCTGTTCTAGACAAATACCAGAGTAATTACAATTACTTGAAGAATTATATATGCATAAGTAGGTGTCAGTTGAATGTATTGCAATCTTTATCATTTTGAACCAATATTTTAAATTTAACGGTTTGGAGTGTGTTTTCTAGTTAATGAATTGAATATACATAATATAAAGAAAGATAAATGTTGTTTTCTTTAATATTATTTTATATTAAAATTTTGATTTTTTTTTTTCCATTACAAGATTGGGTAAATTGCCCAATATTTTAGAGATACATTTTAAGTTTTGTTTCTTTGATGTGGACATTTCTGAATATTTAACAAATATTTAATTAGTTTTATTAGGTCAGCTGATATTGACCATATTCCAACCTAAGTAATAGGTAGCTGGTGATACCTAAAGGTCTTACATAAGATAATATTTGTACCTAGGAGTTTACAATCTATCTGTTCTTTTACATGAAGATCCTAAATATACTTATTATTTTTATATTCACTTTATTATTTATTTATTGCTCCACAATATGTATAGATTTGTAAGTAGAACAATTCATCAATCAAATAAAGTAATTTTCCAAAGTAAACATACTATTTTCCTTGGTTATGGCAGCTTGCTGTTTGTTCATTCATATGGTTAACCACATGCAATTTTAAAATTTATATTTTGAAAAGGAAAAAATACAATAGACCCAGAAAATAATATTGTAATTCTCAGTAATCATATTTAATAAGATGATATGTTAGAAATTGGCTATTTGCTGTTGATACTGGGAGAAACTAGTAAAATCTTTGTAGGAGTAACTATAGATAGCAATTTAATCTCTTTATAAAACATAGAGAGTTTTGATTGATAAGTAGCGGTCTGTGAAGAGAGTCAATAATGCAATGATCCTAAGTTAGATATCTTTGATAATGTAACTGTATAGTTATTATTTACCATTACATAGTTCAAAGAAAAAGCTTTAGCAACTTACAGAAAATTTTTTGCAAAATATACGCATACATAATCCTGTGTTAGTGTCATAGTTTAAATAAATTATTCTGCTTCTTCTCGTGAAGAGTATTATTCAGTTGTTTATAGCTAGATTTTTTAAAATATATAATTTCTTTAATTTTTCATTGTAACATCTTTTAATTTTCATACTCTAATTTTTTATAATTTTGATTTAATTCAAATCTTATATTGACAACTGAGGATAAAATAGTCTAACCGTGAGGGGGGGAGAAAAGAGAAAAAAATGTCTTTGCCTGTGATTTGTGCTATTTTTTTTTCTTTTATGGTTATATTTATTTTTCTTTTTAGAGAGAGAGGAAGGGAGAGAGAGAGAGAGAGAGAAACACCGGTGAGAGAGAACATCGACTGGCCACCTCCTGCATGCCCCCCACGGGGGATCGGGCCCACATCCTGGGCATGTGCCCTGACTGGGAATTGAACTGGCGAGCCACAACAATCGGGCTTTTGCCTGTGATTTGGATAGAGAAGTTCCTAACCTGATTTTGTTCATTTCCTGTTTTCTCATAAGGAGGCCTTGGATACATGAGACCCACGACTGTAGAATTTTAGTTCGTTGCCTGAAATCTACATCTGTTTGACTTACTCTGACTTTCAGGCTTCCATGTAGTTAGTGAAAAATATTTGAACCATGATATTCAAGGAAAGATGTATTTTATAATCGTATTTCTTTCTCTCTTTCTCTCCCTTCCTTCCTTCCTTCCTTCCTTCCTTCCTTCCTTCCTTCCTTCCTTCCTTCCTTCCTTCCTTCCTTCCTTCCTTCCTTCCTTCCTTCCTTCCTTCCTTCCTTCCTTCCTTCCTTCCTTTTCCTCACCCAAGGACATTTTTGCATTTATCTTTAGATAGAGCAGGAAGGAGAGCTGGAGGAAGAGAAAGAGAGAGAAACATGATGTGAGAGACACACATCGACTGGTTGCCACCCACACAACCCCAACCAGGGCCGGGGACAAACTGCAACTGAGGTGCATGCCCTTAGTGGGGACCGAACCCGGGCCTCTCTGGCCCGCGGGCTGACGCTCTAACCGCTGAGCCAAACCGGCCAGGGCTATAATTTTTTTCAAAGAGCACAATAATCAGGGGTGAGTCTTCTAGATTTGGGCTCGCCACAGATCATCTCAGTCCCCTTTTATGACCCCTTCTGCAGGGTGACGGCAAATGGCAGCACGCTGGTCATGTACGAAGCCCTCCCAGCCGACACGGGGAAGTACACGTGTGTCGCCACGAACCCTGCTGGGGAAGAAGACCGCATCTTTAACGTAAATGTTTATGGTAAATATGCAGTTTCACCCTCTTTTGATTCTGCTACTTCAGGAACCTCTCAGGAGGACGAAGGCCCAGCGCAAGGTGTCCGAGGCATTTAGTTTTAAAATAAGATGTCACTGTGGCTTCCTTTGGGGGTCCCAACCAGGAATGTGGGCAATGGTAGTTGAGATGGTCTGAACTAGTAATGCACACCCCACCCCCTTCCCTCTCTCCTTTCTGCATACCTAGTTCCGCCTGCAATTAGGGGTAACAAAGAAGAAACAGAGAGACTCACGGCCTTGGTGGACATGTCAATAAATATCGAGTGCAGGGCCACAGGGTCACCTCCGCCGCAGATCAACTGGCTAAAGAATGGACTTCCTCTGCCGCTGTCCTCCCATATCCGGTTGCTGTCAGGGGGACAGGTCATCAGGTGAGCTTCTTGCCTGTGCGGTTTGATGCTGGATGGACAGAGAAAGTCACCGCGACTGTAGACTTTGCCCTAAATGGTGTTTCAGAAATGCTTTTTTCTAGATTTTTACTATTGTTTCCTTTTTCAGTATCTTCTTAGAAGAGGGAAGATAACAAGTATAAAATAGCAATGACTTTTTATTCTTATTTAACTGCTCATGTTTTAGTACATTGTATAAAATAGGTCTTTTATCCACACGTATCTATCACATATGTATTTCTGAGAACTATTTTAGTTAAAACTTTTAAGGCAAAAAGGATAGGAAGATGCCTACTACATCATGTGCTTTTTACATTAATAGCATTCTCTATTGGCATCTATTTGAAAATTTCTCACCTCTCAAATTGTGTCACATTTTCAGTGGCTTACTGTCCGTGTTGAATGAACTTTGTAGACTGAATTGCATTTGAGGTATCTGTATTTTGTGATGGATGGTTATAAGCTTCACACCTAAAAGCTCCCAACATAAATCACTTTCTGTAATCTGCATTTAAATCGTAAGTATTCTCTTTGTGTGTGTTGAATGGAATCAAATTACAGAGTGTTGGGTCAAACTGTTTTCCAGGATTGTGAGAACTCAGGTGTCTGATGTTGCTGTGTACACTTGTGTGGCCTCCAACAGAGCTGGGGTGGACAACAAACATTACAGTCTTCAAGTGTTTGGTATGTCACAACAGTAACCCACCTGCTTTACCATGCGTCTAGTAGTAAGCAGCAAGCTTATATTTAGATGCTTGCATATCAGAAAACATTGTTAAATAGGATCTCGCTAACTAGGGAAGAACACATTTTCTCCTGTATTTATTGGAGCATACTGTCTGTTTGTCAAAATGCTCTTCTAACCTGGAATTTTACATTAAATCAAGTCTAAATTTTTAAAAACAGCATTGCAATCCAGACATAAGACCAGTCTTTTCATACAAATAGAAAGTTAAGAGTGTTTTCTAATATTATTAGTGGCTCATTTAATGTATTGAAAATTTGAAATGTTGTGTGCATATATAGATGTGTGTGTGTGTGTGTGTGTGTGTGTGTAGAGAGAGAGAACTCACATTTCATTCCTAAAATAAAGGTTTTCTGTTCTAGATTCCTCAGTCCCCAAGGACATCTAAGAATAGTCAAGTAACTATTTACTATAGCCTACAAATGACTTATGTTGAATTATATAAAACTTGCTCTAGAATATATTATTACTTTATTCATTATATATAAAGTAGTTGAAAGTATACTTCTGGAATCACAATATGCAGTGCAACAAATTACAGAGACAAACCTAAGAGGTTAAAAATGGTCAGAATTTAAATACACGGGAACATCGTATGTTCTACAGGAAACAGACCTGAAGTTCCATTGCTAAGACTTTGGAAGATTAGTAATTAGCCTCCCTGACACATGTTTTTATAGTAAAGTCATTGATTCATTATATGCTATTTTAAATTCTAAATTTTTAGAGATCATAGAAACAGTATAAAATGTATTGAATGCTTCAATGTTTATGTCGAAATTGATTTCAAATTAAAATAAATATATAACATGTGCCCGTTTTCTTCTCTGAATAGTACCACCAAGTCTGGATAATGCGATGGGAACAGAGGAAATCACCGTTGTCAAGGGTAGTTCTACCTCCATGACATGCCTTACAGATGGGACCCCAACTCCCAGGATGTCGTGGCTTAGGGACGGCCAGCCTCTGGAGCTCAGTGCTCATCTGACAGTGAGCACTCAGGGAATGGTCCTCCAGCTCGTCACAGCAGAGACTGAGGACTCGGGGAGGTACACCTGCATTGCCTCGAACGAAGCTGGAGAAGTCAGCAAACACTTTATCCTGAAGGTCCTCGGTATGTAAACGTTCAATATTGGGAAGGAAATGGTAATCAAGATTTCGCAAATAAGGGTGATTTTTAGAATCGTTTGCTCTGGGACTCAGTTTGTCAAAACTTCACTGTACTTCATCTTTCTGTTTTGTCATTCACCTGGGATAGTGATTTTCAACCTTTTGCATCTCATGGCACCCATAAATTAATCACTAAAATTCTGCGGCACCCCAAAAAATATAATTGCCGCTGATCTGACCAAAAAAAATAGGTATAATTTTGATTCATGCACACTGGGCGGTTTTTATAGTGGTGGCTGTTGTCATTTTTGTATTTGACAGTCTAAGGGGAAAGAGGTCAGGGCCCCTGACTAAACAGTGTCAGGTGCTGCACGTTTTACAAATTCTTTTTTTATTTTATTTTTTTTTATTTTTACTTTTTTATCCTCACCCGAGGATATTTTTCCATTTTTTGTACAGATAGAGTGGGAGGGAGAGAGAGGAAGGGAGAGAGAGAGAGAAACATCGATGTGAAAGGGACACATCGAGTGGCTGCCACCCGCATGACCAACCAGGGCCGGGGACAAACTGCAACCGAAGTACGCGCCCTTAGCGGGAACCGAACCCAGGTCTCTCCGGACCGCAGGCTGACGCTCTAACCACTGAGCCAAACTGGCCAGGGCCGTTTTACAGATTCTTAGAGCACACCAGTGTACCGTGGCACACAGATTGAAAACCACTGACCTAGGACTATTCTTATCTGAAGTACATTAAATTTAAATGATTGTGTTTCTTATCTGTCTAAAAAGATGAGAACTACTACTTACAAATTATTATTGCAAGAACTAAAAGCACATCTGATAACAATTTAAGAAAAACTATGTTTATACTATTGTATGTTATTCCAAACAACCTTTAAATGATCCCATGTGTAGATTATAGTTGTAATCATCATTTCAAATAATCTAGTTCCATTTACTCTTGTATGCATTAAAATAAATATTGAAGATGTGTATTCCAGTGTCCCACATGCAAATAAATAGGATAAAGAAAAAAACACATCTTTTCCTTAAAGTCAACATTTTTGACAGGAAGAGAAATGAAGATGAATGAAATGAGCTATTTAAATAATCATTACTTTTCTGGAGGTTTTTTCCCCCCAGTATTGTGTAGGTAAAACTTCAGGCTCTTTATGTAAAGCAAAATGTACCTCCCCAACCCCCCAGCACAACAGGAAGAATTTCGGCAAAAATTCTTTGGCTAGCATGTTTTCAGGATGCCCTGTAATCTTTCTCATAGTACCTGTAATAATTTAATTATTTGTGTAACTTTAAAAGTCTGCTTCATCCTTGGTGAAACTCGATCATGGGCACTGCCCTTCTTACTTACGTGGTATTCACAGTGCATTTGACACGTCATGTTTATTTGTTGGATTGAATTGAACGGAATCAGATACTTGTCTGCTAGATTGAAGGCAGTTCTAACTGCAGAGGGAGGCAAAGCAATATCTAAATACACAAAGAGAGATACGCTGGTGTGGAAGAGTGGTCCACAGAATGAAGGGCGGTAGTGGAGGCTGGGGTCCAGGGTACCGAGAGACAAGGACAGACGAAAGTGTGTGTCAGTGCGGAAGGGTGGAATACCACATTCCTATACATCAGTTCGTAGAATGTGCGGAATAACAGGAGATGACATAAATGTGATCTTGTACCTTAATTATTCCCATATTAAGTATTAATTATTGACCATATATTACTGGCCAGGCATGTTTTAGTCATCATGTAACAAGTAATTATTGAACAACGACTATGTGACATCGTGTGACAGCTACTTGAATGCATCATTGAAAAGACAGATGTGGTCTTGCCCTCCAGTTCCTACATCTGGGAGACACATATTGAGCCAGTAAATACTTTGGGGTGTGATGAGGACCATATGGCTAAAAGAACGTTCTGCGGGCCGGTGGAGTTCGGAGAAGATCTCCTCCAAGATCAAGTTGAGCCTTGAAGGGTCGGGCTGCAGAGGTGAGGGAGGGGTTGCCCGTCTCTCACCTGAAAACGATGGAGCTCGAGTTGTCCATCGATGCTCGCCGGACTGAGTGTGCAAGGGAGAGTAGCAAGAGACAGGCCTGGAAATGTGCAAGCCACGAAGAGCCTCGGGAACGTTTTGGAGAATGTGGACCTCATGACAAAGGCAGTGAAGAAGCTCAAGCAGGAATGTGGTACAACTAGATTTCATTTCCCAACCATCCCTTCTGGTGACAGAGTGAGGGACGGACCGAAGAGCCCGATGAGTCATACAGAACTGAACATGCAGGGCACTGGCCCAGGAGGAGGGAGGGAGTGTGGAGAAAGAGAACGAACCCCCACCCCCCGTACCCCCAGAAATCACGAACTCAAACAGAATCACAGTGCATTTCTGGGTGCAGAAAACACAGGAGAAAAAGAACCACTGAGCCACACCAGCCTGGCTGGGACTTTCATAGAAGTCCCATGAAACCATTTCCACTTCTCTCTCATGGGTCAGCATCTTCACATGCTATGCCATCTACTACCGACTGCAGCAGCCAGGAAATGCAGTGTCCAGCACATTGACAGCCCAGCAAAATCAGGGTCTGCTAATGTGAAAGAAACCGGTAAAAAATATTGAGTACGCACCTGCAGCCAGGAGGGAGGAATATGAGTCCAAGTAAATATTTTGTTTTTTAAATATGTTTTCATTGAGAGAGAGAGGAAGGGAGAGAGAGAGAGATAGAAACAGTGATGTGAGAGAGAAATGTTGATTGGCTGCCTCCTGCACACCCCTACTGGGGATTGAGCCCACAACCCTGGGCATGTGCCCTGACCGGGAATCAAACCGGGACCTCTCAGTCCGTGGGGCAACACTCATTACACTGAGCCACACTGGCCGGGCTTTTTTTGTTTTTGTTTTTTTGTATTTTATTTTAATCTCAGGTTAGTGATGGAGGTGAAAGGAAAAGAAGATGTATTCTAGAAATAATTGTAGGTCAAAGTGTTAGGACTTAGTTGTGGATTTGAACACGAGGAGTGGTGAATACCAAGGATAGCTCCTAGTCTCCTAGTCTCTGGCTCATGTGACTGAACGGGGGGTGATCTATCACATCAATGCAGGGGATGCTGGGAAAGGACCTGGTCTCGAGGAATAAGGTAACAGGTTCAGGAATGCATGTCGAGTTTGAAGTAGTTTTCAAACATCCCACTGAAGATGTTTATCTAGTAATTGAATTTATGGGTGTGAAGCTCAGAAGAGAGATCTACACTGGAAATAAAGTTCCGGAGTCATCAGAGTGTGACAATTCCTACGCCACCCAAAGTACCAGATGTATAACAAGACAGAGTGCAGTAGTTCACAGTCACCCAACACTGGGAGGCTCTGATGACTGGGGATTGACCCAGTTGGCAACCTGTTGTTATTGTTGTGTTTTTTCTCATGACTATAACCTTTTGAGCATAAAGGCCATGCCTAACTAGTCTTTTTGTCCACAATGACTGCCACATGGTAAATAACCAGTAAGTGAAGGTAATAAAGAATTGACCATAGTCAAAGGGAGAATCAGATTCATGTTTTTGAGTGAAACGGACAACATGCTGTGGAAATTAATAGGGATAGAAATTTTATAGTTTGTTGAGAGAATCAAGAAAAGATTTATAGTTTTTACAAATGAACTTAATGACATTAATGTAACCTTGGTTGTACTTGAATATGCTCAGTTAGGAGGTGGAACAATTGGAGAGTAGGAGGAATAGTATTAACGAAGTCACAGAACAAGAAAGGACTGGACTTGGTAAGGGACAAGTAGTCTAATTTAAAATCTAGGTTACATATAAACATATTAAAAGTAGATGATGTTATAAAGATACACCATGTTATGAAAACCTTGGAAGCTATAATGTAGAGTTTTTATTTAACTCAGTAAGCAACATGAAGACACAAATCTTGTAAGTAAAAAATCTTGAATCAATTCAAAATACACTTAAGGAAATGTATTTTGTCTGACTTTTTGATTATAGTCTAGAAACGAATACAGCTTTAATATATTCTTTCTTTTTTTGGAAAGGAAAATGAGGACCACCGGTAGAAATTTTTAGGAGACAGGTTTTAATAATAATACTATCTGTAGTAGACACTGTAGTAGTAATAATTTTCTTAAAAACTTTAATTATAAATAAAATATTCAGAAACACAGAAGAAATATACATAATTTATAGATTATCTCATTAAATTATCACAACAATCCTGTTAGTTAAATAATACTACTATCCTTATTTTGAGATCTATCCAAATTCACTAACCTAGTAATTTTTGGGAGCTACTATTCAAACTCAGGCTGTCTGAGTCCAGATCTTTGCTGTGAGCCTCTGTTCTAAACTATGTACCTGATATGAATAAAATAAAATAAAAAGACAGCTACTATTTGGAGCTGTCCAGCAGCTATTTTGGCTGCCATATGAAACAGTAAGCTGGAAATGTTCATAGAAATCTTGAACGATCATTGTAAGGGAATTCTGTTTCAAAGGGATTGCTAAATGTAGGAATTGTTGAACTGAGAAACCTTGTTGTTCTTTTCAAGTGTCTAGATTCCTTAGCATCCCCTTGAGAATGATAATTTCGAAGTATAAATAACAAAAAAAGAAAAGTATTTCTCCAGACATAACAAGTGTGTTTTATGCAGAAATAGTCTCCAAGTGTAACTGTTTTTACTTCTGCTTAGTGATTGTTTCCTCTCAAAGTTCTGTCTGGAAGAGAGGATAGCAAAATTCCATAGCATTTACCTGCTGCTTTTGCAGAAACAGTAGATATTTAAAAGCTGCAAAAACACTACCATGTTTAAGTACCTCTCTTTGAAAAAATGGTACAAGATGGGTTGAGCTTTTATTGTTTTTAAATCTGCACAGTTAGGTAAGACTGCTCTGATTAGCTGAACCCAAATTACTGAGCAGTGGCTTGTTACTTTGTGATCTGTTGTAGCCATGCTCCAGTCCTTTACAATATTGCCTTTTAAAAAACGGTAATATCATCTAGTAATTATTTGGCATCCTTGTTCTAATCAATTTATATCATATGAACCATATATTTGAGCCAAACATTTTTTAAGTGTTCTTTTAATCAGTAGTTCGTTATCAAACAGCAAGTTTATTTTGTTGTTTTTATTTCCTTTAAATAGAACCGCCTCATATCAACGGATCTGAAGAACCTGTTGAGATATCGGTGATTGTTAATAATCCACTGGAACTCACCTGCGTGGCTTCTGGAATCCCAGCTCCCAAGATCACCTGGATGAAAGATGGACGTCCCCTTCCCCAGACAGGCCAGGTGCAAACTCTCGGAGGAGGAGAGGTCCTTCGGATATCGAGTAGTCAGGTGAGTTCAGAGTTCATGCAGTTATTTTATCCTACGTTCAACTTCCCTCTTGCTGATATATGAGAAATGTTGGGAAAACTATATCTTTGAATTGGAATATATCAAGCTCTCTGTAGCATTAGCAAGGGCAGTTTGGTCCTGGACATGCATAACTGGGTGGACACAAGGTAACAGGACGAACAGGAAGGGAAAGTAACATGTTCAGCTCAGAAGAAAGCAAGATATCTGCACATGAACTTTTATAAAATTTCACAGTGTTATTACTGGTAAAGTATTTCCGGAAGCTCTTCATTTGTGCCATGAAGCCCTTTATTGAACTGGCAAAAAAAAAAAAAAAAGCAATTCAACATACATGTATATGAAGCCTCAAAGAGCACTTTTGATCTTCAAAATGAACCACCAGACGTGAAAATCTAAAGAGACACAATTTTTTTAAATGAACAGTTCAGTAAAATTGACTGTTCTCTTAGGTTGTGTGGAAGGCTATTAATCAGAAATGTGAAAATATGAAAGAGAAATATGGGATATCTTAGTGTAACAGTCTTCTGTTCTAACAAAGGCAAGTCTTATATTACAATATTATCCACCTGTGCCCCGGTGCTCTGTAAACTGAGGGTAAAAGCAATGATAATACCTAACTCCTGCACTGGGGGATTTAGAGATAATCTCACAGGATGTATGTAGACTGTTGCCGCAGGGGTGGAGGGATTCTAAGAGGAAGTTATCTAGGATTATTGCTGCTGCTGTTATTGTTATTATAGTCATTCCTTTAAAACATAGAATAACATTATCTAATCATATTTTGTTTGCATTTCCACTGAGGAAAGAGGAAGGAAAGGAAGCTGATAAAAGAGAGCTGAGAGTTACAAATTGTGCCAGTCCTGTGTTCAGCTACGGGCTGCATCACAATTGTGACCCTCTCGACCCCTCTGTGAGGCACCGCCTTTATCCCCATCCTGCAAACCCAGAAACCTATCCAGAGAGGTTAAGTACTGAGCTGCCAAGTACTCATGGCTGCTCAGCGGTGGAGCGGGCTCTCGTTCCTGGTCTGGTTCTGGAGCCTAGCCAGCGGAACTCAGCACGGTTCTCCCTCCCGGCCCCAGGGAGAACATGCCTTCCATTCATTCCGCTCTTCTTTCCATCAGACATGCAGTACCCCAGAGAAAACTTGAGTCACACTATCGAACCACTTGAATGCTATGATTTCAGCAGAACAAAAGGGAAGTCGAAGAGTTTTGTAGCATAAAGAATAGCATGAAGACAGGAAAGCACGTGGAATGCAAATCATAAATTTACAAAGGAATCATAAATGTAAAGGAATCATGGTAAATAAAGCTTAGCAGGAGGTTAAGGCCACACTGCAGGAGGTCTTGAATGTAAGAATGAAGAGCTGGGTGATAACCAAACAAGACCCAGGGGTGCCATAGAGTGTGAACCGGTGACCCACGTGTTCTAGCCGTTATGGAGAAGACAAACATGATACCTAAGCCATTTCTCCGCCTTCGGGAAGTTTTCAGTTGTCGAGGAGAGATAAAATTACACAGATTATAAATACAGGAAAAGGAATAATAAGAAAACCTTTAAAAATATTATAGAAGTGGACAATTTAACAGGATCAATTATGAAGACTGCTCTTGGTTCCTCTACCTCACATTTCTGTTACAGCACTTAACTAAATTATGTTTTACTATTTGAACTGTGTCTCTTCATGCACATATTATAACATATAGCTTGCTTGGCACATAATGGATGTTTTGCAAATTCCAAAATGTGTGGTAGAGACAAGAGTTTCCTAAGGCATCTTTCATCAAACACTCATCTGCGATTTATTCCAAGGAGGGAAGAAGCATCTGCCCAGATAGACTTGGAAAACTATGTACTGTACCTTCCCCGCCTGTGTGAGCCCTGACACCTGTCAACAACTCTGCAGAGCCTTACTCTCAATACATTTGATTAACTATAATTCTCAAACACCCTACTAACCAAACACGTTTTAGAGCTTGTCGCTACAAATAATGACTGTTGATATCTTGAAGGGCATATGTTGTCAGGAAGTATTTCTTGGAGGAGGCAAGATTTAAGAGTCGTCATGAATGAGGTTCAAGTTTGGCAAAGTCAGGACAAGTGGAGGGGGAGTATCATGTGGGAAGAAACTGAGTTGGTAGAGAAGAGTTGACTTTTAGAGGTTTTGAAAATATGATGAGAAATTCAGAAATTATTTTCTAGGCAATAGCACATCATTTTAAATTCTTAATTGAAGGACCGAGTGAGTGCCATTCCTGTATTTTCCCAAAAATACTAGTCTTAGCATACTGGTCTTAAATTTTTTGCAGCTGACCAAAAAGTTTTTTCCATAACCTATAAAGTCCATCTTGAATGTAAGAATTTGAATTTTTCCAATATACTAGGAATGTTCAAGTAGTAAAATAAATGAAAACAAGACTTTTCTACTTTTCCAAAATACATTTTTTCACAGCTGTAAGATCATCTATTTTCCAGAGTGTACTTTGCCCAGAACAAGCATAGTCCATTTCTACACAATGTCAAACACATGAATGAAGACTGACACTCTCAGTGAAAACTTTGCATGTGGACTTTTAAAGAAATGTTTCTGGTTTTAGTGAGAAAATAATAGATTTTGCTGTCAGTCTGGCCCTATGTACAGCCAACTTACACAGCATTACCCCTTTTGTTCCCTCATGCATGTCAGAGGTAGATTAAAAATGTGACATTCATGTGCTTTATATAAATAACTTGATATTTAGCCTGGCCAGTGTGGCTCAGTGGATTGAGCATCATCCCATGAACGGACAGGTCCCAGTTTGATTCCTGCTCAGGACACATGCCCAGGTTGTGGGCTTGATCCCCCAGTAGGGGGCATGCTGGAGGCAGCTGGTCGATGTTTCTCACATCAATGTTTCTCTCTCTCTCTCTAAAAAAATCAATAAAAACATATAAAAAATAACATGATATTTATGTATGTATGTATGTATTTCATTTTCTTCAGGAAGACTCCAATTGAATTTTTCATTCTGAAATTGAAACTCATAAATACTTATTTCTTCAATAAACATTGAGTACCTGGTCAGTCACATATGGTGCTAGGTCCTATACATATCTGCCTTTCCCGAGATCATTAAACATACCCAACATGCAATTATGCTGAGAAAAAATACCAAAATTCTTTTAAAATATAGATTTACATATCATAGAGATGCCAAGCAATGCTCAAGATCTGGGTGCTAATTCCAAGTGTTAAAACAGTTCATTAAATCTTTTTTTTTTTATCCTCACCTGAGGACATTTTTTCATTTATCTTCAGATAGAGTAGGAGGGAAAGAGGAAGGAAGAGAGAGAGAGAAACATTGATGTGAGAGAGACACATCGAGTGGTCGCCACCCACACAACCCCAACCGGGGCCGGGGACAAATTGCAACCGAGGTACATGCCCTTAGCGGGAACCGAACCCAGGACTCTTCAGTCTGCGGGCCGACACTCTAACCACTGAGCCAAACTGGCCAGAGCCATTAAATCTTAATTATTGTACCATCTTAATGAAATCTTGCTTTGTGTGAGATGTTCACATTTATCCTATAGGATATTTATTCTCATCACCGAAACCAACATGGTAACACTGTCTAACTGACCTATTTGGATTTTGTAGGTGGAAGACACAGGAAGATATACGTGTCTGGCATCCAGTCCTGCAGGAGATGATGATAAAGAATATTTAGTGCGAGTGCACGGTAAATTTGGCAAAATGTTCTGCAGTCCATCATACCCTAACGCCTAATTATAAGCCATATTTTATGGAACATGGGGCAGCTGCACAACTTATCATAAGATATGTTTATGCATTAGGAAATATGGATTTTGCAAATCTGATCCTTCTTATTATTATTTTTAAATCCTCACCCAAGGATATTTTTTTTTATTTATCTGCAGATAGAGTAGGAGGGAGATAGAGGGAGAAAGAGAGAGAGAGATGGATATCGACGTGAGAGGGACACAACGACTGGTTGTCTCCTGCACGACCCTGACCAGGGCCGGGGACGGACTGCAACTGAGGTACATGCCCTTGGCTGGAATCAAACCCATGACTCACTGGTCTGCAAGCCGATGCTCTAGTGCTGAGCCAAACTGGCCAGGGCACAAATCTGATTCTTGTATTTGACTGATCTAATGCTTTTAAGGAATAGTTCAGTGGATTTTGTTACTTGTTTTGTTCCTGCACAAATAATTTATATTTGTTGATTTAAAATCACAGACTATAAATTATGATAAAATTCATAATCTTACCATACAAAGATAAAACCATTCTGTGTATTACTATTTTGTCGTGAAAATCAGCATATAGTCATTAACCTGTTTTTTAATCTCACTTAATGGGATGGTAAATTTGTGTTCATGTCAAAAAAGATATTTTTATAACATTATATTTTGATGATTGCATAGTACTCCATTTAATGTATGTGCCACCATTTATTTAATCCATTCCCTATTTTTGTTATTCTTTTGTTGTTGTTGATCCTCACGTGAGGATATTTTTCTATTGATTTTTAGATAGAGTGGAAGGGAGGGAGAGAGAAACATTGATGTGAAAGAGACACATCTATTGGTTGCCTCCTGTAGGACCCCTACCGGGCCCGGGGATTGAACCTGCAACCCAGGTATGTGCCTTTGATTGGGAATCAAACCTGCAACCCTTCAGTCCACGGGCGGACACTCTAACTACTGAGTCAAACCTGACATGGCCCATTTCCTATTTTTTGATATTTAGTCTATTTCTATATTTTTACCAATAGAAGCAATACTATTTTAATCATCTTTTACATATTTGTTGGCCTATTTTCTGCATTATTTTATTTTGACAAATTTCTATATATTTCTTGCTTATTTACACACACACACACATATTTATGGCCAAACTACCTTCTAAAAAGCTGGACCAGTTACACTCTGGCATAGAAATGGGAATTACTCTTCATGGAGAGAAACATTTAAAAAACTAAGCATATTTTTATCTCAGTCTCGTAGCCTGAAGGACACGCAGTACAGACTGGAGGGCTGGTGTCATCCAGGGGTGTCCTTCACACAAGTCAGACCTGCCACCATTGACACGTGCATTGTATATTATAACAGGAGTTACATTTAAAAGATACAAATCTGCACAGTAAGAAAAATATATACATTTTTGTCTATTTTGATAGACCCTACTTTAGTGGTTTTAAAATCTGATAGAGAAAATCATTACCAAGTATATTCCTGGCCATGGAATACCGTCTTTGTGCCTTAGTTTCTTTACCTATTAAATGGTGGTATTAATGTGATATTACTTATCCTATTAATCATGCGTCTGTGGAAGAATTTCACTGTTTAATGGGTGGAAAGATACCGAGTTAGGTAAACACACATGCTCCTGTTTGTGCCCACTGTACTAGAAACTGAATGAGTAATGTTTTCAGCATATGCCATTTATGTACATCGCAGAAGCAACATTTGTTGATTTCCGATTATAATTCAGATCATTTTACATCTCATTTATTGAAAGCCTTTGGCATGTTTTTCTCACCCCCAGTACCCCCTAACATTGCTGGCACTGATGGGTCCCAGGATTTCACCGTGTTACGGAACAGACAGGTGACACTGGAGTGCAAATCGGATGCAGTGCCCCCCCCTGTGATCACTTGGCTTAAAAATGGAGAACGGTTACAGGTAAGTCTTGCTAAGTTCCACAGATTCATTTTGAGGGGGGGGGAAATCAGCTGTGGAGTCTTTGCTAGGTAGATAAAACCAAACTTCAGGCTTCTCGTTATTCAGTATTGTGGGGTGAGCACAGGGTCCGTGGTCGGGCATCTTCTCTTCTCAACTTTAACCAGGGTAGTTAGTAACTAGTTATGGGTCAAAAGATAGCTATTTTGAATCAGACACACTGTAAAGGGGCCCAAGTATGTGCCTTCTGTAGCCTGTAGGTTAAAGTTGGATTTGAAACACTCAGCTGTTTCTATACTTGAGAGAGAAGAAACCTTCAGAGTCTCAAAAGAATTGACCTGTCCTGCCAAATCTCTATGGCAAACCTGTTACTCAATTTCCCTGGTCCAAAGTTGGACCTCAAGAGTAACCCCGAGAACTGGGCGGTATCAGGAGTCTAGGACTGGAATCCCTGAAGAACAGTTACTGGCTCTGTAAAGCTGTCCATGCCCAGCTGACACCCATCTGCTCTCTCAAAGTTTAACAACCAGGATCCCCAGTCGCCCATCAGGGTTGGCTCAAAGTCCTGACTTCGAATATTCTGATTGTCCTTATCCTAGTAGTTAATTGCTTATCTTTTCCCCCTCCTTTGTTCTCCCCCATCCTGTTAGTCTAACTTATTGTGGTACACTGAATCTAATTATGAAAGGAGATTATGTCCCTTAACACCTAAGGTGGAAAGACTTCTACCTCCGCAAACCACACTAAACACCAAACACGGAGAGACTGGAGTCTGAGCATGAGTTACACGTTAAATCATGATGCATATCACTTAACCCTTCCTTGCCTCAGTTTCTCTATTCATTGTGTGTCTACTATAACGCTAAGTGCTGTGACAGCTACCAAGAATAGTGCTGACCTTCAAGGAGCTCACAGCCTCTCTGAAAGGATACAGAAGTAAATCAAAGATTATAGAGCGGATATTGGTGATAAATTACAGGTTAGAGGGACACACAGTATTTTATGGAAACAGAGAGGAAAAGCAAGTAACCCGGATTGAAGGGTAAGGAACAGCTCAGAGGAGACTCTTAGAAAGGGTGAGTTGGTTCAGTTTTAAATGATGGGTACATGTAGGATGAGAAAGAAGACAGGGAGTCCAGTCACAGGTGATGACATACACAAACACATCACAGGAAAGGTAGCTTAGTATGGGTGAAGTAGACGTTGATTAAAACGCTTTGATGATTCCCCATAGATTTCAGGATTCAGGTTTAAACTATGTAGCTTAGCTCCCAAGGCCTGTCATGGTCTGACTTTTTCTGCATGGTCTTGTCTCCTATGTGCTCATTTGACTCTAGCCCAGTAGGTATTCAGATAGAGACTGATGAGGTTGATGACGAAGAATTTCAGGCTAATCCCAGATATGACCAAGTGATGTGAGTACTAGGACCGCCTGAGTTCACCAGTTACCAAAAAAATAGATATATGAGTGCTGTTTTAGGTATTTTGAGTTTGAATGACCTATATATTGTCCAAGTGAAGATTCTAAAAAAGCATGAAGGAATATGGGTTCGTATTTCATTTAAAAGTTTTGATCTGGTAGTCCTCACGGTATAACTTCTTGTTGAAGCCTGAGGTTTCTATGAGGTCGACTGAAAGCTTGTGGGGTAAGAAGCCCAGTAAATGAGAGCAAAGCTTAAGGCAACACTGACAATGAGAAGGGGAGCAAAGGAAGGAGAGAAAAGGAGGACTCAGAGAGGGAGGATGAAGCCTGGGAGCCACTGTTGTACTGAAAGTCAAGGAGAAGCGAGGGCGTGGTTAACAGAGGCCGCATTAGGATGCAAATGCAGTTGTGTCCATTGACTTTGGGACTACAGAGACGTGACCGAAGGTCTGAACAGTGGTTCTTCAGTAGACTGGTCAAGGGAGAGGACAGGTGATCGTTGTTGGGGGAGTTAAAGGATAAGAAGACTGGGAAATAATTGTGGACTATTCTTTAAATAGTGTACAAGAGATTTATATATTTTTATTTACTGAAAGAAAGTGATTGAAGATAGAGGAGAGAGGAAGAGAAATGTGTAAGACAAAGTGGAAGGCACGGGACCCTGGTCACCAGGGAAGAGATTATCCCTGGACTGAAGGGTTGACATTTCTTCACAAGACGGGACACTAGAAAGCAGGTGGCGTTCGTCTGCAAATGGAGCGGGGAGACCTGCAGACGCTGGGTGTGGATTTTTCTCAGTGCAGTAGAAACACGGGGACAAGCTGAGAAGGGGGTTCTCTCTGAGGAAAGAAGTCACTTTAGAGGAATCGTTGCTGATAAATGAGAAGAGAGCCAGGGACAGCTGGAGTGAGACCTAGTAACTTAGCAGAACTTACTGGTGTTCATGGAAGAAAGACATGATAAGAATCAACTCGGAACATTTTAATTAGCCTAAAACCCAGTTATACCCATATAAAAATTAAAATGTTTTGGAGAACTTACCATGTTTGTTTAAGAAACCACTTCTTATCAGAGGTAATAAAATTTTATCACTAATATCCCCTAGAGAAAATGATGGACTTTCAAAATAATGGACCTGAACAACTTTTTTTCATTAAAAATATCTATCAGGGACAGAGCCCATATGGTAGAAAAATCTTATTTGGGCTCTTCCTGAAGTAGTTAGATCTTAGGCACAACCAGAAAATACCAGTCTGGAACCTGGCTTTTTTTTTTTATGATTATGAGTATCATTCATTTTAATTTACATACAATTATTTGTTTATATCTGTTTCCCCAATTGGACTTAAGAGCAGACGTTAAATTTCATTGTGTTTATGTTTTCATAATTCTTGGTTCCATTTATGGACATAAAATAAATGCTTAACAAATATTTGGAGACTAAAATCATTTAATTACTTATTTTTAAAATGTTAAAGGATCATTGTTTTCTGTCCATTCACCAAAGTTAATTTACGAGTCAAGAAGCTTTCAACTGTGAATTCAAACTCAAACCAACTTAAGTTTTTTTCAGAGGTATTTCTTGGCTCCGGTATATGAACTTAGGCTGTAGACGTTACGAGATCCAGAGGCTCTCATCATGTAATCAAGCATCTGTGTCCTTTCTCCAAATCTCAACTCTGCTGGCTTTGTCTGAGAGTCAACACAGGCTGTCCCCACGTGGTAATAAAACTGCCACCAGGCTTACGTCATGCTCACTACCAGCGATTCTAGTGAAAAAAGCACACCTTATTGCCCAGCACCTACAGCGTGCGAGTCCTTTGGGGGGCTCTGAGGGGCCCAACTTGAGTAGCCTGCCTGTCCTTGAGTGAATCATTGTGGCCAGGAGAACTGGGGACATTTATTATGTCCCTGCCTTAACCACACTCAAAGAAATAGTTCCCATGGGTTCTCAATACCAGGATAATGGTGGGGGCAGCAGACAAAGCAAACTGGAAGATAGGCACTCCAGTTACTATAGTGACTTTAGATGTTATAAAGTAACATTTTATTTCCTTCTCCGGAAATTGTACTTGCTGAATCCAGGCAACACCCCGAGTACGAATCCTATCTGGAGGAAGATACTTGCAAATTAATAACGCAGATCTAGGTGATACAGCCAATTACACCTGTGTTGCCAGCAACATTGCAGGGAAGACCACAAGGGAATTTGTTCTCACTGTAAATGGTAAGAACAATTAATCATTATTTCGCAATTTAAAAATTTAGCCATGGGCATTCAATTAGATGATAACTGTTTATGTTTCTTAAGAGTATGTTAAATTAATTCTTGTGACTATCTTATTTTTAGAAAAAGACATGTTGTGTTTGTATTGTAGCCATATTCAAACTAACCTTAACTTAAAAAAAATAATAATAATAAGATAGATTAATCTATTTTGGAGGATAATATATCCCCAGTGGTCATCAGCATATCCTGATGTTTTATGTCATTCAGATCAGAACCATTAAGGAAGTCGATACATTAAATGTCCAAATGACAAGTGGCCCATTATACAGCTCACCTTTACTGATGTTGGTGTTTCAGTATATATGTGCTAGGCAGAGACTGCCACAGAATTATAGTTTTATCACAAAATCTAAACATTAAACTTTGCCAAATTTCAGGAAGATAATACATACAGACCCCCTCCCCTCAAACAGTCCCTTTGGATTTTAGTATATGAAACCTTGCAGGATATTAGGTGACCCACACAACTAATGTCTCCACTACTAAAATTAAAATTCAGATTTCCTATTCCCATATGCATTCAATGATTAATAAAATACATGCTGTGAGACGTGCATGATTAATCACAGATGTGCTTTTGTTAAAACAGCCCACTTTCTGTTCTTTATTTAAAGTGAAGTTGTGCCAGTGTTAACATTCTCTGACCATTATTTGGCCGAAGAGAAATAAGAAATGTCATCTTTAATTTGCATCAGACTGGGGCTGATTTTCTTCAAGCCTCTCTTATAGAAAGCCAGATTTCACACACCATATCAGGGATTTAAAATCCCCTTCCGCCACCTCCTCTTTATTTTTAAACACAAAGTACCTTGAATAATATTTTAGGAATAAAACCCTGATTCTATTTATACTAACCTGAATTAGCTGTGGGCAAAGTTATACATTTGACTCAAAGCTCACCTTGTATTACCGCTTCAAAGTCTTAGCCCGGGCTGTGTTATTAACAGAAATGAAGTTTTCCATATGCATCTCTTGTGCAGTTCCTCCAAACATAAAGAGTGGCCCCCAGAGCCTTGTCATTCACTTAAATAAGTCAACTGTATTGGAATGCTTTGCTGAAGGTGTGCCAACCCCAAGGATAACGTGGAGAAAGGACGGAGCTGTTCTCTCTGGGAATCACGCAAGGTAACAGTTCTGGAAAGGGATGGAAACTACTGTAAGAACTGAAACACAGGTCCTTAAATCTGTCTTCCAGTGCATTATTTTGATCTTGCTATGTTAGAATCCGTTTCTTCACCTTAACATGAGAATCACAATGTAGTATTTTAAAGGAAGAATTCCTGAGATTTATATCCAAAACGTAACGATGATGATCCTTCCCAGATCACAAGCCCATCTGCTCTGCACCTTTGCGGAATATCCCTTTTGTCCACCAGGATACTGTAAATTTCCGAAGCAGGAAAAAGACTAGAAATGGATTTAGCTAAGTCTTTAAACGTGTCTCAGTCAAAATGGGGATAATCAGAAAAGGCTGATGCGAGGGACTTACTGTGATCTTTCTTGTAGGTATTCCATCTTGGAAAACGGATTCCTTCATATTCAGTCAGCACATGTCACCGATACCGGGAGGTATTTATGTATGGCTACTAATGTTGCTGGGACAGACCGCAGGCGGATAGATTTACAAGTCCATGGTAAATACATCTTATGAATAACATCCAATCTCTGGGTCACATGTTCTTTGATAGCCTAAACCAGTAAGGTATAACAGACCTTGATATCCATCGCTACTTACATGTATTACACTATATTATGAACAGGGGAGATCTGTGTTTTCTCTTCATTATGAATAGCACCATCACAACGCTATTTAAATTCACAGATCCGTGTTGTTTTTGTATCTAGGAGGCAAGTTACCAATGATTAATTTCACTTGGGCAGAAATTCTTCAAATGGCATCCTGTTTGCTGAATGTCTTTCCTTCTTAATTTGGTGACTGTTTTAGTGCCTCCATCTATTGCTCTGGGTCCTACCAACATCACTGTAACAGTAAATGTTCAAACTACTCTGGCTTGTGAGGCTGCTGGAATACCCAAACCATCAATCAGCTGGAAAAAAAATGGGCATCTTCTCAATGTGGATCAAAATCAGAATTCCTACAGGTAAGAAATAACTTCATTGAAAAATCCCATCTACTATTTAGAAAAATATATTTTTTAAATTAACATTTTAACTCTAGCAATGAAGAGAACAAATAACATATAAAGTAGGAAGAATTAACTAGTGTGTCAAAACTATTTATTTTTTCTTTATATGGAATTAGTTTTCCAACCTAAAATCTTTTCCCAAATTACAGATGCAACCTTTCTGTAAGGTCCAGAAACCCTGTGGATGACTGTTAGCGAGGTCTACAGAATTAGATTTCCGTTCTTTTTTTTTTTCTTAGCTACCTTTAGAATTTTACAAAGACAAAGGATGGATAACATCATTTGGTACAAAAGAAAAACTATTCTGCAAAAATGATCAAACCCCTATTAGTTGTAGAATAAAACTCAAATTTTATACCTTGAAACACAACTTAGGTATATGGCAGAATGTATGAGAAGGAAAAACAGCATTTCTTCCAATTTTTTTTCTTTTTTCTTTTTTGCATTTCTCTGGCTTTACTACCATACCCCATAATATGGCAGTACTGGCATGCTTTTATTTTTTTATTTATTTTGGTTTTTTTTTATCCTCACCCGAGGACATTTTTTGATATTTTGTTCAGATAGAGGGAGGGGGAGAGAGTGAGAGAGTGAGAGAGAGAGAAACATCAATGTGAAAGGGACACATCGAATGGTTGTCACCTGCAGGACCCAACCAGGGCCAGGGACAAACTGCAACCGAGGTACGTGCCCTTAGCGGGAACCGAACCTGGGTCTCTCAGGACTATAGGCCTGAGCCAAACCGGCCAGGGCAGTTTTTTAAAGGTTAACATTTAAGTCACTAGGAATTTCTGATGTTTTAGATGAGCATTATTTTTTGTATCTCAACTAAGCTAACAGATTGTTCTCTTGTCAAAGGATTTGCAATAGTACCTAAAAGAAATGTTCTCTGTGTAAAGATCTGCTTTGACAAAAGTCAGCTCTAATGCAGTAGGAAATCTGAAGCTAGAAGTGTTTCACTTGGATGCTATTTCTTCTCACCCTTTGAATCTTTTGATGTTGGAGTTTAGTGACTTGAAGGTACACACCATGTGAAAAATGCAGGGTGCCTTTGAATTTAGAAAACATGTCAAATATGTTCCCATTCAGTAAAAGTATTTCTAGTCTGTCAGTGTGCCATTTGAAATAAGAAGATAGGTGTTCTCATTCAGATTTACTTTAAATAATGTGTGTGTGCTTACTAAACCTTCTAAACAGTCTTTGTGATCCAGATCACTTTAGTTTTGAATTGGTTGGAAGGAGAAGACTTATTGATCCTCCAAAGAATCCAACCCATGTAAGGAGACATGTGAAACAGGAAAGGGTGCAAGACACACTGGCAATTACCTGTCTGTCAGTGGAAATAAGCAGATACCAACCTGCCTAGTTATGGTGACATTTAGAGATCATTCCTGTGACGCATTGGAGATGATGCCAGGAACGTCTTCAATGCTCAGTAAACAGTGGCGCTCATCAGTGTGCCCTTTGCACTATATTTCACCGGGGAGGGTGTGGTTGATCGTGATCTCAGCATTCAGAAAGTGCAAGATCCCCCCTTCAGACAGTCCTTCTACCCCCTGCTTTCTGTAAACGTCAAAGTTGAGGCCCTAGTACCCAACTGCCATATAACCTTAAAGTCTGACACCTGAAATACCCAGAGAAATGATGCTCATTTGAACACGAGAAAAGAGTTCCGTTTCCCACAGTTCAGAACGTGGTACCGTATGGACGCGACTGGAGACGTGTATGTAAACTGATACATGGTATCTAATTGCTTTGGAATCTTTCTTCCAGGCTCCTTTCTTCAGGGTCACTAGTAGTCATTTCCCCTTCTGTGGATGACACTGCGACCTATGAGTGCACCGTGACAAATGAGGCTGGAGAGGACAAGAGAACCGTGGATCTCACTGTCCAAGGTAGAGCGTAGTGTGCGGATGGAAAGTTATACTGACATCGCTGCCTCGGCCCTGCCTAACAAGAGGGCTTCCTTTTCCTCTTACGTCACATCAGCTTTCAGTGGAGGAGGAGAAGGCTGTATGATAACGCTGCGGCGATCTGTAAGCGTTGGAGACACTGAGTTTGCTTTGTGTGTGTCGTTATTGTTGTTTTAGTTCCGCCTTCCATAGCTGATGAGCCCACGGACTTCCTGGTAACCAAACACACCCCGACAGTCATTCCCTGCACTGTTTCAGGGGTTCCATTCCCCTTAATTCACTGGACCAAAAACGGTATAAGACTGCTTCCCCGGGGAGATGGCTATCGAATTCAGTCCTCAGGTAAGAGCAAGTTCAGTTTCTATACATCTATTGCTGGGACTCATTTTGAATGGATGGCCTCACCTGGCTTTTTTTTGTACCAAAATAAAAGAATAAAATATATCTGCATTTCTGGACTTAGGCAGCTGTGGTTGCGGAAAGGGGGGGGGGGCAGGGGATGAAATTAGAGTGGGAAGGGGAACTAGGAAAAGGAAGAGAAAAAGAAGTCTGGAAACAAACTAGCACTGTGTAAGGCTGATCTGAATATAATAAGCATGATCACGGGAATTTTATGTGCATGTATTTACTAAGGCTAAGGTTTAACAAATTCACTGGTTGACTTTGAGTGGACCACATTTCTTCCATTGGCCAAACAGAATGTCCATTTATTTATTTTTGTTTTTTATTGATATTTTATAGAGAGAGGAAGAGAAAGAGAGGTAGAAACATCAATGTGAGAGATAAACATTGACCAGCTGCCTCCTGCACACCCCCCACCGGGGATCGAGCCCCCAACCCGGGCATGAGACCTGACCAGGAATCCAACTGGGACCTCTCAGTCCACAGGACAATGCTCAATCCACTGAGTCACACTGGCTGGGCTAGAATGTCCATTTATTTAACAAATACTTGGTGACAAAATAGACTATATACTCCACTAAGTTTCAGATGATATAAAACGAAGACAGGGTTCTTGCTTTCAATTTATAATTTAGCAGATAAGGCTGGGTGATGAATGCTATGATGGATAATTTTTCAGAGTGGTAGCCATCATTTAGAAAAGTTAAGTATTGAAAATGTATAGTATCAAAGAGAGAAATAAAATAATTCACCTATATGAAAGTACAGGTAATTCACACTGGTATTTCTGAAAACTCATCCTGCATTGGAGTGGTACACTGGAAATAAACTAAAGCAACAACTAATATCCAAGGGCTTTGAGCATGTGCATATTATTCTGAAAGGATTTGTTTATTTCTTCCATAGAAGGGAAATAATGGAAGATTTGTTCTCAGGGTGGAACTTGGCTTTCAAAGCAAAATATTTTTGCTATCTCAGAACCTGTATAGATTGATCTCAATTAAAATCATAAAATATACATTGATTACCCATCAGCACAAAGTATTGTGCTAAGAAAACAGTTTGGAACTTTCTCAAAATGTTAAACAGAGTTATCATATGACCCAGCTACTCCATTCCGAGGTATCTACTCAGAGAAATGAAAACATATGTCCACCCTCAGAGTTGTTTGCACATGCCAAATAACATAATTCTCAACAGCCAAAAAATAGAAACAATTCCATTGTCCATCAGCTGATGAAGGGATAAACAAGATATGGATAATCCATACCATAGAATTCTATATAGCGATAAAATGGAATAAAAATATCGACATGCTACAGATGAAACTCAAAAATTAGGCTCACAATGAAAGATGTCAGTCACCAAAGGCTTTCAGTCTGGCTGGTGTGGCTCAGTGGTTGAGCATTGACCCATTCATCAAGAGGTCACCAGTTCAATTCCCAGTCAGGACACATGCCCGGGTTGTGGGCCCGATCCCCAATGGGGGACATGCAGGAGGCGGCCGATCGATGTTCTCTCTCATCGATGTTTCTCTCTCTCTGTCCCTCTCACTTCCTCTCTCTCTAAAATCAATAAAGGAAAAAACAAAAACAAAAGGCTTCCGTCTGAGTTCATCTGCATGAAAAGTTCAGAAAAGGCAAGGATATTGACAGAGTAGACTAGTGCTTGCCTAGGGCCGGGTTGGGAGTGAAGTGTGACTGTGAGATTTTTCTTTAGAGACATGGAAACATTCTAAACTTAGATTATGTATGGTGAGATTGCACAACTCTGTGAATACACTAACATTTTTGAGTTGTACATCTAAAGGGGTGAATTTCATGGTATGTAAATTTTGCCTCAATAAAGCTGTTAATATTGATTTTAAAAGCTCTTTGCTAGGCACGTCAGGGGGTACAGTGTGACTGTCAGCCAAGCACCACTGTGTTATGGGGATGAAAACACAAAGTCAGAGAGTTTAGCAAACCAGAAAAACAGGGATGCACTATGCAGGGAAACGTGTTTCTTTTCAGGAGCCATTGAAATCTTTGCCCCCGAGTTGAACCATGCTGGAAGGTACACCTGTATGGCCAGGAATGCGGCTGGCTCTGCACACCGACAAGTGACCCTTCGTGTCCAGGGTATGGGAGATTACGGACTCATTAAAAACGTGACGTTGTTCTTTTGCTTTGTGTTGCCATGTTTATTCTTAAAAGGTAGTACTGTCTAGAGCTATGAAGCACAATGATATGCCGAGGATTAGAAAGCCTCATAGAGGGTCTTCAAAGACTAAAGAAGACCCGCAGATAACACATCCCAAAGAACAACTCCCAAATTATTTTTCTTCTTGAATTTCTATAACATTTCTGGCCTTCTAACTAAAACTGGCTGTAAGAGCAAGATTCAAAGGAAAGGTAACAGGGCCAGGATTCACTTTTCCCTGGGAGCTTTGGAATGATGGAGCTGGGCGTGTTCAACTTCATGGTTACTGCAGGGTGTTCTGCCACCGACAAGTGCCATTGCTTATTGCATTGATTGGTTCTTCTAGAGCCTCCCGTCATTCAGCCTCAGCCAAGTGAGCTAGATGTCATCCTAAACAATCCCGTTCTGTTACCATGTGAAGCAACAGGGACGCCCAGTCCTTTCATTACCTGGCAAAAAGAAGGCATCAATGTCGTCACTTCAGGTACCTACTGCTGTTTCTCGCACGCACATCGTGGCTACACGGTGTTTGCTAAATCAGAAGTCAGCATGACTCTTTTTAATGAAAGTACAATTTCTTCTCACCCTGCCTCTGTTCCTGCGATACAGGCAAAAGCCACGCGGTCCTTCCAAGCGGCGGCCTGCAGATCTCCAGAGCTGTGAGAGAGGACGCGGGCTCTTACATGTGCGTGGCTCAGAATCCGGCTGGTACAGCCTTGGGCAAAGTCAAGTTAAACGTGCAAGGTACCCAACGAGCAGATCTCTGTGTCTTCACTGCAAAGATGCTTGTAACCATGAATACCTAGATGCGCATCTATCTAAAATACTTCTCAACACTCTTGGTTTACGTGATCCTATTTGCTTCTCTGTAACCCATATGAAGAAGAAAATTCGTGTTTGGGAGGGTTTTTTGCATTGTTTGTATAAGAAAACTGAGGCATCTCATCATATTTTGAACTTCTGTGAACCTCTGTTTGGTGCTGTATTTTATTGTAGTTCATATTTAAGGTAATTTTAAAAACCATCCTCTCCATAATACTACTTTGGGTACATTATGAAACATTCAATTGTAATATCCACCTAAAAAAAACCAAACAAATCACAATTGCAGTTAAACCAAATCGATGGGGAAAAATTGTTCTCAAGACCAAGTGGGGCTTTTTCATATTTAACTGATCTTTTCTTGATATGATTCTCATATCTTAGGCATTGCTTTTGATAAAGAAGTGTACTAGAAATAGGTCCTGAGCGACTGAATTTGCATTAGCTGATTTCCTTATAGCGTGATTTCTCTACGGTGAATTAATGGCTATGGTAAAGCTCATTACCTGCAGATCGTAGATTTTATTTCTTTGTATTTTTTAACAAATATTTATTGGGGTAATAAGTGGAAATACATTGAACATTATGGGCCTGATTCTTCCCTTATAGTCGGAAGAAGGAAAAAAATCTAAACTACCAAATAGATAAATGAATTATAAATTCTGATACATGCTAAGTAGAGGAACCAACAAAAGGCTGAGATGGAGAATAATGAGGAGATGGGGGACCACTGCAGTGGTTAAAGCAGCTTCTGAGGGGCCCCACATAAGCTGACTTGACGGATGAGCCCGTAAAGGTGCAGTGTGTCCCAGGGAAAGAGGCAGAGTGCAGCGGCCGAAGCCTGAAGGAGGAAGAAAAGCATGTCGGTGCGTTCACTAGCCCGTGATGGGAGAGGGGAAGCCTGGCGGGATGTGAGGGGCTCAGCAGAGAAGGCTAGGCCAGTGCGTGGAGAGCCAGCCGTCCTTCGGAAGGTTAGATGTGTTGCCTCTGCAGTGGGAAGCCTTTTAAGTGTTTAACCAAGGCTCTGATTTGGTTTGAGAACAATCTCTTTTGCTGTTGTGTAGATAATAGTTTAGAGAGAAGGCAAGACTAGAGCTGGGAGAACTCTTTTTTTTTTTTAATCCTCGCCCAAGGACATTTTTGCATTTATTTTCAGATAGAGCTGGAGGGAGAGAGCGGGGGAAGAGAGAAAGAGAGAAACATCGATGTGAGAGAGACACATCGAGCGGTTGCCACCACACAGCCCCAACCGGGGCCGGGGACAAACTGCAACCGAGGTACGTGCCACTAGCGGGAACCGAACCCGGGACTCTGGTCCGCAGGCCGACGTTCTAACCGCTGAGCCAAACCGGCCAGGGCAAGCTGCGAGAACTCTTAAAGACATCTAGGCAGGGTGATATGGTCTGGCCAGAAGTAGGGGTAGGTGTGTGAGTTACAAGGATTAATGAAAAAAGCGATGGGTTCACAATGTATCTGGAGGTGTAATTGCCATGGTCAGACTTGGGAGATTAAAAACGGAAGAATAGTGTTGTTTCCTGGGCTTTGGGCTTGAGCTAGTGCGTGGATGATAGTGCGTGGATGATATGGATGATAGTGCGTGGATGATAGTGCGTGGATGATAGTGCCGTGGGGAATGCAAGCGGAGGAACTCGTTTTGGAGGAAGGAAACCCCGATTTGTATTTAATCATGTTAAATGTGGGAAACTAATGGAAATCCTAGTGGAGATGTCAGATAGAGAGCTGAATAATTATGACTTCAGGGCTCATGGGAGAAGTCTAGTCTAAGATATAAATTAGGAAGTAATCAATGTGTTATAATTCACGAGACTGGTTGAGAATTTGGATACAAATGAGCTAAGGACAAAGCCCCGGGACACTGCATTGTTTAGGGGTCCAAGAAAGGAGAGGATGCTGGAAAAAATTAGAAGGAAGAGGCAGAGGTGTTGCAGGAAAAGTGGATGGAAGCCAGGAGAGGGGACGGTTTCAACAGGTAGGGGGACAGCTTTGGTGAAGACAGAAAAGAGCTCAGGGAGGGTAGGACCAAGGAATGCTCGTTGGTTTTGCCTACATAGAAGTCATGGAGAAGAACAGTTCCAGATTTCGGGTTTTTTAAATTTTCACCAATTGATTAAAATTATTGATATGAGCAATTATGGGACACAGAAACATATTACGCAACTCATAGCATTTCAACATCCCAAAAGCAACCAGGAATAATTGCATGCTCCGGAGACGTGGAAAATCCTGAACCCCTCTCCTTGCGGGTACAGTGTATAATTGCGAGCACAAATTCAACCGAATGATTTTGGTTGGCATAAGTGATTTTAATATGCGTATTCATATTTTCTCACAACTTGGTGATTTTAGTATACTCATCACCATTAGTGTAGCTGAAGTTTCCGTCTCTGCATAGTGGACCATTTCTCCCAGCCCCTGGAGACAGCAAATAGTTCCCGGTCCCTGGGTCTTGCCATGCATGGGCGTTACTTGGAAGAGTGGAGTTCCCAGAGATCTCTTGCTTCTGATTTCATTTCTTCATCAGCATGTAACTGATTTTTGTCGGGCTTATCTCTCAAGTGTTTTTGAATTGGTGGTGGATGATTTAGAGGATTTGTGTGTGTGTGTATATATACACATTCAAAGTGGTATTTTTACCCTCATGGTTGTCTCTGCACCTTGTCACTGTCTCTGGATTTGAAGGAAGGGAGGGTCATTCTCGCCTTCCTTTCTCGTGTGCTTGTGATTGGTTGTTCTCTCACACTTACTTGATACGTCTTTAAGTCTCAATAGAATATCCAGGCCAATACCTGAGTGGTAATCAACCTATTGTAAACACTAGGAAGAAAAACTCTTATTATAAGCCCTTCTGTAGTTTGCTGAAGAAGTGGAAAGAGTTTTATCTTCACAGTTCTTTTCCATGACCCATCCATGTATTCATTCATTCAAATAATACTTCATTAAATTGGGTCACCTTGCTAAGCACCGTACAAAATGCACGCGTGGAGAGAAGTTCAGTAACCTCCGAACTGTGAAGGGGTCTGTTCTGAAAGTGTAAGTAGCAGAAGTGAATCACACAATACAGGGGTGTCAGAGAATGTGCCTTCGTCCACACCAACTAAATCTTCTAGGTGTGCAACCCCTTGGGAATATACGTTTGTCACCTTATTTAAAGTCAGTTATTGATTACATTTGTTACCTAAATAGAGAATAACTTTCTGGAATGAGTTCAGTGCAAGCCCACGGTAGTGACCCTTCGATGACATCTACAGTCAGGCGTTGGTTTCTTCCCAGCGTGCCCTCCCTTCGCCAGGGCGGTGCTGCAGATGGAACCTGAGCTTTGTGTCTTTCAGTCCCTCCAGCCATCAGCCCCCATCCAGAGGAATATACCACTGCCGTGGATAAGCCCGTGTCACTGCCGTGCGAGGCGGTCGGCCTGCCGCCACCTGACATCACGTGGCATAAAGACGGCCACGCAGTCGTGGAGTCGGTCCGCCAGCGTGTCCTCAGCTCCGGGGCCCTGCACACAGCCTTCGCTCAGCCCGAGGACGCCGGCCAGTACACGTGCACGGCAGCCAGCGTGGCGGGAGCAAGCAGCTCCAGCACCAGGCTCACCGTCCATGGTAGGTGGTTTCACGGAAAGTACTTCCAGCTGCTGCGTTACCATGGCGAAGAGAAAAGACCACTAAGAAAACATCTGCTGCAAATCAAAACCATGCAAAACCAATCATTCAAAACATGAGTGTGTGTGTGTGTGTGTGTGTGTGTGTGTGTGGTATAGGTACACTTGCCCTTCGAATCTGTTTTCTGTAGGCAGTATTTATTTGTGTGTGCACATATGTGTGTGCGAAAGAGATATTTTATTCACGTAGCCAGGATAATCCGTGTAATAGCGAATAACCCCTCATGCTGTGATTATTGGGAGCAGTACTTTGGCTACAAGAAGTCCATTTGTGTTCGCGAGCCTTCTGCTGTACTTCTCAACTTGAAAGTCGTCTTGGCTCAAAACTAATCACTGTGGCCTACATTATAAATATAGTGTGGACCCAGTGAGAATTAGAGAGCTATTCAATTCATTATTTTAAAGTAGCAAGATATTTACATGTATGTTTTTGTAACATAAAAATCGACATGTTTTTCCTTTGTATGCAACTATAAAATACCTAAAAATCAGTATTGAAATATTTTAGTTAATATATAGTGTAAGACTCAAGATAGGACAACTAATACTATCAGTAGTAGGAAGCAAGAAGCAAATCAAACTGTTTCTACTACTTTCAGTACTATTATTAGTACTAGTAATATTAGTATTGGTAATAGTACTATTACTCCTATTCTAATGATGAGTTCCTGCTTTTCTCTTTTCAAAAATTCGTGAAGGCTGTTTTTTTTATTTTTCACCTATATTTGAATTTCCTACAAAGTCATAGGTACAGTAAACGTTCAAGTGAAATCACTTTTAATTGGTAAATGAATAATTTAGCCAAAATTAAAAATTACCATTTCCGAATTTTCTAAATTTCTTTCCTGATTTATACCTGCTTTTAGTTAATATGTTTGAATGAATCAATACATATTAGTCCCTTAGTAAATAAGGGATTCATAAGTGATACTCTTCCTTTTCAAGTATTTATAGAAAATTTACCTAAATTGACCAGATACTAAACAACAAAGAAATCATTAAGACTTAAAAATACATGCCACAGTCCCTGCCCGCAATGCAATAAAGCTAGACGTGTGTAATGAACTTTTTATGCCAAAACCCCAACCCCTGGCAAAGTTAAAAATACCATTCTAGCTAACAAGTAGGGCAAAGAACATGTTATTTTTAGATTATTTAGAAAGTAATAAAAATAAGGACACTACATATCAAAGTGTATGGTGTGTGCCAACACTAAACTGAAATATAAAGGCATAGCCTGAAATTTTTCATTTTGAAAAAGAATGAAGTTAATGTGCTCATGTTGGAACTTGGTGACAACCAACAAAAGAAATAACTCCAAGGGAACCAGCATAAGGAGATAATAAAAATACAACATGATTTAATAGAAAAATGAATTGAATATTTATGATTCACCATTTTTTTTTAATCCTCACCCAAGGATATTTTTACATTTATCTTCAGTCAGAGTGGGAGGAAGGGGGAGAGAGAGAGAGAAACATCGATATGAGAGAGACACATCAATTGGCTGCCACCCACACGACCCCAACTGGGGCAGGGGACTAACCGCAACCGAAGTACGTGCCCTTGGCCAGAATTGAACCCAGGACTCTTTGGTCTGCAGGCTGATGCTCTAACCACTGAGCAAAAACCCGGCCAGGGCTATGATTCACCATTAAACAAGATAGTTTTTTTATGTTTTTCATATTATCTGTAATGTTTATGCATATATTCAATCGTGTGTTTAGATATTTACTCATATAATTATAAAAAGGGTGAAAAATCACCCTGGCCGGTTGCTCAGTAGTTAGAGCGTTGGCCCATGGACCTACATGAGTCTCAGGTTCGATTCTGGTCAAGGGCATGTACCTTGGTTGTGGTTTGTCCCAGCCCTGGTCGGGTCCTGCAGAAGGCAACCCTCCCTCCCACTCTGTCTGAAGATAAATGGGAAAATATCCTCAGGTGAGGATCAAAAAAAAAAAAATGGAGTTTACACAATAGCTTTATTTTGCTGAGACCAACTGTTGTGCTGTCACTTTTTTAAAGGTATTAAGATGCATCCATTTCTCACTGATGTGTTCAAATAATTCCAAAGTTCATTATTTCGGCAAGGAGAGTATTTTTACTTTTTGAGCCAAATATTCTTTTTTTTTTTTATCCTCACCCGAGGACATTTTTGCATCTTTCTTCAGATAGAGCGGGAGGGAGAGAGGGGGGAAGAAGAGAGAGAGAAACATCAATGAGAGAGACACATTTACTGGTTGCCACCCACACGACCCCAACCAGGGCCAGGGACAAACTGCAACCAAGGTACATGCCCTTAGCAGGAACCGAACCTGGGACTCTCTGGTCCACAGGCCAACACTCTAACCGCTGAGCCAAACTGGCCAGGGCAAGCCAAATAGTCTTAAAATTTCAAAGACTTTTCCTTTAGAATATCTTAGTTCTACATCCACTGAGGTATTTTTTTAGTCCACCAAAACATTCTATTTATCTTTATTGTCTAAATTCTAGTTCAAAAAAAAATAGAGTCACAGGAAATATTTGGTATTGCAATGCAGAGAGTAATGAAATCACTATAAACATTTTTTTTGACAGTATGAAAACCAAATCAAATGTCTTGACCTGGTTTTACTCACATTTGTTGTAACACGTGAAATGCTACAATACCTTGTTTTCCTTGGTACTTGGTGATATTCAATATGCGTAGTGTTTCATAGTGCTTAAACTAGTAACTGTTCTTAGTTTATTCTCACAGTATGTCTGTAATAGGAACCCAGCAGTTACACAAACACAGAAGCATTTTCGTTTTTTGTTGTTCTTGCATGTTGTTTGTTTTTGCTTCACTGCAAAAGGACAGGAGACTTGAGTAAGAAAAGTCAGCGAGTCAAATTCAATGTAAAGATTTTCAACCCTGTTCTAAGTCATTGGCTCTGAAACTGATTGTAAATATACTCAATAAGTTCAAATCCATTACAATTCTTGCAGGCATCAAAAATAGTGATCGCTTTTATAGTAACAAACAAAACCAATATTGTAATAGATTTGTTTTAGTATTTCTAGCAAATTTGCCTTCAAAAGAGTCTTGTGTGTGTTACTTTTCAATGTAAATAAAGATATTATTGAACTCAACATTCCTGAGTGACCACCTAATTTAAACTCCTCTAGTGCCGCCCAAAATCCAAAGCACGGACGTGTACTACACGGTCAGTGAGAACTCGCAAGCTGTTCTGCCATGTGTGGCTGATGGAATCCCCACACCAGCAATTAACTGGAAAAAGGACAATGTGCTTTTAGCGAACCTGTTAGGAAAGTACACCGTTGAACCCTATGGAGAACTCATTCTGGAAAACGTTGTGGTAAGTGTGACAGACATGAATAGATACACTGAGCCCGATTGTTAGTTTATCTTCTTCCTTTTAATATCTCAACTTGGAGATTTTTTTTTATCCTCACCTGAGGACATTTTTTTTTTTTGCATTTATCTTCAGATAGAGAGGGAGGGAGGGAGGGAGGGAGGGAGGGAGGGAGGGAGGGAGAGGGAAACATCGATGTGAGAGAGACACATCGAGTGGTTGCCACCCACACGACCCCAACCAGGGCCGGGGACAAACTGCAGTCGAGGTACATGCCCTTAGCGGGAACCGAACCTGGGACTCTCGGGTCCACAGGCTGATGCTCCAACCGCTGAGCCAAACCAGCCAGGGCTGGAGATCTGTTTGTAAATAATGAAAGAAAAATACTCTTATAAGTTCAGATCACAAAATTAATGTTATACATATTTAATTTTATGTCCCAGGTCTGAGACTAGATTAAACAGATAGTAGGAACTCATAAATGGCCTCCTTCTAAAATTGTCACTTTATTTTGATGTATATCTGTTTTCTCAGAAGAAATTCTGAGTGCCTTTGTTACATGCCATACTTATACCCGTGTGTGGGAATGGCCAGAAGAATGGAGATGTACGACAGTCTGATGTGGTATTAAGCAAATACATAAAGCAGGTTTTTGTTCTTTCCAGGTTTCTAAACAATCCTTTGGAATCATTGACAAGGGAACTAAAGTCTTAGGGATCTGTGCACGCTGTGGTTCTTTTAATACTCTTTTAATACCCCACCCATCTGCAGAATTATAGCTATCAGAAGCATCTCAGTTTTTTAGCAGCTGTCCCGTTGAAGAGGAATGTTTGTCTATACTTACCACATGATTTTAAAAAATTGTGTCTTTTGAGAGTATCACACTTGGCACCAAATATTATACATAATTCAAATGTGAATCAATTTCAGAGTTTTTGTGCAAAACTTATTCCTTCTCATTACCCTTTAAAATGCCTACATTTCATTACTAAATCTTGGTGGACCTAATTTGAACAGATTAAAAGGATAAAGTTGATCCCATTCCCTTTTCAGAATAGTCTTGGCCACGAACCAGACTCTTAGTGATAGGCCATGTCAGCAGCCCCGACTCAATCACGTGCCAGTAGAGATTGTTTTTCTTCCAATCTCAGTTTGCCTCAATGGTAAGATGGGACATTACTTTATGTACCACTAATAAAAGAAAAGGAAAAAAAAATGTAGCCTTGGCCAGTTTGGCTCAGCGGTTAGAGCGTCGTCCTGCACACCAGAGTCCCAGGCTCGGTTGCCGCTAAGGGCACATACCTCGGTTGCAGTTTGTCCCCGGCCCTGGTTGGGGTCGTGTGGGTGGCAGCCACTCGATGTGTCCCTTTCACATCGATGTTTCTCTCTCTCTCTCTCTCTCTCTCTTTCTCTCTCCCTCCCACCCACTCTATCTGAACAAAATATGGAAATAAATGTCCTCAGGTGAGGATTATAAAAAAAAAAAAAGAAAAGAGTAAAGGATGACTCAAACATTTGAGAGCAAAGGAAAGACAAAACAGCCGTCACCTGAGATGAGGCCACAGCTGGAACAGGAGGGGAGGGGAAACCGGGAGTTCAGTTTTGGACATGAGTTTAAGATGTCTTTTAGGCATCCAAGCAGAGCATTGAAATGAGAAGTTCAGTATAGTTGGAGTTTACAACAAAGATCTGAGCTGGAAATACTAGTACTCAATAGCATATAGGTGGTATATTTTGTTTTTGTTTTTGTTTTTATCCTCACCCGAGGACATTTTTCCATTTTTTGTTCAGATAGAGTGGGAGGGAGAGAGAGGAAGAGATAGAGTAACATCGATGTGAAAGGGACACATCGAGTGGTCGCCACCCACACGACCCAACCAGGGCCGGGGACAAACTGCAACCGAGGTACGTGCCCCTAGCGGGAACCGAACCCGGGTCTGTCTGGACCGCAGGCTGACACTCTAACCGCTGAGCCAAACCGGCCAGGGCAGTATTATTATTATTATTATTTTTATCCTCATCTGAGGACATTTTTTGCATTTATCTTCAGATAGAGCAGGAGGGAGAGAGGGGTGAAGAGAGAGAGAGAGAAACATCGATGTGAGAGAGACATATTGACTGGTTGACACCCACACAACCCCATCCAGGTCAGGGACAAACTGCAACTGAGGTACGAGCCCTTAGTGGGAACCGAACCTGGGACTCTGGTCTACAGGCTAATGCTCTAACCGGTGAGCCAAACCGGCCAGGGCGCATATAGGTGCTGTTTAAAGCCCTAAGACTGGATGAGTTCACCAAGGAACTGAGGGCAAATAGAGAAGAAAAGAGGACTAAAGACTAGGACCTCTCACATGCCAACTTTAAGATGTAATGTTGAGGGTGAGCCAGCAGAAGGAGACAGAAAAGGAGCAACCAGTGAGATTGGAAAGAAACGAGGGGAGCAGGGTGACCAGAAAGCCCAGTGAGGACATGGCTTCACGGAGAAGGGGGTCATAATGTTTTCACCTGCCACCAACACATCTAGTCAGATGAGTGCCAGGAACTGGTCGTTGGATTTAGCAAGTGAAACCAGATTTGCAGGTAATATTGCCTACTCTTGCCATTTCCATGGAAAGTTTGGTGGTCTTTGGTGCCACATTACCCAGAGTGCCAACTGTACTGTGAAGATGCAACCAGTCTTTAGAACTACTTGTTCTATATTTGCACAATGCAGAGCAGAAGTACACTAGCTGTTTAATACACTTGAGAATCTATAGTTTTCTGAGCTCTTATGACTATAAAATGCTAGGGTTCTGTAAGGTAGGGGCTTTTGTTTCAACTCTCATACATATGAACTTACGTTATGCTCAGAGCTAGCCAGATGGACCAGACTACAAGGAGATGAAAATGTAAACTTTCTTTACATAAGAATGCTCCTTTGGGGACCAAGTTTTGTACATGTATGTATTCTATGCAATGTGATGTGCGAGTATGGGATTTGAAGCACTGTGATTTTTCTTTATTTCAGCCGGAGGATTCTGGCACCTATACCTGTGTTGCAAACAACGCTGCAGGTGAAGACACACACACTGTCAGGCTGACTGTGCATGTCCTCCCCACTTTTACTGAGCTTCCCGGAGACGTGTCGTTAAATAAAGGAGATCAGCTACGATTAAGATGTAAAGCCACTGGTATTCCACTACCCACGTTAACATGGACCTTCAATAACAACATCATTCCAGGTTGGTAATTCACTTCTTCAGAAGAGAAAAAATACATCCATAAAGAATGCTAACCCAATCTTCATTTTCTTTAGCTGTGGGAATTGGTTGAAAGTGACATGAGGAATTGATGGCTTGCCCTGGCCAATGTGGCTCAGTGGTTGGGTGTCATCCCGTGTACCAAAAAGTTGGCAGTTTGATTCCTAATTGGGGTGAGCTCAATCTCAGGTCGGGGGGCATGCAGGAGGCAGCGGATAGATGTTTCACCCTTACATCAGTGTTTCTCTCTCTCCCCTCTCTCTTCCTGTCTTTAAAGAAAAAAAAAAAAAGAATTGGTTGCTCTATGTTCTGTAAAATGTGTACCTTTGCCTGAATTTTTACCTTATACCTAGATATTGCGTTCTTGTCATTCTTATCAAAGGATAAGTTCATCACAAACCATGTATTGCGGGACATAAGTAGATTTTTTTAACCTAAAAATAATCTGTCTCCCCCAGAAGAAAACTGTATCATAAATACTGGCACCTAAGTTCATCCCCACTGTATCTCCTTCATCACTAATGAATAGATTGAGGTGGCTACTGTTTGTCCTGATTTTACAAGAACTCTGCTTCTCACGGTATGCGTCCCTCTCTATTATAGTGTAGATCGATTACGTAGATTTTCTGGTCAGTATGTGTACTACATGTTGAAGTGATTAGTGCCTGGGACCCAAGAGCTGGGAGGATGAGTATCTCCTTATTTGTTAGACTTTGTCATCAGCCTAAAGACATTGCAGTAATAAAACTTGTCCAAAATTGAGTTCTGAAATATTGCACTCTTAGCATTTAATAAATATCTTGTTGGCAAATTAGTAATAAGCTTGAGTTTTTTCTTTTATAAATTTGATGTTAATGACTGGAATTCATCAACTATATTGCCTTATTGATAGTAGTATATATCACTAAGGAAAAATAACACGCAAACATATCCAAGTACTGTTTTCTGATGGTATAGTACTAATTTAGTTGTTTAAATTTTAAAGCTTAATTTTTCACTTAATGTCAGGAGTATGAATTTTAAAAGATAGTTTGAGGAAAGCATGCAAGGTAAATATACCTAACATAATTAGATGTTGGCTGGTCTAATCAGAATCTTATTTAGAATCGATTGTTTTGGGATTAACCTGATAGTGTATTCCAAATAGTATGACTACCTTTGTTTATATGATCACCATTTATGGAGAAGCTTAAATTATTACAAATTTATTTGCGTTGTCATTACCTAACTGGCATAGGTTTTCATGACATCCCCTCTGACCTGCCAAGTCAGTTGATTCATCACTGAAAGGTTTTCATGTTCTTGATGTAAAAAAAAAAGTGGTGGTGGGATAAATTAAATAGAAAATGTCATATTTCTGAATGAAAGATTTTTGAAACCCAGAGAGACTATGAGCTAGATTTAGGCAATACTTTGAGATGAAAGGTGTACTTTCAATCTAAAATAATTTTTTAAATGTTTGTTTTTATTCTCTTTTCCTGTTTTTTTCCTGCTGTTTTTCATTCTTCAAACAAGCATCTATAGACATAGCAAACAGCTCAGAGGAAGGGATCCGTGGAAAAGGCTTTCTTCCCCAAGGTCATGATGAGATCTCTGATTCATTTGCTGACCAACACATAAATCTAACCTGCAAAATACTGAGCTGTTGTGACTGTTTTCCTAGGTTACTGAGAGACGTTTGTGTTGTTTCCTAACTTGTTTCTCTCAGCCCACTTTGACAGTGTCCGTGGACACAGTGAACTTGTTGTTGAAAGGGTTTCAAAAGAGGATTCGGGGACTTACGTGTGCACCGCAGAGAACACTGTTGGTTTTGTGAAAGCAATTGGATTTGTTTATGTGAAAGGTAGGTAAAAGTGCTCTACTTTTCATTCATAATTTATTTCCAATAAATGGTTTGTGTTTTGCTTCTTTATTATGTAGTAATACACCATAACTTCAGTTGATTAATCCAGTTAACCCTGATTTACAGATGTGCAAATTCTTAAGAAATAGAATATTATGAACATTCAGCGTAGGCAAGTAATAACTAAAGAGATCGTTTGGCACAAAGTGTAATCATCTGTTTCGATTATTGAAACTGGTGAGATTATCTAGTTGACTAGCATGAGCAGTGGATTTTAGAAAATTAATGGGGTTCAAGAGTAGACATCCCCTTCTTCACTAAATGATCTTTTTAAATAGCTAAAAATCACAAAGACGTGATCAGACCTTCCTTTTACTTATACTTGCCTTGTGTTTTGGGTTTTTTTTCCCCAGAGCCTCCAGTCTTCAAAGGTGATTACCCTTCTAACTGGATTGAACCACTTGGTGGAAACGCAATTCTGAACTGTGAGGTGAAGGGAGACCCCGCCCCAACCATCCAGTGGAGCAGAAAGGGGGTGGATATAGAAATTAACCACAGGATCCGGCAACTTGGCAATGGTTCCCTGGCCATTTATGGCACTGTAGTAAGTCACACTGAAACCGTCAATATACACGTCAACTGCCACCATGAATGCCTTTCTGTAGGTGCCTTGGACGGGAAAAGTGTCTTCTGCATTCTTATTTAAATTATAAAATCTGAATAATTGATTCTTATAAAACACTGAAACAGTGGTTCATATAAATTTTTTTTAGCCCTTTCAAAGAAGCACGAGCAATAAAATAATTTTTCTACTTTGTTCCTGATCATTGACCTATTATTTAGCATCAGTAGAACAGGAAATTGAGGAATTACAAATAAATTATAGGGCAGTTTTAACCACTAAGCCAATAACTATATATTAGGCTTTCCAAAAACTTGAGTAGTTTGGAAAATGAGAGGTGCTTTAAGTTATTCTAATTTGGGGGTCACGTGAATGAGATATTTTATCTAAAGATTTCTCAACTAGGCTACATATGGGTAACTTTGAATTCATTGAAATAATAATTATTATATACTATCTAATCACCTAATCCAATGGACCACTCTCAGTCTTCTACTCTTGTGGTTTGATTTCAACATTAGATATTCTTGATTATCCATTAAATTTTGAAATGATATAGACCTGTAGCTGCCGAACACTAATGAGTCTCAGGTTTCTTCATTATCCTTCTTCCCTCTTTTGTCTGCACAAATATTACTACTTCTGTAGCTGCTACTGCTTCTAATATCAATGTTAATACTTACACAAAATTTTTTCACCGTGCAGTTTCAGATGACTAAATATCTATCTCCAACCTTGAAACTCTTCCAACTTCCATTTACAGTTCCCGACTAGAAATTTCTATTTTGATAATAACTGGCACCACCACTTGAACATCTAAATCAGCATTTATCTTCCTTCTCCCACACTCCTCCATTTCCTGCAGTTCAGTTTTCCTTTAATGACATGTTTCTGTTAACAAGACCAGAATTCTTCTACGCATGAGGCTTTTAGCACATCTGTGACTCTTAGTAGTTGTTGAATCTACACTCATATAGTACTTATTTTTATACTACATACATATAAATTTTTGGATTACATTCTGTGTTTTATAGTGACCAGTAAATTAGCTTTTCCCTTTCTCTCCTAAATTTCAAGCTATCTGGATAGAAGCTAAGCTCCATTTTATTTTTCAAATTAACTAATCCGCATTAGAAAGGGCTCTATTTATTAATGTGTCCTGATTATTTTAATGCTTTATAAATTACTGTAAAAATAGCATCAGCATTTGACCTTTAGGAAGGTCATTTGGGGTAGATGATTATTTTAAAATGCTATTTTTGCTTTGGTTTCCTAGTAATTATTATCCCGGAAAGCAATAATAGGTTGTTTCAAAGAAATTCAGGCTGGGAATTTCTTTCTCTTCTTCTTTTTTTAAACCTATTTATGATGTTAAATATATGTAGGTGTTTCTATTTCCATTAAAATGCCGGCTCAACAAAGGACACTTCCTCTGAGGCAGCGGCATGGTGAGCTAAGTGACTTGCCCTGCCCCGAAGCTCACATGTTCCTAAACTCTGCTCTTCCCGCAGAACGAGGATGCCGGCGACTACACGTGTGTGGCTGCTAATGAAGCTGGGGTGGTGGAGCGCATCATGAGCCTGACCCTGCAGAGTAAGCTGCTTAATTAAATCCTAATTAAACGCCTGACTGAGCAGTGTTGCCTGATAAGGAATGTTCATTGTCCTTTACTTTATAGCAAGTACATGAGTGGTAGCTTTAGAGTGCTGTTACTTTAGTTCCCGCTGCCCTTGGAGCAAGTGTTCCCGCGCAGAAGGCGGAGACGTTTCTCTGTTTATGTGACACGTGCCGCCCCGAAAGCAGTTGGTGCAGGGCAGGGCTTCTTGTTTGCTCGTGCGCAGGCTGTTCAATCAAATACTCTTGTAATAGTTCGCACCGTTCTTGTACAGTGCTTACAAAGATGCCATTTGATGGTACCTTAAAAATGTGTATTCAAAGTAAAGACTAATGGAAATGAATTTAAAAGCGCTCCAGGTCGATCACTATTTCCACGAAGTAACTGTGATCGGGACAGGTTAGCATGCCCGTCATGAAGCCCGTCTGTATAAGGACAGAGCTTTCATACCAGAAAACCAGGAAGGGCTCCAGTGGCCCATTGGACAGTCCCCAGAACCATTTGAGGGGCTGACGCGAGGACAACGTCATTGCGATGAGAACTTAAGCGAACCATCTTATTTTGTGAATAGACTCAGTATTGAACAGGATGAATGTACACTTTCTTCATTCACTTTTGAGAGATGCTATTGACTGATATTTACTAACAGCCATTTGCCAAATGACTTTTCTGTATAACGTAAACATTGAATAGATATTTTAAAAATATCTAAGACTGTTTTTCTTCCAGCTTTATTGAGGTATAACTGACAAATTGTAAAAATTTAAAGTGTACAGGGTGATGATTTGATACACGTATGTGTTGTGACGTGATGACCACAATGAAGTGAATTAACACCTCCAGCACCTTACCCAGTTACTGTTTATTTTGGTTTTATTACTTTGGTGAGAACACTAATGATCTATGCACTTCGCAAATTTCTAGTATACAGTACAGGATTCTTAACTATAATCACGGTGCTATACATTAGCTCCTCAGAATGTATTCATCTTATATCTGAAAGTTTGTATCCTTTGACCACCATCTTCCCATTGTTCCCACCCTCCAGCCCCTGGAAACCACTAATCTGTTCTCTGTTTCTATGAGTTAGACTTTATTTTTAAGATTCCATATATAAGTGATACCACATACAATTCGTCTCTCTCTGTCTGGTTTATTTCATTAACATAATACCTCTAGTTCCATCCATGTTGTCTCAAATGGCAGGACTTCCTTCTTTTATAGGGCTGAAAACAGTATGTGTGTGTGTATACACACATTTTCTTTATCCATTCATCCATCAACAGACACTTAGGTTGTTTCCATATCTTGCCAAGTACATATTTATTAAATGAGAACTTTGTGGCATGTTATTAGAAAAAAAGTAGAGTTCGATGGTTAAATAAGTCTAAGGAAAAAAAAGATTAAACACAGTTCATTCATTTATTAAGTATATGAAGAGCACCTGCGATACTCAAAGCCCTGCTTGAGTATATCAAGTTTCTTTACTGCAGGTCTTTCCAAAAATGTTAATACGCTGATGTGAGTTATGACTCAACAAGAGGAGGATATAAAATGCCACATTTCCCGAATAAATGTCATTTCCATGAAAACGTCTCCCCTCTTTGTTTGGGTGATTGTAGGTAGAACATTGCAAGATTAATATCTTCTGGGAGAATGTTCCACTGACCCAGTTTAAGACAGGATGCATTCGATGAGCTCATTTACACATACTGACGGCAAACTCATTTAAATAAATGAGGCATATAAAAGAAGCCAAGAGTGTAATTTAAAAATATATAAGATTAAAGAACCAGATACAGTGTCTTCGTTTAGAAAAAATTGATCCTGTTTGACTGATCATTATGTGACTGATGGAATTAAGTCTGCCTTGAAAGATGTACATAAGGAATTTTATTGTTGAATTAATTCACAGCCTTGTGTGCAATTGGAAATGTTAATATATGGAATCAAAATTAAGATTCTGAGTTTCATTTGACACTTTCTTTGACCATAATAACAGGAGCAGATGAGCTCATTTAGTCGTTATGTTGTCGTTTAGTGTTGAGTGATTAATGTGAAGTATTTACTTTATTCAGCAAGTTTATTGGATACATAATGTCATCTGAACACTGGGAGAGAAATAAAAGCTCCGGCACTGGCACTGAACGTTAATACCAGCAGGAAGGCAGTTGTGTCGAATGATGTGGGTGTTTATATAAACATTGTATTAAGGACTCTCCCTGAGATTCAAACTGTGTATGAAAAGACTGCACGTCAGCAAACCTGTACATAAAATACTAGCCTATTAATATCACAGTAAAACACATTTTACTCTCTGTTTTATTTTATGTTCTATTATTCCAGATACATTTCTCAATCTAAAATATGCAGCCACCACCCTGAATGACCTGATATTGATTCCCTCTCATTGAGTAAATCATCCTACCTTTTAATTCAATCACCAAAACACTGCTTTCATTCCATTATGTTCCTTCAAGAATAGACCAGCTCCCCTTTGCTTACATATTTAATCCTCCTGATTTTTCCAACCTATAAATCCTTCTGATTTTCTTTCTCTTTTTTTGGTATGTGCCCCTAGCGGGAACCGAACCTGGGACTCTGGTCCGCAGGCCGACACTCAAACCACTGAGCCAAACCAGCCAGGGCTGATTTTCTTTGAAGAGTTTAAACAAATATTTAAAACCTTGTATGCCACAGGACGAATCATCCTTTCAAAGCTAAATCTAGCCCTGGCTGGTTTGGCTCAGTGGTTGGAGTGTCGGCCTGCGGTCCAGAGAGTCCCGGGTTCGGCTCCCGCTAAGGGCATGTACCTCGGTTGCAGTTTGTCCCCGGCCCTGGTTGGTCGTGCGGGTGGGAGGCAGCCACTCGACGTGTCCCTTTCACGTCGATGTTTCTCTCTCTCTTCCTCTCTCTCCTTCCCACTCTATCTGAACAAAAAAAATGAAAAAATGTCCTCGGGTGAGGATTAAAAAAAAAGCTAAATCTATCTCCATACTATTCTCTTCTCTCCAAGTAGGCTCCCTTCTCTCATGTATAGTCTTACCCATTTTGGAAAATGCAGTCAAGCGTCTATCACTCGTGAACTCTTTCACATTCTATCTCGACACTGTAGACTTGTATGAAGATCGATGTTCAGTCAGCAGCTATGTACAACTTCTTTACATTCTCTCCAACGACTTCACTTGAGCGGGTATCATCCCCTGTAGAAACTCTTAACCCCTCCCTCCTTCTTGAAACTCCTTCCTTTGGTTGCCAGGATACCGTTTTCTCTGCTTTTCTTCCGACTTCGGTGATCAGTTCTTAGGACATCTGTGGGTTTGTTTTCTGTCCATCTCTTCAGTGAGTGTTGCAATCCTTCCTGTCCTAAGCCCCCTTCCTCTTACTTTAGGCTCACTTTAAGCCGCCTTCTCCGCTCAGGAAAGACTCGCGGATCTGTAGTTCTCGCCCGTATCTTCATTCTGACCTCCAGAAATGAACCTTCATTTTCATCTAGACATTTCTGCAGCCCTGTCCCACAGACAGATACCTCAAGCTCAACGGTCCTAAATGGTGGCGAATCTTCATTCCTTACTCCCTCCCAACAAATCTGGTCTGTCTCCCATGTTCTATCACATTGCCCAACACACATTGGATTGCCCAAGTCTAAACCCTGTGGTAGGTAATTCCTCCCTTAGTTCATGCTGTTCGTCCTGTTAGTTCACACTGTTTAGTTCATAGTTCGTCCTGTCGTTTCTACTTTCTTAATAATTCTTGAACATCTTCCTTTTCCTCTCCGTTTCCAGTGACATGTTTTCATGTGATTTATTTTTGTTTGTTTGTTTTTATTTGTTTGTTTTGTTACAGATGTTTCTCATTTTTCCCCCATTGGCCCCTCCTCCCCTCCCCCCATCCCATCCCCAGCTTTGTTGTCTATGTTCATTGGTCATGCTTACATGCATGTAAGTTCTGTGGTTTATCTCTTCCCCCACAAACCCCCTCCTCTGAGGCTTGTCAGCCTGTACCCCACCTCCATGTCTCTGGGTTAATTTTGTTCAGCAGTTTGTTTAGTTCATTATAAGTGGCTTATGTTCCCATATCTCCACACATTTACGTACCCTACTAAATTGTATTCTACCTATCCTATTACTTAGTTCTATAGGTATATTATAACACGACTAAATAATTAGTTACCTGTCTGTCTTACCAGTGAACTCAGAGCTCCTTCAGACTAGAGGTGGTATCTGTTATTTCTATGCCCTCAGCATCTAGTACAATGCCTTGGAAATAGTCAGCTCTCAATCTGTGTTTACTGAATTAATGAATGATGACTGGTAATGAAAGATAAGTTAATAATGATTCTTTACCACAATAATTATGTAAAAGAAAAAAATGAATCTTCACCATGAATAAAACAGCAACGGTAACAACAGTACTAATAATATGCTGTGCTTACCCCATCAAAGAGCTGTGTTTACCCCATCCTAGTAGAGTCGAAGGGAGTCTTCTGAGTCAGGCACCACTGGTTAAGGGCACGAATGCTCAGGGAGGTCGTAGGTAGTGGAAGCAGAACTTGAATTCAGAAAATGTGACTGCAGGTGCCATGCTCTACACTGATCTGCCTAGAGAGTCAACATTTTTGACATTTACTGAATAAAACAGAGCTTTGAAAATTCTATCCATAGTGATTACAACCTTAGTAGTGGAGAAACTACAATGTTTTATAAACAAATTAACTTCATTTTTAAAATAATGTTACTATGTAATATTGATTAAAATGTTTATATTACTCCATGAAAACTAAGAAACATTACGTGCTTTTTTCCCATAGGTCCTCCTATTATCACTCTTGAGCCAATAGCAACGATTATTAATGCTGGTGGCAAAGTCATACTGAATTGTCAGGCAACTGGAGAGCCTCATCCAGCCATTACATGGTCTCGTCAAGGGCATGCTATCCCCTGGGATGACCGAGTTAACATGTTGTCCAACAACTCGTTGTATATCTCTGCTGCTCAGAAAGAAGATACATCTGAATATGAATGTGTTGCTAGAAATTTGATGGGTTCTGTCCTTGTCAGAGTCCCAGTCACAGTCCAGGGTGAGTGTGATCAGATGGATATTCATATTAAACAGCACCCTGGGGCAACTCAAATTATAAAATTATTAAGCGTCTTACTCCAAGTCACCTTTTCCCTTCAGGTACTACTTCTGTATTCTGGAGCTAGAACAAAAATCACGTCACAATTTACAGACTGAAGGGACTAAATACAGATTAGAGCTGAAAAATACCACGTTAATCATTTAAATTCCCAAACTGAATTTCTTACTGAAAAACAGTCAAATTTATTCTCAGAAATCAATGTGTATATTTTGCTTGAAAAAAGAAAAAAGCCCAGCTGGTGTGGCTCAGTGGATTGAGTGTCATTTCATGGACCAAAAGGTCCCTGTTGATTCCTGGTCAGGGCACATGCCCAGGTTGCGGGCTCAATCCCCAGTAGGGGGCGTGCAAGAGGCAGCTGATAGATGTGTCTCTCTCACATCGATGTTTATATCTCTCTCTCCCTCCCTCTCTCTCCCTAAAAAATCAATAAAAATATATTTTTTTAAAAAGACATATTCAAAGGGTTGACAGTATATATAAACTTCTTGGCTGCTTACTCTTTCATTAGCCGTGTCTGAGCGAGACAGGTTGGAGCTGGGCAGAAAGTCTCATTAACTGGAGTCCTCTCATGCTTTGATTTTAATTTGGCCACAAAGGAGAGCTTCCGCCAACACTCAGAGTTGCGGGTTCAGCGGCAGACCAGTGCATGCCTGAATGAAATCCGTCTTGCAATGTCTGTGTTTACTAAAACAGAGACCAAGCAGAATGTTCTCTCTGCAGTTCACGGTGGCTTTTCCCAGTGGTCGGCTTGGAGGGGCTGCAGCGTGACCTGCGGGAGGGGCATCCAGAAGAGGAGTCGTCTGTGCAACAACCCGCTCCCGGCCAACGGGGGGCAGCCCTGTCAAGGCTCAGATTCAGAAATGCGAAGCTGTCAGCATAAGCCGTGTCCAGGTACGCCCGTCATTCCCCAGAGCCATGCTCATTTCTGTCCCCTCGCTGCGGACTGTCCCAGGAGGAGCACTTTTCGTTCAAATGGGCCTGACGGTGTCATGTCACACCTTCTGCAGTGGATGGGAGCTGGTCGGACTGGGGCCCCTGGGAAGAGTGCACGCGGAGCTGTGGACGTGGCAACCGGACCAGGACCCGGACGTGCAACAGTCCGCCGGCTCGGCACGGCGGGCGGCCGTGTGCGGGGGCTGCTGTGGAAGTGATCATGTGCAACGTGAGGCCTTGCCCAGGTGAGACTCCGCCCACGAGCGAGCGTTCCCGCGCCCCACTCCATCCGGGGGTTATGATGACCTTCTCTTCTTCATTGTGCAAAGAGGGCGTGGCCTCTACCCTGGCGTAGATTCCTGCTCCGTGTTCTTAGTTCTGTCTCGCGGATACACTTGTGGAGGTGGAGCATGAATCGCTGTTAAGTAAAATGCCTGATTTAATTGAACGAAATTAAAGGCTCCAAACCGGGGTGCATTTAAAAAAATTTTTGTTTTCTTTATTGATTTTTGAGAGAGAGAAGAAGGGAGAGGGAGAGAGAGAGAAACATTGATGAGCAACAACATCGACTGGCCGCCTCCTGCATGCCCCCAACTGGGGATCAGGCCCACAACCTGGGCATGTGCCCTGACCTGGAACTGAACCAGCAACCTCTTGGTGCATGGGATGATGCTCAACCACTGAGCCACACCGGCTGGACCGGGGTGCATTTTTAATCGTGTAGCGAAAACGTAAGTAATTACAAAGTCATAAAATCTTCCACCTGATGACCTTAGGTAACACCTAATGCAGTCATTCATTTTCAGGTGAGAGAAATAAAGCCTAGGAGAGTAAAGCGTTTCTCAAAAGCACGCACAATTGGTGAGGGCTAAAATAATAATAGTCACCACCGATTAAACACACTTGTCATGTGCTAGGAACCGTGCGTGCTTCGTATACACGCTGTGTATGACGTTGTGAAACAGCCCTACCACACAGGTGTCGGGGGCTCTTTGAGATTGCAGTGACAGAGATCGAACTGACATAAGCTGGAGTCCGAATTCTGCTTTCAGGTAGGATCGAATCCAACCCGGTGGCCAGTATTTCACTAGCGTGTTCTCCGTCTCTCATCTCTGCTGTCCTCTCTTGGCCTTATTCTGCTGTAAACTCTTCCCACGTGGTGGAAAACATGACTGCTGGCAGCTCCGGCTCACAGGGGCCTCGTGATCTAAGGCCTTGGAGACAGACTTCCTCTGTCTCCGAATTCATAGCGCCCTCTGGGAAAGGGCCCTGTTCGACTGTTTGGACCCTGTGCTCACCTCCGCACTTGAGTCCAGGAGAGGGACACGCTGATGGCCAGCTTGGGCTGCGTGCCACAGGGTGTCAGGAGGGCCAGGGCCTCTTGTTGGATGGCCTGGAAGAAACCAGAGAGTGGTTTCTATCCAGAGCAGTGGCTGCTCATTCATTTACCCATTCATTCATCCAAAAAAAATATTTATTGAGCACCCATCTGAGCTCAAGGCACTACTCTGATTGCTCGAACTAGAGTGATAAACAGATCATAGCGTTCAGATATTGACAAGCATACAGAACACACTCAAACAGTAGAAGTGATAGAGAATAACTAGGAGAGACACCTTAGTGGAGATGGTTGAAAAGGGAGATATTGACAAACCAAAATGAGATCGTTATCCACTGCATTTGGGAGTATTGCATCCTACTGTACAGATGAGGAAAGTAAGAGGCAGAGAATATATGATAATTAATTCACTGAAGTTACATGGCTAGTACAAAAGAAAGCAAGGATTTGGACTCAGGTCGATCTGACAACTCCCAGACCTATGTGTGTAGATCCTAGGCATCTTGATTTGCAGTTCAGAACTTCTATTACATTATCAAAATAAAAGACTGTCATGAAACCTTAAAAAACATAAACCAAAAAAGCCAAAATTGTAGTTTTTTTTAATCTTAAAGAATTAGAAAGCTAATTATAATAGTATCATATGTCAAAATAAAAAGAGCCAGAAATACCTGATTATCGCAATCTTTGTACAGTTTGTCAACTATGATATCCGTATAATGAAACGTTAAATGATATTTGTAGATGTCCTTGGTTTCCTGAACACTTCCTTACTTTCTGGTGCAAGTCGATATTTTAGGCTCAAAAGGATTGGTATCTTCTGAAGTGGGCCTTTCTGCTGCCATTTGACAGGCATTGTCTAAAAAAAATACATATTCTTACAGGTGGCTTAAAGAATGAGCATTTTTTAAAGTGTCTTTGAAAATCGTTGAGAACTTTGAGTAAAGAATGGCCCTATTGGCTCATAGCTCACTCCATGTAGTACTTACCTGTGCGCTGCATTGATCCTAGCGCTTTTCAGCTACAAACTCCTTACTCCTCACCCTGACCCTAATAAGGACGGTCCTTCCATTACCCGGACGGCAGATGATAACCTAAGCACACAGAAGCCCAGGAACTCCTCTAGGGCTGCATGGTTAGTACGGCATCCGGTCCTGAGCCCCTGCGAGGACCACATTCTATTCTTTACAGAATCAGAATTGCAACACCGTGTAACAGCAACTTCATCTATTATATTCTGCATCTTCCTTATATACTGACTCCTCCGCGGTTGTCTTCATCAGTATTGTCTAGACACCATGATGTTTTATGCCTTCTCTGGTTGATATTATCACTCTCCATTTTTTCCTGTTATCGTTTCATTCATATAAAAGAAACATTTCAACTCCACCACATTTTATGTCATGAAGTTCACTTCTGGTTAAGATTTTCTGTATTGATTTAAAAAACTAAGATCTCCAGCCCCAAACCCTTTATTTATATGTAATAGAAACTACACAGATAACTGAATGAACATCGCCAGTTATAATCCTCCAACAAAAATGCATCTATGCTGCCAGACTTTATATTGTAAGAGGGATGAGCTTTTGTTAAGCAACAGTCTTAAAAATAGAACATATGAAAATAATTGGAACAGCAGAATTTTTTAAATCATATAGTTCGTATATAAGGACTGGGAGCATCAATAATCTGAATTAATAAAAAAATCGTTTTGAAAAATATCTGCCAAATATTTAAAGGCTTTCTCCTTTCCTTTTAGGTTTACTTAAATACTTTTTAGTACAGCTGAAATAAATCTGTGTGACTATGCTTGCCTGCATCTACAAAGTACAGGGATATGTAGTCAACTCAATTAGAAAACAGTTAATGAAAAGAAAATGTAAGATGTGTTTTAAAATTTTTCTCAACAAAGCAATCAAATGGTAATTTCATTACTTGGTTTTCAACTTATTCTTGTGGTATCTTATAGGTTGTTAAGAGAATATTTAGGCCCAGCTGGTGTGGCTCAGTGGTTGAGCGCAACCTATTCACCAAGAGGTCACCGGTTCAATTCCCAGTCAGGGCACGTGCCCAGGTGGTGGGTCCGATCACCAGTGGGGGGCATGCAAGAGGCGGCCAGTCAGTGTTCTCTCTCATTGATGTTTCTTTCTCTCTCCCTCTTCCTTCCTCTCTCTCTAAAATCAATAAAGAAAAGTAATAATAAAGAGAATATTTAGACACAGACCTTAAGGCCCTGTTTTGGTTCCTATCTGCGCTAAACTGGGTGACCACAAAAATATACTTTCTGAGCCCCGCCTAGAAACTACCCTCTAAACAAATGTGTGATCTGATACTGACTTATACACAAAGAGACCGTAACCTTGATTCTCGGCCCACGTACCTGGTGACAACACAAGGTCGTTGCAGTCGAGTGGTCAGACGGTGTCCTGTGGTAGTTGCCAATGGAAGGCCTTACTAGCACTGCTTGGAAAATACTGCTCACTGTTTCTGTTGCTGTTGTGTTGGAAGCAGGTGAGTGTGTGATTCAGAAATTTTAATTCATGAACATTATGTAATGGAGAAGATTTTTGTCAAAGAGTTACAACTGTGCAAATCATCCGGTTGTTGAAAAATCCAAGCGCATTTTTAAACATAGAGCTGAATCGGGTTAAAGATGTGGTCTTGCAATCCGGGGTCCAAGTTATCACTCTGGAAACATCTGTATTGCCTGTGACCACACCTGGATCTGTTATCTAGCCTTGCTCCTAAGCTTCTGGTCCTTCACTTTCCCCAAAGCATAGAGCACAGAGCACAGATGAAAGCTTATCTATCCAGGATTTAAAAACTCAGACTATATTTACATATAGTAGTTTGATTAAATTTTACTTTAATAAAATAGTCCCCTTGAATAATGGTAAGCATTTATTTTGGCATTAGTTAGCCTTCTGAATTTTCCTATAGACACGAATTTCCATGAAAATCTAACCAGAAGGAGAAAGCAACAACATCACTCATGTTTTCTTTGGTCCAATTTTAATTATTTCAGATTCTGAGCTCATTGAACTCATTACTGAGTTAATTTACTTCTCTATTTTTTGTTTTATAACAAATATGGTTCTGTGACTTGAAACTTTGTCTCTTGGATGTTTGCAGTTCATGGAGCCTGGAGCCCTTGGCAGCCTTGGGGTACATGCAGCAGGAGTTGTGGGAAGGGTACCCAGACCAGAACGAGGCTGTGCAGTAACCCACCACCGTCGTTTGACGGCTCCTACTGCGACGGAGCAGAAACACAGATGCAAGTTTGCAATGAAAGGCATTGTCCAGGTACCAGAAAGACCATGTTTACACCCTTCGTAAGTTAACAGCTCCCTCTCGTCTAGGTGGTCTGTCAGTAAGAAGCAATGTCAACGAGAGCATCACTCAACTGAATAATAGCCAGTGTTTAACCTGCTCGTTTTTAAGTAGTAACAGAGCCCGTTGGTGTCTCCCCGATCCAGTGGACGGCAGGTGGGCCGCGTGGGCCAGCTGGAGCGCCTGCACGGCGTCCTGTGGAGGAGGCGCCCGCCAGAGGACACGGGGCTGCTCTGACCCCGCCCCGCAGTACGGAGGGAGCAAATGTGAAGGCAGTGACGTCCAGAGCGATTTTTGCAATAATGACCCTTGTCCAAGTGAGTGTTGGAAATAGTGAGTCGACATTATACTTCCTTCAAGTTCCATTGTGGCTGAAGTCCTTAAAGTTATACTATTCTGTGACTTGAATTCGTCTTACCTTTGATTTGGGACATCAAGGTGTTGTATGGTTGCTGTGTGTCTGTGTACGACCACAGAAGTCATTGATCTGTGTGGACAGGGGCTGTGTCCTATTTTGTTTACTCTGTGGGACCAGCTGCAGAGCGCAAGGGCGGCGTCACCCTGACACGCTAACTGTTAACGGTGTTGATGACTCCTCCTTGGAGCAAGCAGGCAGCTTCTGCCTTCAGTCAGGCACCAAGCGACGTGTGTAGACCCTAGCAGCATCCGGATCCTCCGTTTCTTGAATGTGATCATCGTCTTGACTCCTCGAGAGTAGAGACCTTGTCTCATTCATATCCTTTGGCTCCTGGAATACTGTAAGACTCAGTGAATGTGTGTTGAGCGGAATTGTACAATCACTGGTATACCCAATTTCTGGTCAAAAGAGCAGTGGATACCTTTGGGAGTTGCCTATTTGTAGATGTGTATGTTCCTTTTCAGTTCCTGGGGAGAGTCCTCCCACACTTGTTGAATGAATGCCATCATTTAGCATGTCTCCGATGGTTCTGTATTGTAGCTCATGGCCACTGGAGCCCTTGGAGTGGCTGGGGCATCTGCAGCCGGTCGTGCAACGGAGGACAGATGCGGCGGTATCGCACGTGTGATAATCCTCGACCCTCCAACGGAGGAAGAGCTTGTGGGGGGCCGGACTCCCAGATCCAGAGATGCAACACTGACATGTGTCCTGGTGAGCTCCCCGACTCCGGGCCACAGAACAAGCAAAGCATTCCATTTCGTGTTCATTGCAGCGGCACCATCATTTCAGATCTTACGATGAAAGTTGTACAGGTGACCCCCTAGATGTAAATTTTAAGACCGACTTGTTAATATGGACCTTGCGTTCTTGTTCACAGTGGATGGGAGTTGGGGACACTGGCATAGCTGGGGCCTGTGCTCTGCTTCTTGTGGAGGAGGCGAAAAGACTCGGAAACGGCTGTGCAACAGTCCGGAGCCATCTAACAGCGGGCGACCCTGTCCGGGGGACGCCACTCAGGTATCCAGATGCAATTTACAAGCGTGCCCAGGTAAGCAGCTAAGTTAGATTTTGGCAGAACTATTGCTGGCGTATGTACAACCTTTCTGAGAATTACAAAAGGGTGTCGCCTGAGCCCATACATTACAGAACAGTGCCATCTCTGGGCGGAAGAATTGGGGAAAGTGTACTTCCCGCCTCTAGCCGGTGCACATCTACCCGAAACTCGTGGCTGGATTGTAGCCTCTGCTGGCCCCTTTCCTGGTCCCCTTGTAAAAGAAGATGGTCTGCACAGCCATGAGTGGTAGTCCTGGGCCGGAGGGGTAGAAGGGCATGGAAAAGTGGGAAGGCCCCTCTGAGACTCCAGGCTGAAAAACGAGGGTAGAGCAGAACCTGAACATCTAACAAAGATATGCAGTTGGAGGCTGTTATTTCACAGAGGGAAGTAGGGAGGACAGGGGTGTGGAAAGTAAAATAGAGGCCGATTCCGTCCGAGGGAAAAGAGGAGAGGTGTGCAGAGTCAACCACCGTAACTCAGATTGTGCAACATGCCCAGCTGTTGTAAGCAATGTAAAAACTCAGGAGGAACGAAGTCAGAATTCTGGAACTCATGGACCTTAGAAAGAAGAAATGGTAGGTAGTCCTAAGGAGACTTGTCTCAGAGGATAGACTCTTCGAAAGAACAGGTTCACATGGTTGGAGTGTTGAGATACCACTGGACTTCCCTGAGTTTTAAGGTGGCTTTAAAAATAAAATGTTCCTGGAAATCAAGAAGGCCCACTTGGCAGAATGCGAGAGAGAGTCTATGGAAAGATTTATAGGATCTAGGCAGGGAAAGGGCGAGTGTCCATCAGTCAATGCTCAACATGTCCTCTCAACACGTCAGCTGATTACCAAGGATTCCGAGGCTCGTCTGACATGTAGCCATGGTGATAGGTCCCATCGCAGTGGAGACGTTTTGTAGCTCAGCCTCTGGGGGTACCAGGGCTCCAGGGGCAGAAGGAAGTCCAGATGTACACACAGTTTGGATTAGAGAGTTTGGCAGAACGTTTCAAGGATCCCAAGTAGGTAGCCAGACTAGGAGATGTCTGTTGAACATGGGGACCCACGTTCTGTGAGACTAGAGAACCAAGGGCACAATGGGAGGCCATGTACCAGAGACCCAGAGAACTAAGTGACCCAGAGAACTGAGTGAGTTAGGGACCCTTCTACCCCTCTCTTCCCCGCCTAGGAATAAAGTAAGAACCACAATGGCCTGCCAGGTCCTGCTTGGGCCCTGCTCCCTTCTGTGCTGTATCACCTGGCGGGGTGGTTCCCTCCGCCCTCTAAGCTGTCACCTTCGGCTTCCCCAGCGTAGCCAGGGACCACCCCCCCAGAGGACAACACGTGCCGTTTCAGGACCTGGGGAGTCCGTCCCTGCCATTTTCCCTGGCTTGGTGAAGACACGTACTTTCTTTATATCTCCACTCAGTTTTCACTTCCTGTCCAGACTTCCCCCAGTAGTGAATCTTACATATTAGTACATTGCAATTTTACATTTTTTATGGAATTCTAATTAATATCTATCTTCCCTCTTCAGACATAAGCTGTATGAAGACAGGTCTTATGCCTTTTTTTTTCTCTTTCTTATTACCATTGTATCCTCAATATTTGATGACCACATGAGTGTAGTCCAAAACATGAAGGCTGAATCAATGCAAAAAATACATTTTTTTTTCTCTAACTAATAAAGTAATGCAAATTAAAATGGTGAAATACTATGCTTATTGATTTTTTGAGATTGAATATAATAACTGTGTTCCTCCCTAGTATATAATACATGATAACAATATCTGAAACACTTGTGATTATTTTAAGATATATTCAATTAAAAGGCACAGAATGATGAACGAAGATGAATTTCGCTATCAGCTTCTTCCCAATGTTTCTTTCTCTTATCAAAACGTGCAGTTCACTGAAGAGACAGTCATTAACCACTTGTTCTGTGTTGTGACCAATAATTTTGTTGAACAGTGGAAAGAAGGTATAAAATTACTGTAGAGATATTTTTTTAAATGTATAATTGTTTTTCGATCGGATTGCTGTGGTATGAATTTCACAGCACTGTTAAAAGTACAATGTCCTTCAGATTTTCCTCATTATGTGTTTTCTAATACACATGTAATATAAAGAACTTGATAAGCCCAAGATTTGAAACCTGAGACTGAACAGAAAAACCCCCTTAGATAGGTCACATTTCTGTTAACAGTGACCTGTCACGAGGCTTAGGAGCTGGTTTTGGCTGCTGATTCTTCCTGTCCCTTTGTTCTTATGACGGAGGCAAACAGATCGAAGCACGTGGGTTTTGGTGTCCATCACACCTGGTTCAGATCCTCAGTCCACCACCTCCTAGCTGTAATGATGCCTCTGAACTTTATTTTCCTACTCTGCAAACTGTGCTCCTTAAAATAAATGGCCTTATAGGGTGCGTGATAGGATTAAAAGGATTAGCACATATTAAATATTTGCTATAGTGCATGACATGCTCAATAAACGCGTTATCATCATTTCCTTACCACCAATAAGCATACACTTTATTTTGGCTTTCGGACTGGGTACTGATTGTAGTCTTTGGATTATGAAATACTGTCAGGACGTGCATCGTTGGGAGAACCTAGATTTATGTGGGGTGAGCAGTGGTACATTAGAGTAGAATGTTTTGAAAGCTTATTTATTACACTCTTAATTTCAGATGTCGTATGATCTTTTCAAATGTCTGAGAGGACATTTGTAGCATCTTTGAATATTGCCCTTCTTTTCTCCCGTGTAATGTTGATGAAATTATTTCCTTATTCAGGACTGTTTTTTCTTCCCCCGATAGGTGGTCCCCAGCGTGCCAGAGGAAGTGTTATTGGAAATATTAATGATGTTGAATTTGGAATTGCTTTCCTTAACGCCACAGTAACAGATAGCCCTAACTCCGATACTAGAATCATACATGCCAAAATTACCAATGTGCCTCGCACACTTGGTAAGTCTCTTTGTTTATAAAAGTCATTATTAAGCCTCTTTAAAAAAAAAAAAATGTGTATATTCGACATCATCATATTATTTCTACTTCATATTTCTAGAGGCTGTCACTACTAATGATCAGTATAATAATTCTAGCTCAGTGGTCAACTCTTAAAGACACATGAGATACTGGTATTTATTTTATTGTTATGCCAGATTATTTAGGATTCATCCTTAGGAATAGCATTCTATGAAGACAATATTAACAGTGAACCATAAATATTTTGCTTTGTCACCTTTTTTATCCTTTTTTATGTAGGTCCAGCAATGAGAAAGATAGTTTCTATTTTAAACCCCATTTATTGGACAACAGCGAAGGAAATCGGAGAAGCAGTCAATGGCTTCACGCTCACCAACGCAGTCTTCAAAAGAGAAACCCAAGTGGAATTTGCAACTGGTTAGTGCCCGCTGAACTTAGTATTCTCTTACCATAAAAATGTGGTTGCCTTAAACGTCGGTGGTTAAGAAAAATACATCATATGTTCCCACAGAGAATAATTTCAAATTTTTTGAAGCAATCTTATCTAATAAACAATATAAAAGCAATTTTAGATTTCCCTATAAATTTTTACCGACATGGATCTCTAAGAGACCACGTTTTCAAACAGCATAGTGATTTTTATACCCCAAAACTTTTTTACTGTATTTTCTGTATCTGTTCCCCTTCAAGCCTTACAATACCTTATAGGGATTCTTTGTCAAAAAGATAGAAGTAAAAACAAGCAAGTCGAAATGCCTTGTGCTTTATCCTTAGCGTTAACGAATATATATTAGCTGTCTTGGCTCTGTCCCAGTGTAGACAGGTCCGTTTCAAGCCTCATCATGGGCAGTGATCTTTCGGAAAGGCATAGCTTTAATCATCCCAGAAGTGGGTCTGTCATGACCATCCCCTTACTGAGATGCCCCTTTGCGACTTCTTGAAACATCGGAAGGAGCCAAGCTCCACGGACAGACCTGAGGTTAGTGCCAGTTCACCTGGTGAAGCCGCCTGTCTCTTCTCACAAGCAACCCATTGTTCTAGCACGTTGCTATTGCTCGTGATTTTAAAGCGTGGAATCCTTCACCCAATCATATCCTACACTCTGCCACCTACAACGAGATTTCAGAACAAAATTCGATGAGCCTAACTTTAATTTGGGGACTGAACGCTCACGTAATTCTCTTATTGTCCATGTTTATTCAAGCTTGAAGTAAAACGACATCGCTGAGCTCGAATGTAAGGTAAATCTGCTCTGCGCTTGCACAAACCATAGAGTTTCTGCCATTAAAGTGCACGCCTTGTAATTCCCAGGGGAAATCTTGCGGATGACTCACATTGCTCGGGGCCTGGATCCCGACGGTGCTTTGCTGCTGGATATTGTCGTGAGCGGCTATGTCCTGCAGCTGCGCTCCCCTGCGGAGGTCGCCGTGAAGGTAAACTGTCACCATCACTCGCCTCCACGGTTGTCAGAGTAATGGTAAGAGCAGGAGTCAGAGACCCGTAGCAAGAGCACGGAGAACTTGTGCAGTTTCCCTGGTTCGCTTTGGGGAGTAAATGCCTAAACCTCCGAGGTTGGACGTGGCTGTCCAGTCCCCGTTTACGATGGCCAAAACATGGGAACAGCCAAGTGTCCGTGGGCAGGTGCATGATAAAGAAGACGTGATACATGGGTATTTATCTCAACATGGGTGTATCTTGACAGTATGATGCCAAGTGAAATAAGTCAATGGAAAGGGACAAACACCATGTGATTTCACTTATATGTGGAATGAAAAACAAAAAGTAACAAACCAAATAAACAAAAGCAAACTCACAGACACAGACAACAGAATGGTGGTTATCAGAGGGGAGTGGGGTGGGAGGGTGAAGGGTCGAGAGGACCAAATATATGGTAACAAAGGAGATAGATCTGGGGTGGGAGACATGCACTAGAGCGCACAGATGTCAAGTTATAATCCTATACACCTGACAATTATATAATGTTATTAACCAGTGGTACCCCAATACATTTAATTGAAGAAATCTTCAGGGACAAGTCTCTCCAAACTTTTAGTGGTTTATTACTCTGCTTATCAGGACCAAGATCACTGCTATGTTGACTTAAGTCATTTATTTAATTTTCTACAAAGAGAATAGTAACTCTTGCATAAAAGTTTTTGTATGTCATCCATAACATTTTCTGAAATTAAAGAAGAAACCATCACCCTTTTATATCTTTTCTTTATTCTTGCCCTACAACTTTGATTCCCTTATAAAACTATAACTGAGCCCTGGCCGGTTGGCTCAGCGGTTAGAGCGTCGGCCTGCGGTCCTGAGAGACCCGGGTTCGGTTCCCGCTAAGGGCGCGTACCTCGGTTGCAGTTTGTCCCCGGCCCTGGTTGGTCGTGCGGGTGGCAGCCACTCGATGTGTCCCTTCGCATCGATGTTTCTCTCTCTCTCTCCCTTCCTCTCTCTCCCTCCCACTCTATCTGTACAAAAAATGGAAAAATATCCTCAGGTGAGGATAAAAAAAAAAGAAAAATTAAAAAAAACAAAAAACAAAACTATAACTGATAACAGTAAAATCATAAAACTAATGTCATAATGAAGAGGTTCAAATTTGATTTCCTGAATTCTCGTGTACAATTACAATTTTATTTAGAACTACAGAAGTTTTAGCCTCTAAGCCTTTTCTTCTCATTCTGCGTCTCATAGTACACGCCCGAGAAAACATAGGATGAGCCATGCTGATCCTCCGATCCATATTGTCGTCCTCAGGATTATACGGAGGACTACATTCAGACGGGCCCCGGGCAGCTGTACGCCTACTCAACCCGGCTGTTCACCATCGACGGCATCGGCGTCCCCTACACGTGGAACCACACCGTTTTCTATGATCAGGCACGGGGACGGATGCCCTTCCTGGTCCAGACGCTTCATGCGTCCTCTGTGGAGTCTGACTACAACCAGTTAGAAGAGACGTTGGGCTTTAAAATTCACGCTTCGATTTCCAAAGGTAATTCGGTTAAGGGAAAGCCCAAATCTTTCTAAAAAGGTGAAATAGTTGCACTGATGCCCTTCAGAATAAGGATATTAAGGCGTAGACCAAACATGATAATCTCAGGTTGTGTGTGTGTGTGTGTGTGTTGTGTGTGTTTTTTGGTGGGAAAGCCATCCAGGGGGAGTTCTAATACATTTGTTTTACTGATATGCAGTTTCATATAGCACAATGGAGTCGTTATTCTATTCCATGTGTACAGAGAGGATTAAAGATATATACTTTGTCACAGTGGTTTTTCCTTTGGGTAATAATATCCCTTTTTTTCTTGTTCTGAATTCTCTATTTTGTCAAGGAATTTTTTTTTTAATTCCTAAAATGGAATGTCTGGGTCCATGTTAACCTAAACTAGTCCCATAGAACTTTCTATATTTTAAAAGCAGCGCAACGATAAGCGGGCTCCCAGCTGTCATTTCTTGTTCCTGGAAGTTACGCTTTTGAACTGCTTTCCATTTTCCAAGCGTAGTGCTGCAAGTCCGTCTCAGCGGTCTCCTTCTGCTGTGTGGTTCTTTGGTGTGTCTGTACCCCGGGATTTATTGGTTGCCTCCTGAACACACCCCAGCCAGGGCCAGGGATCGAACCCGCGACTCTGGTCCACGAGCCATAGCTCTAACCACTGATAACCACTGAGCCACACCAGCCAGGATGATCCGAGTAGATTTTAAACAGCATCATTTTGTTTTATTATGCTCAGAAGATACACTAAATTTTTTAACCCTTACTCTTGTTTATCTCAGTTATGCATGTAACTGTTATCTTCTTCATTCATAGCTGCTTCATCACATTTGAGATCCTCGTAATCTAGGTGTCTGTGTTCGTATCATTTAAGGTGGTCATAGATTCACGAAGCCTCATAGCCAGGGGAACCCAGAGCCCCACACCTCCCCCACCCACACATCACCACCAGCATCTCATTTTACTGTTGTCACGCGTGATCAGGTCACTTGGACAAAAGAAAAAGCCACTAGAGTAAAGAGTTGTGTGTTCTCTTCCCCAGTAACATCTCCTTTTCAAATCCAATCTGTATCTACTTTTTATAGTACTACATATAATTTAAAAAAAGATAACTTGGAACAAGACTTTGGTTGAAAATGAATTTATACCATCTGGGACTAGATGAATTAAGATGATTTTTGAAAAGTCATGTATAGTTTCTACCCAGTTGTGTAAATCCTTTAAGCCTGAAACAGCTGGAAGGTCTTTGTGGTACCTTCAGGGGTGTTGTGGGGGGTGTTCTCCTATATGACATTTAAAACCCCTTACTATCTTTAGATACTATGATTGTATTAATTATGTCTGTTATGTGCTTGTTGACATTGTTGCTGAGAACGGAGTTGTGTACCTGCAATTTCTAAGTGACCACCAGGGGGCAAGCTTGCCTTCTTGGTTGCTTAGCCGGAAGGTTCTTTCTCTTCTATGTTGGATCTAGACTACAGTTATGGTTCCTGTGCACTTAGAATCACCTAGAGTTTGATGAAAGTTCAGATTTATAAGCACAAAGATTTTGGTTTAGTAAGTGTAAGGTAGAGCCTGGGAGTTTGTGTTTTTAACAACCCCTAAGAGATTCTGTGCATCGGGTTTGCCACTGGCGTTTGGAAACTGGTGGTCAAGACAACTCGCAACAGAAATCAACGTACTTTTAAAAATTTATCTTTAAAATCAAATGGGTCTATGTTTTAAATATAATTATGAAATATGTTTAATTGTACAAGTTAAACAAAAAAAAGGTCAAAAACAAGAAAGGAAAACATAAATACATTTAACTACAGATACATTTTATTAAAACTTTTTCATGGGAGAAAAAAACAAAATTAAGAAGGTAAAACACACACCAAGAAAAAAATATTTGCGTTACATATTCTAGACAACTATGATTAACCTTAATATATACAAAGCTTTTAAAAATCAATAAGAAAAAGGCAAACACCCCAACAGAAAAACACAAAGGCTACGAACAAGAAATGCACAAAGGAAGAAACAAGAATGACAAAATGAATGTGAAATACTGTTGAACTATATCAACAAGAAAAGAAATGCACATTGATACAAGAAGGTACCATTTTCCAATTACCGCTCAGAGATTTATAAATATGATACACTCAGTATTGGCGAGGTATAGGAAATGGATACCCCCATACACTGCCTGCAGAGGTTGCAACTTTGTTTAACATTTCTGGAAAGCAGTATATTTAGTATCCTTTCAAATCTTCCCATCTTTTTAGTTATCTCATTCTAGGGGTCTTCCTGAGGAAAATCACAAAAATGGCCAATAATAAATGTCCTGGTAGGAAGAGACAACTGCAAATGATGGCACAGCTCTATGATAAAGTCCACAGTCATTAACATAATTTTAAAGGAATATTCAGCTCACTTACTTGAAAATATTTGTTGAGTGCCTACTGTGGACCAGACAGTGTTCTGGGTCTGGACAGGGTAACTGAACAAGGGACAAAGGAGAAGGTACACGGCATAATAATAACGGAACAGCAGTGCGTACCCGCTATGATCCCGACCTGGGCTTCCCATGCCACAGTGACTGTCAGAAAGCCTTTACACTGGTTAAAAACAGTTTCCAAGGTTCTTCCTGGCAGTTTTGACTGGGATAGGCTAAGAGATCTACATTTTCATAAGCTCTCCATGAGATTTTATGATCAATAAAGTTTGGCCAGTGAATCTATCCACTTTTGAAGGGTATACTTATAAAAGTCACTAGAGAGAGAAGCACAATGTTGGCAGCAGTGTGTTTCAAGTGACAAGGTTACAGGGAATTGGATACTTTTCAAAGTTTCTACAGTTCTCTATAATACACACAAATATTTTGCATTGCCCCCTTAATACTGCAAAATGAAAATAACAACTAATGTAATTCAAACTAACATACTTTAACTATAACATAAGGAATAACTCGAAGAAAAACAGTTTATAATAAAATATAATGTATTTTGATGTAAAAACCTTTCGAGGTCATGGCAGTGGAGGGTAGGAAGGACGTATTCGTATGGCTGACCCTATAATAGATAGAGCCCCGGTGGGATTTTTTTTTTTTTTTTTTTTTTTTTTTTTTTTTTTTAATCCTCACCCGAGGACATTTTTTGTTCAGATAGAGCGGGAGGGAGAGAGAGGAAGAGAGAGAGAGAGAGAGACATCGATGTGAAGGGACACATCGAGTGGCTGCCACCCGCACGACCAACCAGGGCCGGGGACAAACTGCAACCGAGGCACGTGCCCTTAGCGGGAACCGAACCCGGGTCTCTCTGGACCGCAGGCCGACGCTCTAACCGCTGAGCCAAACCGGCCAGGGCAGCGGTGGGATTTTTTTTAAAAAATCAAATAAGTCTTGGCTATGTGCTAATGAAACAATGTGTAGTCAGTCAGGCATCAATATATATTACAGAGGCACTCTTAGAAAATTCGTTGTGTGTTTCGATTGCACACAAAACATATTCAATATGTGGAAGATGGTTCCTAGCCGTAGACTGTGCAGAGCCGGGCACAGCTTCATCCTCCATCATTATACCAACCCTGCAGATTCTAAACCCTGCCCCAGGGCCTTTCCTTCTCACCAAAGTTTAACAGGCCTCCTTACCATTATGAAAATCAAAGTATCTCCCAAAAAGCTGCCCAAATGCCACCCAAAGGAAGATGTCTCCTTCGTTAGACCCATGGTTGACTTTTAAGCTGGGTACACACACGTTATTTTGGTAACTTGAAAGATGAGTTTCATGTACGTTTTTTCAGGTCACTAGTGTTTGAAAAATATTTGCTAAATGGCTTAAAACAGGCAAGAGGCTGTTACTTTCTAAGGAAAGAGAATCCCTCGCTAACGTGTTTGTTTCTGTTAGTGTGTTTTATTTTTCTGACTCTAAGTTAATTCTGTTCTATCACGATATGCCCACTTTCCCTTGCTTTTACTGCGTGCAAAAGGAGAACTCTGGGTCACACATAGCGGACTTTGACCCAGAAGCTCCGCATTATAGATGTAGGAGGTCACAGGAGATCACAGGAGAGTGCTTCTTCCTTCGAGTTTCTGTTTTTCACTAAGTTACATTCAGTGGCTCGAAAGTAGCATTCCAACTTCTAAAACAAACAAACAGTGAGGAATGGCTAGAAGAACAGGACTTCGCCTTGGCCTGGCATACACATTGATCTTAGGTCCTTTTTCATTATCACTGAATAATGTAATTTCATTTCATTTTGATTCATGTAAACAAATTAAACAGAAAATCTGTTTCCAGTGGCTGCTCACCAACCATCTCCGGGCTATGATTCATGTAGTTGTCGGTTGAGAAACAGGAGAAGTTTTCCATTCTGGCTTGTTTTCACCTAAGTGTATTCAATGTGCCGTGTTCTGTCTTTGGCATACCTTCCCAGGGAAGATTGTACTGGGAAGAAACAAGTGCTAACATCCCAACAAGCCTGTTAATTTTGCTTTTTCCTCTGTGGTAGGAGATCGCAGTAATCAGTGCCCTCCTGGGTTTGCCTTAGATGCAGTGGGACCCTTTTGTGCTGGTAAGTATAGGACTAAATAATGCATTTTGATGTGTATTAAAATGTTAATAATGGATAAATAACTATTTAATGGACATCTGTTGCCATTCTGCTAGAAATTGAATCATCATGTAGCTGTGTAAGTGTCCCTTTTTACAAGTGAAGAAAATGAGATGTAAAGAGAGTGTCTAAGACCATACAGCTTCAAGCACAGAGCTGGGTCTGAATTTGAGGTACAAAGGCTGTTTTCATTCCATCTGGCCACAGTCAAGCGTGTCAGGGATCGATCATGCTGAAGTACACAGGTGGAGTGAGCATAGGGACCAAGCAATGGACTCTGTGTGGCCACTTAATTGCCATGGATATAAAACAGCAATAATTCAACTCTAAGTCACCTAACCTTAGAATTGCTCAATCATAGGACAGGGCAGAACTGAGGGCCAAACACTAATGACTAAACCAGCCTTGTCTCATCCAAGGACCAGTACAAGGGAGGCACAGATAAGTAAACAGCTGAGTCAATGGCTTAAGGAACGTTTCTTTCCCAGGTGGGCCCCGTAATGTAGTATATTGGTTAACAGGTGGTCTTTTCAATTGTACTGCACAGGTTCAAATTCAGCTCTGCCAGTAATGGCCTATGTAGCATTGAGCAATGTACTTAACCTCTTTGCGCCCCAGTTTTATCATGCAGATGAGGATGGTAATAACAATACTTATCTCCCAGGGACTTTGTGAGCGGTAAGTACAGCTAGGCGAAAAGAGGTTAGATCCAGTAAACGGTGGTTGTATCTTAGTCGTCATCATCATTGTTTCAGGATTCATCTAGACGTCTGTTCACTATCAAGATAGTTGGGGGACCCAGAATTGATTTTTGTTCAGCATTTCCATGTCATAGACCATTGTCTGTTGCATGTGACTCAATCCACTGGCCTCTTTAAACTTGAATCACTCCCAGAAAGGAGAGGGTTTGTGTGCTCACCGGGCCCTCTGTTCCCTCCCCCAGATGAAGATGAGTGTGCGACAGGGAAGCCCTGTTCCCACACCTGCCACAACGCCGTGGGAACCTACTACTGCTCCTGTCCCAAAGGCCTCACCATAGCAGCTGATGGAAGAACTTGTCAAGGTATTTATTTATTCAGAAGCCTCGGTCCAATAGGAACATTTCAGCAATGGCCGTGACGGCCCCGACCTAGGAAAGGGATGGCACACTCGTGCTTTCGTTTTCCCTCGCTCTGCCCCCCTTGGCAGCGGGCAGGTGCTCACTAGGTTGAGAACGTGCGAAGGGGGAACACTGCTCACTCGTGGCCTTCAGCTGGGGCCCCTCCCTCGGGGCGTGGAGTGCCTCTGTCCCAACAGCGAGGTGAGGAGAGGCATCGGACTGTGTTATGCTCATTGTACGATAAAACCAAGGACGGCGTTGTAAAGCTTTAGGTAAATCGCAGTCCTGCTAGCACGTTGGGAGCATGAACAACAACAGAAAAGTTTTCTAGCCGATACCAGGTAGGCTTCGAAGTTAAAATTGTAAAAGAATCCAGTTTCATAATAAGAACAATGAGCAGCCTGGCCAATGTGGCTCCGTGGATTGAGCGTCGTCCCAGGGACTGAGGTCCCGGTTCAATTCCAGGTCAGGGCACATGCCAAGGTTGCAGGCTCGATCCCTATGAAAGGGTGTGCAGGAGGCAGCTGATCAATATATCTCTCTCACGTCGATGTTTTTCTCTCTCAGAAAATCAATAAAAACATTTTTAAAAAGAAGAAGAAATAGTGAACAGATGAAAGGATTTCTACTTCTATGCCCAAGGAGGTCCCCTTCTAAATGCGAGAGAAAGAGAGAGTAAAGTTATAGGAGGGAAGAGTAATAACTTTTAGGGAGCATCCAGTATGGATTGAGCACATTATATACATTATTTCCTTTCATTTTTTAAAATACTTTTTATTGATTTTTAGAGAGAGAGGAAGGGAGAGGGAGATCGGGAGAGAGACATTGATGGGGGAGAGAAACATCGATCAGCTGCCTCCTGCATTCTCCCTACCCAGGATCTAGCCCAAAACCTGGGCATGTGCCCTGACTGGCGATCGAACCGGCAACCTCTTGGTACTCAGGACAACATCCAAACAACTGAGCCACATGGACAGGGCTCCTTTAATTTTTAAAGCAACATTGGTAGACAGATATTATCCTCATTTTACAGATGAGAAAACTGTGATCTCAGAAAGGAGAAGTAACTCTTTTAAAATCCCTAATGTATAGGTGGTCTGAGAGATAGGTTGGTCTGTGAAGATGTCACACGAATGCCCCTGTGAGCTTGTCAGCCATTGAACCCACCTAAAATAACTCAACCCACAACGCCAGCAGCTCGCTCTTGTATATTTTTCAAGTGCTGTTGATTGCTTTTCTTATTCCCATTTCACAGCAGGCTCTTAGCTTGGCTTCTTCGGGTCACCTTGGTTGAATGACTCACTTTGTTGCAGATATTGACGAGTGTGCTTTGGGTGGACACTCTTGCCATGCTGGTCAGGACTGTGACAATACCATCGGATCCTATCGCTGTGTGGTCCGCTGTGGAGTTGGCTTTCGAAGAACCTCTGATGGGCTGAGCTGTCAAGGTATAAAAGTGGAGGCCCCTGTTTTACCTTATTATACTAAGAATTAAGACACCCTGCCTTTTGAATCATTTAAAGCCAGGGTGGGGAAACCATTATTATGTCAAGGGCCATTTGGGTATGTATAACATCATTCTCGGGCCACACAAAATTATCAACTTACAAGTTAGCCTGCTCTATTCGGTCAGGCTAACCCGGTGAGGCGTGTGGTGTCAGCCGGTATTGATTTTGAGGGCCTTATCCTGCCCACTGGCCAGGCGTTCCCCACCCCTGAACTCGTTTATAGATTGAGCTTCTCGATGAGGTCTTAGATGTAACATTCCATGGCTATTTCCGATGTTTGCAGCACAGTGGTTTTGGATGATATAACTTTCCTGTTATATTTGAGAGAGGAGATTGTACGGCATGATCTAGGAGAACCTACTTTATAAGACTCCACTGCATAAGACTACATGGATATTTACGGCAGGACATTTGAATAGACATTAAATTTTAGGGAAGTTTTGGGTTCACAGCAAAATTGGGTGAAAGGTAAAGATATTTCCCAGGTACCCCCCACTCCAACTCATGTGTGGCCTCCCCCACTGTCAACATCCTACACCAGGGAGATACAGTTTTTTACCAAGGATTAACCTATGTAGATGCATCATTATCACCCAAAGTCCCTCGTTTTGCAGTGGGATTAGCCCTAGGTGGTGTACATTCCATGGGTTTTGACAAGTGAATAAGGACACGTATCCTCTCAGGACCGCAGGCCGACGCTCTAACCGCTGAGCCAAACCGGCCAGGGCAGGACACGTATCCTCTATCACAGTGTCATACAGAACAGTTTTCCTGCCTACAAATCTTCTGTGCTCCCCCTGTTCATCCCTTCTTCCCCAAAACCTCTGGAAACCACTATCTTTTTATTGTCTACATAGTTTTGCCTTTTCCAGCATGTCATATGGGTGGAATAATACCGTATGTGTAGCCTTTTCAGGTTGGCTTTTCTCACTTAGTAATATGCATTTAGATTTACTTCATGTCTTTTTATGCGTTGATAGCTCATTTCTTCTTAGTGCTGAATACTGTTTTGTTACATGAATGGACCGCAGTATTTACCCATTTACTACTGAAGACATCTCGGTTGCTTCCAAGGTTCAGCAATTATGAATAAAGCTGCTATCGGGAGTTTTCATACACGCAGAAACAGTGGGTACAAAACGGAATGCCTATCAGTAATAGAAAGAATGAATTAAGTATGGTGCAGCCACAAAATGAACCCCTGTGCAGCTATTATAAAGAGTAGAATAGAGCTCAGCTATTTGGCTTAAAGGACTTCCCAGGCGTTGTGGAGTGAGAACTCCAAGGTGTAGGAAAGTATATGTAACTGTGTAGAAAAGATTATGTGACTAGAAAACAAACAATAACAAAGAAAAAGAACATGGATTTATATATTTACATAGAGCTATATGTGTGTACATGGAAGAGACATATTATTTATACAAGATTATTATTATTTTTATTTTGTTACAGATGTTTCTCCTTTTTTACCCCATTGACACCTCCTCCCCATCCCCCAACCCCGTTCCCGGCTTTGTTGTCCATGTCCATTGGTTATGCATACATGCATATAAGTTCTGTGGTTTATCTCTTCCCTCCCCCCACCGCCCCCTCTTCTGAGGGTTGTCAGTCTGTACCCTACTTCCACATCTCTGGGTCTACCCTATTCCTCAGACTGTTTATACAAGATTATTAATACAGGTTGATTTTGGTGGGGAAGGGAGGCCAAGCAAAAGAGGAAAATGTTTATGAAAACCATTTTAAAGTACATGATCACATTTGTGTATTTACATCAACGTGCAAATTTTGAAAGATTAAAGTAGAAGTTCTCAAATAGAAAACAAGTACAGAATAAGACATCGGCAATCTCAAGTTTGGGCAGATACGGTGAGGACATGAAGGGCCTAAATATTGTGACTGTCGTTTTGAAGAGTTTGGAATAGAGTGATAGAGAAGTGGAGAGATTTGAAATGAATGTAGACCAAAGAGAGAGGTTTTGTTAGGGTAGGGAAAATGTGGTTATGTCTATAGGATTATGGGAAAGAAGACGGTAAGGAGGAAGGACTTTAAAAATACTCAAGCCTGGCTTGAGTTGGTTGGAGTGTCTGTTGTCCAGTGCACCAGAAAGGTTGCAGGTTTGATTCCCAGTCAGGGCACATGCCTAGGTTGTGGGTTCAATCTCCAGTATGAGAGGCAACCAATGGTTGTTTCGCTCTCACATTGATGTCTCTCTCTCTCTCTCAAATCAATAAAAATCTTCCTCGAGGATTTTTTTAAAAATACACAAAAACAGGGAGTCATCAATGGACCACAACCCTCATCCTGGTGAGGAAGGAGAAGATAGGCCACAGAGCTCAAAAACTCAAACGGGGAGCCTTCCTTAGATGGGAGAGGAGACCTCTCTCTCTCGGGGGCTGGAAGGAAGCTGAGGGAAGAAGATACAGAAGAACAAGCAGTGCACATGAGTCAGGGGCGTCCATCCTGCACTTTTTAAAAAATTACGCAACGACCCAGATGGTGTTTGGGCAGATTGATTTGGCAAGGACAACAGGGAGGAGAAATGTGCAAGTTGCTGCAGTCAGTTGGACACAAGGTGGTCAAGACCTGCATCAGACTAACAGCCGCAGAAGTGAGGGCGAACGGTCAATTGCAAAATATGTTGCAGAAGACCTTAGCTTTAATTAATTTTTCCCTATCTTCGTATTCCAGTCTGGCAGCCACATTCCAGGGCCGGTACTTCCTGGAAACAGGAGTGGAGCCATATGGTCAAGTACCCAAGTGGAGGTGTGTTGTGTCGACAGAGTTCTGAGTCACTAGCAAATGGCTGCCTTTGAAGAGGATTAAAGAGAGATACTCTCTCCGGCAATTAATCCCGCCAGTTGTCTAGCAGATTATATGACAGCGGTTGTATTGCATTCATTTCAGGGAAGATCTGAAACGTGCTCGTTTTGAAAGAGTATTAAAATGTTCAACATTTGGGGTAAATGAATCCAAGTTGCCTAACAGAATATCCTGAAAGTTTTGTTTTATTTACCAGATATTAATGAATGTCAAGAATCCAGCCCCTGCCACCACCGCTGTTTCAATGCCATAGGAAGTTTCCACTGTGGGTGTGATCCCGGGTATCAGCTCAAAGGCAGGAAATGCATGGGTAAGAAGGGGCTTTGAATTCAAAAGCATAACATCACTGTACCTTCGCATGGTGCCTGATCCAGTCCATATGCGGTACCCTGAGCCTGGCTTAGAGATAAAATACCTACCGTGCATGGTATAATAACCCATATTACAACAAATTGGAAGCAAATGCTATGCTTTATGAGTTTTACTTTCCAATCACATAACCATTTTTTAAACATTTCTATTCACCAATTTTTTTCGCAGACATATAATACAAGGTGGGGCAAAAGTAGGTGTACAATTGTTTTTATGGAAAATAATACCATAATTAATAAATAATAACACAAGGATATACTCTGTTTCATGTACTCGCAACTGTAAACCTACTTTTGCCTCACCCTGTATGTAATGTATACATATGTAGTTATATATGTGTGTACGTATGTAAAGTTATATACATGTACATCGACATGATTTTTCTTCTTCTTGGAGGAGGAAGTGGTTGGTATGGCTACCAGCTCTGACACTGGTTTTTTATTTTTATTAGTCTGTTTTAAAATTAAGTATTTACATGCCTTGTTGGATTTAAACACTTCAACTGTACATGATGATTATGCATCAACATCTGTATCGGTCTATAATATCCTTAAAACCCAGAAGTGTAGTCTTGTGGGGGCGGGGCAGGGCCGTCTTCTCAACCTGCATGCCCTTCGTTCTCCCACGAAGACGTGAACGAGTGTCGCCAGAGCGTGTGCAGACCGGACCAGCTCTGCGAGAACACCCGCGGGGGCTACCGGTGCATCGACCTCTGTCCCAACGGAATGACCAAGGCGGAGAACGGAACCTGCACTGGTGAGTGGCCGGCTGGGTCGAAGGCTGAGCTGCGTTCACCACTGCCAAGCCCAGCAGAGCAGCTATGTTGAGCACTAATGATTAGAATGCATTTAATGGAACAAGAAAGTATTTCATTTTGCATAGGGGTTTTTTGTTTTGTTTTGTTTGTTTTATTTTGTTGTTTTTATTCCCCACTTTCTAGTATGGTTGACCTCTGGGGTTCTGGGGTCACGGCCATGCCAGGAAATGGAAGCCCCCCCATGGAGACTTACGACCCTTTTGAGCTCCCATCAGTTATACTTTTGGTTTAGATAGTTTAATATCCACATAGATGAATAGTCTCTCTCGATTTCTAATATAAAATTTAGCATATGTGTTTAGAATTTCATAGGACAGTTGAGACAAAATTGTTTTATTAAGAGTTCAAAATATAATTATTATAGAACTAAATATTCTTTAAACGGCGAGACAATGACCAGACCATAAAGAAAGTTATATCTCCGTTTAAGTGTATTCTTTGCGTGCCTGTTCTGTATCAGGCTGCAGAGGTAGCAGAACGAGGAGCTACGCGATTTACAAAAATTGCAAAGAGAGTGTGGCCGCTCTTATATTCTTATGGTCTACTGGAATAGATCGGCCAACTCCACTTCCTTCGCCAAAAGAAACAAACTGTAATAAACGCAGAATGCAGCACCACAAAGGAGGTGAAATGGAATTGGCCGAGAGGGCTTGAAGTCACCATCAGATGCAACAGGAGTGACTGTCAGAGGTGTCAGGGCAGTGATCACATCTGAATATAGCCTTGTATAGAGTGCTGGCAGGCGGAGGTAGTAGCAAATGAAAAGGAAGAAGGCCCTGTTCAAGGGGGAAGGAGCTGGACTTAGAGGTAACACGTTGCAAGTCATCCTTCCTTCTTGACAGCTCTCTGTCCTTCAGGGAGTCTTAAGATGACACAGACATGTGAGTTTAAGTTTCTCATTTTAAAAATAGGACTTTTTAAAAATTATGAAATATTTATTAATAAAATTATAATGTGTCTTGGAGTTGTTTCAAAATACTATAGGAGTAGAGGGAGGGCATAGATATGAATGAAGGAATACTAAATTCAGTTGATGCTTGTCAAGGTACATGGATGTTTAATATACTCCTGAAAAAAAAAAAAAAAAACACTGGGGGGTTGGACTATCAGGATTCTGACTCTTTCCAGCTCTATGGACAGAGGTGAATATTTTTTTACACTTAAGAATAGTGGCCTACTCAGAGCACAGAGGCAGTTATGTGCAATAGTAAATATTTTAAAACCATGGACTCCGTAATTATATATGAGATCAATTAGAAATGAGACGATACAGCAAACATATAGCTAAGTGGAAAAGGGAAGAGGAGATATGTGGATTTGATTGAAGGAAGTAGAACCACCCAATCTTGGAAACTGAGGGAATAAGTTAAAGGTAACTCTGACATTTGCAGGCTGGTTGACTGGGGAGAAAGAATACTGTGGCCATAAGTAAGGACGTAACGATAAGACAGTGGGGACGTGTTGAGTTTGAAGGACTGGTAAAACGAGGAGATGGAGATGACTAGCTAGCAGCTGGAAATGTGGGAGTAGAAAAGAAGCCAGGTAGTACGGTTGCCCTAAATCTACATCAACAAGCTAACCAGAGTCACTGAAGGAGGGAGTGTTGAGAAGGGGAAAGAAAAACCGAACCTGAGAACAGAACTCTTTTTATAGTAAGGGGCAAGAGGGAAAAGGAACCAGTTAATAAGTGGCAGAGCGAGGACTAGAACCCAGGTGTTCTGACTCCAGGTCTCAACCACGTGGTGAGAAAGGCAACCTTTGGCAATTCTCAAGAACGTTCACTTTAAATATTAGGTTATGAAAGAGGAAATGTTACTACTTTTTATTGCCTCCATGTCTATAGATATTGATGAGTGTAAAGATGGAACCCATCAGTGCAGATATAACCAGATATGTGAGAATACAAGAGGCAGCTATCGGTGTGTATGTCCAAGAGGTTACCGGTCTCAAGGCGTGGGAAGACCCTGTATGGGTAAGTGAACAGGAACTCTCATGGAGTAACAAAGTTACTCATATAGTTACCCAGCCTTACCAACTTGCATAGGGCCACTTGCTATCCTCAAATACTTTCTTGCTATAATTAGATTTATAATTTGTTTAAGTAATTCATAATATAGTTGACCCTTGAACAACATGGGTTTGAACTGCGTGGGTTTGCAGTTTTTTTAAAAATATACAGTCAGCCCTCTGCATCCCTGATTCAACCTACTGCAGGATTCGACCTACTGCAGGTTGAAGACAGTATTTTCAGTCTGCAGCTGGTAATGTGTGACGTGGAGCTTAAAGCTCTATGTGCACTGTTCTGTGCATTTGATGTAAGGGATTTGAGCATCTATGCATTTGGTACCCATGAGGTCCCAAAGCCAATCTCCCTGCAGATACCGAGGGATGATTGAGTTTGGGGGGAGTCAAAAGTTATACAAAGGTTTTGACTGCACGGGGGTCAGCATCCCTAACCACCACGAGGTTCAAGGGTCAACTGTACTTATTAGAGACTTCATGTTGAGTTCAATTTACTCTAACTTCAAGTGATAATAATAACCACTACAGATGCTTCCGGTACACTACACATATCAAAAGGAAGTTCTGATATAATTGCTGTGGCAACTTAATTACGAAGTTTATCTCCTTCATTATCTCTCTAGGCACATGACATAAATGCATAATTTTTTCCCTTTTTAAATATATTTTTATTGATTTTTAGAGAGAGAGGAAGGGAAGAGAGATAAAAAAAAAACATTGATGTGAGAGAGAACCATAGATCTGCTGCCTCCTGCATTGCTGTCTCCCACATGCCCCCTACTGGGGATTGAGCCTGCAACCTGGGCATATGCCCTGACCAGGAATCCGACCCTTGACCTCTTGGTGCATGGGTCGATACTCAACCACTGAGCAACACTGGTCGGGCTGCATAGATATATTTAATTTGAATATGAAGTATACTTGTATATAATATGAAGGTTTAGGTATGAGGGATTAAAATGTGAACATACAATTTAAGCAAATTGATCATTATTACTTTATTTACCATATATTTAGTGCTTACTGTATGCCATTCCCTACACTAAGGATATGTCATTTAATTCTCCCAATTGCCTGTTTCCATCTCAGTTACAATTGAATATACAGTAAGGCAAATAACAGATAATAGAACATATCTGTGGGAAGGTAACCATATGCTTTTTATTAAATTAATGCATTTATAATAAAGAAAACTGACCTATCAAATTCTATTTCTCCTCAGAATATTTAAGTGCAGCAAAAAATTGTGTGGACTTTTAAGTATTGGCTGGTTTGCATGCTATGCTTTTAAAATTGGTTGCCTTGGCTGTCTACTTAACAATTATTTATAGCAAATTCTTCCTTAAAGACTTAGTTCTGTCTTTATTCAGTACCTAGCACAGTCCTTTGCACATAGCAAATATTCACAGTAATACCATTACTAGAATAAACAAATACACATTTTAATAACAGAAATACATATTATTTCTGTATTCTTTTTAGATATTGTAATTTGTATGTAATTTAACATCTTGATCAGTCATAACAGTGACCTTGCAGAATGAAATGTGGTTTTTTTTTGTTCCCTAATTTGACTAGAAGTTGAATATCAAGCACTTGACTGGGGAATCAGTCAATGAAGAAGGAAGGGCCATTGCCCTAAAGAGATTAAAATGTTCATTTAAACTTTTGCCTACTAAAATAAATTTTATAGCAAAATTTACTACTTTTATTTTACTTCTTTGTGTTTTGTTTGTTTTTCATGCCACCATGGTAATGAATTCAAGAACTTGGTTTTGATCTCTGGTTTTTATACACTTATCCAATTGACAGGAAGAGTTGCAAGTAATACTCTGTGTTGTCGGAGGAATAGAAAGAAAAGTAACTTTCTTTAAATTTTATGAGTTTTTATCTTAGAAATTATTCTCTCTTCGTGTCCTTGTTTTTAATTATTTTGTAAAAAGTGTAATTGGTTTGATTATTAACTAATGATTATTGATTCAAAAGATACAAAAGAAAACAAAAACGTTAGCAATATTCCTGCATCTGCAACTTACAAATGCATGAAAAATTAGAGGTACTAGTGGTCAGTACTATAACCAAATGCTAACTAGTAATGTGACTGTTCCTCCCTCCACCCACAGAATTAAGATCTGCATTAGCCTTGAACTCTAGTTTTTCTGGATTCAAAACCACATTTTTCCATATGACGCTTTATGTTCCTACTGTGTATGTGAAGCGATCTTTAGGGAGCGTGCTAAAATCTTTCTGTATATTCGTAACTGAATAATTACAGCTTCCTCGTAAGCTCACAGCAGTTGAGAAATGACTGTGTTCCTGACTTTGGAGGGTAACATAATGTCTTCAGCTTGTTTCACAGACTGACTCTTTATTCCTGTGTTTTGTGTATGTACCTGTATGTTTTTTTTCTCTTTTTTATGTCTCATGGCACACGAGCAGACATTAATGAGTGTGAACAAATGCCTAAGCCTTGTGCATATCAGTGCTTCAACACCCCCGGCAGCTTCAAGTGTATCTGTCCCCCAGGACAACACTTATTAGGGGACGGGAAATCTTGCGCTGGATTGGAGAGGCTGCCCAGTTATGGCACCCAGTACAGTAGCTATAACCTTGCTCGCTTCTCCCCCGTGAGAAACAACTATCAACCTCAGCAGCATTACAGACAGTACTCCCATCTCTACAGCTCCTACTCAGAGTATAGAAACAGCAGAACATCTCTCTCCAGGACTAGAAGGACCCTTAGGAAAACTTGCCCCGAGAGCTCTGAAGCAAACCATGACCCACGTGTAGGTAAATGTCAGCCATATCGCATTTCCTTTCTGTGGGCTCGCCATGGGCCCGTCCAAGCATATGTGTTTGTTTGGGTGCAGTGAGCTACATCTGATCTCAGCTCTGGGTGCAGTGAGCTACACCTGATCTCAGCTCTGGGTGCAGTGAGCTACACCTGATCTCAGCTCTGGGTGCAGTGAGCTACACCTGATCTCAGCTCTGGGTGCAGTGAGCTACACCTGATCTCAGCTCTGGGTGCAGTGAGCTATATCTGATCTCAGCTCTGGGTGCAGTGAGCTATATCTGATCTCAGCTCTGGGTGCAGTGAGCTATATCTGATCTCAGCTCTGGGTGCAGTGAGCTATATCTGATCTCAGCTCTGGGTGCAGTGAGCTATATCTGATCTCAGCTCTGGGTGCAGTGAGCTACACCTGATCTCAGCTCTGGGTGCAGTGAGCTACACCTGATCTCAGCTCTGGGTGCAGTGAGCTATATCTGATCTCAGCTCTGGGTGCAGTGAGCTATATCTGATCTCAGCTCTGGGTGCAGTGAGCTATATCTGATCTCAGCTCTGGGTGCAGTGAGCTACACCTGATCTCAGCTCTGGGTGCAGTGAGCTACACCTGATCTCAGCTCTGGGTGCAGTGAGCTACACCTGATCTCAGCTCTGGGTGCAGTGAGCTATATCTGATCTCAGCTCTGGGTGCAGTGAGCTACACCTGATCTCAGCTCTGGGTGCAGTGAGCTATATCTGATCTCAGCTCTGGGTGCAGTGAGCTATATCTGATCTCAGCTCTGGGTGCAGTGAGCTACACCTGATCTCAGCTCTGGGTGCAGTGAGCTACACCTGATCTCAGCTCTGGGTGCAGTGAGCTACACCTGATCTCAGCTCTGGGATGACTCAAAGTTTTGAGACATTTACACTAGCACCTAAAACTATTACAGATTTTATTCAAGTAGATGTGTGCATCCTAATCATTTACCGGTTTAGATGGACAGTCCTCTGGTCACCTGAACGCATTACTAAATTCAGTGCAATAAAGAAATAAATGCCAGTGGCATCCAAAATGTGGTTTTAAAAAAGAGAATATGCATACTGTCCTAAAATAGAACACCATAATCGCGGCTGTATCTTAATGATGCCAAAGCAGTGGTTAAAAGTGAAACCACCCGCTACTCAGTTGACTGTTCTGTACGACAACCAACACCACGTTCACTGCTGTCCTGCACGCGCCATGGAGTTTTTCAGCTCGATTGTTTTGTATATAAGTCACTGAACAGATCCCATGAGCCAGGACCAAATGAAATTGCTTCCATCACTCTCAAGTATGTGCTTTCGATGTCTTTATCTAAACTGACAAGCCTGCATTTTAATTTGTTTGCAAAAGGGAAGCGTAATTTCCAACTCAAAAATTGAAACCTTGTTTTCTGTTAGGTTGCAAGCATTACCATGTGTCCTTCATTTAAATTCATTTTCTGTGCGTATTCACGGTTTGCATGTCACTGAGCTATGTACCAAGAGGAATGAGCAAACAGGAATGAGCCCCACGACTTGTTAGATGAAGAAAGAAAGCAAAGTAGAGAGAGATCAGGGAGGCAAGCAAGGAGGGAAGAAACTCTGTTTAAAGTTAAGAGACCGCATGCCAATATTATTTCCTTGCATTTTTCTTAGGTGTTCTACACTTTGCTTATTCTCTCCTACATATGCTTTCGGTTAAACATTTCTTTTAAACATTTTTAAAATTTCTTCTCCTGCTGACTTCAGTTTTTGTCATTTTTTTTTAACCTCTCCCAGCCTGTTCCTGCATCTCAGACAGACTTCCTTGGTTACTCTTGGGTAGACCAGCTACTCATATCACCTGTACTCAGCTGGACCCTCAAACCCTCTGGGCATTTAACCTTTCTTCTTTAGGCCTGTATTTTCCCAGGACTTTTCTGTCTCTATGTCCTATTGTACCTGAAGCTGAATAAAACATGGAATCTTTTTCCTGTGTTCAGCTTCCTAGATCTGTGGACAGGACTCGTTTAACTCCTTAAACTTCAAACATGAATGCATTCATTAACAACTCTACATTTCGTCCCATATGGTGAAACACTACTTAATTACTAAACCTGTGGACTCCACTGTCCTCACTAGTTTATCAAACACCACGCCTCGTCTGCTCCAAACCCTTCTGACTATTGGTAATTCTCATGCCTACAATTTCGACCTGATTCTCGGTTAGTTAAAATTTTTCACTATTCTTTTTTTTTTATTATTGAATTTTTAGAAAGAGAGGAAGGGAGAGGGAGAGAGAGATAGAAACATCGATGAGAGAGAACATCGATTGGCCGCCTCCTGCGTGCCCCCCACTGGGGATCGGGCCCACAACCTGGGCGTGCGCCCTGACCGGGAATCGAACCGGCAACCTCTTGGTGCATGGGTCGACGCTCAACCACTGAGCCACACCGGCCGGGCTCTTACTATTTTTTTTATTGACAGAATTAGCATCTGACATTTTGTCTTTCAAAATTTCTTCCAAATAGTCTCACTGAAGGGTTTTCATGATCACCCTACTCTTCACCTTCATTTTAGACAAGTTATTTGTTTCTCTTCTACCTTTGTTCTTCTGCCCCAAAATTGTTGTTTATGCTGTGATAAATGAATTAAACTACACCCGCTCACACACACCCTCCACCATCTAGCTGACTTCTCAGTCACTGGAAAGCCCAAGTCGTTTTACGGAGTGTTCCTGGTCACTAACCCAGTTCTCTGTCTTGATCACTCTCTGTGCCCTGTAGTTTCCTCATGGTAGAGTCGTATGTTTTCTGTCTTTGTGTTTCTGTTACACTAGTATTAAGTTTACAGGAATTAATCTTCCCCAAACCTTCTACTGTTAGAGGCAGCTATTATTTCAAAGTGAGGACCAATCTTGGAGAATCTAAAGTAAACTTCTATAACTAGTCAATTACTGGATATTTAAGTTTTACTTTGGGACAATTAATAGGCTTGGACATTTAGAAACATTACTTAAAATGCGGTGAGTATTTTATAGTATTGGTGCTAATAAAGAAATTTACACCGAGATTGCAGACAGCTTTGGAATGACATGATGATCAGCTGGTCATAAACACCAAGTGCCTTTAATTAACCATCTGGGATCAATAACTCACAAAGATTCAAATGAATATTATGGAATCATGTTAGACTTGGGCTAAAGTTTAACTTTTCAAGGACTTGAGTCCAAAGCTTCACAGGACGACGGAAGATTGCAGTGTGTCTGAATACAGAAATTGTTTTAGAATTCACACTCCGGGACGTGTGGTGTGGACTCTCTGGAATGCACCATCACTTACATTTCCGTGGTTATCTTAGGTGGAAGCAGGTTATCACGGGAAAAAGAACAAATAGCACAAGTTCTGGAACCGATGCTTTGGTTAACTAAAAAAGGACAGAAACATTGACAAATATCTGATGAGTGTTTTATCATGAACAGATCTTAAAGCATTGCAGTTATATTCTGAGCATATGCAAAATATGCAAATTTTGCTCTGAGACATTCCCTAGTTTCCAGTCTGTCTTCTCTTTCCTTCCACCCACATCACTCCTGTTCCCCTTTCATGTCCTGTTCCCCCACACTCTTCCACTGGTTGGTAGGTGTCCAGGGATGGTCAACAGATTTTAAAATTACTCAAAGTGAAACACAATGGGGACAAGAAATCTGAGACCTCCCAAATCACATCTCATTCTGAAAGCAAATATCAATTAATTTTTCACTATCACCTCTTTTCACTCTCCTTCTTAGTGTGATTTTCTTGGCTTTGTTTAGTAATAGCAAAGAGATATCTTTTCATAGTTTACAAAATGCTTTCACATGTATTACTGCATATGAACCTTCCAGACCTATAAACTAGGGAGATTGTATCGGTGACTCCTTTTGGCAGAAAAATCAACTGAGATCTTGAGAAGTTAAGTGGCCCAAGTTAACACAGCGATACATGTATGTAGCTGCCAGTAGTACTTTACAAGTATATGAAGTTTAAATATTCCTGCCACAAAAATGAAAACACCCCCACCTGATAACATCTGTTTGTGAGAGAGTATTGGGGGGGGGGGTGCAGGGAGAGAAGGAAGGAGTGACAGCTAACGTTTAAAAAAAAGAAAAATGAATACTCTTTTTTTCCAATTAATCTCCATAGAAGCTCTATCTTTTAGGTACATTCTACTATTCAGTCAAGAGTTTGTACTTTGGTGGTTGAGGATCTTGTACAAACCTGTTCTGTCATTCCAGTCTTACTTAGTGAACATAGAAATTGCCCATATGGGGGTTTCGGCTTCTATATGTTGATGCACAGAAGAGATGTTCATTTGTATAAAATAGTGCAGCTTACACTGGACTCCTTTAAAAACAGCTGTGAGCATTTTAAACACGAGCAGTGAATCACCGAGGCGTTTTCATATTGTGTGTCAACAAGTTGTTTATTGTTGGTGCTGTCGTGGTTCCTGCCTTCATTTTGCGTGGTTTCCCACTCTCCCTTCTTTCTCCGCAGACATTGATGAATGTGCCAACAGAGACACCTGCCAACATGAGTGTAAAAACACCTTTGGGAGTTATCAGTGTGTCTGCCCACCCGGCTACCAACTCATGCTCAATGGGAAGACGTGTCAAGGTGAGACCATGTTCAGAAGTTTACTGCTGCAACTTGACTTAAAACCAGCATAGGAGAGTGTAAGACGTGAAATGTTTTTCTTTTTGAATAGTTGTTCTCCAGGTTGCTCCCTGCTCTTCTCGGGCCTGTTGTTCCGACATCTTTCAGTGTTGCTTTTGCACTTAGGAGACGCCAGGAGAAAGCAGCTAAGCAGAAGAAGTAGCTAGACATTGTTGGTGCTGTCTCACTAGAAGGACCAAGGGTGCCCAACCCACTTTATCTTATATATTTTCATGTTTTATTCCTCACTTGAGGATAATTTTCTATTTATCATCAGATAGAGTGGGAGGGAGGGAGACAGAGAGAGACAGAGAGAAACATCGATGCGATTGAGCCACATTGACACGTTGCCTCTTGCACGGCCCTGGTCGGGTCGGGGACGAACCACAACCAAGGTACGTGCCCTTGATCGGAATCGAACCCGAGACTCATAGGTCTGAGGGCCAACGTACTAACCACTGAGCCAAACCTACCAGGGCTATCTTATATATTTTCAAAACTTAATGGGGGTAGACCTCTTCAAACATTTCATTCACGGTTCAGCTAAGATTTGGAAATGGAAGAGTGATCTGTGGATGTACTTCAGTGTTAAGCAATATTTTATATTCTGGCTTGGGGATCAGTGAGTAAACTGATTAAATAACCCATTCATTATTTGCATCTACAGATGATGTAGAACAGTTATATTCTAGCATTGCAGGATGCAAAAGCTTCAAATGAATGATACGCAGTTTCTTTCCTTTGGGATCTCGGATTCTAGCGGAGACAGGCAAATAAGAACATAACCAGCATAGGTCATAGATGCTATGACAAAGCTTTGGACAATGCATAGTGATGGAAGAAAGAAAAAAAAATTCATCTCAACAGTACCCTTTTTACACAAAAATAGGAAAGGACATCGTACTTTGATAAGGTGTATTATATTGCAATGTGTACTTAGATTAAAGAGAAATAAGAACCTGTATAAATCTTGAAAAATCTTCTAAAAAACTTTCTCAGTTACGTGGACAAAATTTGAGTTTTTATTAATTCTGAATTAATTGGCCTCCAAATTTTATTAATTTCTGTCATGTGCATACTGTATCCTTTCTAAAGTACAGCAAATAAAATATCCAAAAGAGTGCTTTATCAAGAGCAATCGAATCTGGATTGAATTTTTCCCTCGCTGTGAGAGTCACAAGAGACTTGCTAGCATGTAACTCATGGAAATGCATCCAAGGCCAGGATGGACAACGGGTTCACCTGAGTATCCATGATCGCCCCCACTCATGCCCCACCCCTAACCTACCCATTCACCATTGACACTCCCTGAGAGCCCCAAACAGATCATGTGACCAGGAGGCAGAAGGTGTCACCCCCTTTACTCCTAGCCATCAGTCACCAAACATTTATTCAGAACTTACTCTGTTCAGAACATTTGATTGAGATGTGAAGAACCGGAATAACATATTTACCTTCCAGTCTTATGTTTTCCCAGAACAACTATTATCTCATTCTAATCAGCAGTACAGATTTGTCAAGGGCAATAATTTATACCCATTCTACAGATAATAAAACTGACTCTCAGAGTGATTCTGGGAGGCTCAGTGTCCTAGAACAGTCAAGGGCAAGAGTAGGACTTGGTCACAGATCTCACAATGTCTAAAATAGTCCTGTGTCTCCCCTGTGATTCGGAGAACACCAGGGTTATTGTACTGTGGCAGCAGGGTGAGGTGAGACTGTTTACATGGTCCCTGTTTTATAACTTTCCCCCTAGAATCCTTCTGAAGAGGTGGCACTGCCCAACACCAACCTAGAGATGTGCCGGGCACCAGAGAAGAAAGCAGGGTAGACACTGAATCATTTTGTATAACCAGCTGGTCTGCAAAACCCTCAGCCAGATTTTTAAGGGTCATATTATATGATATTCTTAATTTATTCTTTTCTTAAATTATTCCAGTGTTTGTTTTATTGCCCATGTCACTCATTCAGTGCAAAACGTCCTCAGCTTTCAGAGAGTGGAAAATAATGTGAAGAAATCAGAAACAGGTCTCCTTTGAAATGTTTGCGATTTAAATGAGCTGCATATATTTGTGGTTTTAAAGAAAGACATGAGAGAAAACAATTATGCTCTTTGAAGACGTCTGTACTCAAAACACTAACTTGGATGCTTTTTATACCTTTGGAAAATGTTGGAGGCATTTACAAGGAACAAAAGACTACTTTTCATGCACATGTGCATTTTGAAGCTGTATGCATTAGTGGTAGAAATATCAGTGCTAACAGGGAAATCGGAGTGAATTTGACATTGAACAAGGACAGAGACTTTAGTCAGAAGTAGCAGGCACCAGGCTGCAACATGAAAATCGAAAAACACTCCCAATCATGATTTTCCTAAGAAGAAAAAAATCTTTATGCTAATTTTAAGCACTACTAATTCTAAAAATTTAAAAACACTATATTGGCATTGCATTTGGAATAAGTGTTCTAAGCTATCTAGATTTTCAAAAAGTCATCCATAATACTTACCAAGAATCAGAATTGGCCTAGCCACTGTGGCTCAGTTGGTTGAACATCGTCCCATGGACCAAGAGGTCACTGGCTCAATCCGGGTCAGGGCACGTGCCCAGGTTGTAGGCTCGATCCCTGGTAGGGGACGTGCAGGAGGCAGCTGATCCATATTTCTGTCCCCCTCTCTCTCTCTCTCCCTTCCTCTCTATCTAAAATTAACAAAAAATGTATTTTTTAAAAGTCAGAATTGCTCTATACTTTCTATAAGATAAATGTTTCAAGTATGTTAATCCTCAATTACATTTAATGTATCCAGAAGCACTTGTTTAAATGCATTCATATGTTCTAAAGCTATTTATAGAAGAGTTTTTCACCTCATCTTTATATTTTATTTCTTGTAGCAATAATGTTTATGTTATAAATGACTACACTTTAATTTTTATCTTAATAGTTTTCTGATAATGGTACATAAAAACCAGACATCACCACATTGCCAGTTAACAGAAGAGAGCACGACTTCTCCAGATTGTTTGGCTTCTTTATTTAAGGCCAGTGAATAGGAAGATGAGAAGAGAGTGCAGAGTGAATGTCTGTGTGGTGCCTAATCCTGAGGAAAGAGGAATAGTGCCCTGGCCTCTGTGGACCAGTGGTTAGCGTCAGCCCACACTCCAAAAGGTTAAGAGTTCTCTTCCCAGTCAAGGGCCTGCACCTGGGCTGCAGGATCAAGCCCCAGCCCCGTTTGGGGTGCACGTGGGAGGCAACCAATCAGTGTGTCTCTCTCACATCAGTGTCCCTCTCTCCCCCACTCCCTCGCTCCCTCCCTTCTACTCTCTGAAGTCAGTGGGAAACGTATTCTCAGGTGAGGATGAACTAAACAAGAAAAGGACAGATGGAGAACGGAGGGGGTCACCTACCCAGAAGCTTGAAAGCTTTTCTTTTTTCTTTTTTCTGCTCAATTTATTTATTTATTTTTAATTAATTTATTTATTTTTGTTACAGATGTTTCTCCTTTTCCCCCCACTGATTCTCCCTCCCCCTCCCTCCCCACCCTGTCCCCAGCTTTGTTGTCCATGTCCATTGTTCATGCATACATGCATGTAAGCTCTGTGGTTTATCTCTCCCCACCGACCCCCTCTTCTGGGGATTGTCAGTCTGTACCCCACTTCCACGTCTCTGGGACTACCCCATTCCTCAGACTGTTATGTTCATTGTATTCCACAAATAAGTGAGATCATGTGCTATTTGTCTTTCTCTGCTGGGCTTGTTTCGCTTAGGATGACACTTTCCAGGTCCCTCCATGTAGTCTCAAAGGATAAGAGATCTTTCTTACAGCTGCATAGTACTCCATTGTGTATATGTACCACAGCTTTTTTATCCATTCGTCCACTGATGGACACTTGGGCTGTTTCCAGATCTTAGCTATTGTAAATAGTGCTGCTACAAACATGGGGGTACATATATTCTTCAAAAGCTTTTCTATGGGAAGTGAATTATGAAGCAAAGGACAAACACTCTGCATGTTAGATCCTGACATTTCTCTGTAGATTCACATCTAGCGAATGAAAATGTGATAAGGTAGCTGATCTTATGCATACAGATGCATCTCCATACTCTGGACTCCAGCCCAGCATTTTCATGGGCCCCGGAGCCCACAGGCCTCCACGTTTCTGCGCGAGCTCACCCTAAAATGACAGCTAACATGAAATTTGGAGGGTGGTGTGAAGGGAATGTGTTTTTACGAAAGAAGATAAGGCTAATTGGATTTATTTCGCCTGTCCCTAGAGGGCTTTGCTTTCGGAGACTATCTCGTCTGTCAAGGACACCAAGACTTCCGACCGATAAAATCTCAATTAGAGGCTGGTTCACAGAGACAACGGGCACGATTTGGCTGACGTGAAACGTGTCTCACAGTCTGTTCCATTCCTGTAGGGAAACTAGTCGTCATGGAAAACTAGTAACGGGAAGCATGGTTAGCGCCTCTAAGGAACTAAAAAGTCAAGTAGGTAATGTATCATTCTGCCCATTATCTTTTTATTTTGGGCAGACTGCTACGTTTAAAGTAAATAATGACAGCCCTGGCCAGTTTGGCTCAGCGGTTAGAGCGTCGGCCTGTGATCCGGAGAGACCCGGGTTCGGTTCCCGCTAAGGGCACGTACTTCGGTTGCAGTTTGTCCCCGGCCCTGGTTGGTTGTGCGGGTGGCAGCCACTCGATGTGTCCCTTCACGTCGATGTTTCTCACTCTCTCTCCCTTCCTCTCTCTCCCTCCCATTCTATCTGTATAAAAAATGGAAAAATATCCTCGGGTGAGGATAAAAAAAAATAAAAAATAAAAAAATAATGTAAATAATGACATTTCTGTCATTTCCTCAGAAAATAGAATATATTTGTAATCAACCTAAAATGCTAATTTGTGCTTTGGCCAGTGTGGCTCAGTTGGTTGGGCACCCTCCCCTGAACCAGGGGTCACGGATCTGATTCCAGGAAGGGCACATGCCTGGGCTTCGGGCTGGGTCCCCAGGAGGGGTTGTAGGAGGGAGCTGATAGCTGTCTCTCTCTCTTTCCCCCTTCCTCTCTCTCTAAAAATCCATAAAAATATATTTTAAAAGAATAAAAAACAAAATGCTGATGTATGAGACAGAAGTGTGCGTAGTAAATAATTCAGAAATAAAATGTAGCATGTAGTGTCCATGAGTAATAAACAGTCGCCCCCTTATTCGTGGTTCCACTGTCTGCAGTGTCAGTTACCCGGGCCAACCACAGTCCAAAAATCTTAAATGGAAAATGCCAGAAATAAGCAATCTGTAAGCTTTAAATTGAGCGCCATTTGGGTTAGATAGCCTGATGAAAGCTCAAGCCATGCCACTCCGGCCTGCTCAGGACATGAATGGTCCCCTTGTCCGGCATCCCCACTCTGTGGCTGCGACCCACCCGGTCATCACTTAGTAGCCATCTCATTTATCAGAGAGAGAGAGAACTTTCACTACAGTCTATTGGTATAAATGTTCTATTCTATTATTATTGTTGTCGCTCTCTCACTATGCCTAATATATGAATTAGTGTTCATCATAGGTTTGGATGTATGTATAGGGGGAAAATGTAGTGTGTATAGGGTTTGGTACTACCCACGGTTTCGGGCATCCACTGGGGATGTTGGAATGTGTCCCCTGAGGGCCAAGGCTGGATGACTGCTGTCTCTCAGAATTTCTTCTGTCCTTTCTCTTTTTTAATTGCACTATTTCACGTTATTTAAGAGTCCACAAGAGAACTTCACAATTTTAACCCACGTCCAATGTAAAGACCATTACCCAGCTACCAAGTCACTTCTACCGTGAAGGGACACGGTAGTTACACATGCCCATTGGTCTCGGCACCAACTCTTGATAGAAGTGCGTGTAACCTTTAGGACCTGCCTCTACAGAGAATTGGGTTGGGTCCAATTAATTTTACTTGTTTCCTCCTGTACATCAGGGTCTATGTTTATTCAAATACTAAAGAAGGATTGTTACAAGTACCTAAATGCTGCCAATTGACTTAGCATTTCTCTGAAGTAAGTAGTCTATAGATGTTTTGCTTGTCTATTCCCAAAAGAAATTTGAAAACCTTATACTTAACTCATACTTTTAAAAAATGACATCTAAAGTTTATTGTCATGTTTAAGTAGTTGCAAAGGATGCTAGCCCTGGCATTGGTTAATATGCAAGTGCTTTAAATATATTTGTATCAAAACATTCACACCGCAGACTTGACTTAACTCAGCTAATGGAGGATGACCACTATATAATTTTAAAGTCTGGACTCATTGCTTTTTGTTTGTTTTTGTTTTTTAAATCCTCACCTGAGGATATTTTTCTATTTATCTTCAAATAGAGTGGGAGGGGGGAGAGAGAGAGAAAGAGAGAAACATCAATATGAGAGAGACCCATCGATTGGTTGCCTCCCACACAACCCCGACCAGGGCCAGGGACCGAACGGGAGCCGAGGTCCGTGCCCTTGACCGCAGGCTGACGCTCTAACCACTGAGGCAAACCAGCCAAGGCTGAGCTCATCGTTAAACCAGCCAGATTTACTGTCAGAAGAAGCCTAAGATCTTTTTTTTAAATTTAAGTAAAAGTGTTCGGCCCTGGCCGGTTTGGCTCAGTGGTTAGAGCATCGGCCTGCGGTCCGGAGAGACCCGGTTCGGTTCCCGCTAAGGGCCCGTACCTCGGTTGTGGTTTGTCCCCGGCCCTGGTCGGTTGTGTGGGTGGCAGCCACTCAATGTGTCCCTTTCACGTCGATGTTTCTCTCTCTCCCTCCCACTCTACCTGAACAAAAATTGGAAAAATGTCCTCGGGTGAGGATGATAAAAAAAAAAAAAAAAGTGTTCGTAGGTGCTCCCATGACAAGCAGCTCACTTCTGAAATCTAATTTAAAAAACAGAGGGCGCTGAGACCATTGGTTTGTAGCCATGATGAGACTAGGCCTGTCACCATCGGTATGTCACCACCCTGCGAGTGAGCCGTGAAGCATTTTATTCCCAGCCACCGTGGGACCACCGATCAGCGGAAACCTTTCTTCCTGAAGGACGTGGGAGGAGAGAGCAGTGGAGAGCCCTAGGCCCCGGGGGTTGCTTCTCGAGAGCACTCAGGACAAACGAGGATCCGGACGGCAGTGGACTCCCGGGACTGTCGGCTGCTCTCAAACTGCCGGAGGCTCCTGTGCGGCACCGGGCGATGCAAACCCCGCAGACGGAAAGCACTGCTCTAAAACAGAGTTCTCAGACTGGGGGTCTCGAACATCCCTCGAAATTGTTGTTGAACTCAAGACCAGCGGTTCTCAACCTGTGGGTCGCCTAAGACCGTCGGAAAACACATATTTCCGATGGCAATTCATAACAGTAGCAAAATTACAGTTATGAAGTAGCAACGAAAATAATTTGGGGGTCATCACAACATGAGGAACTGTATTAAAGGGTCGCAGCATTAGGAAGGTTGAGAACCACTGCTATAGACCCTCATTCCTGAAAATCTCTCTCTCTCTCTGTGTCACACACACACACACACACACACACACACACACTTTCACTCACAGATCCCCTGGTACTCAAATAGGGACCCCAAGTTAAGAATCAAAGCTTAAAAACACTCATTTCAGAAAGCTCATAGAACGTTTTCTTAGCTCCACCTTTAGGTCTGGTGATGTTAGTGTATTTTATTTAAGAATTTCCTGCATAAAATGACAAAGTAAAGAGCATTTCACATGCGTGTTTCTCATCCCAGGGAGAACTGTGGCCCCAGGAAGAACATCTCGTTGTCATGACAACTGAGGGTGAATTCTGCACAGTGCAGATCTGATCAAACTTGGGTCATGCTCTCAGGTCACTTCATTTGATCCTGGTTTCTCTGTATTCTGTCTCTGTCCATAAGATCTGACTGACCTGTACAATCTCCCCTGAGTCTATTACTTGACTCCTTTATTCTCCACTACCTACCTCCTACTCAACAATTTGAACTTATAAAACAACATACTGGGGAAGGATCACTCAAGGTTCACAAACGTTCTTTACATTTTTAACTTGTTTTTAAGCATTATTTGCTTTACAAAATTTAAATGCACGCTACAGTCCACATCTAAAAAAAACAAAAAACAAAAAAAAACCCCAGAGTGGTCTTAATAGCATTTCTTCTTCTGTGTCTTTGCCCATATGTTGAAAATAGAGAGGAAAACTTATCCTCAAGGCATCCTGGGAAATAGACCTCGGGTGTCAGGAGCCCCACTTTGTGGCTGCGGAAGCTTAGGTACAGCAGCCGAGTCCATGCCCAGGGAGGAGACCGGCCTTGGCTGGCAGTCGGAGGTGCCCAGCCCTCTCTGAGGGCCTGTTCTGACCTGTGTCGCTGACCCCCCTGTTCCTTGTGCTCTTGCTAGATGTGGACGAGTGTCTGGAGCAGAAGGTGCACTGTGGGCCCAATCGCATGTGCTTCAACACGAGAGGAAGCTTCCAGTGCATTGATACGCCCTGTCCACCCGACTACCAGCGGGATCCTGTCTCGGGGTAAGCCTGGCCTTCTCTCCCCAGACATGCTTTTGAAAATCCTCCTTCCTCTCTCCTGGACCACAGACCCTGTCTGTGGTCATGTTTAACTCACAGGAAGTCACAACCCGAAGAGACACGGGGTAACAGTGTGCTCCTTCTTCGATGCATGGGCAAGAAATGAACTCATCCTGCAGCCCCCCTGCGCCTACACCGCCCCCGGGGCTGCCAAGGTTTCCCGGAGCAGCGTCCCCACATGGGAGGCGCCGGGCAGCATCTAGAATTCTGCCCCGGCAGGGAGCATTTTATGGGGCGTCTGCCTTTCTGTGAAATCTCCTGGTTTCCGTTTGTGTTGTCTCCGAGTTTTAAGATCGCTGAGCCTAGAGCATTCCAAGAAGTACCTTGGCTCCTGCCGTGATGACTCACGGTGACTTCATGGGAGAATGGCAGGAGCAGGCGTGAGTCAGCAGTCTGCCCCGGCACACAGTCCCTGCTGTCTGAGAGTCTTCTCTGGGAGCCGCAGAAACTGCTCTTCTGTCCCCCCTCCCCTCGCAGACATCTCCTCTGTTCAGGTTCCGAGTTAACGGGGTGCTTGAAAACAGAGGTGATGGTCCTGGAGATTGGGGGCCGCGGCTGGGAGGACCCTGAAACCAAGTGCTGGTTGGAGCTCACGCTGGGTCCGTCAGCACTGTCTGCCCAGGGTCTGCCGGGAAGTTCTCCACGACAGTCTGAGGGGCGTAAGAAGGGAGGGGAGAAAATCAAAGATACAGATGCATGAAACTTCCACAGATATATGACTGAAGAATCCTGGTAAAACATAGCTTCAGAAAAGGGTCCTTTGTGCATTTTTAAAAGTTTACTCTTGCCCTGGCCAGTTTGGCTCAGCAGAGCGTCAGCCTGCGGTCCGGAGAGACCCGGGTTCGGTTCCCGCTAAGGGCACGTACCTCGGTTGCAGTTTGTCCCCGGCCCTGGTTGGTCGTGCGGGTGGCAGCCACTCGATGTGTCCCTTTCACGTCGATGTTTCTCTCTCTCTCTCTCTTCCTCTCTCTCCCTCCCACTCTACCTGAACAAAAAATGGAAAAATGTCCTCGGGTGAGGATTAAAAAAAATAAAAATAAAAAATAATGAAAGTTTACTCTTTATCACCAGGGACTTCTGGCAGACAATTGAAAAGTCATGATGACTCAAAATCAGCTAATGTGGGCTGATGAAAAAGAAAGTTCAATGTTGCCCTGGCCAGTTTGGCTGAGCGCAGGCCAATGAGTCCCAGGTTTGATTTCCGTCAAGGGCAGGTACCTGGGTTGCAGTTCGTCCCCGGCAGGAGACGGTTGTGCAGGAGGCCACCAGTCCATGTGTCTCTCTCACATCGATATTTCTCTCTCTCTCTTCCTCCCTCCCTCCCTCTCACTCTATCTAAAGATAAATAGAAAAATATCCTTGGGTGAGGGTTAAAATAAAAAAAATAAAATAAAAAGAAGAAAAGACGATGTTTGTCATCTGAAATATGGAAGACAAATACAAAAGGAAAAGTTTTTTCTTTAATTAACTTTTTATTATTTTCGAAAACTCAAATATCAATGTTGTCAGTATCGATTTCAGCTTTCACACAGTGTTGGGATAGATGCTAAAATCTCTGAAAGCCCATGTCCCTCCCTTTGAGAAGCGTTTGTCTCCCGTTCAAGTCCAGATGCTTCCATCTCCAAAAGGGACGCGGTAAAGATGCTCATGGTCCTCACCCTCACTCGCGGTTCGGAACCTCCCGACCTTGCTGGGGCCGAGAGCTCTTGACTGCGGACCAGCCTGCTGTCAGAGCCTCTGGCATCTGGTTTGCGTTAGCGACACCGAACATGGGCCGAGCCTTTCTGCTCTCGCAGCAGATTGTCTCCTCCTTGAGTGCCTGCACGTTGCCAGGGGTCACCGCCACCTGCTTCATGTCTCCTTCCAGGCCAGGAGACTACATGCCCTTCCTGTGTTTGTTCTCCGCAGGTTCTGCCTCAGGAACTGTGCGCCCAACGATTTGGACTGCGCCTCCAGCCCATATGCCTTGGAGTACAAACTCGTCTCCCTCCCATTTGGAATAGCCGCCAATCAAGATTTAATCCGGCTGGTTGCATACACGCAGGATGGAGTGATGCATCCCAGGACCACGTTTCTCATGGTTGATGAGGAACAGACTGTTCCCTTTGCTTTAAGGGTCGAAAACTTGAAAGGAGTGGTCTATACAACACGGCCGCTCCGGGAAGCAGAGACCTACCGCATGAGGGTCCGAGCCTCATCCTACAGTGCCAATGGGACCATTGAATATCAGACCACATTCATCGTGTACATAGCTGTGTCCGCCTACCCGTACTGAGAAACCCGCCGAAGCCAAAGCCGCATGTTTCAACTGCATTAATCACGGGGATCGAGTCTGCTTCCAGATGACCATCTCTTGAACGGGTGCAGTCTTGGCAACTTGAAAATGGTGCTATGCTCTGTTTTTCGTGTTTTCCTTGGTACTGCTGAGGTATTTTCATGATCCCACCATGGTCACATCTTTTCGTAAGGTCGAGAAAAGCCCCTTATTGTTTTTCTTTATTTATTACACTGGAACGGTTACTTTCCAAAGATTATCCTGAACATCTCACAGGACACATCAGTGATGTCTTATAGTAGCATGGTAGCTAAGATCATTTTCCTTTAAAAAATAAGATAACTCTCATAAATAATTCAAAGCCAAATAGATTTTTAAGCGTTTGGCCCTTTTTAAAGGAATAAAACTGGTTGCTATGTTTTTTGAGCAAAGCCTAAATAACTTATGAAGATGCCTTTTTTTTTTTTTAAGTATTGATACTTTATTATAGGACTTATACACCTCTTTTCACTTTAAGGATAAAAAGAGACACCACTCATTTTAGAAATATAGTATAGCTTCTAGAAGGTTATTTTTGTCCCAAATGGTGCTCACCTTGATCGCACACCCAAAATAAGTGTATTACTTTCAGTGACTTTGTAAAATCAGTTGAACCACTTATGATAATAGAAATAAAAACACTGCTTTGTCCTCAGACAACTGTTGATGGCATGGATCTTTGTCCTAATATTTTGATATAACCTGCCATTCAGTTAGCTCCTTAACTTTCACATTCTGGAATTGCTTTTACTTCCCTATCAATTGGAAACAATTTTTAAAAATACCAATGGGACAGTTTTCTTTATTTTTCTTGGAAAATCTCATGTTAAATTAGCGTAAATGTTAAACGTCAATACACTGTACACGGTGGTAACGGAGTCTGGAAGCAGTCGCCAAGATGTATTCTATTTTTATGAAGTGTATATATATTACCGTAGTGTGTATTTTCTGTGTAATATCGTGATGGACTCTCTTATAAAATTATTTTATAAAAAAAAAAAATGCAATGTTACAGGAAAACCAGCTTAAATAAAGTTTTCACATCCTTTTTCTTAACTTTTTTGAAAACCTAAAATGTGTTTCCTTGCAGCTATAACGGGGTTAACGTGTACAGTTGCATCCCACACACAGGCTTGTGGGTTTGTCATACGGATCATGACTTAATCATCACAACAGCTCTTGACAGGGACAGTCCTGTATCGTTATTCAGATTTTATAGGTCAAGACCCCGGGACGCGGATGACTTCCGGAACTTTCTTGAGACAGCACAGCTAATTAGTGGCAGAAATGTCGTACCTTCCACCTCTTATGACTCCATGTCAAACGCTATCTCCATTGCATAAGTTTTCTCACTTACCTAAATAGCTTCGTGATATCATACCTCTCCTACCTATGATAGGTGAGAAACAAGTGGAGGCCTAATCAATGGCCTGTGGTTGAAGCATTTTTACCTAGAATCACATTATTCAAAGAAACCCGGAAAAATCATCTAGTCGACAGCCTTCCAATCAGGCAAGCGATGGTCTAAATCAGTGTGTGCCAAAGAACATTCTGGAGAATGTGAGTTCAGTTGAGATACTCGGAGTCAATGAGCTCTGTGGTCAAACAAGTCTGGAAACACTGTAGAATATAGTTTCCTATTAAATATTTACTGTGAACACTGACACTGAAGTATCTTAGCAGTTCAGTAGTAAATAGACTTGATTGGTTCAAGTCAAAATTTTCCCCAATGTATTGTAACATCTCACTGAACACTTGGAGAAATGTTGGCTCAGTACAGTCAGGGCATCTGCATGACTCCTCGGTCCTTGGAAAGGACACTTTGCAGCCTACTTCGGTAAACAGTTCCAGCACATGACCCTGATTACTGAGCTTTCTAAAATTAAACCACATTAATTTCTGTCGTTTCTTCTGTCCACTATTCTGCAAGCATAGAGTGACCAGCCATGAGCTACTGCAGTGTCATTGATAAGAACAGACTTCTGGTCCCTATCCTATTTGATTTGGAAATTCCTAGGTGGAGCCAGGAGATCCAGCCAGAATCTTGACTTTAACCAAGTACCTTTGACAAAATTTTCTTGAAACGCCTCCTAATCACCCAGTGGTTGAGCAGAAGCAGCCAGTGATGCTCCCTCGGATGACAGAACAGGGTGGCGACGCCCCGCAGTATCGCGCAGAACTGTAGGGAGCAAGCCTGTGCGGTGTGTGTCAACACTGCAGTCACAGCCTGCAAAGCCTGGAGACCCCAGAGAGGAGGACTAGCAGGAAAGGGAACGTCTCCAGGGAGAGGAAACCAAGGGGGGGGAATGAGAAATTGAATAGGTAATATTAGACTCAAATACATACAATCCCTTACATGTCGGATGAAGTCTACCTACAACCCTGTATAAGTAACTAACCTAATGTTAATATAAGAAGGAGGGTGATTGCACTGGTAGTCAGCAAGCTTCTTCTGTGAAGGGAAAGACAGGAAATACTGTAGACTTCACAGGCCACACGGTTTCTGTTGCTACTGCCTCAACTCTGCCGATGTAGCATGAAAGCAGCCATAGACGATATGGATACACGCATGTGCTGTATTTTGTTGCTTTGGGTGGGAGGGGGTTCAGAAGGTAACATTGGTGTTGACGGCGGACAGGGAGGATGGATCCTAGTAGGAAGTCATGTGAAAAAGAAAGAAGACCGACTCCACCATCTGCCCTTGAAAGAAAGCTCCCCGTGGTTTTACGTTCATTCCACCAACACACAAGCTTCCTGCTCAACTAGTCACAAGGAGAAATTGGTAAAGACAGCCTTATTCTTTTATCCTCCTCTCCTGTTGAGACTTGTTTATCCCTTTAAGACTTATGTCCATTTTTGCTTGAGTTCAGAGTAACAATGTGCCCCTAGACTCTGTGTGTGTGTGTGTGTGTGTGTGTGTGTGTGTGTGTGTGTGTGTGTTTTAGGGGGAGGGTGTTGTTTGACTCAAGAAGAAGCCCTGTGTTCTAACCACCCTAAGAAAGTTTCTAATGATAACAGTGCACTTTGACCCAGTGGGACAATCACTTTTCTTTCTTTCTTGGCATCTTGCAGGGGACAATGGGACAAAGAGAAAGGCTGTAGCTGCCACCTGACTTTCTGGTGCTAGGAGGCTGCCCCCTGCACCGAGCCCCTTGGTTCTCATTCTCCTGGTGGTCAGGCTGATTCTCCAGCTTGTAATCCACACAAGCTGATGTCCTGACGCTTCCTCCACCTCTGGGTCAGCAGGATAGAGATCACTCTGCGCTCCGGCCCTCGCTCCCGAATAAAGCGGTTGCGTGTGTGGAGGCAGCGCCTGACATGTCCCATTGGCCTCGCCTTGTTCCAACTCCGTAGGGACACTGAAAGAATGCATCAACAGACTTGCCCAGGTATCTAAAGCACATTTTCAAAATGTCAAGTGACCCTTGATGACCAGTGTGCTGATTAACTGCGGCGTTCCAGGGGTCCTTGGAGGGGACGAGCTGAGGCCAAGTTTTCAGTGTGTAATCACCACTCCACTGAGTCAGAGAGCTCACTGCCAAGCTGGAGCAGCAGCAGCAGGACATGGAACTGGTCAGAATGACTGTAGTTTCCCAATCACGGTCCTCTGCCAAGATTCTGTTTCCAATTCTCTCTTCTCAGAGGAGCAGCCTGGGAATTTGGAAGTTCTTCACAGGGGTTGCAGGATGAGCTCCTCCCTTCCATCTCTACCACCTCAATCCTCTTGCTGGCCATGATACATCTCAGCTGCAGCTGCTCATTTTCATCTTTGTTGGCCCTCCCATCTTTCCTAGCAGCCTGTACCCAGTAGCAGAATCACCTCCTATTAGGATTGGTCTCTCTCGCTCTTAGAATCTTCAGTTATACGTGCAAGTGATGTAGAGATGATATTAAACCAACAACCAAGCCCCTCAATCAACTGTTGGCGACCCAATCAGTTTGCACAGAGAGAGATAAAAAGTTAAGACATGTACCACAGCTTTTTTATCCACTCTTCTACTGATGGGCACTTGGGCTGTTTCCAGATCTTAGCAATTGTAAATAGCGCTGCTATGAACATTGGGGTGCATATGTTCTTTCTGATTTGCTTTTCGAGGTCCTCAGGATATATTCCTAGAAGTGGGATCACCGGGTCAAATGACAGTTCCATTTTTAATTTTTTGGAGGAAACTCTATACTGCTTTCCACAGTGGCTGCGCCAGTCTGCATTCCCACCAGCAGTGCACGGGGGTTCCCTTTTCTCCACATCCTCACCAACACTTGGTGCTTGTTGATTTTTTGACAATAGCCATTCTGACTGGTGTGAGGTAATATCTCCCTGTGGTTTTAGTTTGCATTTCTCCTACGATAGGTGACATTGAGCATCTTTTCATATGACCATTGATCATCTATACAATGTTAGCTGTGGGTTTGTCATATATGATTTTTATTACATCGAGGTATGTTTCCTGTACTCCCACTTTGATGAGATATGCATCTGATTTGTGAAAAAGTCACTTTGGAGCAAAAATAGACAGGTAATTACTTTAAAAAATTTTTTTTGGTAAATTAATCAAAATTATACCTATTTTTTGGTCAGATCAGCACAAAATATATTTTTCTGGTGTGCCACAGAATTTTAGTAATTAGTTTTTGCATGCCATGAGATGAAAATGGTTGCAAATCGCTGTTCTAAGTCCATACCAACACATCTGTTAATAAGGTGTCTCCTGCACTTAGCACAGTGTCTGCCATGTAGCAGGATGGGATGAACGTTTGATAAAGGAATGGGGGACTTACATATGCCTAATATACTTGTGGTCGGTGTGGTGAGTTTTACTGATTTGCCTGGCTTTTGGTAGCAGGAAAAAGTCCTGTACACTGAGTATTGACTTGACCCTTGAAAGTTCCTCCAGCGTGCTTTATGATTGCATCCTTGTCTCTAAAATCAAAGATCCCTGCAGTTAGGGATAAAATGGGCCATTTTCTGCCATTATATACTATCTTCATTTAATTCCTCCGTGTGGATCGCTGTACCAGGACTGTTTAAAGAGTTAACAATTCAGCAGAACCAGCGGGAGCTTGGGCTTACAGAGAAGACCAAATGAAAAATTTAGTGAGACGAATAGAAGCATGGTTTCTAAATGGATCAGATGTTTTGATGTCAAAGAGACAAAGTGAGATTAAAGGAATTGGGCAGTACATGGAAACATCTGGATGGCAAATGAAAATTTTTGTCAATTTTCCCAGATGTGTGTTCTACACAAAACTTCACTCCCCAGTATCTGAAAGCATTCAGAAAAGGGCTTTCTCCTGAATTTCTCTTGTGTGGTCAGGCACAGTCAAGCTTCTCCGACTCTCAACTCCTGGTAAATCCAGGGCCTAAAAACTAATAATTTACTAGTGCCAAATGATCATAGCTGCCAACAGGGCAAGATTGTGTGTGTGTCCTATGGCGATTCCAGGATATGGACAGTAGGGTTAGAAGCAGACGTAAAAAGCAGGGTGATGAGCCCAGCCAGTGTGGTTCAATGAATTGAGCGTCATGCCATGGACTGGTCAGGGCACATGCCTGAGTTGTGGGCTGGATCCCTAATAAGGGGCATGCAGGAGGCAGCTGATCAATGTTTCTGTCTCACATCGATGTTTCTATCTCTCCCTTCCTCTCTCTCTAAAAAATTTAAAAAAAAAAAAAATTAAGAAATCAATAAAAACATATTTTAAAGATAAATAAAATTCTTTTTTTAAAAAAAAGGATGAGTGCATTAGGTAGATCTGGGTATTTATCACCAGGTGGGAGGCAGAGCTGGGATCCATCCGTGACAGGTAGAGTTCCATCCTAATGCACTCTGCAAGGCGTCCTATGCTCTTGGCACAGAGAAATTTGGTAAAGAATGTGTCACGTGCCAAAGTCTCACTGTAGTGAGTTAGCATGTGATAACTTCCGCCCGCCCAGTAGGGAAAGAACAGGATATTTCACAGACATGAATTTCCTCTTGGCCGCCTTTGAAAACTAAACTTTGTGGTGTCTTTGAGAATTGAAGGGCCATTCTTCACGTGGCTTGAATATTC